CCCCCCCACCATCGACTCCCTCCCATCACTAATGCTCCCATCATAAACACCTTCCGATGATCAACGCCCCTGGAGCCTTTGGATCTTACTTTTTTGCACTATTTAGTTGTATGGAAAACAATCTTTAAAAAAAATTGCATCTTTGCTGCAACAATAAACACTCCTTCTTCATTCTATATAGATAGATGACCTTGTTATTAAATATGTTTCTACCATAGCAACTGTGTACATTCTAAAATATCCATCGCTCAAAGGGCTTTGTTTTTTCAAAATTTGAGTATGTGTAATAATCATATTGAATATGGCACTGATATTAGAGTCTTCCACAGGCTGAGTCCCATTGAATAGCGCTAGATATAGCGGAAATGATGCTTTAAAATTTGGGGGTTGTACTTTTAAACGCTATAGAAACTTTTTGATATATTAGAGTTTTAGACAAGACCGAGTTTTCAGTCCAATAGAAGTAAAAGGATTGACTTTATGTCAATGTTTACACTCCAATTCTGTTCGTTTGCATATCATTGCCATAAAAATGTTTAATTGTAAACATTTCTCTCTAATTTTTCATGTTATGCTTTCGTAATCATGTTATTGTCTTTGCAGGTATTTCATTGATCAAAGTTAAAAGGGATCCACTTCAAAGAGATCGTCAATGTATTGATATAGAGCAGGTGCCTATATATGAAGATTCGAAAGCGACACTGCTGGATTTAAGGGACGTGCCAATTTCATAGTGGGAGTTCACATGTATGTAGGCGTTAAATTGCAGAGTACTGGATATCAAAACAGTTTTGTGCAGTGACTGATTCACTTGTCTCGTAAAGCAACATGAACCCGAGGCGGCTTATCATGAGAACTGTCTCAAAATGTATCGTATTTTCCATTCTTCTTGCGTCAGTGTCGAGCGTATCACCCGTTAATATTGGAGGGATCTTTTCATCGGCTCATGTGCAAGATGCATTTAAGGAGGTAGTCAGAAATGCCAATGCAGATCCCGTCGCTTACGATTTGGGAAGCACATGGTTAAATTCATCAACAGCGTTATTAAACTCTGATCCAATCGTTTCTATAAGAGAGATTTGCAGCAAATTGATAAATAATTCAGTTTATGCTGTCTTGACTGATCGACTGATGAATAACACACGAGCCCCGTACATCGTTTCATATGCATGTGCATTCTACAATATTCCAGTAATTGGCGTGGCATCAAGAGAGAGCCAGTTCTCAGATAAGGTAACAAGTGTTCGTTTATACCAAAGGCACAAAATTCCTTCAACTTTGATTTTCTTTGGATTGTTATACATGGTTGTGTGCAATGAAGGTTTCAACTTACAGGTTGGTTTAAGTATTGAAACCACTGCGAGGAGGGGTGGGGAAGGGTTGCTTATGTTATATTCCAGAGTCCATCAGACAAAATTTCATCCAATTTGTCATCTTCCTGGTCCAAATGAGCCCAATCAATTGTAATCACGTGTAGGTATAAAACAACATTTTGTACTGTGATATAGGAGGGCGCAATCTTAATGCCTCAAATTCTCTTGTATTAAAAAATTTGCTTGCATTGCATGTATTATTAAGCATGCTTAATACCTCTGTATAATTGACCTTTGCTAACCGATACGTATTCGAATGTCAATCATTAATTGTCGAAAATTCTAGAATCTTCAATATCCAGACCTCAGAACTGAATGAGGGATCTCCCCGTGAAGTTCCTGAGAACGCCAAACCTCTCTCCTCCTGAGAACCCCAAATCTGTTTCAGGTCTCTGACATGACCAAACTGTCACTTAGAGTGAGGAATTACGAGATGCGGTCACAGCGAGAGACCGTGATATTGCTCGATAAGCACGGCTTTTCAATGTCCTAAAAAATACATTTGGATGCTAACAAATACAAAACAATTTATGAGTTTTCTATCCGGTTTGCCCCAGGTTATCAAACTACCGGGCGTATTTGTCCAGGCTGCATATATGGTAGAAGAATATTCCCCAGTAAAACTGCAAAGAGGGTTACTCTGACGAGAGGAAGAGCTCCTTTAAATGCCACGTAAAATTCTAACTCCACTCTTGCCCTTGTTTGTAGAACATCTATATCAAGAGATTTTATAGATTGAAGTAGGTATTGTGTCTGTTAGACATACTCAAGACACATATCGATTTCTTTTCAGACTATTCATGGTCTTTTTGTGCGGACAGTCCCGTCTTATGCAGATGAAGCAAGACCAATGAATAGACTGGTGGCTAAATTCAACTGGAGCAAAGTTATTCTTGTCACAAGCAGCGAATATGACTATAGACAGCTGTTTGTTAAGTTCACATCATTGGCTTATGACAGTGGTATTTCTGTGAGTCTAAATTCCAATTCTTTATGGCCAATCGTTTATCCATTTGTCTGAACCAACGAGAAAGTGCATCTTATTGGCACGTGCGTTAGGGCCTAGGCAAAATTCTACATCTAGTAGCACTTCACAGCATTCAACCAGAACTATCACATATCATGGTTGCAAAAATAAACCAGAGTTTCGTTCTCACTTTTCTCATGACACTCTTTTCTCGTCTCACTGTTCTCATGACACCCTTTTGAATCGAAACAGGTTATTTCCCATAAGTGCCTCCAATGTTCCTACCAAAGAATATTTTACTAGATGTAAGATTGATGATATTGACTTTAACGCGCATGTGCATATGATTAGAAATTTTATAGGCTAACGGCTTTCACCTTCAGACAAATGCTGTTCCGTCTTCCAAACCATTGAACTGTTCGTTATTCTACTCTTTTTTGGAATGTTATATAAACACTCCCAAACTTAAGAAGTTGTCAGATCCTCCCTGAGTAAAAAACTGTTGCCTTGTGAATGTCTAAATCATTTTGCTTCGTGGTTTTTATATTATCATATTATAATATTGATATCATATAATATCTCATACCGAAAAGAATCTATCCGACCCTGATATCAATTATTTCGTACATAATTATCACTATTTTCTCCAGTTAAAATTAGATTCATTTGAATCATTTACCTTCAGTTTTTAAGAATTAGAAATATTTCAGAACTCTCAAATTTAACTAACAACAGTTTTAATTAGAATAAACATCTTATTAATGACTCTTGTACAAAGTTTTCCCAATTTTCTACATTCAAGGCAAATTCCCAAACATCGTCGGGAAGAACCTCCAGATTCGGGAGAATCGTTGCTCATTTTCTTATCCAGTGAATCCAACCTTCTTTTAAATTCAATAGTCACTTTGCAACTTTAAGCACGGCAAAGAAATAATTTTTTTCTTTTAAATTTTTTTCATGTAGACTTCAAGAGACTGATTGATAGAAACATAAATACCTTTTGGCAGCTGAGTTCATCTCCTTTTTTGTTTTAGATCGAGCAACCAATTATATTTGAAACTGGAACCAAGAATTTCTCAATCTACTTGAAGAATACTGCAAAAAGACAGTCAAAAGTTATTGTGTTTGCTGCGAGGTAAGTCAACTAACTCGGTTCTTTCATAATTACACAATTTTGTTTTCATAATTTTTTCCCAGTTTAATGACATATTCTTTGAAGATAAGGTTTACATAATATATTTGATATGTCAATGAAAGTTTTTGTGTAATTTTTGCGTCAGTGACTTACCGATTTAACTTATTTTTATAGCAAATAGTTGTTATTGCTAAAACACTTGAATTTGTTCTATTATTTTTCAATAGCTTAATTTAGATGCGAGCTCTTTTTTTGGGAGTTATGCAAAAACATGACATCGACCGCTTCAAGAAAGATGAAAAACATTTATACTCTCGGTGAAAAGCAAACGAGTATAGAATCTTCTTGATTTATTTCGCATAAATGAATTTTATCCTAGGGGACAAGATGCTGTTAATTTTTACAAAGCTGCTGATTCGTACGGCCTAACAAGTGCTGGCTACATTTGGATTGTTTGTAGTGAAGCAACTGACGATGCCATCATGAAACATGCACCGCAAGGTAATTACAAATTCTGCAATATTCCATGAGATCATCTGTATACGGCCAAGTATCCAGGGGTCTGATGTATTTTAGTTTAGGCCAAAAACCTTTCATAAGGCCATTCTCTCTTTTCTTTCAGGGTTGCTCACTGTCAGGCCAATACAAGAACATGACACAAAGTCGCATATACGTGACGCTGTGCGTATCGTCGGATCTGCCATTTCGAGGCTATCTAATAATGGCGCAACCTTAGAGCAGCCGCCTTCCTCCTGTGATGAACCTCCTGAGCAATGGGCATTGGGCAAAACATTATTCAAGTAAGTCTTCTCACAGTGGTACTGACTTGTGTCACTTTTTTCATTACACTAATAATACTGTTCTCGAAGATTCTGCAAGATAACTAAAAAGGTGAAGTTGCCTGTTGCCTAGTGTCCTCATATACAATGTCATAATAAGGTTTGGGAATCAAATTCAGATTCTATCAATGTGGTACACCCTAGAGTTAAAAAAACGCCTTAACCTTCTTCCGGATCAAATTTTATCCTATTTTTCTCAGAATTTTCTTGTATTTTCTGAATAAATGTTTCTTAGTAGCGGAATTTTAGTAAAATCATCTATGGCTTGATCTTTTCGCTTTGTCTGAAAAAAAGAAAGTTCAAGCACAACGATAAATTCTTTTCACTTAATATACTCTCGTCAAGGTATGCATTGATCTTCCTCATAATTATTCCATCAGTGGACTATTTCCTCCGGCTCTCAGCCGTGGAACCGTTACTTTTTTGACTCATGTTCTCCCAATGACAAAATTTTACCAGCAAGCTAGGCTTTGGAGGCTTAAAATAGCCTAGAAATGAACAGGCAGTTTTTTGTACCAGCCAGTTCTTACAGGTCTGCTACATTTGCAGTGCACAACTTTACGTCACTAACAAGAGTGAACCGAACTTGTGTGCTTTTCTCCCGAATTAGTTATTTGTTGACCTTAAGAATAACCCTTTTGAGGTTTTAAGATCGGTTTTATTTTTAGTGGCTCATTAGGCCCTTTTCAATAAATTGTTACTCATGAAATCTATTTGACCTAGATAGCTTGAAATGTAATTTGTTCCCGGAAAAGGAAAATAGTACTCCTCAAGCCCCCTCTCTCAAGCAACCAGATTTGAGTTTCCAGTTTTTGCTCTGGAAGATTTTATAGCACAGTTTATTTTTTCCAGGGCCATGGTTAACCGGACCTTTGCCAACGGTGCAACCGGGACTGTCAATATTGATCCGGTTGGGGATCGGGTAAATGCAGCTTACGAAATATTCAATCTCAAGGAGACAAGAAATGGCATGAAGTTTTTAGCCAAAGTTGGCAACTTCAATCACGAAGGAATCGTTTCATTGAATGACAGCCATATCGTTTGGCCGGGAAACCAAACTGAAGTCCCTAAAGGAGTGTTTGTATCAGCACATCTAAAGGTAACTTATTATATTTACTTTTTATGACAGTATATGACATACTGTGTACTATTGTCATATACTATAATACTAATACAGTATGATAATGCATTATGATTAATACAGTATGATAATACAGTATATGACATACTGTGTACTATTGTCATATACTATAATACTAATACAGTATGATAATGCAGTATGATTGATACAGTATGATAATACAGTATATTACATACTGTGTACTATTGTCATATACTATAATACTAATACAGTATGATAATGCATTATGATTAATACAGTATGTTTAATACAGTATGATAATACAGTATGTTTAATACAGTATGATAATACAGTATGATTAATACAGTATGATAATACAGTATATGACATACTGTGTACTATTGTCATATACTATAATACTAATACAGTATGATAATGCAGTATGATTGATACAGTATGATAATACAGTATATTACATACTGTGTACTATTGTCATATACTATAATACTAATACAGTATGATAATGCATTATGATTAATACAGTATGTTTAATACAGTATGATAATACAGTATGTTTAATACAGTATGATAATACAGTATATGACATACTGTGTACTATTGTCATATACTGTTTCATACTTTACTATGCTGTACTTTATGTTATATTATGCATTCTGTATACTATATATATCGCATTATTTGTCATAACTGCGCACTGTATCATGTAACGCTATTGTTTCAGATCGTTACTGCAGAATCTCACCCATTTATCACCGCACACCCATTGCCGCAGAGTAAAAATTGCTCTGACATCAATCTCGTCCAAAGAGGCAGGAAAAGGCCGTTCATAAAATGCGTAGGCCCATCCACGACGTTACCAGGAAATGAGCACTGTTGCACAGGTTTGTTTCAGAAGTCCTTTGAAATGTGTTCCCGTTTGTTTTCACCCCTGTTTATACAGTTCCTTTTCAATTGAAAACAGGTTCAGTTTGTTTGCCTTGCTAAAGTGCATCCATTTATGATTGCCTCGGGATATTTTTGTCCAGAGTCTAGCAAAAGTGGTGATCGTACCGCCTTTATCAAGATTCTTGAAAACAAAATAAACGACGAGAAAATCACAAGAGAAAACTTATTTGTTGTTCTATAAACAAAGACAACGACATGTTGATGCAAAAGTCTTTTCAGTTTAATCTATGAATTTTAAACCAACAGTCTTGGTCCAAATTTCGGAAAAACATTGCCATACCAATCAAGAAATGTTTGCTGATATATCGCTGCCTCATTTTGTTGACTTAAGATCGCTATTATCCATCGTCCACCTTATTTAGCGTGCCATATTCCATATATAGCATAGCATATCCTTATTTAGGTTACCATTTTCTTTATTTAGTGTAGCATGTTCCTTATTTAACGTACGGTATTCCATATATAACATACCACATTACTTGCTTAAGTTAAAATATTCCTTTTTCAGCATACCATATTCCTTGATAAACGTACAATATTCCATTAAAAGCATACCACATTCCTTATATAGGTTACAATATTCCTTATTTAGTCTACCAAATTTTTGTTTAAGGTACCGTATACCTTATTTAGCATACAATCTTCATTATTTAACGTACCATTGCTCACGTTATTCTGAATTTGTTTAGGTTTCTGCGTTGAGTTGCTGATCAAGCTCGCCAATAAACTAAATTTCACATATGATGTATACTTCAGCCCAGACAAACAATTTGGTTCCCTTGTCAAGGTAAGATTCTTTAAATTCCAACTTCGATGCAGGGATGAGGGTGGGAGCGTATGTTCTTTCCCTTTTGACCCCCAACCTTGCCTGCCTTGGCAATATTACCTAGACACGAGTGGAAAATAAAAATCTTTGGTAGGCTGTTAAAGTTATGTCGTTGAGTTAATGCCGAACCCACTTCGTAACAACCTACTCGGAAAAGATGCAGAGAACTGTCTTTTAGGTCTCCTATCAGCTGATTTTGTCACAGTATTTCAAATTTATTTTCAGCCGACCTATGCCTTTTTAAATCAAATCATTCCTACCTGCTAATTTTAAATTTTACGGTACCAATGCCTTTTTGGTCATTAATGCTTTGTATGAGAATATCATTATAAATTATGGTAAATTCTTTTCTCTTTTACCCTCTTAGCTTAAATATAAAATTTGTTTTCTTAAGACGTTGGACTTTTGGTGGATGGTAACTTTAGTTTGAGCAAATGGTAACTTTAGCCCTTTAGAGTTGGCGGGGAGGGGGAAGAATAATGTCTACTTGTATCCATGGATCTTTATGCATATTTAGGCATATTTAGGTATATTTAGGTATATTTAGGTATATTTAGGTATATTTAGGCATATTTAGGCATATGTTATTGTTACCTGTCTAGGTTAATGGCAGTGATATCAAGCAGTGGAATGGAGCTGTGGGTGAAGTGGTTGATGGGAAGGCAGATTTGATTGTTGCGTCTCTAACAATCAACAATGAAAGAGCACAATACATAGAGTTCTCAAAACCCTTCAAATACCAAGGAATTGCAATACTTGTCAAAAAGGTAAGGCAGTATTGCTTCTTCTCGTTCCTCTTCTCGTTCTTCCTCCTCTTGTCCTTTTACATCTTCTTCGTGTCCCCCTTTTTTTATCATGTTCAACACCTTCTTCTTTTTGTCTCCTCCTTTCTTTTTTCATTCCTACTGACTTCTTGTTTGATAGTATGTCAGCTGTTCGATTTCTTTGACATCATTTCTTTCTGTCTTGTGTTAGTTTATCCGCAAGCCCTGCCTCGCCTTTGGTTTCTTAACGCAGTCTCCTACCTCAGCCGTTACCTACCTCTCTTCATTTTACCTGTGTTATAAGCTTTATTGCTTTAATGTAACTTACAAGTAATTTTTGATAACCTTTCTCATATATCCTAGAATCCCACTGGCAGTACCTTGGTCTCCTTTCTTCGACCCTTCAAAACAGAGCTCTGGCTTCTTGTACTGCTCTCCGTTCACGTCGTTGCAATTATCCTGTACATCTTAGACCGTCTGAGTCCGTTTGGACTTTTCAAACGAACGAAAACTAGCGACGAACAGGCTTTGGATCTTCCAAGCGCAATGTGGTTTTCCTGGGGAGTTTTGTTGAACAGTGGGATTGGTGAAGGTAAGGGCTAGTTAATCAGCCTAAGATAGACGAAAAGACGCTGCCTATGGTTTAGTCTAACCTGCATGTACAGGAGTCCCACACCGTAAAATCATCTTGATGTATGCTAACCATGATTTCCGTTTCGTGATAACCTACTTAAATTCCGTAAGTCAGTTTCCATTCTCCCAATAGGTAGCGCGCATTTTTCTTGTTTACAGCAGGCTATTTTACTGATCAAATTATAATTTTTCCCAACAACTAATAAAAATTAAAGACAAGTTGTAGCTGTTCAGTTAAAGCAGTTTTCTATAAGCCCTCTCTAGGTTATGAGGCTTAGCTGTAAAAAGTAATACCCTTGAAGCTCTGGCAATATATAAAATGGGTGAGATTCGTCAAAAATAATTAAGAAGGATTTCATAGTTTCAATCTACCTTAATATTCTAAACAATCTCTGTAATTTTGTTCTGTTTTACTTTCTTTCTATTTTTTTCTTACACTAATCTTTGAAAAATTCTTACTGGAAACTTTAATCGGTTTTTTATGTAACATTGTAGTTACCCCACGGAGCTTCAGTGCGCGGGTTCTTGGCATGGTGTGGGCAGCATTTTCAATGATTATCGTCGCAAGCTACACTGCAAATTTAGCAGCTTTTCTCGTCCTTGATAGACCCAAACCAGTTGTAAGTGGAATCGATGACCCAAATGTAAGTTATTTTGTGACATTTTTCTATTTTATTTTTACATTTCACATATTACCTTTGTCGTTTAATGTACTTAACTCTGAAACAGTGACACTGTCATCATCAGGCTCCTGACATCCTAGTGGAACCCCATAGAACAATGTCCTATCGATTCTATGCTTGTGTTTCAAAGAATGGTTCAGAACTTTGTAAGGCTATGAAATACACACGTTGGACCCCCCGATATTCCCATTTTCCTTGTGAGAATACTCATTACTCTCATATAAACTTATTTTGCTTTTTATTTATTAGTTTAATATAGCTCAATTTGTTTTGGTATTTTATTCTTGTTTTCAATCGTTGAATGTATGTAGCTCACTGTTACTGTTTACAATTTTCCCAATTTGTTATCGTTGATTGGTGTTTTATATGTTCTTTGTTGTTTACTCTGGTTTACTTTAGTTTGCTGTTTTGGACGTCATTGTTGTTTATCATTCTTATTCATTATTTATTGTTGTATACAGTAGGTTAAGTTCTATAATAAACTAACATTAAGCAAAAGAATTAGAAATTGTCTTCTTTTTCTTCGATCCCAAAGTTCTCTGTTCTGTTTACTATCACAAATATTTTCTGTTGTTAATTTAACAAAAACAATAGTTTAAATTGTATTTTTACGGGTATTTAACAGCAATGTGGAAATATTATTTCCTTCCACTTTGATCCTAAAGTTTCTTTGTTGTATGGAAATATTGTTTTCTTCCACTTTAACTCTGAAATTTCCTTATCTTTTAGCTGCGAAACCCATCCGATAGCTTCCCTTTTGCCACCGTCAATGGAAGCAGTGTAGAGGCCTATTTCAAAAGACAGGTTGAGCTGTCCAACATGTATACATTTATGGAGAAGCACAACCTTGGAACGGACGTTGAAGCAATTCAGAAAGTAAAGTCAGGGTAAATGCCAATGAATTTCTATCGTTTATAGATTTATAGACTAGACTACCCACCATTCTGAAATTTCTAAATTCCTGGCCTAGACATTTTTCTTTGACATCTAGACATCTAGACATTTTTTCATCGTGTTCTTTCGGAACCTTATTCTGACGTTTTATGCTCTGAGGAGTGTCAGACGAAAAAGCTTTTAGTATGTTGTAAAATGCTTGGTTTTTTCAAAGCCATTTACATGTTTCTGTCTACCTCAAGACAAACGATGATTTTGGTCTAAAGTACATTGTAGCTAGCCTTGACTTCCGATGCTTCTTTAAACTTTAGCTAAACTGAGTTTCTAAAAGATGTTAACTTATTTTTTACCGCGGCTAAACTGATTTTCAAAAGAGGTAAAGAGATTTAAGAATTTCCTTAAGAATCAGTATGTTGTCTAGGACACTGAGAAAAACCAAAACGGTTATCGATCCTAGTGCCCTATTTTAGGTAGAATTCAAGTTGATATACGAATAGTAATTGGTCAACAACTAATCAAATTTAGAAAATACTTAATTAGTACAGCAAAAAACAGTAAAGAATCCTGCTTTAACCGAGATTTACCAGAGGGTGAACCCAGTTTTGAATCATACTTAACCGTAGTTTAACCAAGGTTTAACCGTGGTTTAGCTGTAGTTCAATTTGGTTTTAACCACAGTTTTGTTGTAAGCATGTCTTCTTTTGCCTCTTGTAGTGAATTGAAAGCTTTCATTTGGGATAGCCCTGTTTTACTTTACGAAACATCGGCCAGTTGCGATTTAACAATTGCTGGGGACATATTTGGCCGATCTGGGTACGGAATCGGTTTGCAAAAAGGTTCACCATGGACCAGCAACATATCTTTGGCCATTTTGCATTTTCACGAAAGTGGTATCATGGAACAGCTCGAAACGTCCTGGATCGAATTTGGTGATTGCCCGAAAGAAAGCTCGTCACCAACAACCCTTGGCTTAAGTCACATGCTTGGCAAGTTTTGTTGTCAAATTGGTTTTTGTAACTAATGAGTTTTTTGTTTTGATATTGCTTTCGTAACAAAAATATTTCTGTTTTCTTTTTGACTAAGTATTTTTATGATTTTTGCATTGTTTTCGTACCCTAATATGAAATTATTGGATGGATTTTCGTAACCTTCGTAACTAGATAGATTTTCCACATCTTTTGAATAATATAGTATAATAGTGTTTTTTTAATAAACCGTGTTTCAAATCGCTTTTATAACTTTCAAGTTTTGTTGCCTTCACATGTTTGGTCACTTTTAATTGGTTTTCAAATGTTGTTTGGGGGCTTTGAATTACAACCAATACCTAACCAACAGAAATTTCTGGTTGAATAAATTTGAATAAATTTGAATAAATTTGAATAAATTTGTTCATACATACAGAAGTTTGAATAAATTTGAAGCCTTTAATAAAAGATGTGGATATCACAACTTTGGGATTGAATTCATTTTCTGCAGACCTGCTATTCTTTTGCATCTCCAAAATCATCTCCTACAGTCAGAAATTTCGTTCTGCTGCAATTCCACTTTTGGCAGAATGCCGTGTTAGTTTGCAATATGAACGCTCTTCCCCAGCTCTGACTACGCTATTTGGTGTATAGAACAGGATAGTTCTAAGTTGCTGTTCTGTTCTGTAAATTAGAACCGTCCTTTTATGAACCAACTTAACACCGCTCTTTTCTATACGTCAAAGAACGTGTACAGCTCTGTCTATATGACTTTTAGACTCTGCAACAGCCTGTTACAGGCACTGCGGAGCAGGGGGGGTTAGGGGGGCTTTACCCCCACCCCCACTTTTTTTCGACCCCCCTCTTTCTCAACGCTCCGCGGTGCCTGTGTTAACAATTATCTTTGTTCTATTTAAAATAATCGATTTTTCTTTTTTCTAGGCGTTTTTATCATGGTTGGTGTTGGGATCGCAGCAGGTGTTATAATTGTCATCTTTGAAGTTATATATTACCGGAGAAAGGGCATGCGCAAAGAACAGAAGGATTTGGTTGCAAAATGTGCGGAGCAGTGGAAAGCAAGTGCTGTGGAGGCGAAGAAGGTGAAGAAGATGCGAACAAGCGCCTTCAGTGGGATTAATGGGATTAACGGGATTAATGGCTTTGAGCTAAACGGTGTTAATGGAAAGCGTAAAAACAATGGATATGAACCTGATATTGTCACCTCTTCAAAATGAACCTTTGAAAACTTGTGGGTCGAAGCAGAAATGGACAATGTCTCCGTGCAACGGTACCGTAAAGTAAGGGTTCGGCTTGACGAGAGTGACAGCCGAAATTTGTGGTTGAAATGAGACTCTTGTCAAAATGCTTCGCTCTAAGTATGTCGACTTGATCGCAAAGCAACTCGCCCATTTAAAATAGCTTCCAAAGACAAAAATAAATATTATTTTCGAAAGTAAACTTTCAACCCCAGATATAATGAATAGCCTTGTTCCATACGTAGTTGGAAGAAAATTTTCGACTTTAATTTGAAAGCAAGATCAAACAAGAACTAAATAAGTGAAGGGAAAGGTGGAATTATATACTTGATAAATTCTTTTCCGTCTCAAAACAAGGCTACAAGCATTCCCTTGCTGGTCCTATAAAGTGTGGCAATTCTTAATCATTCTAATGCTTTATGATTATCAGATTTATAAATAACTCTTTGTATCTTAGATAATATTTAGTATGTTAGTTTATGTTAGATGTTACCTTCAAGAAAGGCCATAATTTTCTTCAGAGTTCAAATGTCTTTAAGTTCAAAGTATAAAGATCACAGTGCAAAGTTGACAGTGGCAAAGGACACTTCACATAAATCAACTAATTCGATTTGAGAACGAGGATGTCTAATTATTGGTTAGAATTCTTTTATGATATAAGGCTTTCAGCTTTCACAGTCAGAAGTTCTTTTTTTGTAAAAACATATCGAAATAATATCTAAAAATGTTTTCTTTTCGCATAAGTTGTGTAATAATAACTACTCATGGTGCTGCTGTTTTTAAATAATTTTTATTTGATACTCATTTGTTTCTCTTGTGTGCTGGATTTTCTTTCTTGGCAATACTTGGTAAAATCGTTGCTTGGCGCATTAATTGTATCGGTGAGCGGCTGATATCTCGTACAAATCTCCCTTTCCAACCAGCCGTCCATCAGGTTTGACAAATCAGGCTTGTATCATTTCTAAATTAGCAGCCATTGCCTCGGGGAAAATTTATTAAACCTGGGAAACAAGGATTCTCACGAAGGAACAAGGTATAAGATAATCGATGAGCTGGTTTTATACACACCCCTTCGAGCGTACAACAGAAGTCTATTTTTGAATCCTTCCTCTTATTTGCTTCGGTGCTCAAAGGAAGTTCGTAATTCTTGCTATTTGTCTTTTATTTTGTTTTAGCCTTTCCCAAAGGTATAGATATTGTTCCAATAATTGTTAAATAACTTCTCAAGGGGATAGAAATAAGCAGCGAGAGAACATCGTGAAATTCTCATGAGATGCCAATGCTTGACTTTAAAACTTGCTGGACTTCTTATTTGTTTGAACACTACTGAACTTTGTCGGGACCCATAATGTTGACGAAGATAGGTGGTGAGTTTCTTTCAGCGTAGTTCTTTCGATGTGGTTTATTTTATCAGTATCAATTCAGAATCTAGTTGTAGTGGTGACGTACTAAAGCATGCTGAATGCTGACAATTTTCAAGCACTTAGCAAGGTGTAAATCGTCGGGTTATGACTCGAAATGTGTCGATTAACAGTTAGAAGCCTGAAAAATATGGATTTCAAAGCCCAATGAAAACAAACGTAAACAAATTGCCACGCCCAAATCGGGCCTTTTTCATTGTCAGAGGAAGGGCTTAAAAGATCATGTATTTGTCTGTAGGAATTACAAAATGAATTCTAAAGCAAGTGTTACGCGCCGCAAGTCATCTCGAAATAGTGTCGCGAAAGCTTATTTTAAATCGTACTTAGTTCCTGAACTGAAATCAGTTCTACTTCTGGCAACGAATGCAGGTGTTTTTAGGGTAACTGTAGAAATAAACATCAAGGTTTGCAACATGCGTTTTAACTTAGGTCCATCATAGGTGGGGGAGAGTTGGTTGATATCCGCCTAACTGCCCCTTTTTGCTTAGATGTTCGTTGATTGTGATATTTTTGGCGATATCCGTAATCGAATTGATGCCATTTACCGTTAACCGCACTCAAATCTAGGTCAAATCCGCGTAATCCCTAAACTCTAATGAACCCACTACAATCTCAGGTTTGGCGCCTTTGTTTAGATACTATACTAGCCCCAGTCTCCAAGACAGTTACGCGGCCTCAATGCTTGCAAGCTGCAGAGATCAGTGATGCGTGTAACACGCTTTGCAAAAAATCTTTGCTGCCCCTTCAGTTACCATTGCAAAAAAGGTTGCCAGAAAATCTGCAGCGAGTAACAGCCTGGAGAGGCCTAAGAACATATTATAAGTATTGTCTTTTCTCCTTCAATACAAAATCAATATATGTTTTTTGTGCCCTTGGGCTTAACTCATTGTAGCAGTGCTCGAGTAAGCATTACATTGTGTCTAGTTGTCGGAATAAGTCCATTGTTTTTTCTTCTAAACTCACTTAAAAACGGTTTAGGATTTGTTAATGGCCATCTTCGCGATTGGCAATAAATAAAACATTATACCACTAATGATGATGCACAATAAACCATCACAAATTGCACTGACAGCCCAAAAAAAATTCTAAATGTTTACAGAACTCCACCTTCAGTCTTGTAAACGAAAATGGTCTATTATTCTGAGAACCAGCTCACCCTTATTTGACAACGTTTTGAATGGTAACATGGAACAAATAACAATGAATGTAAAATCCACACTTAAGAACATTTGTCTCTCCAAATTGTCCACAAATTATATAGAGGAAGGCAGCTCCCTAAAATTCGGACACTTTTTTGTCCGTAAATTAACCCTAAAATGTCCTGTAATTTACTCCAATTTGTCTACAAATTAAGCAGCAATGCCGAAAGCAATGCTTTGTATTCTTATAGTTATTTTCCCTAACTCAGAATGTATGGACATTTTGTCACTTTCACTAGACTATATGGAGATTGCCTTTTAAGCTTCCTATTGCTAACAAATGCAACAGAGGGACATCGTTCCAAAATCATAGGCACAGGGGAATTATTATCTATTCATAAGCCGAAACTTCACCATAAGTTTCTTGTTAAGATCTAATGAATTCGGAGATATTGCCCCTAAATTATACCTCTTAATGCCATTAACGATGTTGCTATTCTCTTCCCCTCCCCCTTGAATTGTGCCTTCCTTCATTCCTTCACTACAAGTTTTTATGCGTCTAACCCTAGTTGGATTGTCACTGAAAATCATGCAACATTGATATTTATCAAATTTTTAAGGGGGGGGGGGAGGGGGAAATTATAAAACATGTTAAGATTTTCTGAAAAAGTTTTAATAATTTTGGTAAGGGTTAGAGATTATATAGACCAAAAACTAACAACATTAGAATGTGAGGCGAGAGAGAGAGGTTCCGTAATCTTCAAAACGACCATAAATACTTCAAAATTTTATTCTTAACCTCGGTCTAATTTGAAAACTAAACGATTAAAAATACAGTTATATTACCAAACATCATTCTTGCAAACTGCGTTGAGATTGTGTTTGGAAAACGACCGTACAAACTGTCCTAAAATGTCATGATAAGTGAATGCAATACGATTGATATCTTGAGTAGAAAAGCAGTCTGAGATGTAAAATTGATCTTTGAGCTAGAGGACGTTGGGTAGCTAATATGGTTGATTAATACCCTGTGGGTGCAGACACTCTGCTACAATTAAAAAGAGGGGTCTTGAAATTCAATATTTGCAGGGAGCTTAAAAATGGTTTTGAAATTGATTGGTTGGTTGTAAAAAATTGATTAAAAACTTAGACATCATCAAAACCATGATGGTTACTAGTTCTTGACATTTGCAAAGAATAATTTTCCTCAGGATTTTTATCTAGAGTTAATGAAGTTTGTTGGCCACAAACAAGCTCTAGTGATGGAAGATAACTGCATTCACGTTTTACTGATTAAACTTCTTGACGAAAGCTTTCCAGACTGGTGGATTTACTAATTATGCATTCACTAAAATTATCAACTAATTCATTGAAATTGAAAATGGAATTTACAACCGACTTAAGGAGCTAACGTCAAATTTCCATCCTCTTCTTGGTAATAATTTGAGCCATCATATTAAATTCCATAATGATTATAATTATATAAAATGATAATTATAAAACTACTTATAGTCTCAAACAGAAAAATTTCGTCATAATTCACACCCAACTTTCCCCAGAAACAAATTATCTGCAAATATTTTGCACTTCACTACAAAAGTTAGGATGAATTTTTCCCACGATATGTAAAATCTCATTCATACCTAAAGTGGGTGCATCAAACACAAGCAAAGGTGAAAGAGGTAAAAAAGGGGCTAAGGGGGGCAAATTGAAGGTGCCTCACTTTCAATATATCTTGAGACCTGCGCTCTTCAACCAAATTTATATTGACCTTCACTGAAGGGATCAAAGAAAACCCCCCATTTTGATAGATTCCATTCCTGTCATCTCAACCCTGAGGGGCTCTGTTCGGCTTTGAAAACTTCAGGTAATTCTTAAGAAAAATTATTGTGGTTCAAGAGGTTCCCCTAACTTGAGATCTACCAGAGAGGCGAGATCTTTATAATGTGTGCGGAGTAATATTCAAAGCTTGTGCCGTCTGGCTTACTCGCCTTGGAAGAAAATATAAATTATATAATGAATGTATTTTCGATAAATTTTGCAAAAATGATCGACTGAAAATATCAATTAATGAAACCATCTGCGTGTAATTTTCACTGCATATAAATGGCAAAATACTGCATGACTATAAGTTATTAATAATCTTTATGATTAAACGATAATAAATACTTTAAAGAATGTTGTTAAAAACGTCTGTTTTTTATATCCGTCACATTTCACAGATGCCCATTGAGCAACCCTTGCTTCTCCAATGAATTTTTCCCAATTTCTGTCATGCATTTGTCTTTGGCTAGGCCATTTAAAATCCTATAAGTTCGTGAAATTCAATTCATAAACAATATATTCTCAATTATTCTTCACACCATCGCCACAGTACCAATAGATTTTAAAAATTCAGTTCAAATTTCAAATAATCCCATCACTGCGATACCAATTTTCATAAAAACCTATCCAAGCAGCAACGTACTGCTCAATCCCAAATGCGATAAGTATTTTTATCGGCATGTTTGAATGCGAATGTCTGCGTTATGAATCCACAACAGCGCTTGCTCCAGCTTTATTGAACTCTGAAACCTTGGATTCGCCAACACTCTTTGTGACGTCATTTTGCTCAGAAAGCAGTTTCTCTGATTCGTGAACATCATGGTTTTCAACGCTATTTAAAGATTCTCCATCAGTGGCACTGGGTACATCCCCATATAATTGTCCCTTTTGACTTTCTATCTTTGTTGATGAACCTGGTCCACTTGGTTCCATCAACTGGCCACCCTCTGGTACCGTTGCGTTTGAATTCTCACCATCATCCTCTTCCAAAAGCTTCCTTGTGCCACCAATGTCATCTTGACTGCTTGAAGAGTCACTTTCTGGCATGAAACTAATGTGACGATCAATCTCTGCACCATGGAATATGTACCGGTTCGGCGGAACAAGCAGATAGAAAATATCTAAAAAACAACCAAAGATGTTGTTAACAATTTAATAGAGCTCAATAATTAAGACTGTCTAGTTATGTTATCTGCAGCGATAAAGCAACCCCTATTAGCGCTGGGCGGCCATTTATAATTTAACTCTACCTTTATCTTCTGAATAAAAGAGAAGATGATTTGAATAAAAAATACTGGTAACTAGTCGCTTGTACGATGCTAGGATTTGGTGAGTAGTACAGGTTTGTTTAAGCTATAACTTCACGCTAGAAAAGAATGTTCTTCTGGTTTGTTCTTTACAAGAACAAAAATTTAGAAAAACATTGGATTTAACATCTGTAAATAAAAACTACCTTCATTCTCGAATTTTTCCATTACAGACTCTTTGTTGAACGATGGAGAGCTGGGTCGTAGGCTTATCCTTGCCTTTCTTTTCTCGCCAATACCTTCCCCAGTTTGTTTACTGTCCTTCTCATCTGAAGGACCGGCTAGTTCTGAGCCACTTGGCTCTTCTTTTGTCATTTTTTCATCTTCCTTAAATTCAGGTTCTAACTTCATTCTTTTATTGTCCACACCACACGTACACTGCCGTTCCCTTTCCACATTATTTGAATCTTCACTCGATTCTGTGCAACTGCCTACGAAACCAGAATCTGCAGATGCCTCAATTTTTACATCTTCCACGACATCCACTTCACTCGTGGCACTTTTTTCGTCCATTTTTCCATCCCCAATGACCTTCAACATTTCGCATTTTTCACAAATCCGTTCTAGTTCACGTTTCCTGGGATTGTTTTCATTATCTGGCAAAAACTTAGGATCCATGTTTTCTTTGGTGCTTTGCCTTGAGCTGCAGTTAGCTGCAAGAATATCGCTTTGTCTGTTTTCAGCAGGATTAACAGGGCTATCTTTGCTTTCATCTTCACACTTGATCCGATCTGTTTCAACCGGTTCACCTTCAACCATTATATGACTGATATTAACTTCTACTGAGGCATCCTCTACCATAACCTGGTTAGGGTCAACATTTACCGAGCTGTTATCTAAACATTCTTTTTTATCTATGATATCATTTCCTTTAATATCACTGCTTCCCGAACAGGAATCGTTTTTATTAAAATACTCATTACGGTCTTTGCTTGGCGTTCTTTCATTCGCGTCTCCTGCCAAACCAGCGTCAAAATCTACAGTCTCACGAGAATGGACTGAGCCACTTTCAGAACTTGATTCAAACATCATTCCTATAGCATCTTTGTCAAGTGGAGGCATTACGTAATCCTGAACAACCTCGCTCCAGTCTTCTCCAAGCCGGCGACACAGTTCAGCAATAACAGCATCACAGTTGCCTAGCAACTCTACGTCGAAGTTAAAATGGTGCAAGGGCTCGCGGTTTATTAGTATCTGTGGCACATCAGGCTTGAGGTAATCTACAAAGTGGAGTTTATATGATGCCATTAAGAGTTATAAAACTAAAGAAAATCAAAACTGTTTAAACAGTAAGACAAAAATTTCAAAATTCAAGCACAGTTATATGTGACATTCGCACAGAAGTCAGTCCCCAGACTTTTTTGTTTCTCAGAATGCTTTGTTTTCAAAATGCTGTGTCTTACAATACTTTGCAATCCTGTATAGGTTGATGCAGCCATGTTGGTAATGGGCTTTCTCAGCCCGAGAGTACCTCTCTCGACTGGAATAAACTACATGTTTCAATTAATCATTTAGAATTTTGAGAAATTTGCAAACTTATCTGCACATGATAAACAGATAAAACAATTAAGCAGACAAAAACAAAATTGCCTTATTTGCAATTTACAGTTTTGATTTTAGATATGCATTTCTTTATTCAATTTAGATTTTACCCTTGATGATGAAACAGCCTCAAAAGAGGTTACCTGGAATCAAAGCCACTGGCCTGACCTTGAGTGAAGAGCCAATGACAATAAGAAGGTCAGCCTGGAGTTGAATAAAGTGATGTTTGTTAGGTGAGATTAACATACCCAAACATACACAGTCAAATCAAAATCTTCAAAATAAACTTCACTAATTTATGGCCCTTGTTGCATCAATATCAACATTAAATGATGTCTTGTTGCCAATGTACCAGTTCATGCTACTAATTATGCTCAAGAGGGCATCCAATCTCATTGCCCAAAAGTCAGAAAGCCATCCTTCATTTGCTGACAAAGCATTTTTCATGTTTTTTTCCAGATGGAGTGTCACTTCTCTCACACCCCCATAGGAAATACCCTGTTACCAGCCTTCTTGTTACTTGTTACTTCAATGAAATATCGTTTTCTCCAATTCAAGAAAGCATCCTTTAATGCAATGACAAATTCTTTCCATAATTTTTTCCCTTTCCACAAAACTGGCTCAACACCAAATTTTCAAATGAATTATACAAGATCATGTGATTATGTAGAATTAAAATATACTTTAAATACATGTAGGTACCATTAATGCAAATCAAAAATTTAATTTCACAGGTAAATATTTCTTAATTTATTTCATTACCTCATGTTTGTCAACATCCAAATTTTGATAAAAAGCATCAGGTAATCCTTCTCCAAAAAATATAATATCTAAAAAATTAAATAATTTGAAAGACCCTAAATGATTTGAACTGGAATACATGGAAATAAAAGCAAACAATCTGATTATGCAAAGTCCTATTTTGCGGGGAAAATGTTAGAAAAACTCTGAATGTGTGAATTTAGGCAGGTTTATTCGATCTAAACAAATCATGAATCATAGATTAAAATACAGAGAAAAAGCAAACAAAAATTTGTTTTTTTAAATGAAAATATATTGTAGACAAAAATTGATTTCCACTAACCAGGTTTCATTACAGCCAGAGTAGACTCATCCGGAGAACAATTCTCGCATGTTGGTATTACCTTTAAAGTAAATGAAACTTATGAATACAGTTTTGTCAATACATGAAATTAAAGGGCTGACAACAACAGAAGTCAACAAGTGTTTGAGGGAAACAAAAATTTGTATAACAAAGTTATTAATAGAAATGATTATATGTTAATCAAATCATTTTTGAGCACTGGTAAAACAAACAAAGTTCCAAGTTAGGAAAGGCAGTAGAAACGCCCACCTGGTTAAAAATGTCATCACGAATAACATCTGAGGCAACTTTGTATTTGCAATTGGTACATGATGCTGTGGCAAATGAGCCTAAAAATACATAAACAGAACTTAGAAAAAATGTTCCCATCTAGAAGTAAAGACAGAGGCATATAAAGTGCTTTGATAATGAAAAGTACCAAGGAATTCAAAGAATTTACTTAATAAGAATTAAGACTTTCTTGATCTGATCTGAAAACTGGGCTCTCCACTACAATTTAATATGTACAATAACATACACCCAACAAGATTCCATATTTACAGTTCAACTGATGAGGATGGGTACAGAAAGTCAGATGGGTTGTCCCCCTCTAGGACTGAATTCAAAATCAGATAGTGTTGGGACTAATTCATTTATTAACATATTTCTTGAATGAATTTGTTCTATTATCTATATGCAGTAGTGAATCTGCTCAGGTAGTCTGACTTCTTGAAACAGGCTCTTTTCATATCCCCATATAATAGCTTTACTCATCTTGGCTGTTTCAACCTATTTTACTAGATGTTGCATAGACAAGCACATTTGGGGTACCTGATCAAAAGGCAACATGAAAGAAGGCCGAGATGGCTAAAAAACACTAGATGCAGTGTAAACACAAGGTATGGATGTTAATTTTTGTAACGGATCCATTTTGATCAAGTCTAGTGTAACACGGTTTAATAAATTATTAATAATTTAATAAATTAAATGGTAAAAAATATTTTTACCTTGTAATTTAATAATTACAAGGTAAAAATAAATTAATGGCTTTTTAGAACATAAGAGATGCTGAGAAGCTCTACCAGGTCTTGAAATTTCATTTACTGAGATCATTTTTCTGAGTCACATCAGGTTTTGGGTGGGGTCCCTTAAACCCCCATAATATCCACCACATTACAATGTCGTGTAAGGAAAAAAAACTATTGAATTGCTTTTAAACTTTTTGGGATGTTGAAACTGTTAAAAAGACACTTACCGTGACACTGGACCACTCTCAATACCAGCAGTTTGTTCCAAAGTGTCAATGTTTATGCTTTAAAACTTTTTGGGATGTTGAACACTGTTAAAAAGACACTTACCGTGGCACTGGACCACTCTCTCAATACCAGCAGTTTGTTCCAATGTGTCAATGTTTTGGGTATAGTTCCGTAGCAATTTTCCTTTTTTATCAAGAGCCGCAATAAACATGTGACTTAAGGATGGCTTGAATTGGCCTGGGTATATTTCCTTAAAAAGGAAAGTAGAAGAAAAAATTAAAACTTATTTTAGAATAATTGGTTTTTACCACTGCTTATAGCCTAGTTTTATGAGTAGAGGCTTTATGAAAAGATATCTAATAAAATGTAATCACTAGCATAATTCAGCCCGTTAGGATCTGGAAAATGTTTCTAGAAATTTTGGTTTGATTGCTCATTACTTTTAACTGATAATTGAGAATAACAAACTTTCAAGAAATTAAAGCCTTCTTATAGGATTCTCAACTGTGTAATTTTCCCCACTTGTATTTGAAAAACTTTAAATAATATGATAATTTATGTACTGTACATGCATATTAGGGTTAATTCACCCTGACAAAATGCATTATCATAATTAAGATCTATGATTCTATAGAGCCATACTCTTAGCCGCAAATAAATGCCTATTTTCTGACAAATGAAAACAAAGAACAACAAAGTCTTGTAACTGTCATAAAGTGAACCTTCATTATTATTATTATTATGAGTAATATGCTGAACCTTGCTTTGGTTGCCCTGTGCAACAATTGTTTTGTTATGCTTTGTTATATTAATAAGGGTGTTATGGAATTTTAGTTCAGTTGTGTTTTGGGATTCGAATATGAAAGTAAACGAAGTGTCTTCTATATGAATTGGCCTACGGAATCAAGAGAATATAACATTGGCGACGAGGATAAAACCATAATAACATAGCATATGTTATGAAGGATGGCTTTCAGTCTAAATTTACACCCACTTCCTGAATTTGATCCAGATATTGAAGTTGGTGCTAGTCTTTCTACGAGATGGCGACAATGGCTTCGTGATTTCGACACATATATTCTTGCCAGTGGTATAAGAGATCTTGGACGCAAACGAGCCATTTTACTTCATCAAGCAGGTTCCCGAGTTCGCGAAATTTTCAGCCAGATTCCTGATACAGGCGCTGCCGCTGATTATGAACTGGCTCGTGATAAACTCACTGCATATTTCGAGCCTCAAACAAACCGTCGGTATGAAGTGTACAAGTTTCGCCAAACTCGCCAGGAACAAGGGGAGACCTTAGATCATTTTCACACACGGCTCCGACATCTTTCTGTCAATTGTACCTTTACGGATACCGACTTCGAAATCGAGGAACAAATAATTGTTGGAGGCATTTCTAACAAAATTAGAAGAAAAGCGTTACGTGACCCAGACTATTCGCTAAAAGATATGTTACTTGATGGCAGAAGGGATGAAATGAGCGAATTCCAAGCGAAGGAAATTGAGTCAAAAGAAGACATGCAACAATACACTCATCGGTTTACGGCTTCAAACAAGGCAGGTAAACAAAAATTGACTGTACCCCCGAAATGTGGAAGCTGTGGTGGTGCACGACACCCAAAGGATCAATGCCCAGCGTATGGCAAAACATGCCATAAATGTGCAAAATCGAATCATTTTGCAGCTGTATGTCGGAGTGCAGCTCAGGACAAGAGACCGAAATCCGGTAGGCCAAACAAACCTCAACGTTTCTCAGTCAAGCCATTGAATTATTCGACACAGTCTAGCGACGATGAATACGTTTACACAATACAACAGAAATCCACAGGGTGTCCTACAACAACAATTTCTATTGCGGGAAAGCCAATATCAATAATGATTGATACCGGCGCCTCCATCAACGTGTTGGACAACACAGCCTTTCAACAATTAGAGGGAATTGAATTACGTCCAACCAAGGTCAAGGCATTTGCCTTCAGTTCAAAACAGCCCGTCTGTTTCAAAGGAAAATTTGAAGCTCTTGTCGAAACAAAGCAAAAATATTGTGTCTCAACATTCTACGTTGTGAGCAGCAAAGATTCAGGATGTCTGCTATCCATGGCTACCGCACAGGAGTTAGGACTTATCAGCTTGAATCTAAGTGCAATTAAGCCCGTTGATGTAACAGATGAGAAACTTTCAACTTTGCTGGATAAATATCGTGATGTATTCAAAGGTTTAGGAAAACTCAGAGACACTGAAGTGCAGCTCAACATTAATCAAGAGGTTATACCAAAGGCTCAACCCCCAAGGAGAATCCCATTTCACATTCGTCAGAAAGTACAGGACGCTGTGAAGGAGCTTCAAAGACAGGATATCATAGAGCCAGTACCTGAAAATCAGCCAACACCATGGGTCTCACCCATCGTTGCTGTTCCGAAGAAAGATGGTTCAGTGCGAATTTGTGTGGACATGAGGATGGCTAACCAAGCCATAGACAGGGTTAGATATCCTATACCCACAGGGAATGATATAAGCCTAGAGCTTAATGGTTCGAAGTACTTCACAAAGCTGGACCTTTCACAAGCGTATCACCAACTACCTCTTGCAGAGGAATCGAGGTATATCACAACATTTTCCACACATTGCGGTTTATATCGTTACAAAAGATTAGCATATGGAATTAATGCTAGCGCTGAAATCTTCCAACACTCGCTTCAGCAAAATCTTCAGGGCATCAAGGGTGTGCAGAACATAGCAGATGACATAATTATTTTCGGTGTCAACAAGGAAGAGCATGACATCGCCCTTGAGAAATGTTTGCGACGTCTACAAGAAAAGGGATTCACGTTAAATGCGAACAAATGCAAATTCTTGCAACCCACATTAGACTTCTTTGGACAGATATTCTCCGAAAAAGGGACTCGCCCAGATCCAAAAAGAATTCAGGATTTGCAAAACGCTTCAATTCCCAAAAATGCAAGTGAAGTGAGAAGTTTGTTGGGAATGGCTAATTATAGCTCCAAATACATCCCAAATTATTCAACAATTACAGCTCCATTGAGAGATCTTATCAAGAAGAACTCGATCTTTTCGTGGAAAAAGGAACATCACAATGCGTTTGAACAGGTAAAACGAGCGCTTACCTCTTCACCAGTTATGGGATACTTTGATATAAACAAATCTACTAGTCTGACAGTTGATGCCAGTCCTGTAGGCATTTCAGCCATCTTATCGCAAAGCTCAAAAGAAAAAAAGGACCATCAAGTAATTGCATATGCTAGTAGGTCCTTAACAGATGTGGAAAGTCGTTATTCCCAGACGGAAAAGGAAGCTTTGAGCATAGTATGGGGCATTGAACATTTCCATTTGTTTTTATATGGTCAACCTTTCACACTTGTCACAGACCATAAGCCTCTAGAGATCATATACGGATCGCCAAGCTCTAAGACATCAGCCAGGATAGAAAGATGGGTTTTACGCTTGCAGCCATATCAGTTTACAATTAAATATAAACCTGGCAAAGAGAACGCTGCGGACTACCTATCTCGCCATTCATCTGCTAAAACATCAAAAGAAACAGAGTTCACTGAGGAATACATAAAGTTCGTAACTTCTAATGCAGTTCCTAAGACAATGAGTCTGCATGAGATTGGTAAAGAAACCAATAGCGACAAAGAACTCCAGAAACTTCGCGCCGCTATTGCTCAGGTGCGTGGGAATCGGTCGATTTGTCATATCGAGCAATCAAAGAAGAACTTTCGATCGGTGCTCAGAATATTATTCTTAGAGGCTCAAGAATAGTCATTCCTCTATCTTTACGCCAAAAGGCAATTGACATCGCGCATGAAAGTCATCAGGGACTGTCCAAAACAAAAGCTATGATCAGAGAGAAAGTGTGGTTCCCAAAAATAGATGACTTAGTTAAAGCAACGATTGATTCTTGCCTTGCTTGTCAAGCAACAGGTAAAGAAAACAGACCAGAGCCATTGCAATTGAGTGAATTACCAACAAAACCATGGGAGAAACTACACATAGACTATTATGGACCACTGCCAACAGGTGACTATCTGGTAGTCATTATTGATCGTTACTCGCGTTTCCCAGAAGTAGAAGTTGTTTCCTCTACAAAAGCTTCAACACTTATACCTAAACTAGATCGTATCTTTGCTGTGCATGGAATTCCCGACAAGATACAGACGGATAATGGCCCTCCTTTCAATGGAGATGAATTCAAGCGTTATTTACACATATTGGGAATAAAACATGACCGAAGTACTCCAAAATGGCCACAAGCAAACGGAGAGGTCGAACGTTTCAACCAGCCGCTAGGCAAAGTTATTCAAGCAGCGATCGTGGAAGGAAAACCGTGGAAGCAAGAATTACAAAGGTTTCTTCTACAATATCGCACAACACCGCACTCTACTACGAAAGTTCCACCGTGCGAACTTTTGTTCAACAGACAAATTCGTGGAAAGTTCCCAATACTGAAACGGAAAAGTATTATAAACAAGCACAAGATCGCTCGAGAAAATGAAGAGAAGTCACAGAAATATCAGAAGATGTATATTGACAAGAAGAGACACGCGAAAGAAAGTGATATAGCAATAGGAGATACGGTACTCGTGAAACAACAGTATAAGAACAAGTTCTCATCAAGATTTGATAAAGCCCCATACAAAGTTATCCAACGTAAAGGGACGATGATTACCGCAGAGAACAAAACAAGACGTATCACAAGAAATGTGTCACATTTCAAGAAATTCCCTGCTAGAGTAGATCAGCATGAAGAGTTCGACAGTGATATAGAACAAGAGTTGAACAAAGAAGGAAATCAAGCAGAACGCGAACACAGACTTGGAAATAACGCACGCCGTCAATCAACAAGAGTAAGGAGTCAACCGGTGAGATATGGTGATCCGATACCATCAAGATTTATTCGCTGATTTTTAAAAAAGGGGAAGTGATGTCATAAAGTGAACCTTCATTATTATTATTATTATGAGTAATATGCTGAACCTTGCTTTGGTTGCCCTGTGCAACAATTGTTTTGTTATGCTTTGTTATATTAATAAGGGTGTTATGGAATTTTAGTTCAGTTGTGTTTTGGGATTCGAATATGAAAGTAAACGAAGTGTCTTCTATATGAATTGGCCTACGGAATCAAGAGAATATAACAGTAACATCAACAAAATCAGGTTGTTTCAATAATTCCCACGCACACAAAGACTTACTTTTGCAAATTTGAAAAATGGTCTTTGATCCCTTCGAAAATAATGAATATCAAACATTGATTGAGGATCTGGCAAGTCTGGGAAATCTTTGCTCAATCTTGCATATATACCATCCCGTGATCTGAAATCTGGTATTCCACATGAAACTGACACCTTGTTTAAAAAAACAGAAATACTTTAATTAAATGAAGCAAAAGGAGAATCATTCAGAAGCTGGGCTGGAAATTTTTTAGCACAAATTCATTGCAGGAAATTGTTGCTATTTGCCAGGAAATTTTTTTGCGTGAAATCTCCATTTGATTTTAAAATGAACATTAGATTTTTTGTTACTCTCTTTCTATGGAACATTGTTTTCTAGTGATATACATACATCCTGTAGAATTTTTGTTCTGCACTACTAACAAATAATGAAGATTAGCTTACAAAATACAATCATCTGGTATTTTCAGTGTCTGCTTTACAAAACTTTTGGCAATTTGAGCAAAATTTCCAGCTACTAATTTAATTCAAATAAAAACAAAGCTCATTTATTTTTTTACATTAGCCATTCAAGATAAGTAAAAGCACTTAAAGACAGCAAATCTTGTTACATCAATTGTATTGAAGGTGAACATGCCCCAAAAACTGCTGTGTGGATGTGTCAATTATTCTTCATACTTTTTTACTGACATTTGCATACATTTTTCATCACTAACTTAATAGAATGTAAGCATTTTGTGCTTACATCTTTGCTTCTAGCACCACCCCTGATTTTAAAACATTAAGCAGTCTCTCGCAGATAGAAATCTGATATCCTGGGTGCGGGAGGACTGAATTGTCCATTCTTGCAGGTAAAGTTAAAAATATGATATATTATAACAATTCTTTGCATGAAATCTATTAGTAAGTAGTCTAAATTATTCATCATATTTTACTACAGCTAACACAGAGGATCAAAATATTTGCCCTCTGGCAAAATGATGTAATATCAATGAATACACACCCCAGCTCCAGTGAGTACAATGATCTTCTTTGATTTCTCAATTAGCTTGATTACATCCTCAATTGTATTAACGTCATTGAGTTTTGTTCTTGCCTTGGGTTCTGTAATCAATTCCCAAATGCCTTTCCAAAGGCTAAGGTCATCTAGATGATTAGGCTAAAATAGAATTATATAACTATAAAACAAATAAAACAATAGTGCAATCACATTGTTTACTAAATTTAATGATAGAATAAAAGGCAATATTTTAAACATTATATTTCGCAAAATCATGAACACGAAAGTTCTGATCATGATTTTGAAAAGCTGGTTTTGATCAAATGCTATGTTCTCTATTGCAAGCAGTAAAGCAGGTTGATACTAGTGTTACTGACTCATTATTCATTCCTTCATTCATAACATCTCAGCCTTTATACTTTAAAGATAAACTTGCTGGATAACCTTTCTAAGGGTACCTTTGGTATCTTCTCAATGTGAACAAAATTATGTGAGCAAGGAATTGAAATGCATGTTGGATCATGAGCATCTTTGTTTTGGGAATATAGTGAGCTCAAATATGATGAAACTGGGAGAAACAAATACTCACAACCATGACTCCTGGTATTAAATGAGTGATTATGTCCCTTGGGTCAGTATCCATTGACATTTGTCTCATTATCCATTCCATTGGTCCTGAGTAAAAAACACCGAAAGTGATTATTCTGTAAACTTAGACAAATGTTTAACAAAATGGAAAGAGGCTATGTAGCTAAAAATGGGATGGTATACATTATAACGAATAGCGTAGGAATCTGGTAAGGGCAACTAAATATTTCATACTATGTTCTTTTAAAAGATGTATGTTAATCATGATCCTTGTGTTGCAATAATGCATACTGATTTCTTGCATGTAAATAAAAATTCATAGATATAATTTAGTTACTACCTGTTAAAAAAGTAGTTAGTTACCATTGTTAAAGAAAAGACAATGCAAACAATTCTCTGTTCACAGCTTTATTTCGAACTGAAGCAAAGGGGTCACAACAAACATCTTGAAAACAAGAACTGACAAATAATCCAGAACTAAAGCAACATATTGATTGTTTAAAACTGTATAGGAAATGCTCATGAATTACAATCCTGAGTGAAAGTTTCCAGGCTGGAGAACTTGCATATGCTGGACTTCTGATCCTTGCACTGCACACCTCTTGTGACCCAAAAAATCAATGAAGCATGCATATTATACTATAGTACTGTAATGGGCATGGTGGCTCGCAGGTCAAATTTTTGAACTCATAGGTCACAGCCAAGCCAGACGGCAAAGTTTAGGTATGCGCGAGGATGTGTTCTCATTGCAATAAATTTTTCATCACATCCCATCTGCACAATTTTTGCAAATATTATGCCGATGGGATTCTGGGCAGTTGCAGCATGTTTAGTGAGATGAGAATTGCGCGTTATTGTGTGACTTTTTGATGCTGTTCGTTTGAGAAAGATAAAGTAAACATTAGGGCAGGAGGTACAGTGTTGGTGCTGACCGCAAATTGTAGAGTTATTATACTGACATGATCAAATATTCCTGGTTGGGGGGAGGGGGTGCAAGAGTGGGGTAACATAATAAAAAAAACATTGATATGTGCCCCTCGTACAGCCTAATTTTTTACCATCAATGAACCTAAACATAGAGAAAAAGTTGACGAAAATATCCATACATAAAATGGGTATTAAATGGCAGTGTCACTATACGCAATATTTTGATTTATAAAAATCATGGTTGTTACAAATGGGATGATTGTAAAACTTTGATTGCCTGCTAAGTTTTACTACCAATTTATCTTTCTTTGGTTTCTGAAGTACTTTTGAGGGAACAGGTCTTCTCAATATCTACTATCATCTTTGCCACTCCCCTTTTTGTAGCCCACCTTGTCACAGACAAACTCTTCAACCTTTCCGTTCCGGCAAAACTGAAAAACAAAGGCATCCTTGCAAGCAAAATGAGCAAACAAATTTTTGCGACCCCATTCTTCAGATTAGCTTAAACTACACTTCAGAATATTGTTTCAGTTATTTTCTTGCAATGATTTCAATATTACTTTGTTTCAATTGTTTCGTTATCAGGTATTTTCATTCTATTAAACTGATTACTATTATTTAACAATAAACAGATTAATATTATTCTTAAAATGAAATTCCTCTCTTTATGAGGTTTCCTAGACATCGAGGCCCTTAGGAAATTTGCCCCCTTGTCCCCCTCTTGGACTTTTACATCTCTGTAGCCCTGCTTATAATCATACTTTAGGTCTTAGGGTGATCTTCATTATTGATTTTTGATCTTCATTATTGAAAGGTTTTTGGCCTTTACCTGACAAACCTTTAAGAATTTTGATAACTGCCACTGATGGTAGTGGTAGGTGCATAGTTCAACTCTCAATCATTAATTTCACTGAGATGTAAAATTGATGTAAACAGGAAAAGTGCTGAAAAAAATATGCACACACTTAAGAATCACTGAGAAATTCGATACACACTCAAATGTGCACACTTATGACAAATGCATCCTTGGACTCTCTGGTAATAGCTTGTGCACCCCCAAGATTTCTTCAAAAACTGCCTTGAAATCCAGACCGGCTGATGATGTGAAATAATTCCCTGCCTACATAAAATACTTTGCACTCTGGCAGCCAAGTATGTGCCGTTGGTTGCAGTAAGAAAATCCTCCACAAATGGTTTATTCCTGTGTAACCATCAGCAGTAGAAACTATTCACTGCACATGAAAATTCTTTGCATTCTGGTAAAATCTGAGAGGGCATAATGCAGCGTGCATATCTTCACACTAAAGTGACAGGCTATAATTGTGGACATCAGATTTTTGGAGGCAGAAAACAATAACAGAATGACATTTCTTCAAAAGCTTAACAAAAAACGTAAAATTACCTTTTGGCTGGCCTGCATTATCCATCTGCTCAAAGACTCTCATGTCTTCTAAATAATCGATATCGCTCTCAGAAATTTCTTGTTCATTTTGACTGACTTCTTTGTCATTGCTTTCACCACCATTTGTTGCCACTTCAGATGAGGAGGTTTCAGGCGATATTGGGTTATAATCTCCCACAAAACTGTCTGAATTATCTGGATGCGTTTTCACAAGATGAGATACCATTTTATTGCGTGTGCTATCAGCTAATTCCAATGGCTCTTGTGTAGAAATTTTATCCCTCTCTTTGTTGACAATTAGGCCGGCGTTTTTCTTCTCAACTCGCGAAACAGTTCCCCCGCCGGAAATGACTTTGAAATCATTTTGAGCACACTTGTGCACTGAATTGACATTCATATCCTCATTTTCAGGTCCATTTTTAAAGGAAGGGCTTATATTTGTCACTGGCGGTGCGGTAGAGTCATCATTACTCAGACAATGTTCAGTCATTTGATCGGGAGCCATCAATCTCCCCGCCATTTTGCCTTTGTACCTAAATAAAACATTGAATAGAATTCTTCTGCGTTCCTTTTTCCTTCTGCGGGATTACTCAAATGACGTCATTCGATAGCCCACAATGACGCATTTTTAAGCATTTTTGACAACATTTTGTTTACCGTTTTCTAACTTGAGACCTGCTAGAGCATTAAAACAAAATTAGATCCCCTGGATGTAGAAAAAATTGAAAAAAATAACTGTTAATTGCTGAAAGTTAACCTAACATAAAACGGAACGGAGGTGATTAAGTTCATCTTTTGCAGCAATGCCTAACAGTAGGAATGAACGGAATGAAATTCATTTGGGAGAGGGCTGCCATTGTATTGCTTTCACTTCAATAGCTCCACCCCTAGTGGGGCTCCAGCCCCCAAGCCCTACCTCCGCTTCCAACGGCCTTGCTTTATAAAGTCAATTTTTTATTTTTGAATTCATTCAGGGAACTTTTCTTTGGTGTTTACAAAGGATTTACGGTTTAGCAAACAACATGTAATTTCTTCAAATTTGAGGTATTTTGTTTAGGTCCACTTATTGTAGTCTCCATTCCAGAGTGTCTCCAGCAAGACTTTTCATTAATAGAAATGAAGCCAGTGGGCCCTGGATTCCTCTGGTTTGTCGTTTCAGTTTGTAAATAATGTCAATTATCAATTAATTGGCTGATACATTTTGCTATTTTATGAGTGTTCCCCCACTTGGAAAGGGATCGTTCGTGTCATTTATGACGTAGAAAAGACTGGGTTCTAGTCATGACGAAATTTCTAAATATTCCAAGCGGGTCATTCAAAATAAAATGAGATGGCCTACTTTACTTCCAGTTTCGCTTGCAGTCTAGTACATTACGGAAGAAACAGGACACAAGGAGGGGTGGCTAAAAAGGTAAGTACCAAGATTTTCCAACTATTTTACCTTTGAAATGTTATTTGGCTGCTAGTTCAAGTTGGTGATGGGTTTCCTCCATACCATATATATAATGTTGTTTACGGTTAGAGCTTTCGTTGTAGAATACAAATGGCAACACAAAGTGCTGCATCAATCAAAAGATGTGAAGTCCAAGTTCCCGGTGATAAAGAAAATAAAAAACTAGCATTTGTGCTGGAAAATGTTCTAAGCAAAGAGGTTCAACTTTTATGTTTTAAAACGTACCCTATAATCTTTACTATATTGCATCTTTAATTTGTATCAAGTATTGTGATTTAAAATTGTTAAATAAAGTGAATAGATAATAGACCAAATAGGAATGCAGTTTATACAATTGCAGTGCTTAAAGATGCTTTTTAAAAATACTCTGAATTGTGGTTACAGGGTCCTTTGTCCTTCTATCCGAGATCTTAGATGTTCATGCTGTGTAAAATGCCTTTTAGTGTGAACTTTCAATTTTAATGCTATTTATTGTCCTACCGTCCCAGTGTCTGCAAAAGCAGGGCAGGTCTGGTATACAAACAGCAGACTGTTTTTCTGAATGTATTCCCAGTATTGGAGTCCAAAAAATACTTGAAGTTTACTTCTGATCACACAAATATTGTTTTAAATCAAGCCTGCTGTATCTTTATCTGGCGAGGAGCTATCACACTTTCTAAACTGGTTGCTTAGAGATAGAGTTAAAAGGTCAAAATTGGCCTTATTTAAAAAGTGGTCCCCTTAGAGGTGTTTGCAAACAACAGCAGAAAAAGAGAAGGACAAAAAGAGCAATAGAATTTGAAGAGATTCTGATTTGCAAAATTTGGTAATGAATACATCAAACACATTGTTATTAAGTTATTGAATTTAACTAAGGCAGTTTTAAAATCATGAAATCACATAACAAAGAATATTCAGCCAAAATCTTACCCCTCAAAAGAAATTTTTATTTAGACAACATAGAAGCCAGCTAAGAGCTTGGGGTCTCCCAGTCTCCCTCCGCCATGGCACCATTGGTATCTATCAACAGTCCATTGAAAAGTATTTGATTTCTATTTAGGAATGTGATGAACTGATCAAGTTAACTGAAGAAAAAGGATATGAGGTTGCACTTCTCAACACCGGTGGTGGAAGGTTTTTGTTTGTTTTTTTCTGTTTGCTGCAGATATGGATCCTCAATTCAGTTAAATGTTTTTTAGAGTTACCTTACAAGCTAGCATTATAAGGCAATATTGATAAGTTGATATTGATAAGTTATAAACATCACCTTATGTAAGCTTATATAAGGTAAGTCCTATGAGGTCACATCCATGGAAATTATTGCAGTGAAACTGATAAGTGCAGTATCATTTCCCCTTGTCCCTAAGTTGTCACAGTCTTTATCAAATACATCTCAAATATTCTCAATAGAATGACAAAAAGAAAGTGTGGTTCATTCTTTCTCCTACATAGATGCATTCAAAATCTTTTAGTCTGTATTTTCTTGGGTGGAAAAGTCTTTGAAATACTATTTAGATCCTTGATTTGTAATTATTTACATTCACTTTTGTTTCCAAAAGCATTACAAGATATTCATTTGCTATCTATTTGCATGAAAAAACTCTTGCTTCTCAATAATGAGATACAATCTATTGATTTTTTGCTATTTAGGCAAGTGTTAGCACCTGAAATTAGGTCCAGCTATCGATGTATCTGGGATAGTGTTGAAAGAGCAGACTGGCTATGGCAGAGAATGAAAGACTATGTTCCTGAAGAGTGGGATGGTAGAAAAGTTATTGGATTAAATGAGAGGTGATATTAATGGGAATTACATGCAAATTTTACTTAAAATTGAGATATGGAGCTTATGCTCCAGTTGCAAGCTCTTTTAACTAGAATCTTTGATAATTTTATTTTTATAGTTACAATTTTTACATAATTACATCACATTGGAAGACTGACTGCGCTGCTTAATTTATTTTGAATGGAAGAAATGTTGAGCAAAATGTTTACATCACTGACACAATCTGAACAGCCATTTTTCCTTTTTTGTACACAGGCTTAGGTTCTTGCGTTATGACAAAGACCAATACTTCAAACCTCATTATGATGGGTCATATGTCAGAGACAATGGTGAGATCAGTTGCATTACATTGCATCTGTATCTAAATGAGGTAATCAATGAAATCATTTTCCTTCAGAGAATAGTATGACTGTAACAATGAGGAAGACTAAATTTTCTCCAATGCTGACTTTAAGAGCATTTCTGCAGTACATTTGTATCTATATTGGTATTTGCGACTCATGTCCCCCATTTTTCCATTATTCCCAAAACAGTTTTTTGGCATGTAATAATTTTTAAAGTGACACAATCAGGTATCTGTATGTGGCTGAAGTAAGCCTATTTACAATTACAGTGTAAGGGGAGTTTGGTGGGCCAACCACCAGCCCCTTTTTTGAACTGCCTAATAACCTTTTTATCTGATTTTCGGAATGCTCTTTGATGCTTTATCCTTTCAAATAAGATTTTGGTTTTTGATAGGGGTATGAAGGTGGCTGCACAACATTCTTACATCCTCTGTTTGGAAAAGAATCCGGATACCTTCCTGTTCAAGTTAAAACAGGTGAATAAAGCCACTGCTTCAGTTTTGAATTTGACTTCTGTACATGTTGCTGTAAAGGAGCTGCACATGCTTTTAGTATATAGTGCAGGATGTTTCTAAGATGCTACTTCGAGTTTCATGCTTAACGTTGTCATTAGAAAACTGTCTTAAAAGGTTTTTAAGTTCATCTTTTTAAAGAGGAACAAGCTGTCAAGACCCTCAGAGTCCAGCCCTCAATCTGCTCTCTTACTCCTGATTGATTTTTGGTCAAATTAAATTGATTTGTTGAAAATCTTTAATTTCAAGGTATGGTTTTGGTATTTGAGCACAGAATATTACATGAAGGATCCACTTTAATAAATGGCAGAAAATATACAATGAGAACTGATGTAATGTATCAGGCAAAGACATATTGAGATAAAAGTTTGAATCAGAAATCAGCAGTTGTTTATGATCATAGTTGTATATGTATATATTATATACAAGGTATTTGTGAGTTGTATATAGTGCGTCTTAAACTATGATTGATTTTAAGATACAATGTATTTGCATTAGAGAAGGTCATGAGCGTAGCAGATGCTGCATGTTTAGAGAGGCTTAATGTAGATCTTGGACAAATATTATTGCTCCATTGAGATAGAAGTGTCCGAATAGAGCATACAATGTGATATATTTTGCGTGCCTGATTAGGGGGCTGCAGACCTCCCCTTCTTTATTTACCTGCCTTGTGGTTTTGGCAGGAAAGTATCAAGTAGAATATAAACTATGTAAGAAATAAAATTGTATGCTTAATTTAATGGTATGATGTAATATATACCAGTTTTCATTGAAAATTTGATTTGTCTCTGCTTGTAGAATTTGATTTTTCGTTACATAACGTCTTAAATTGAGCGTTTGAAGGTGTGAGTTTTGCCCTGTAAATCTTCATGCTAGAATCGAGAACTCTGGTCAAACTTTCACAGCATATGTATAGTGTAAGGAGAGCCATCATTTCTCTGTAATTCCAGATGCATGTATCATGAGGTGTGGTCGCATCAAGTGGAATTGCCAGGAAACTATCCCATCTGAACAGCTTTGCCGTGTCCCAAAAACTGCCTTCGGAAGCCAGGTAGTAAACATTACAAATAGAAAAAGTCCTCGTCCGAACTAGGAAGCCCATTTCTACACGAAATGTGATTTCAGTTTTGTTTTTTGCTCAGTTGGATGTGCTATGTTTCTTGGTATTTTTGGAAAATACAGTAAAAAGTTATCCCAAATATCTTTATTTGAGATAAAATTTTACATTTCCACGAGTCGATGCTCTATAAAAACGCGAAAACATCGGCTATAAATAAGATTATGATGACAAAAACATTTGAATACATCAGTTTAATTGTACAATTTGAACTTGAATATTCTTTGTTTCAATTCATACACGTAGGTTTACATCTTTGCGAAGCAAATTGTCAGAAAACATCATGTTGTAGTACGGAGTCAAGCATCTTTTTGTCTCTAACAAAACGGTTGGTTGTGTTTTGCAACGGTGGCTTGAACGAGGCGTTTTCAATGGACCTTGCATGGCTTAGCGAACCGGTAGTTTTTTAAAAAACCAATCGAAAAACAACTATGTTTCAAGAAACTTGAATTTCTAAGAAATAATGTTTTCGTCACTTACAAAATAGGGGAGGGGGTGTTATGTTTGTCTATCGAAACCTTAGCTACATCTATTTTTAATAAGAACAACCCTTATAAGAAACATCAGGCTGATATTTGCCCAAAAAATAAAATCAACATAAGAAACAATGCAGGCTGAAATTCAACAAAATTCAAGAAATAAAATACCACCAAAAATTGAAAAATTAAAGAAAAGTAACAGAAAAACAGAAATAATTACTTTCTCAAGGTTTGTCCGGATTCTACTATTCACAGGAAATTCCATTAAAGATTGAAAAACTTAAAAAAAACACGTGAGGCTGAAATTTTGTGAAAAAATAAGAAACACCAGGCTGAAACTGGATGCAAGTGAAAAGGGCTTGTAGAGCAGAATATCGGCTCTAAATAACCAGTCTTCAAAACTCAAAGAATCGTGAACGCTTCATTTTTGAACAGCAACCTTGTTCATGCAAGGAAACGTTTGGCTGCTGTGATAACCAGAAGAAACTTGAAGGCAGGTACGAAAAGGAAATGCATTGCCTGTTGAACATTTCAACGTTATATTTTGGTGTGCGAGGCGAACAAATACATCAGTTTTTGAGGAGATACAGCCGAGATGTTCGTTAGAAGCAAAAATTATGAATCAAAAATTCCCTTACTTTGGACACATTATGAGGACAGAAAACAGTCTAGAAAAGCCATTAATGCTCAGAATGTGCGAAGGAAAACGAAAGAGAGGCAGGCCAGCTGCATGTTGGCTGGATGACATCAAGACGGTGAGGAAACTCTCGTTAAAAAATCTGCGGGGGGTGTCGACTGGATGGGACAAGACGATTTTGGTGTCAGCAAACAGTTAGAAATTTTCCAAAAATGTTTTTTCATACCTTAAAACTAAAACATCCAGAGTCAAAATTATAATGACCTTTTCGGATTTCCGAAAACCCTACCACTGTTCATTGTATTCCTTTTGGGAGATCTATTATACAGGTGGTTACACTCAGTCTCGAGACTGCCAGCAATTCCTATTTTGGCCCCATGAGATCGAGGCCGCTAGCAAATATTTTGAATGACGTCAACCTACATGATGACAGCAGGAAACAGGAAACACAAGAAGTGGAAAAAAGATCTTGTGGAAGAACCGGAAAGAAATATTATCTGCAATGCATTTTATATAGATAATGCCAATACTTCCTTGTAGGTGAATTGGCGGTATGATTTTTTTCACAGCAGCATTTTTTCACCTAAGTTTTAAAGATAGAAGTTTTGTTTATCAGTATAACTTACAGGTTTTTACTTATTTATTTTAAGTAGAGTAAATTGCAGGTACACATCAGCTGCAAGCTGCCAGTATCCTACCTGCTCATCAATAAAATTATGTAGCATCCTGACGATCAAGGACGCTCTCCAGGTCACATGCACGTGACAGACGTTATTATCCAATCTCTGTGGTGTATACATAACCGGATCTTTGTAATCTCATTCAGTTATGAATTGTTAAGAATGTGTTGGTCCACCATCTCAACGCTGTAATTAAAAACACTTTGCACAAAACACTAGAGTAGAGGAGAGGGGGGAGGGGGTACCCTGTGTCGACCAAAGATTCGGATTAAAAGCATTAATTTTAGCATTGAAATACAAGTAAAAGAAAAGTATCGGTGCTGGCGCTACTCTTCCCTCAAGTTTTCTGAGCTAAAGCTTAAAAAACGTAAGAAGAGGGCAAGGGCAATCATCATAACTATGGGCTCCGACCCAGGTTGGAAAGTAGGGGGGCCAGAGGAAGATTTAACAAACATAACAAAGGATTTTGAACAAAGCTTTATTGTTTTTCAAAAAAGTTGGGGGCATGGCCCCTCGGCCCCCTTCATCGGACGTCCTGATATCCCCTCAGGCGCGGATCTAGCCAAACGTTTGACCGGCTTCGGGGTATTTTACCCCCTTACGGCCCTGTGTGTCAATGGTGCATGAATATTGATAAAAGATGCACTGATAATGAAAATGTATGAGGACAGCAAATTATGATTAATTTGCCATCCCTTTATCTGAACTGTCAAAATTTTGCTCCGTTGAGATTGCTCTTTAATCCTCTTCTTGCAACTTCGATTCTAATTTTCATGAATTTTCCGAGAAAGAAAGTCTAATACAAGAATCCTAGAACCAGTGCTGAGGAGAGGGGGGTCAGGGGGGTCACTGACCCGGGGGCCCTTGGCTATAGGGGCCCATAAAATAATAACTCAATTTAAAAAAATTTCCAAGTAATAATCCAGCCTCTCCATCACCACAAACTGTCATTTATAAGAGACAATAATGACACAAATGTCTATGACTAAGGTAAGGTAGAGGTAGTTTGAGTGTCTAAGTGTTAAATATATTTTTGTTAAGAATTTCTCATCTTCGTGGCTAAAGAAGTTGGGCTAAAGAAGCTTGGGCTAAAGAAGTTGAAAAGCTTCTGAATGTTGCCAAAAATGTAATTACAACAGGCAACATGCATGCTATACAGATTTTCACTATTTTCACTATGCGCATCTATTTGCAACAGTGTGTCAATTAGTTAACAAATTAATCATTTTTCATTTTCCAAGACTTAAAATTTTTTAAGAAATTTTCATGCATTATGGTGTTTAAATATCAGTTATGCTCAATTGTATGAAACAGCAAACAGAAGTAATAACCACCAGACAATGGCCTAGATAGAAAAAGTCATTTTCCGACAAAAATTTAATAAGCATTAATATTATTTTCATAAATTTTAACATAACATAACGACATCGGAACAGAAATGAATAAATATTTTGATATCTTCAGATATTCATATGTTTATTCAACTTTAAATTCTTTCCTATCAAAACATAGCAATTAAAGAAACATAGACAACCATGTTGAATTTCTGACAAGACCAGAGGATTTCCGACAAAATAGCAATTTAGCTCTACAGGGGGTTTTTGCCCCCTCTGATCCCCTTCTATCTACGCCACTGCCACCAGAGCAGTTTAGCCACCATAGCAATTTTAGCAACCAAAATAGCCGCCATGGCAATTTTAGCAACCATCTTTTTCAAAAATTCCTGGGGGAGCATTCCCCATGCCCCTAGAAACATATGCCTTAGGCATGTTATTCTATTTATCTTTCGTCCTGACCCGGGGCCCATAAATCCTCTCCGCGGCTCTATTCAGTATGTAAGCACATGAACTGTAGTCAGACACATATGGCAGAGAAATATTGCTCTGAAGATTTGACCGGTTTTCTGAAACCTATGCAACCTGATCTAGTCTAGATCCGCGCCTGCCTCTACCTCTCACGATAAGGTCTTGTTCCAGTAAGAAAGCATAGAAATTTCGAGTTACGCTGCTCCATTTGAATTGATCATTTACAGGTCAAAACCGAATTGATCAAAATCGATCCCAACATCACTATTAAAACTGAATTGTAGGAAAGTACCAATGAATTCCTAATAATGTCATTTAGAAAAGACTTTGAAGTAACAACCAAGAAGGTTTGAAAGCGTGGTTCAGTGTAATCCAAAGGTTACAATTCATACCTAATGAAGAAAGATTTGCCCCGTACCCCACTATCCTTTCAGTATTTTGTGCCCCGTGCCCTGTGAAAAACCCATCCTGACTCAAAGGAAATGGGTCAACTATAAACATTGGAAATCCAACATGAATTCTTTTTACACAGTGGTTTCATAATTCTGAGTATCAACAGGAAGTACCTGACTTGCCTCGGGAGTTGTCAGTCAACCCTGAGGAGATCAATACTAGATAGCACATTAGAAATCACCCTGTGTTTAGAAACATGGGTCTGTAGAAAACAGTGAAGGATCAATTTGGTTCAAACTATTTGTGTGTTTTGTTTATAGCCTGCCAAGACAGTTCAAAGAATTTTTCGTATTTGAATCATGATTCTCTATAGATGGCTGCTGGGTTGGTTTGCTTTGTGTTCGTTTGGCCTATATGAAATCGAAGCTATGTCACGAAAAGGCAACTTGCATAAACAAGGAGAAGAGGTTTGTCTGCAAAAACTTGATGCCTCTAGATTTCAGCCTGTCGTCATGATATTTGACATTATCGTTATTCTGTGGTGTAATTCTAGAAAAAGATTTTAGATTTTTAATTAAAGGAGTAAAATTGATCGTAATTGTCAGCTTATTTTTTATTTACACAGCTCGTGGCCTTACTCTCAGAGCCCGCGTCATCGATTCTAAATTGAGAGGCCAGCAATGTAAAGAAATTGCCTATAAACCTCTCCCCAGCCTAAATGTTTTCTAACGCTGTTTTACTTCTGGATTTTGGTTCAATCCCAGGCACCGCAGAGAAGGGGGCTAGGGGAGCTATAGCATCCCCCCTCAATTTTGCCAAAATGCAAAAATTTTAAGAAATGAACCATCAGTCAAGCCTCTTTTCATTTGCTTTTAACCCCCTCACTTTTTAGCCCCCCTACATTTCTCAACGCTCCGCCGTGTTCGAATTAACACGTCCTTGCCCTCTTGGGTCCTTGTTTGATAGCAGCAAATTCATTTTGATGAACAAGTATACCTGCATAGATATTAGTTCATAATTTTTTTGCTGTGCTTTTATCATTATTTCCCCTACAATTATTTTGCTATGTTTTGTTATCACTTTATAATTAGATTTTGGCTGTATGTTTTTACAGATCAGTGATCTGACGATCACATAAGCGTGAAACTCGGAGTAGCGACTTAGAACCGTCTTGTTCTATACATCAAATAGCGGGTTTTACAATTATTATGTTGTTATCTATGAAAAGTTTGGCCAGATTTAAATATTTAATTAATTGAAAAGGTGGGCAGGCTATGCCCCTTGGCCCTCTTGTAGTGCGAGTCCAATTGTAAGTTTCTTACAGTTATGATCCTAACTCTTTATTGCACCCTTTTTCCCAGTTTATCACCCTCAATCACTACAGAAAGCTTAACTTTAGAACTTTTTTGAGTAAATAGATCAAGAAAACCACAAAGACCAAAATAGAATTTGTTCTTGGCGCATCGCCAGATCTAATCGTTCTATTGCAATCGTTTTATTTTTTGCTTTTAGACCAAACTGTTCCAAATTTTCGCTTTGTTTAGTACTCTAAAGTATATGTAAAGACTGCTGTGACATCAAGACGTTTTCCAGATTCACGTTTATATTACTTTACTTCCAATTTATTTGCCCACATTCTCAATTAAGACAATTAGTGTAGAGACACTAGTTTCCGTAGTTCCCCGCTACGACAACCTGTTTTACCAGATTGAGAGGGGACTATTTCTATACCAGATGTAGATTAAATCAGTCGATTATATGAACTCTAAGCGTCAAAATCCATACTAACTTTTAAGCATTATGTTTTCAAACATCAAGATAAAAATGACTTCACCAATGTTGAATTTTCTGATCTTATATTTGTACCATTATCTTTTTAGGATCATCTGAAGACGCACATTAAAAGTTCCACAGGTGACTTTATTTCCATTTTTTATTGATTTTGTTCCTCAAACATTGACATCAGAGAAGTGAGACTGGTACATACTTCCAGCTACACTAGTTTATTCCGTGAAGAGAGGCACGTGGTCCCAAATAGAGTCGTACATATTTGTCCTGTACACATTTTTGTCTTTATTTCCTTATGATTTGTCGAATGAAAAACTTTCATAACTCTTAGTGAAAGTTTGGACATGCTAAGAACTCGAGCCCAAGACCAGTGGATTTAGGCGATCGTCACACAAAACACCGAAGCTTGACCTTTTTTCATAAATTTGCTGAAGCATCAATTTAAAGGCAGGGAAAACAGATTTCTGTATACCGAAGGCCGGTTATCTTTAGCGATTTCTAAGATTCGTACCTGATATCATAGACATAGGTATAATCACTTTTGATATTCTCCAAACCTATTATAATTCTGTGTATTTTCAATGATGTTTCCAGGCATATTCAACCTTCCTCGTTTTCGCTCCACAGACACAATAAAGAGGTTCCGCCGCCAACTTTCATCGAGGTACGCCAAACTCCTGTTCATCAATCTCTCTGGAAGAGAAGTTTATGTAAGCATTTTAGCACTTCAGTTAACATTATTATATTTCTAGCTTTAATCAAATTTAAAGTGTTTAATGATTTAGGAAAAATTTAAGTTTTTCATAATATGGAAAGATGAAACCTGAATTGATTTTCATTTCTGTGCATTTCCCGTTAAACTCCGACAATACAAAGAAATGTATGTGGAGAATGGAATATTGTTCAGTTTTGAAAAATGGAAAACCTTAATTTATTTTCTGCACTCGAAGTGAAGAAGTGTGGGAACTCAAATCATTTTGGAGGGTATAGTCCTTGCTCCTTGAAGTTGTTGCAATGACGTCATTAGGCTTAGGGGCCAGAAGGCTGTTACCCTAACCCATGTTTTGAGGTTTATTGTTTTTTTGTTTTGGTAAAAGGTCCCTGAAGAAGTAGACACTAAAATTCCTGTTTTTTAATACCATGTTGAAATTTGTAGAGAAGTTGGTTTCCTTGCCCCCCTCTGAATTTATTCGCCATTTATGCCTTTGAGGTAATGGTTTCTTTTTCTTTTTCCCTCAAGATTATATATATGGATTACTACAGAAATCCTGTTAGGTTCATGCATTTGCGGAGAAACGAGAAGCGAGCATTAACGACCCGTATTCATACAACGTGGTATGCGTACGACGCAGTAGGTCGAGAGTACATGGAAATCAACGGGAAATACAACCATCTTGTTCGTCGTAGCCAAGGTGGGCAGACGAGCGATCTTTTCATAAGATCAAAAGGTTAGTATTTCCTTCACTGGCGTATCAAAAGACTTATGAAAGTTGTAACTGGAGGGCACCAAAGGTAAATCGCCTCGTTTAGCAGTGCCCACTAGAGATCTAAAGATAATACTGCTTTTACCAAACATAGTACCCGTTCCTAATCGTACCTCTCCAACTTTGAAATGGTTCCAACGTCATTAGATTGGACTTAAAGAATGTCTTCTCATTTTCTAAAGCACTGGCAGGTTGGATAAAGTAATTTTTGTCCGGATATGCTCGATTTTTTGCAGTTCTTCCTTTTTTTAGGGGTAACTGGATTTGTTTTTTTTAATTGCCTTTGTCAGGAGTCTTCTGATTCCTACGTCTCTCGCTATCTCTCCAAATTGTTTACTTCTATTAACAGATACAGCGGAATCTCGCAATTTCGATTCTGTAAGGGCCAAGGAAAAGTTCGTAATAGCGGGTTTAGTCATACCCAGGGTTCGTGTTACATAGAGCATTCCAAGGGAGCAGACTTTTAAATCATAATAGTGAGAAGTTCATTATAAGCGGGGCTGGTAATAGCGGGATTAAATTGTCCTTTGAAACTAGCAACTTCAAGGGAAAGTTTCCTGTTTACAGAATTCCACTTATGTCGTAACTTACGTTTTGTTCCTATAAACTAGAAATATGAATTATATTTCTTTAATTATGAGCTGATTTGGTCCAGTTTATACTAGCTGACCCGATGCCCGTTTTGTTGCTTACGTGGTTTATTCAATGAACTTCTTCTTTGACTAAAAAAATTACTTTTCATTAATAGATGGAAAAACTGCGGACCCGCCCAAGACTAAAGTCTCAGAAAAGTACCTCGAAGTGATGGTTATTGCAGACTCAACCATTTACAAAAAGCATGGAAATAAGACGAAGAAATATCTATTGACAATAATGAATGCTGTAAGTAAATGACTTTCTGAGGTTAATGATAATCTTGATAAGGTGCACTTTAAGCTAGTACGCTTAGACCGTGCCCTTTATCATCGTTGTGTTCACTTGACATGAAGTCCATGCCAATAATCGTAAAATTTCTTAAAGCCCTGGTCAAACAATCCAACATTTCACCCAATATTTCGCCCAATATCATGTTATTCGATCTGCGTGAAGAAATGTTAGGTGAAATGTTGGATCGTTTGACCAATGTTGGATCACATTCCAACATGAAAGAAAAAATTTTGGGCGAAATGTTTGGTGCAATTTTTGATCGTGTGACCAGGGCTTAATGCGTTAAATTTGCGATTCTTTTTTGACAATTTTATCAATATTGCCTTCAGAAAGTTTCTCAAGATCTGGAGAAGGTATTTCAAAAGAGAACTGATGAAGATACTACAATGAAATACTTTAGTCATTCGAAACACAACCTCTTGCTGTCTAGCAGCTTGAGAATTCACTATCATTTAAACGAATCAGACAATTTTCTCCGAAGCTCGATGTCCTTGTTTTCGGATCCGGTGTTCTAAATGTTCTTCTAATTTGATCGCTTTTGCTTAAGATGCAAGAGGAAATTTCTACATTCTTAAATCTTTTATTTCAGGCAAAACAACATTTTTACCACAAGACATTTGTGTTTAAAATGCACCTTGTTGTTGTACGATTGCTTATAATCAAGGATAAACGAGTGAGTTTCGATTTTCTATTTCATTTAGTATCCAACGAACGTATAATTTCATGCAATCATTTCTCCAAATTTTGCTCTGTTCGTCGTATTACAGTAGTCATGTAATGTTTCGTTATTGATATTTTCTTTATTCTATTTCATCCAAATTTCCTAGCTAAAGTTGCTCTTGTGAATAGTTCCTCCTTGCAAGAGACTAAATGTCTGTAATTACGTCAACATGCACATGTCACGTGGCCGAAAAATGGGGGAGAATGGGCTCGAGCCCCCCAAAGTTTGGGTTTCTGTCAGGAAATTTAGGCCTTTGATCGAAATCCCGTTGAATTTCATGGAAATCATGGATCTAAACCACTGCACATATCAACTTCCGTTCCGTGCTTTTATACAAAGTAAACTTTCTTTGAAGAAGTACAACATCAAAGCTGTCTGCAATATCATAAAAAGAACAAAAGTGTATAAGATGAAATCAGTGAATTGAATCTGTTGATATACTATTTATACTTCGTAATTATGAAGCCTCTATCCAGATCCACAGTTATCACTTATTCATTTTTTCGAATCCTAGCTTATCACATCCAAGCCCGACGTCAAAAATTCCAATTTCCAGACATTAGTTTAAATGAAGCACTACCTTATTTTTCTAGAACGACTTCAAGATTTCCGAAAAAAACGAGAGAAGCAGTTTGAGGAGTGCTTGCAATTACGCAGCAGCATTAAATTATCCGTCAGAAACGGATGAGCGCCATTTTGATTTTGCTGTGTTGTTTACGCGAAGACGGTTTGGTCATACAGGTTGTTCAGCACTGTTTGTATAATTTTCTGCCTTCAAGAAAAACAACAATATCCCATGACAACATATCCCACTAGCAATATCTATATAAAGCATTTGACTAACGAATGTTAAACTAGCAATTAAATCCCTTAGAAAGTGTGTACAGCTTTCCGAGCACTTTACATTATTCCTTATATCATAATATATATTAAAATAGATGTATTCTCCTTAATAATATAATTCATTACAAATAATAAGTTTCATGCGAGCTTGTAGAAGAGACAAACTAAAAAAACATAGTTTATTGTAAGATTCCCATACTATGCTTGTAACTCATCCTATTCTTGTAACTCAAATAAAAAATAAAGATCCTGTCTATCTCGGATTGCTGAGTAAAAATATCTATTTTCACATCTTGTTGACTTATTGCAAATTTAGCGTCTTGCTCCTTGAACTAGGTCGCGCTTGATTTGAAATACAATTCCTGGCGATGAATCTAAAAGCTGACTTGATAACTGAAAATTTCAATTGCAGGATTCACACCCTTGTTCCAAATGTGCAACATGAGACACGCTTGCACCCTGGTTTTGGACAGCGGTCTGTCCTTAGCGCATGTTGTGGCACACGAAATTGCACATTCGTAAGTTGAACAAAATATTTGTTTTACATGATTTTTAATCTAAGGGCGTTGTGGCTGGGAGGCGGGGGCTTGGGGGCTTTTACAACGAACCTCATTTGAGCAATTAGCCTTTTTATTTTAGATCCATTACAGGCATAAACCGATAGACTCCTCTTTACTATTTCATAGTTTCTTGGTCATAGTTTTAAGATTTTCACCTTGTGCAAAAGAAGAATGTATCGCCCAAGATATGACTTTTGATTTATCATCAAAAATTGTTTCATGAGGAGTATGGATATTTGAATATCCGGTTACATTTTTGCTATAATTTTACCTGTCTCTTATTTCACAAGACTTGGTGTTGAGCACGATGGTTTTTACAACGACTGCAGGCTGGATGGACTAAAAGGAGGAGTGATGGGAAAAGTACTATGGTCAAGATTCGACAATTATTATTGGTCAAAGTGTTCTCAGAGACAATTAAACATGACCGTGGAGTGAGTGCCTCTTTTACGATTTATTTGCCTCGTTATGATCCAGGACCTTGTTGTTCTCTTTCTTGTTATCTGTTATATCTACACTGCTTGTTACCTGTAAATGAAGGAAAAGGAGAGGGAGCCAAAGACAACGGCTGGAAAGCAGTTTCTGGTGACATGGACTACATTATTCGAACATTTTCAACCATTTATGCCAACTTACAGTTAATGAAGATTGATTTAATGCTCGTCTTTTTCAAATTTTTTCCTAGTAAACTATCAAGTTTTGATTTTTTAAATGAAGTTTTAAAAGAAGTTAAAACGAATTCAAAGAAAGTAGGCAAGAGTTGTACATATTACTTAATGAATTGTTGTCCGGTTGAAGTCAATACGTAATTTCACAGCGAATTCAGTCAATGTCGCATTCCTCTTCATGCATTCAAGAGAGTTATGATTCAGATCATGACGGTCATTCATTTATTCTGTGGTTGAACTCGGTGTCGTTATTTTTGCTGAATGTCACAATTCGACATTCGATTGGTCGTATGTTTGCTAGGCTATTTTTCATCAACCAATCAGGCTATGTTGCTCTGGAGCTATGCTCAAAACGTGTAATTTTTCATGTACAAAATTGCTTTTTAAGTTAGGTTTATTTTTGTTCAATCTCATTCAACGTGGAATACGTTGAACTACACTGTTTATTTACGTTTTAATGTGTTGATGTTTTGATCAGTTATTTCTACTGCCTCAACGATAAACCAGTGGTGAACATATCAGACTACATGGTTTCCCTGCCTGGAGTTTACATGAACAGGGACGAGCAATGTCAAATTGCGTTTTATGATCATTACGGAAGATGCAACGCTGTAAGTATACAATAATTCAACAAAACATTAGACTCTTCTCACATTCACGTGTAAAGACAGGCAATGCCTTTCTCTGCAACCTTTTTCTAAGTCTGCGAAAGGTTGAATTGAGATAAGTGCTATTTTGATTTTCGTAGACAGCCCCCTTTCTTGTAGTATAGATAAGGTTAGGTTAAAGTGTAGAAAAATAGCTAGATAGAACATAAATGCAGGATTTATTCTGTCAATATCACAATTCCGGACAAAATTGTTAAAACAAAACGCAATTTTTGCAATTTTCAATTTCACGTTACAACTGTAAATTCGAATCCCCCTTTCCCTCAGAATCAATGCTGGATTAGTAGTTCTATCATTTTGTGCTTCAAAAACATGCATTCAACATCGGACCGGGGGAGGGGCAAAGAAATTTTTCAAAAGGAAGATCAAATGTAAACTTTTCTGGAAAAGGATTGTATAAAACAGACAACCTGGTGGGTCTTACTGATCTGATTATAGACTCTAGGCTTTTTGTTTTAGAATGGAAAAATTCACAAATCAAAATGTATACTGCTATGCCACTGCTTAAATGAGTTTTATTTTATGTCATCCAGCCTTATCGCTATTATGAATGCAAACACTTGTATTGCACTCCTGTTGGAAGCGATATGGATAGGGACTGCTCGTTATACACACGACCGCCATTAGAAGGATCTTCTTGCAATGATGGTAGAGGGGTAAGTCTTCCTTTATTTTCCATCCTAAACAACCATGATCATAAATCATCATTAATCATCCAATCAACAATCATAATCACAAATCATCCAATCAACAGTCATCATCATAAATCATCATTAATCATCCAATCAACAATCATCATAATTAATCATCATTAATCATCCAATCAACAATCATAATCATCAGTCATCATGAATCATACAATCAGCAATAATCATCATCATCACATTGTAATCACACAGTTGGGATTAATGTAGTCAATTGTGGCCATGAAAGCACTTTTGATTAATAGATTCTTAGCGCCACTGATAATCAATCATTAGCAGTCATCATCGATGACATCATTAGTCAACAATCATCCTCCATTTTCTAGTGGTGCGTGACAGGTAGGTGTTACCCTACTGGCCGTTTGCTTCCAGCTCCTATTCATGGTCGATGGTCCAGTTGGGGCAGTTGGAGCAGGTGCTCTGTAGAATGTGGTATTGGCATTAGAAGTCGTGAAAGATCCTGTGACAGGCCAAGGTACTTGATGCTGACTTCTAAAGAAATTACCTTCGTCACACACGATCACTTTTTCTTTGTATTTAAATTTAATTTAATAGTGAGAATTTGGTATCAAGGTACTTTTGAGGCGTAGTCCAATTTTGATTTTATTCAGTTATTAACTGTTAATTTGTACTTTAGTGACATTGCTTGCGCTTATTTCTAGCAATACTTTCCTTTAGACCAAAGTATGGTGGCAGAAAATGTCCTGGACAAGATACTGAGCTGAAATCTTGCAAGAAAAGGGTATTTTTTTTATTGCCATTAACACATTACACCAAGAGAATTTGGGCGAAAGGGGAAAATGTTCCCATTTATGATTTGCGGGACTTTTGATAGATTTATTTTTAGTGGCAACAATTTGTTTCTGTTTCACTGATTGCAAGGAGTTTAAGTCTGAGCGTTTCCCAAAATAATCTTTGTCCAATCAGATATGGAACATCACTATGTTGAACTTCCCCTGATATACCATTCATATGAATTTTGCTTCAGTAGACAGTGACTGTACTACATCAAAGTCCCTTTTAGTGCTTTCTCTTTTCATTAATTCTTCAAAATAAAAAAACCTAGGAGATCGGTGCTTTTTTCTGTAGGATTGTGAGGTCCCCAAGACATATATCGATGAGAGAAATCTTCATTGTAAGAATATGTATGGGGCTGACTGGATATGGCTTTCAAAACAAAGAACAGTGGAACTTGGTTAGTTTGACTAGATTTTCCCATCCCTTGCTATCTCGTTTATTGATTTCATGAAAGAATTCTACATTGTTAAGAAACATTTTTACATCTGCCTAATCATGCAGTCATAACAGAATATTTTTAGCTTTGGATTCAGCTGTGGTAGTTTAAGATAGAATGACCTTTTACCAAAATGTTTTGTATTACTCTCAGAGGTCCGTCTTTGCCCTTGAAACATAAGTGTTTTTACAGTTAAGACCCCATCCTTCTGCCACCTTTGTTCCCAGAATGCAATTTGAATTATAGTTCTTGTGTCATATCTCATCGATATATGAGAATAGCATGCATAGATGTTCCTAATTATTTTAGCTGGAACCAATTTATGTGAATAAAAAAATATTATTCTTATTTGCCTTCAAAAACTTTGTCTTGGTGAAGCTATTTTCTTTTAGCCTCCACCCTACATGGTTTAAACTGCTCCTTTGAACGCAACTGCAGCTGGATACAGTTTGACAAAGACGATTTTGATTGGACAAGAGCCAGCGGAAAGACACCCAGTCAGGGAACTGGGCCTAGTGATGATCACACTTTCGGGAACAAAACTGGTTATTTATATTGAATATTATAATTATGTTATATGGCATAAGGTTGCCAATGGAAGCACCATGCGGGGGATTGGATAGGACACATCCCCCCTCAGTTCTCGGCGGGCGGGATCAAGTTTGTATTTCATTTGAATCCAACAGAGAAATGTTGACAGGGGTGATATTCTGATAGGGACACATAATGTGATTCTACAACTTTGATACTGTCTTTACAAAAGCAAACATAAGTGAATAAGGCGTTCCCTATTGGTAAATTGGCGTTTCATAAGTTGGTAAAAAAGATTTTTCTGGCAATAGAATGAGCGTGACCTAAATATTGTCCCTCTCCTCTTGAAAGATGGGTTGGGGAATAGTCCTTGATGGTGAAGAGAGGTTTATGAGAAAACAGGTGATAGATTTGGGGAAAAGGAGATGGGGAACAGGGAAGCTTCAGAAACAAAGAAAGGGTGTGGGGAAAGATTGGTGGTAAATTTTGTCAGGGGTATGAACTATTTTCGACAAAGGAGCTGACTAATCCGACTGGAGGTTGAACTATTTTCCTCGCCCTAGGCTTATAAATGTGCCTTTGAGTTGTAACCTGCCCACGGAAGGGGGGGGAGCGATCATGATTTGATGAGAAGGCAATTTTGTGCTATCCCTGGCAGTAGAAAAGCTATCATCGTAATGGAATGTGTCTGACAGATTTTCGGGGTAACTGCAAAACCGATTTTGACCATGCGATGGGAATTGAGTCTTGCCAGAGTCAATTTTGCCAAGAAAACTTTTACAGGAAGAGAAAAAGTAACTCAACTATAACATAGTTCAGAAACAGGCCGAATAACTGAATAATGAACTGAACCAAACAAAATTGCATTTGTCTCTAATGACCAGGCGTATGCCATTTTTATATTTACAGGTTACTACATGTTTATCGAAGCCTCCGATGGAGACGGAGATGAAAGAAGAAAAAAGGGATATAAAGCTCGTCTCCTGAGCCCTATTATCAAAGTACCTCAGCTTTGTTTGTCATTTTATTATCACATGCTTGGTAGCCATCTTGGATCCTTGAATGTTTATAAGTTTGATAGCAAAGCGGGAGTGCTGTTATGGAACGAGACAGAGGATCTTGGTGATCGGTGGAACTTTGTAGAAATTGATATCGAAAGCTCCAGAGCTTTTGAGGTGGGGCCCATTTCTCTTTTTATCTACAGCACTGACGTTAGTGTATGCGAAGCCCAACCTTCAGTCACGCCCTAAATTCTTCTAGAAAAGAAAGCAAAGGTCTTTTTCAATATATTAAAGAAAAAATGTTTTCAAGTTTTTGAAATTTGCAATCGAACATCTACCGCTGAAATCAATTGATTTATTTACTTTTAGCCTACCAATTTTTTTCCTTTTTTAAATTATCTCGAGGGAAATTTTTCAAGTGTAGAGGAGGGTTAAAGAGACATATTTACTTAATTAAAAGCTGCTTTCAATTTCCATATCTAACGAATTAAAACGCTTTAAACTCCATTTGTTGCCTTAAGGGAGTCATTAAAAACATGACTTGTTACACATTCCCCTAAAAGTTTCACTTTAATACATCAAGAAATGTTTCCTTCAACATGAAAAACGTCTTAAAGAACTAATCGAAATGTAGCAAAGATTAAGGGAAGTTTAGGACTACAGACAATAGATCTTTAAGTTATAAACTAGTGAAAAATTTCCACTTAGCCAACGAGGTTTTCCCACAAGTTAGCCAATAATTCCCTACTATAAAGTGCCCGGTAAAGAATATCGTTTTCAATCTCAATATGTTGTTGTTTATTTGTTTAGATTCATTAACTACTTATTTGTTTTTGTTTACTACTTATGTTCAATAGTGCATACTGGCCTATTAATTCTTTTTTGTCCCACTTACGTCACAGTAAGAATGCCATTTTAACAAAGTCCCGTCTAGTAGAAATTCCTTAACATATCTCCTGACTTCAGCAAAGATAAAGTCTTTGGTTTCGTTCCTACTCGTTGCTTAGTCTTCGTTCACCCCAATTTTAGATTCACATCCTGGCAGTTAGAGGCTCTCATTATCAAGGTGATATAGCTATTGATGACATCAGAGTTGTCTTTGGCAGATGTGGAAAAACCGAAAACGTTTTAGGTAGGTTAAAGTTATTGGAAAATTTTTAATGATTCTCAAATAACATCTTCTTTTAATGATTCAATCTTTTTTAACATCTTCTTTTTGCTTGTTTTATCTACTTTCAAAACCTTTCTATAATGGGTAGTGAAACTCGAACTTTATGAAAAATTATTCTTTTTTATCTCAGGTTTTTATCTCCATCGCTACCACATTTTTTTAATCACTCTACAAAATTTTAAGTTCTTTTCTTTATCTTACTTTCCATGTCTCCAGTATGCATGCCCATCGACGATTAAAATTTGTCACAAGCATACAAAATGTTGTAAGTGTGTGGTAGAATGGCGGTTGTCAGCCTGTTATACTTCTGAGACATTTTACGGCGTTCACCCAGTGCCTTGTAGGGACATAGTGAAAAGGATATTTTAGGCTGGGGAAATAGCTCTAATTTTCCAATGATTCTTTAACAACGATAAAAGAGCATTCCTTAGGAACAACTAATACATAGAATGAAAATTGTCGAATTTTCAACAATCAGAGGGGACAAGTGTCCACTTTGGCCCCTTCTTGTCACTGCTCCTCTTTGTCTCAAGTCAAACGGGGCTGGAAATTTTTGTTTGCAAATGAAAAAGAAACTGTATCGTGCATGATATTCTTTAAACATTGTAAATATTTCTTCGTAATTTCTCCAAGTACAGATAGAGGCCCGTGTACAATTGCGTGTACGGATAGAACAGAAACGATGTTTAAGGTCAACCAAACATTGCCGGACAGTTATGAGTGTGTAAGTGCTAACCGGACACAGAATTGTACCGACAGCAAATGCGAGGTAGGTTTTACATGTGTCTTGTCACTAAATGTCCTGAAACCTGACATACTTTGATTGAGAATATGGGATAATAGCCTTAAGATTTTAGTCCTATAGTTAATGTCAATGGGAAGATAGACATAGAAGTCTCCCTGATTTTTCTATTTGCTAAGTTGAATAGCCCCATCTTTACTTTTCTGTTCCCTGAAGTTTATTCGGGTGTGCCCTTGGTCAGGTAGTGTCCTTGAAAGGGGGGCTAGGATTTTGCTATAAATATTACCCGCATGATAACAATCTTTTAATGCCGTTATTGATATCGGTTAATGTCATGATTGAACATTTTCAAAGATTTCTTCCTTTAACTGATAAGTTGTTTCTGTTATTCTTTCTAGTGGTGTATCAAAGGGAACTGCTTCCCATACGGGCTTTTAAACTATGCCCCCATTCATGGGGGCTGGTCTGCTTGGAGTTCATGGGGACCTTGCTCCTCGACGTGTGGCCTTGGGATCAAATCAAGGCAGCGACGATGCGATAACCCAAGGTGTGCAAAACCTTATTAATGAATATGCAGAATAGGTGCTGGAACAGCAGAATAAAATAGACTGGGTGGAGCCGAAAAACTTTTCTCATTCTTGAAATTTTTTTGCCATTCCGGCTTTTTTGAGGGTGGGTGTTGTCACAGAAAATCGGTAGGAATGATTATGGCCTTGGAAAAATTAATACCATCAACATCTTAAGCATCAAGGGTAGTTCTTATGCTTTGCTGTGTGTAAAGTGACATATTCTGTCATTGCAAGCCTTGTGACGCTAGTCTTGAATGATATTTAAGTCTTGAGTGGATTTAACAAAATTTTATTGACAGTTTCATAGAGTAGCATGGCGTAGAGAAAATAAGATTTGACATTTTCATTTAGGCCAAAATATGATGGAGATGAATGTCGAGGTGAAATCAAGGACATCATGACATGTCAAGCTAAGGTATGTAATCAGATTTAAGGTGGGAATGTACTTTGTATGAACGCAGTCTGAGCTTTCAAGGTAATTTGTAGCAGCTACCTTGAAGCATTTTCAGCGTAGAAGTTTCAATTGCGAATTCTCAGTTTATTGTTATGGAGCGGTGTGATGCTTTAAGACAAAATGCTTTTTCTGTAGACATTCTTTTATTATCTAAAGTCGATATCAATATCATCTTATTTATATTTGAAAATTGTTATATTGGACTTTCTCAACGTTTAATTTCTATGGACGTTCTTTCCGTCGAAAATTTCTCAAGGGGATCCTAAATTTTAACGTCCCATTTATTTTAATTTATTTGCTTTCAAACTTTTTTTGGTTTTCTTTGGGGGTGGGGAATGGTCAGTGACTTGAAAATGTGATAGCTCTCTGAGCAAAGACTTTTCACAAAAGGCGTTATTTCGGGTCAATATGCTTTTCCCTCATAAATAGTGTAGGGAAAGACATTTGCCTTCAGTTCCAGTACAATCGTCCCCTGTATTATTTTGTGTGTGTTCTCTTTCAGACTATTAATAATGTGTCTCTGTTCTCTAGGAATGTAATATCAAAGCCACTTTCAGCCAGAAAAGAAATGATTATTGCAGTTCTTTGAAGAATGGGGAATGGATTTGGTTCACGAAGGAGCGAGCTATTGACAGGGGTTTGAGACTCTTTTCGCTAGTTTGTAAAATAAAATTTAAAATTTATGACAAATCATGTTAGCAATTTTAGAAAAAAGGTTTGAAATTTAAACTACTCGTCAGCGATATGTATCCTTATAAAAATCGGTTTGACTCTTTAATCTTTGTTTAGAGAGAACATTTTATATCTCTTGTCAATTTTTTTGGAATTTTACTGCATTCAATTTAATATTATATAGTATGTTTTACATTGATTGTCTGAATGTCTGCTACAATGGTCTCGTTCCATCTTTTATAGCAAAGTATTATTCTATGATATCTAATACAATAAGAATATTCTTTTTATTAATACCCCAGTTATATCAATGCATGGACTAAACTGTACCTTTGAAAACAACTGCAGTTGGACCCAAGATACGAACGACGACTTTGACTGGACACGACACAAAGGAAAGACACCAAGTGCAGGCACGGGACCAACCACTGATCACACCTATGGCAATGCCTCGGGTAAGCGCGTGGCTACATGTATAGTATTTGTGATTGTCTTCTAGCAGAATTTTTATTCATTTATTGAAATAAGGGATATTATTGCGAAGACGTATTTAACCCGCGATGCATCCAGAAAAAGTGGGGAAACTATATTATAATCAATGTCTTCGAGACGAAAATAAAATGGGGGTGGGTGATTTGCCCATTATATTGCGTCCCATTTAGTACACTATTATGAAGAAAATAAAGTACAGTTTGTCGTTGGTCATTCTACGTTTTCCATTACTGGATAAATAGCTTTTAGTATGAAAGGTATTTTTCGTGTTGCAGTGGTGGTTCTAAAAACATAGCATTTTAAATCCAAACTCAACATAGGGATTAAACAAGGAATGGAAGCAAGGTTTGAATTTAATGAGCTGCACAGAACACAGAAAATTGCTGTACAAGATAAAAGTGCACCTTGTTGGATTTTATTGTATCGAGAATTTGATATCTGATACAGGATAGGGCATATATTATTGGTATGTTAGTTGAAGGTTTTAGCCAGGTCCATAAGCTACTCCCTACGATTGTTCTTCGTTTCTTGGATTTTTAGCAGCGATAAACTGTTTTTTTATGGTCCTTATTTCAGGTCATTACTTGTTCATTGAGGCATCTACCGGAGAGGGAAATGCCAAACGAGAAAAGGGCTACAAAGCTCGGCTGATCAGTCCAATCATAAACGTACCCTATGTGTGCATGTCTTTTTACTACCACATGCATGGCAAGCATCTTGGCTCCCTCTCGGTGTTTAAATTAGACAGTAAGAAAGCACTGCTTGTTTGGGAAGAAACACGAGATGTAGGCAACCAATGGAAACGCGTGGAGTTGAGCATAAACGGGTCAAGGTCCTTTGAAGTAAGTTCTCAGAAATCTTGTAACGGTAGCCCATGCTACTTTCAGGTTAGGGGTCTGGAACACAGGCTATGTAACGGATGATGTTAGAAGGGCAAAACACCAAAATTACATCATTTTTTGAATGTCTAGTAAAAGGGGTATAAATTGGGGGTCGTTTGATTTAGATTGCCATTTTCACTTGAGTTTAGCTTGTGAATTTCCTTTAAAAATTCATCAAACTTTGAGGCAGTTTTAAAACATAATAGGCTCACAATTACCTCCAAAGTTTTGTTCTTGGACCCTGTCGAGAGCCTATGAGCACCTCAGCCCCCCAGTTCTATAGATATAGCTCCTGATTCGAAGAATATATGCCCTTGTATTACTGGTGCCCCTTTTCATTCATTTCCTGACCTTTATTCCTACATATGCCCCTGACTTATATTTAGCACCTTAATAGCCTCCAATGGAATTCTCTTTGTTCAATTCTTCGTTTAAATTAGCTTCAATGAATGAATCATCATAAATTTCGTGACTTCCCAGTGAACGGGAATCTGATAATTCATCTTCGCCAGCCATGATTTCAGATCGGAATACCCGTGTGACGTCACGCGCAAAATTGAAGTTTTCTTACTTCCGGTGACAATAAAACCCCCAATTTCACAGGAAAACGCCTGCAAACATGCATAAGACCAATGTAGGGTTTCTTTTATACTATGGGCTGACATCATTAAACAAACAAAAATTTTCACTTCACTGCACCTTTAAACTTGCTCAATGATTAGTAGTCAATCGCACCGATTTAGATATGGTGTGGATTAGAGGCCTAAGTAACAATTGTTTAGATTTTCTTGAATATTTTGAGCACAGGTGCATTATGAGAAGTTCTACTTTCACTTTTGGTTTGTGTGAAATATTGTGTCATGTTTATCGTAGCTCTTGCTCTGAGGCAATGCTCATAAAAAGGCTATCTTTGATTGTAGATTCATATCGAGGCTGTGCGAGGGGTTCATTATGAAGGTGACATTGCTATTGATGACGTCACAGTTAATCTTGGAAACTGCAAGAAAGAGGAGAACTTCATGGGTAAATTTCATCACAAACCAATTGTCTTTTTCGAAGAAGGAATCTTTTTTACCTTGTTTTCATACCCAAGAACAATCAAGAACTTAACTTGTGAAATTTTTTTGTGAAATTCGTTTCACTGGCACCCTACGCAGTGATTAAGATCAAGTCTGCTACTCACTGCAGAAAAGATTCATATTTTTATACAGAACCTGCCAATGCCATTTTTATGGTAAATGTGAATCAAAGCACGTTTTTATAACTGGGTTTTACCGTACAGCATAGACCCTTCTTTCGTAAGTACCAAATAATTTTGGCTAAGGTATATCACGATATTGTTTCATTTGATAATTTAGGGCTTTGGTGTTCTTAATGTTGTTCTCATTCCAACATTAGTTTTTCTACAATTACACATTATACATTGCTTCTAAGATCACTTCATAACAAATTTGCATGACACTTTAGTAGCGCGGTTTATAAACATAAAAGGGATTTTTTAAAAATATTTTTTTGTTCCAATTTTTCTGGCAATTCGAGCCTAGGATTGTTCTTAATTTTGTGGCAAATCGAACTTAGATGCTCTTGTAAAGTGTTCTTAGAAAGAAAAAAAGAATGCATTTTACATGATCACTAAAAATTTTAACAGACCCAGAGTCATGTGCGATCACATGTTCAGATCCATCTGGAACACAATTCCTGTTGAACAGAACGCTTCCAGATGCCTACACATGTCAGAGGGATTCCCATGGAAACGATGTGTCAAATGGCATATGTATCAATGGACGTTGTGAGGTTAAGTTTACGAGTATAGCTATATCTTTGAGGTTTAATGGGGGTGATGATCACAGGAGGTTCTCTTGTTGTTGTTAAGCCCCCAATCTTAAAAAACCCCGTTCTCTAGCATGAGAAAGCATTGACATTTCTATGCAGCATCTTACCAACTCTTACCAATAGGTTTGTTAGTCAAAATGACGAATTAGCCAATAGAATTGGCAAACTGTGATTTGGCAAACTAACCAATCATAAGGGAATTGTTTAATCCAATTTTCCCAGACTGCTTTGCGAGTTATCTCTGCCATAGTGTGTTTCAGGTATATCATCAAAAGTGACCAATCTCCTTTATAGGCCCGTCTGCGCTATTTTGTGTAAAGAATGAGTTAGGGATTCCACAACAAAAGTGAAAACCCGTCCCGCTTTCGAGAAATGCCAAATTCTTTCAGTTTTTATACTGTTTGGTTTTCCCCTTTACACTTCAGAATCCCCCCTGTTCCCTTCACGTATAATTTTGAGATGTAGCAACATTCCACCCTCTGTAACTAAACGTTTGCTGATTCTTGTAGAAACTGAAATGTACCCCAGAAACTGGCGCGAAGTATTCGCTTGATGAATGTAGAGTATGCCGTTCTGGTGACAGAAACTGCTAAGATGTAAACCAAAAAGTTGAAAGGTAAAATTATCTTTCCGTAAGTAAAATTGATGTATTACTTTATAAAAATTTCTTCCCTTCGTAAAAGTAGAAAAAGTAGGCCTCTTGGGACAGGTGGGGGCAAAAGGTCTCTTGGTTTTCCTAAAGGGGACTAAAATATCCTTCTCAGGCTTATTATTAGAGTATGATATTTGAGCTTCTCAGAAGGGGGTAGCATGCCCCGTAGCCACCCCGAGCGATTAATTTAGGGGGGCTTTTACCTGTTTGGGACCAGCATGTTACAAAATGAAAAACAGTGTGGTTGAAAATATTTTGGACCCAATTCAAAGTATCTTTGGTCATGCAATGGTCCAAAATTGCAGAATTTTTTCTGTATAATGGACGAATCATCCTTGGCCACAATACTGGTATCTCCAAATAGGAGCTGCTTTTCCCAAAATACATCCAAGCTAATCTGAACCCCTTGGCAGTTCATAGTAGATGCAGCTTGATAAAATAGACATAAAGATGTAGAAAAAGATTCTGATTTTTCTGAGAAATTTGAATATCTTTTTAAACATCACATTAAGTGACCAACGTTTAAAGAGAAAATAGGTTAGAGTTGCAGGCAATATAAGAAAAATGTCAAGAATTGTGTTAATTATTTGGATTTACAGCAATAATTGATATATTTTTATGATACATCGTTTTATTTTGTAGCTGTCGGAGATCTGGCCAAAGTAACAAGTGAAACGATATCAACATCTATCATTCTTTGAGGAACAAAATGATCAGCATAAACAATTTTTTTAAATTCTATTTCAAGAGTCGTGAGTTCATTTCCGAACGTTGGCAGTTTGCAGGCACGTTATTATTTTCATCAACAATCGCTGGACAGGTTTTTCTTTCTGCTCTAAACTTGTATTTGGCTTTTTGTCTGCAATGAAGCTTTGATTTCATAACAGCCAAGACGTGCTGAACCTTTCATCAAAGTTGCTTGTATTTTGTAATCGCCCTGTGCAGAAAAGTTGTATGTTCATTTACAATATAAAAATGAAAAATCAGTCGACATACAAAGTTTAATTTTGATGAAAGCAACGATTGATTATACACGGGCGTAAATAGTTTGATGCAAAAACCTTGCCGGTTCAGTTGCCCCTTTTAATTGGTCATATCCTCTGGTCATACAGACTGCATATGGAATTTGAAGGACAATTTCACGATTTCCACCATTTTCACCATAATTATATTTGTGAGGGACTTTTGTTTGTTTATCCAACCAAGGTTATTGTGACGTTAAAACAGAATCCTTGTCCAAACTCTTATGAATAAAAACTGCGACAAATTTAATAATATAGTCCAACATTCATCCCGAACAAAATTCAATGACTTTGTTGGAGTGGCAAAAATCCCCCTGCCCATTACATGTTGTATCGTTGTATCAAAATTCCTTCCTTGGCACTCCTGATTGGCTTACATGTTGTATCGTTCTTTTCAAATGTCAACGTTTCAGTAGACCAGTGGAATCTGCCCATGTGATAATTCAAGAACAAAAGAAATTCTAAACTTTCATGATGTAAAAACTTACATTTTCGATGAAAGATGGGAGTTTGATATCAGGCAGAGTTAGTGAAGATGGTGGCAGTTTGTATTCGCTCTTCTTTACAGGGCATCTGCAGTTAATGCCATGCTGCTTGAAGATTTCTGGACATGTCACATTCTGCAGCAGACTGCATGGATTTTCATAAGTGCTGAAATTACAATGGGTCTGTTATGAATATTAATCATAAACATCGATCACCTGTAATCATCACTGATCACCATCAATCAATCATAATTATCATTTTCAATCATGATCATGATCAATGTCAATCATCATAGGCTCCCCAACATTATCATTAAAATCATCATCATCAAAATGATCGCATTATAAGGTACATTCTGTTTTACTTACCACGAACCCAAGTTATCGACACAGGGTACTTTGACATAGAATCCAAAGATCTTTTTCTCGATAACAAGCGCCACAGAAGATGGGGAAGTAATGTCTTCGGCAACCATGACATCCGCTGAGACGTTAACAGTTCCAGGAATTACTATTGGGTCGGGATTGACACCCAAGGATTTCACTTGAATTGCATCTGATTTACTTCCTGAAAGGATAAGATATATACATTACATATAGTAAAGTCCGTTTGCAGAGTAAAACCGATTTTGATAAGATATCGGGTGCACCAACAGCAGAGGCGTAACGGAGCGGTGTGGGGCCCTTACTTAAAGAAGTGTTTTGGGGCCCCTCTGCTTACCTAAATTTAAGTCAAATTTTAGAGCCTGATACTCGCTCTTAGACGTTTTCCTGAAAAACACAAAGAAATAATAGACAATATTCGAGGAGAAATTCTGCCGCCTTTGTTACTTCTCGTGATCTTCATCTAAGCTTTTCCCAGGTTTCCATGGATTGAATAATAGAGCCATAGCCTTAGAACTGAAATGTTTCAATGTGTTTATTAGAATATCTAGCAATAAAATTTGTATAGACAGATCCATCTTCCTTTATGCACTCGAATGAACCACCTGTTCGACATGGCCTTTGCTGCAAAATCAATTTCCCAACATCAGCATCAAGCACATCTTCAAAAAGATGACCATGATCAGATGGATAAGATTTTGGAAGATCTAGCTGGCATGATTTTGCTTGAGTTAAAGGTTGATTCACACTTCATCGTTCTTTTCAAGAGTTTCAGAAGATTCATCAAAGACAGAGCTCGTGACTTTTCTCGTGACTTCTGCGTAGGAAGATTTAAGCTTGGTAGATCTTGGTCTTTGCTTTTTTTAAAAACGAAGGTTTCTTTGTGTTTGATGTAGCTGCTTCGACTTTTCGTTTCATTTCGGCCCCTTTGCTCGCACAAGATTCATAAACGCGCTTGGGATTTGAAGACATCGTGAAATGAAAGCAAGAACATCGACCGATGCATTTGAAAGCATTACTAGACCGGAAAAAAAATACATTTTCAAACTGCTTCATTGAGGAAATCTATTCGATTTTAGATATCTGTAATATCGTGGTTGCTCAACAACAAAAATACAGTCATACGCTCATTTCAATGCTGCTGTGAATACTATTAAGAAACAAATGCATACATCCAAAAATATTTTTTCGGGAAACTTCTTAGGGGCCCCTTCAGGGCCCAAATGTTTTGGGGCCCTTAGTTTTGTGTTTAAAGGTGCACACTGTGCATTACGCCACTTACCAACAGCCCCTAAATCAGGAGCAGGTGCGCAAAAATCATCCGAAAATGCCAGTTGGACCAGCACTAATAGCTTTTCCAGATTATAATTTAATAAATTGTCAAATTCAGTTGAAATATCCAGGCATTTTTAGATATGTGTAAGAAGGAAGAACCGCAGGATAATATAAGCTGTCCGCCGGATTCTGTGAATCTTGCAATGAGTAATAATACGAGAGATATTCAGGAACAAAGCAATACGACGTCGAGAATCCAATGTAACGAGATAAAATTTTCAAAATAAATACACATGGCACTTTTCAGGACCAAACTTTTCCATCACAATAAGACTAGCGAATTTTTGCTTAAATCAGGTCAAAATGATATCTTTAGGGTAGCAATAATCCAAAAGAATTTCTTTGATTTTGTCAAGCTCTGGACCCAGTGCCTGGCGCACCAAGGTCTTTATCAAGCCAATATCCGTTCTTTTGGACTAAAGGAATTTTCTATAAACACAACCAAGAAATCCAGGTCCATTTTTTGCACAAAAATATCTAGAGAACTCAAGGAGTTCTTTTGTTGCGTTTTTTGAATAGAAACAGTCACATTCATGCTCTGAGCTAAGAATAGCGAGAGTGTCAGTGTCAGTGACATATTGAAAGTAGACTGTTTGTTTTGAATTTGCTCAAAAAGTCAGGAGCTAAGACGCAGGCATGGTAGCGCCGAGGGCAAACCTACAAACTAGATATATTGAATAGTTGATAGTACTGATATCATGGGCGGCATTGTGGGGGCATGCGGGGCTCAGGTCCTCCCAAACAGCATTGTCGTCGGAAAATTCGGATAATTGAAGAACGTTTAATGTGCCGAAACCCCATTCAAGACATAGCTAGGCGCAGTGATAACTTATTTGTGACATCAATTTGTGATATCAATCGTGACGTTAAAAATCATTTATGGATTGTTCTTCTTAAATTAAAGGGCGTGATCAGCAAACATTTCTTAAGAGTCCCGCCCAAAAATCACATATTGTCATCGAAATGTGCAGTGATAATTTTTTTTAAATTAGGTGTGATCCAAGATGTTATCTTGTCAAAAAATCGTTGGCCTGCGCCCCCCCCCCAAATGAAAGCCTGAATTTCCGCCACTGACTGATAAACTGGAAAGGTTGATAGTGGCTGCGGCGCACTTGGCATTTTCGGATGATTTTTGTACACCCAAGATCTTGGCGAAATTGGCCATATCCTGCAAGCTAGTCGGTTTTGAGAATTTTATCTTCACTCTTTTTTTTATAAGAACCAGTAAATTTAAGTTCAGGCTGACTGTTCTTAATTTTTTCAAAAATCTGAGGCTGGATTGTTCTTAATTTGTTCTTAATCTAATAGGTTGTAAGCAGTGCGAGTGCTAGCTTTTTCGCTCTAGGGAGGTGTTCAGGCCTCATTTGCCAACAAAGTGAGTGAGACATTTGCCGAAAAGTTTGAATATTCGACAAAAAAGCACCCACACATCGCTAGAAATCCTCGATTTTGAGAAAAAATGTTGTTCAAAATTGCATTTTGCAGAAGCTCAGCCTCAGCTTGTTCTTAATTTGTTCTTAACTTTTGACCAATTTTCAGGCTCGTGTTCTTATAAAATTGTTCTTTTAAAAAAAGAGTGTAGTATATTTAGCATCTTTTTGTAGCAATTTTATTGAATAAAATGCTAAGGAGATAGAAATGAAATGAAATGAATTCTTAGGAAACTTTTCTCACTACTCTCAAACTTTCTCAACGAGGACCACATTTTAGGCGAGTTCATCCCCTCGCCTCCCGCAGTAAACTCCAGTCTTTAAAAGTTGACATTAGCAATCTGAAGTTGGCTTACCACAGTTGCTCCAAGAAAATCCAAGCTCCCCTTGCCCCACTTCCTCATCATTGCCCGTTCCAGACCGCAAAATATGCTTTAGTATTTCATTTGCCTGTTGATTTTCGAAATCCTGCGCCTCATCTCTGACCAGTGGGTGTTCTGGAAGGCAAGAGGCTATGACAATGGCCGCAGCGAGTATGAAAATTCTGCTCAACATTTTGCTAGGCAATTTTCTTCCCCGGTGTTTTCAGTTCTCTGTCTTTACTTGGGCAATGCAAAACTGCTACTAAAACCTTTTTGTTTGCAAATATGCTTATGTGAAGATAATTGTGTCACATGATTCACCCATGCGCAACTGTTGACGATAGAAACATAAATATGCATTGTCTTGTTTGCCCTTGACAATCTCACCGTATACGTAGACTTTCGCACTATCACCGTATTCCTACCACATTAGGGATCGTACCACCACATTAGTGGATCGTATCCGAATCATAATAATGGATCGTACCACTAAAGAATATAGACAATGGGTGTTGGGAGTGTACCACCCTGGTCTCTATAGAAAATGTTTCTCTTATGTGCATTAAAAACAATAGCATGGGCTCCGACAAAGGTTGTAAAGTGGGGGGGGGGGCCAAGGGAAAATTTAACACCCATAACAAAAGATTTTGAAAAAAACTCTATTATTTTGCAAAAAAGTGGGGGGCCAAGGCCCCCCCGGCCCCCCCCCCTTCTTCGGAGGCCCTGAATAGTGGAAGAACACCATAAATGTTTGCCTATGCGTCTAGATCCCCTCCCCCTCTCAAAAATGTGCTCCGGCATCAAGAATCGATTTGCCAAAAGTAAGAACGACGTAAGAACATACAAAGCGTGAGATAAATAAGAGAAAAAAACGACGTGTTTTGGAAATTTCCCGTCGTGTTTAAAACAGAGCTTCTGTAACATCTGTGACATCTCGTATTAGTGCGAATGCGGTGATAGTGCGAAAGTCTACCCATACAGTGACATTTTCCAGGGCAAACCAGACAATATAAATGCCTTTATTATTATTATTATTATTACATAGCTTTCGCTGGCAAAAACCATACTACTAAAAATGCCATGCAAAACTGTTATTTGATAGTTTAAGAAAGAACTTGATTATATATTTTAAGAAAGTATTTAAAATAGGCAATTTTTAACATATTCAACCAATTTTTATGCTGTTCCTTGGGATTTTTTCATCTTAATTTTGAAATTCAAAGCTATGTTAATGACACATTCATTTTAAAGTGGTGGGTCACCGCAGAGGTGTAGTGCTAGGGGGCTGAGCCCTCCATGATAATGCCAACAAGTAGCCCATTTCTGCTTTTGCTATCGTTTTCGTTGCGTTTTGTGCAAGAGCCCCTTTGTTATTTTGATAGCATTAGACCCCTGGGTCACAGTCGAAATTTGCCTTTACACGAAAGAGAAAGGTATTTTATCCATGTGTTTTCGTTTCACAGTTACTTGATGACAAAGTACTCAGATATTTTTGACGAAAACCACAAGCGTTGTTATTCAGCTTTTTGATTGACACAAAATTGGTACAAACAATAAAGATTCTTTAAAAAACCATTGTTTGAAATTGGTTGATTGACGCTTCTATTGTTGCTTTATCCACTACAACATCACCTGTGTCTCGTGACCCACATACGTTCAAAGTGAGGAAGCGACGCAAATAACTTGCACTTTGCATTTCTTGCTGGAAAGAAAGGAAGTTAGAACAATTGAAGATTTCAAATATGAAGTACATCATCTTTCTAGTTTTTGTAGCATACGGTGAGTTGAACTTTGTGAACATATACTCTTTCATTTTATGTTCGAAACCTATTTAGGCCCGTGCACTCATTGTTTGTAACAGTAGAACCTTTTTGCCAGCTTTGCTCTTCTTGGATTCCGTCAGTTACAGTTGAAACACTCAAATAATTCACCAAGCCTCGTCTTTAGCTTTTCCTCACTCTTCTTTTATTTACTTCATAGAACACTGTACATTCCTAAACTTCATATTTGCAATTCGTTTGTTTTCAAGATAAAGTTGTCTTGTTCAACTTTCGTTTTCAGTTATTACGATAATTGTATTCCTTCTCTGAGTCATTTCCAGTAAATTTTTTAATGGTTTTTTTTCAATTTGCAATTATAATGGTGGGAACTGTAAAATGAGGTGGGGAATTTCTTATGTGATTTGTTAAATTAAAAAATGGATGTCCTGGACATTTGCAGACTAGAATTTCTAAATGACTTTGAGAAGGTCGTGTTTTATTATATAATTGAAAAAGCAGCTCTTCTAAAGGAGTAAGGCTGGTACTAACCAAGGAGGCAACATTTTATTTGTAAGAAACATAATTGTGCTTTAGTAGATACATGTGTTATGCAGTTTTGGTTTTCAAATTGTACATGGCTGTATGTTCTTGTTAGAAAGAATTTTTAAGAAAGGTTTCGAAAGGTTTAAGAAAGAAAGGTTAGAAAGTTTTGGTTCTAACTATAGTGGATTGCAGGCAAATTTTGAGGTTTGCTGTTTGTGATTTTTTGCAGATTAGAAAAATTTTTAATGCATTTTAAAAGATTTTTTTAACAAATAGTTATGAGGAGGTGTTGTAATTCCCATCGAATGTACCCTTGGTAACGATTTTCACCACTCAAAAACCCGCAATAACTACTGCTTATAATTTTGTTTGATAAAATTATATCTATAAGTTTAGCTTAAACCTGTTCCCTTGCCTTACATATAAGGTACCAGCTAGACTTGCTCTAAGTGCTTGAGAGAGGAGTATTTACTTCCCTCCTGTGGACTTATGCCCCCTCTCCTTCGCAGAAATCCTCAGGACGAAAGTAAATACTCCTCTCTCAAGCATGAAATAGACTTGGAGCAAGTCTAGGTACCAACAGAAGCATAGTGAGGTGGAGACAAGAGTGAGTTGAGACCCCATAATGGCAAACAATATCTTTGAAAAGGGGTTTTCTAGCATTCCAATGTGTTTCTAGCATTTTTGTTGTATTTGTTTCTACCTAGCACCCAAAGGTAATTTTTAGTACACTGAAATGCTTATGCTTATTGAGCAATGTCCTGATCCTTCCTCTCGATGTAACCACACCTCATGATTCCTACCCCTGGAATTACAGAGAGCTGGCCACTCTGGGTGTAAGTTTGCTCATGCCGAGGACTTGAACCACAGACCCTTGTGTCTGTAGTTAGAGACCCTAACCACTGAGCATTCAAATATGTGTGGACCCTAATTTTCCCCTTGCTCAACTCGCCTTGGCTCCCCCAATCTTTCAACCCTGGTGATGCTACTGGGTACCAGATATTGCTAATTCAAATTCTCCTTATTCGCACAACCATCTAGAATTTTATATGGCATGGATTATTTGTAACTTGTTTAAGAAATTCAAAATTCACATATGATGCCATGGCTCTGTTTTTATAAAGAATTGAACTTTTCTAGCAAGTGCAAAAAGTGCACCAAAACTTCTTGGAGATGAGGAATGCACCCAGGGACCTTCATATTGGTGCAAAGATTACAAAACTGCCACGCAATGTGGATCTGTAAAATATTGCACTGAACATGTTTGGTTGAAGCAAATCAAGGTTTGTTTATCACTTTTCCTAAATATAGATAACATTTTTGGAAACTTTATTTCTAAGGGTATCAGAGAGGTTTGTTCATTTTGTTGTGAAAATTGATTAGAAATGAAAACTGTTCATCTTCAATTCCAGTTAAATTAAACTTACAAATCCATCTATTTCATTTATAATTTGTAACTAGCAAGCTTGTTTCCTGAAATAAAATTGAATTATAATCATAGTTATAAAATGGTTTTAGCTAATAAAGTTTTAAATCTTAAAAATGAAGTAGCTCTGGTTTTGTTCCTACAGAAGAATATGTATGGTGTTATACAAATGGAAATGCTTGAACGTTTGTAGATGTTATAGGGATGAGCATATCATTACCTCTTTTTTGCTTTGTAATTTAACTGTGAGCTTTTTCTTCATACAGGGAACAGGATGTGATGAATGCAAAGCTGTTGTCACCCAGATTCATGCTTATTTAGCAGACAACATCACTGAAGTAAGTGTGTGTAAATAAGAAGCTTTTGCTGAGATATATTAAGAAGATTTGCAAAGATTGATAAGCATTCTCAAGCCTCTCCGTTTAAGGCGTGCGATCATGCGCGCATTTGGTTGCCGAGACGCGCAATAAATCACGAGCCTGGTTTATAAGAACCCTTTAAATTGTGCTCCTTGTGTTTTGGTTTTGAATAGTTATTATACAAAGAGCCTCTTTCGAGGAAATTGCTATTGCCAAGTTAAAGCAAACACCTCTTGAATTTATTTCTGGTCAATAACCAATAAAGCAATAGGACGATGAGAATCCAATGTAACGAGATTTTCAAAATAAATTAAATTTAAGGAATTATACTAATACTTCCCCCCGGCATACAGGGCTTCATCAGAGTAAAAAAAAATTGGCAAAACGACACAGCATATGGTGTATCAGAAATAGGCACCCTGCTAGAAAAATTTGCAGCCCCATTGGCTGAAGCTGGAATTTGTGAAAAAGATGTCATCATTGAGTGGAAAAAATTCACCTCATTCGCAAGGCATCAGATGGGACAGAAAGTTCTGACCTTTAGGAAAGACAAGTTTCCTAACCTATGTTTGATGATGGAATTGTTGACATGCATCGCTAGCTCAAATTCTGCTGTAGAAAAGGCGTTCAGTTTACTCACGCTTCTGACTCCGATTCTTCGTCGGGATACTTGCGAAAACATGCCATTTTTTCCTACTAGGCGAGGCACACGTTTGAGCACACGCCCACTTAAATACTCATGGAGAGGCCTGCTTTCTTGTAAGTGTTTACTTTGACTTTTTCAAACTAATGTTTTGTTTCTATTTCATTTTAGGCCGAAGTTATTCAATCACTGGATGCACTTTGTTCCTTCCTTGGTGCTTATGCAGCTGAGGTAACTTGTAATATTATACATTTTTAAATATTCCATGTTTGTTTTGGCTGTAACTCTGTAAACATCCTTTTATGGCAAGCAGAAGTCATGTTGCGCTCAAGAACAAATTGCTTTGCAGAAAGTGAAGAGCATAATGTATCATATATTAATTTGAATTTTTATCTCTAGCCATTATAAGCCATATAGACATTTCTAATTTTAGATCAAAGTTAAACTGCTGTGATATATTCTGTTACAAAAATAATCTAATATGAAGTGATGTTCTTTTTCCTAATGCTTTGTAGGCCCAAGTTTAGTTTTCAAAATGCTCTTGAAACCTAGTACATTTAAAACTAACTTTGATAACATATATATGTATTTATTTAAATTGAAATGCTTTTTTCATATGCTGATGTACATTCACTTTCCTTTGCAGTGCAAAGCATTGGTTAACACATATGGCAAAGAAATTATGGAAATGGTATCCCAGTACACTGTATGTGAAATTGTTATCATTTTCAGATTTTATCAGTTCGTTTTTGCTCTTGACGCAGCTTTGTTTAACTTTTTGTGGGAGTTTTTAGCCTTTTGATATTCCAGAGGAAAAGCTATATCTAAAACATACAGTTGAACATTGTCCTCAAGTTTATTATTTTTTATTTTGGTTTATATGTTTTGTAGGTTTTTCAACAGATTGTAGTTACTTTCTAAAAAATTTTCTCATATCAATACCTGTTTCTATGTTTAGGCCAACCCAGAGCTTATCTGCAAAATGCTTGGTATGTGCACCACAATGAGAACAGTTGAAGTTGAGAAGGGTCACAGATCTGGACCAATTATGTTTACTGGAACCCACCATGTTGAAGAGCCAAAATCAAGTGCTTTGTGCATTGTTTGTGAATTTGCAATGACAGAATTGGACAAAGTTATCGGATCTGAATCTACCGAGGTGATCTAATGTGCTTAGATTTTCACTGGATTGATCCTCCTTTTATATTTAAATTAATTTAGCAAAGAGACTTTAATCATGGTACATCATTTGTATCTAGCTATTACCAAATTTTTATCAAACCTTGTTGAAACATTAAGTGTGTTCAATACTTACAGAAGGAATATGGCGAAATTGAAATAGTACCACTTAAGACTGCAAACATGCTATACTGAGAATATTACAACTGGTGAATGCTTAATTATCAAACTTTCAAGTTATGTATTTTGCATGACTTTTTCAATTTCCTATCTGACTTCAGCTATTAAGGACATGCTTTTTTTTAGGAAAAGATAATCAGCGAAGTTGAGAAGCTCTGCAGTTATTTGCCATCCACCATCAAAACTGAGGTTAGAATGTTTCTGTTTATGGTAGCCTTTTCGAAATAAATAATAGGGATAATGTTTAGTAGTAAATTTTGTATGTTAAAAGTATATAAATTTGTGCCAGGTTGGAATATCAATTCAATAACAACAGGGCTTTTAATACTTTGGTGTTTAAAACTTGATGCTTCGTAATCATGGTCTAAGTTTCATGCTTAATACATTCACCAGCAAAAATTCTTATTTGATTTGCAAAGAGTTGCCAGATGGTTGTTTGAAACTCAAAAGGAAGTTTAGTACTATTGTGTTCTGCGCATCTGACCAGAATTTGTAAGTCTTGTCTTAAAGGGACTATATGCCGATGCATTTTGCTTGCCACATTAGTTCGAATACACAACAGACCTATTAATATATATGCCATCAGCAAGGCAAGGCAAATTCCCCGTGTTTCTTGATCATAAATGGGTGCAAACTCTTAATTGAATAACTGGACATAGTGCCTCTTAGTAAAATTAGCAATACAGTATAATTCAATTCTCTAACACCAATTACTTTGACTTACATATATATATATATAGCATGAAATTATAGTTTGCAAATCATTAAGTACATACAGTTTTTGTGTTTGTTAATCCTGCTTACTTGTATTTTAGTGTGATGCTTTGATCTCAGAGTATGGAAAGGAAATCATCAAAATGCTTGTCAACAAGATGAAGCCAAAGGAAATTTGCACAGCTATTAAACTTTGCTCAGCAGCTGTTGTCAAGTCTAAGCCACATGTACCAGGTACTTAAACAAATTTGAGAACCTTTTTTTTCCACAATTTATGCCAATTTTAGTTTTAGGAAAAACAAACTTCGTCTCAAACTGTTTTGTAATGCTCTGTCTTTCGACAAAATTTCTCTTTCTTCATAGTATTTTGTTTTTTTTATTCTCAGTCAAAAGTGTTGGAAATGTTGTCACCTGTGAAGCATGTCAGCTGGTTGTCCAGTATGTTGACTCTTTGCTGAAGAACAAGAAAACAGAGGTATGACTTTATTGAATTTGTTGTGATGCAAGTTATCAGGATTGTAAATAACTTCCTTGATATGTTCTGAGCACCGTACCTTGCCTCCGTTTTCCTGATAAATACTATTGACTGTTTGCAGTCCTTTTCCTTTCCCAGCAGTTGTCCTAGCAACATGTATCGAATAGCTAGTTGTCAAAACTTAACTCAAAGCTGAACCGAAGTAGGCTTGGCTTTCATGTTTTAACGACTAGGTTTAAAAGCCCACTTGTAAATCTTAATAAACATCTTTGAACCGAAATAAACCGAAGCTGAAAAATCTTGCGAACTATCATATGACATGGGGATATTTGATTGGCGAATCCGTAACAAGCCTTTGATCCGTGACAGGATTAAGCATATTAAAGCCGTTTATATTGGCCTAGCATTAGATTGAAATAGCGAATGATCTCAACAAGAAAGGATTGTTTCATGGAAATATCAATTATTTTGAATTTGCTATCGACAGTTTTAGGTAGGCTGTGCATCATTTGCTCCTTACCCTAGCCTTTAAAACTATTGTAGCCTAAAACTGAAATCCCATGACAATATTTGTTTACCCAGTGATACCCTTGTGACTTGCACCACATTGCATGCCGTCACATGATTGGTTCTGTTGCGCAAACAAAGAATGCAGCATCTTCGTGTTATGCAATAAGGTCTATGGAATTGACAGAATCGAATATATTTCATTTTGATCTGGAATTAAGACTAGAGTCCTATGTTTCTTGAAAGTCTGCAGGGTTCCGATAACAATTGCATTTCTTTGTTGATTTTTCTCATACAAGCTAAATGATGGAGTCAGCCGCCTGTGCCTTAAATTTTAAAAAGCGTTTGAAGCGTAATTAATGCAATATAGGCTGTTTACAGTGTATTAACAGCAATTTAAGAAGGCCTCTATGAAAAGGTCTCCGATTAATGATTTCCGCGACAAGCAACATCGATGTCTCTGATCAATTATCATCTGTTCAAGGGGCCATTTAATTTTGTGCCCTTTATCAGACATAGTGGGCTGCATCGAGGAAGCCTCGTATTACTGTGCCTCTTAACTTACCACACGCTCGTTGCAGTCCTGCATAGAAATACCATTGTTTAAACTAATGATTTTGATTGACTAAAACCTAAGTATCATATATCAATCATATTTGTATTCATCAAATATCATACAATCAAACATCATCGTTAGTATGAAAATTTAGGAAGTAATGGCCCCCAACTTTTGACCATCAAATAAAGCATTTTACATGGTGTGATAATGAACTATGTAATGATTAGAGTCAATTTATTTATGTTGCGAGTTTCTCACTAGGCTGAAATCAAGCAGGCACTGGACTCAATGTGCTCTTACCTTGGATCATATCAGGCAGAGGTATGCTATAAGTTACCAAGCTGAATTTTTTTCCTTCAAGGTTCATAAAGCTTTTAGTACCAAGGGCTGTAATGCCATCGACGCAGGCAAGAAGTACCCTCGCCCCCCCCCCGTTCTAGAAATTGTCAGGTTTCTAGGGAAATTTTTGCTAAAGTTGCTAAAACAATAAGCCGACACCAACACTCCCGTACACTTATGCTGAAGTTATGGGGAAATTGATCTCTTTGGCCCCCTAGAATTTGACCAAAACATCCTGAAGGACCATAGATATACCTGTTCCCGTTTTTCAAATTTCGAGTTCCTATCTCTTGTCCATTGATTATATAATCTTGTACAACAGCTACAAATGGCTTTGATATACCCAGTATTTGGACCAGTCTATTGTTTTTTATCCCAGCTCACCAGTATTATACGCTTTTTCCTAGTTTTAATTTGAGCACTTCTCGTTGCAGTGTGACAGCATCGTATCAAACTACTTGGTGGAAATCATCAAGTACCTCGCAGAAATGCCCGCAGGCTCAGTTTGTAAGGTAAACTTCCACTCCAAAGCCTATTTTAGAAACCTTTTACTGGTTAGGAGTCATTAGAAATGGAGCTTGTAATATCTTCCAGAATTAAATTTGCAAGATCATTAAGGGAACTTTCAACAAAGAAATCATTCTTAAAGACCATCTTTAAGCACACACTAAAAAGAATGGTTGCTTTGTGGTCAGTCACGAGCGTACCCATATTTTTGCCCACTTCTCGGATTCCTGAAGCTCCTGATTCCTCCACAAGCTCTTGAAAGCCTGGAAGATTTCGTTTTATACATGGATCGATTAATTTCTAAGAGTTGCTAATTGCAAATAGCCCATTCTATGAAATGTTAATACACGACATGCTCATGAAATTGCGATAAATTGCATTTTTACAGGTTGTTTAAAGTATCACTTTTTTACAGGCCCTTAGTCTATGTACATCAAAAGGCTCAGCTACTAAGATGACCCATGTTAAGCTTGAACAAAAAGCTGTTGGTGTGTAGAAAGAGGATTTACTTTCCTTTACATGTCTCTGTCACCTGTTTGACTGATAATCGCTTCAAGCAAAGTCCTTGTGCCATGGTACAGGGGGCAATGGGGGTGGGGCAGGGGCTTTCTCTATCCTATTTATGAAGCTCTTTTATAAACACTACTAAGTTCTAGGGTTCTAGGATTTCAAATATAACAGATACAGACTGTCGTTGAAATGCACGTTAAAATTCAAAACTCCTTGGTCATACCGAAAATATTCTCTCCAGTAGCTTTTTTTGCATTCAGAACGACTTTTTCAGTTGTTTTTAGTTTTGGTAGATAGTTTTGATGAATCGACAATTTTCTAGTTAACCATAACTTGCCAACAATTTGTTGATACCTTCCTCCTCTGCTTTGACGTCTTATGCCGGGAGATTGGCCTTGGACCCATTCATTTTGTACCCTTGTTTTGAATCTGTACTTTTTTCCATTGGCGCATCTTGAACCACATTTTGCCTTGAACTGAGATTTAGTCTTGAGCCCTCTTTTTGTCTACCATTGTTTCTAAACCTCTTCATGAACCACATTTCGTCTTGAATTTGAAATCTAAACTTGAGCCCCCTTTTATTAACTTTTTCAATCCCTGTTTTTTTCCTTTGAAGCATCTGGAACAACATGCAGTACGTGCAAGTTTGCCACCACTTACGTCGACATCCTTTTGAAGAACAATAAAACCGAAGTAAGTAAATCGATTAAAAATATTTTGCTTTCCAATGATGAACTACAAAGCTCTAGTATCGGCCCAATTAAATATATGGTATGAAAGAATGAATTCAACTTACTCGCCTTCAAACTTAGTTTTGTCATCCATCACTTAACCTTGGTCTAAAAACGTCAACAGCAAACATTTTTACTGCTGGAGTTGATGGTCTTTTAGCTAAGAAAGGTAGTTAGGCTATGACTTGTCTTTCTTTTGGTCTTAGTAAAAGAACTTTTTCTTCAAAAATGCACGTATACCTGTTGTTCTATGGCCTTGAAAATCTGTTACTTCCTTTGAAGAATCTCTGCATATACGATTACACAGAAGAAACATTGTTGGCTGCTTTTTAAATATTTCGTAATGTACTGATAACAGAAATTTTTAATTCATAAGGAATCATAAATCTGCTTTTCGTCACTAGCATGAAATAGAATTCGAAATGACGAAGATGTGTTACTACTTGGGATCTTACAAGGATGAGGTAATATAGTCTATTTCATTGGATTCTCTCTTGTTTCTCATCTTATATAGATTCAGGCAATAGGCTGAAAACACTGTTTGTTATTTGAGACCTTATTTTGTTCCAACTTGATTATAGCATTCAGGCTATATCAATACCAGAGATGACAGGAAAGATTGACCTTAAAATAATGTTTGGTTGCTGCTTACGTGAGGAAGGAATTCTTGTAAGAAGACTTGTTAGACAATCAATAGCGGGTGAAAGACATTTGAACCAAAACTGAAGTGTAGATGCCACTAGAATCATGTGCTCAGAATATTCCTCATATATTCGTATCAACTTTCTGACAGCCTTAACGTATTTTATATTGATAGAAAATGTCCCTAATATTGTCCCTCTTTGAATATAACTGCTATGAAGGGTGATAACTGCATTTAGTTTCATTGGTTTGTCCGCTTTATTCGAATGCTCTATATTATCTGTGCTGTATTTAAAATTTCCCTGAATTTAATACGATGTCAAGCTGCAACCCTGGTAAACAATCAGTCATGGATTAATTTAAGATCTTTAAAATCCATCATTTAGCATTTGTGCTCAAAATGACTCAAAATTTCACCGTTTATTTAATTTTCATCTTATTTTTTCTTTTACTCAGGCTCATAAATATTGAGCTGTTAAACTATTTTTTAGATGCATTGTCGTTTATTTCCTTTTTTTGTTTCAGTGCAACGAGATCATCAAAACCTATCTCCCAACTATCATTGAATACATTGCTGACATGACGCCCGAAGAGGTTTGCAAGGTAGGTCTGTTTTGGCTCTGGCCTAGGCAAGCTCAGGCATGCAAAGACCTGTCTTTGTAGGAATATTTTTAACAATACAGTATCTTTTTTGCTTTTGAGTTTGAAATATACCCATTCCTACTTAAACAGTCAGAGAAAATCGTTCGTCCTTAAACTAAGATTTATTTCATCTTAATTTTCAAGTTATGAGCAACCAATTTTGGTTTTATTAACTGGGCTGTTGATTTACAGGCTGGGTCGAAACGTTATCGGAGTTCCCCCCATACTTCCGTATAAACATTGTGTTCCCCCCTGGCCAGTTCAACGACAGGCTTCATGCTAAAGCTTTTCAAATTTCAAAGAAATGTCCACGACTTAAAAAGTATTGACAGAAATCTAAATTTCATATAATTATCATGCAACATCTTATCCTCCGTATGTTGCAAGATTAATCCCCCCCCCCCCTTTTCTCTGGCCAGCTCACGGACAAAATTCAGGAGGATGAGAAATTGCCCTACATCTTTTTCAGTGAGCTGCATTATTCATACATTAAAATTCTATTAGGAAGAATTGCATATGAAAATTATTCTGTTGGTATCAAACAGTTGGACGTTCAGGATTAAAGCTAGAAAGATTTAAACGTGGAATAGCATTTCAGAGAAAGCTGGTACATTGCTTGTTTTAAAGCACCTTGAATGTTTTCCGGAACACTCTGTTTTTCCGTCCTATCCCTCAAAACACAAACTTAGACAACAAACACATTTTTGCATTTAGAAACACAACGTTTGAATATTTTTTTTCAGAAACTTGGTCTATGCACAGCAAAATCGCTTCTTGTTTCACTTGAGAGGAAAGTTGGTATGTATAACATGTCAAATTAACATGCTTGGAGGTTTGATTTAGATTTTATTCAAGAATAATAAGGAAAACTTCACAGCTATTCAATGATGTTTTATTACTTCTCCGTCTTTAAGTTGGTTTTTTGTGTGATTTAACTGCGTTGTCTATATGTGCCTAAGTAATTTAGAAATTTTCCATTTTACAGAATCCAAGAAAGTTGGAACCTATTGCGATACGTGTAAGGTTGTTGTTGGTTATGTTGACAGCTTGATGAAGGATAAAAAAACAGAAGTAAGTATTCAAGGAAACCTGATAAAAATGGTTTGGAAAGCTCTTATTGTTTTGTCAATATGAAGAAAGATACAGAGCGATTGGATTTCGTTAGCGATTGGATTTCATCATTAGTGACAAAGTAAATAAGATTTAGCCTAGTTCTGGTGGTAGGCTTTGTTTTTTGGAATTCCTGGTTGTCTAATTGCCGTACCCCGCAAATCAATTGCTCACAAAATTTATCATTTCGTTTTTTGCTAAAACATTTGCAGTGTAAATAGCAAGACATATACAGACAGAATCTGTAAATACATTTTGCTACCTGCTGATCTCCTTTATTTAAGTTATTACGTATATAAGCCCCTCTTCGTTAACTCTGAACTCCAGAACAATTGGGCACCCAAGGGTAAGCCTATTTTACAGGGAGATGTGGGTTAAAGTTAGATGTAACTAATTATATGTTATGTCCAAAAAGCTGAAGAATATGGGAATAAATTTGACACTCAATCTTCAGTTTTCCTCGTAAATTTAAGATTGTGGCCACTTATAATTGTACACTCATTGTGCATCGACAGCATAGTTCAAAGCTAAGCTTGCATGTGAACCGCATATTTTTAATAAAAGATATTCACCCATTCTTCTAGGCTGAAATCGTTTCCCTTGTTGAGCAACTATGCTCCTACCTTGGCACATACAAAGAGGAGGTAAAATTTTACCAGCATAAACTTTACTGTTTTTTTATTATGCTGTATTGTACTGTACTGTATATGAATATCTATATATTTGCTTCACTCTTTCAACGTCATTTATCCAAACATATTGTTTCTTGTGGATTTTCCACATTAAATTGCGTTGCTTTGTTCCAGTGTGACAGCCTCGTTGCCGCCTACCTCCCAGAAATCATGCAGCTCCTTTCTCAAGAACTTTCTCCAGATTTCGTTTGCAAGGTAAATGAAATTAACATACATTATGTAGGCTGCAAAGTAAAAAATCGTATGTTAATTTCAGTCAGGAGAACACGTAAGTTGCAAGGGCCGTTTGGAAATGCCCGTGATACACGGTCACAGTTCCCTGAGCATTTTTATTCCAGAAACTATTTTGTAAATTTACGTTAAAATAAAAAAACTCTCTTTAATCTGTACTAGACTTCAGTTTGAAATTTCAATGCAGTTTGAAATTTATATATATATCTAAGAGTTGAATAAATTTAAAACTGGTTATCGTAAATCAGTATTTTTCACTTTTAGCTATGCTTTCATGTGAACTATTAGACTTGAGATTTGTTCATTTAACTGGCTTAAAAACAATTTCCTGAGGCTTAAAAACTTTGCTCAAGAAACTGTTTTTAGATTCCAGGCAAGGCCCTTTAGGAACACTGCTTATCATTTGTTGTCCCAAATATTTCACTGGAAAAATTTTCTAGACTGTTTTTCAAAACAGTATCACATTGTATTTCGAAAGGCCATCATCCAAGAATCATAAAGTAAACCATGCGATAAACAATTTTTCCTATATAAAGACAAACAGTTTTGTATTGATATTGAATATTTTATTAGATTCATCCTTTATTTGTTGCATGAATGTTTTATCATTTTTCTTTTTTTAATATGTACAATATCGAGATATCTCTTTCACGACCAAAAATGTTTATTGTTTGAACGTTTTTGTAGTCACTTGGAATGTGTGGAAATGCAACCAAGATTCAAAAAAAGGAAAAGGGTAGGTAATCAAAGTGTTGTCAAATGTTCTGTCAAATTGCGTTTCAATACAATTAATGTTCAATTTTTAGTATGCAGTGAAGTCCTGTTAACTCAAACCTCCGTAAACAAATGTTCGATTTATCAAGGGCTCAGACATATTGGAGAAGTTTCAAGGGGAATGTAAACACAGCTCGAGTTATCGGGGACCCAGTTACAGGGGGCTCGAGATATTAGGGTTTTGAGTTTTCGGGGTATCGAGTTATCTGAGGGCTTGAATTTTGGATGCTCGGGTTATTGGGTTATTTGATTTAAGGGGGCTTGAGTTGTCGGGCTTATATAGTATAAGAAGTAAGTTGCTATGATTACCTGATCATTTCATTGCCTGCTTTTGTTTTCAGTAAACGGAGGCCAGTATTGTCAGATATGCGAGGTCGTTGTTTCATACGTGGAGAATCTACTGAACAACAACACTGAGGTGAGTATGTTGCTTCGGTCTAAGCTGCGTTTATATAGTCATGTCTGTTGTTCCAATTTGAATAGGAACGAAGCTCTTAGGTATCCTTTCGACTCTTTCGCGTTCTATTGCTTGTACCCTGCCTCTACGTCATCGTCTTCAAGCTTGAAAATACCTCTACTCTTGGCGTGGAAAATGGCAGTTGGATGTAAGATTTGCAAATTTGCACAAGAAGATTACAATGCAATAGACAGATTTTAACCCAAATCAAGCTTCTGCTACTCAACCTGCATTTATTCACTCTATTTTCAAAAAATATAGTAAAAAATGAATAAAATAATGTAGGAAGAATTCTAAGTGTTGTCTAGTTCACAGATAATTTTTTAAGTGTTACCTTGTTTTAAATCGGATTTTTTAAAAACTCTATCATGGCCAATGACAAGCTCCCGTTCGCATGCTGAGAACGTCCTCTAGTGCTTTTAGCCTAGACCTCCAAGGCAATGTATTTTCAAGTACATTTCTTGCAAAGATATAAGCTGCATGTTAAATCCATTGAACGGGGCAATTCCTTTACCAAAGCTTATTTTTCCCAGGCCGAAATCGTGCAGCTTGTGGATCAACTCTGCAGCTACCTTGGATCATACAAAGATGAGGTAACTTATTTAGTCTTTATTTAACTTGTGTACTTAACCCCTCTGTGATAATGTTGAAGATGTGTGTTCTTAGCATGTAAAGTTTCTTGTCAAAGGAACAATTCGGTGAAGTCATTTCCCGCAGAAAACCAGATTTCAAATAAGTTATATATATTTTTAAAATCTGAACAGATATAAAAGTATTTAAATTTGAAGAATTGAAGGTTCTCTGCTTTCGATTGGCTGTGCTATACATTTGGTTACAAGGCATTCAGATCAGATTGCTAAATGTGGTAGAGCTTTAATGTAAAAAGAACTGGCACAGCAAACAGCATGTCACCATTTTGTAGTTTTTATTGGTTTAGTAAGCGTGCCGATATCCAGTCTTGAGATACAAACTAGGTACGTTTTACCGTATAGCAGCAGGATATTCTACGGATTCCCCCTAAGGGATTTTACCCCAGCTACCCCTACCTTTCGATGCCCTAGATGTCATATTCTTCTTTCTGTTCGTATCTAGTGCAATGCTTTGGTCAAGGCATATGTCCCTCAGATCATTGAGCTTCTGAAAAAAGAGCTTACCCCAGCTTTGGTCTGCAAGGTAAGTTGGTATCGTCACCATTATCAATGCGCTCACCATTATCAATCCATTATCACCATTAACATCCATTTAATTGTTCAGTAGTTGCACTTTCTTTGACTGAACATCGCTACGAAAATCTGTTTTAACCAAGCTTTTTCAGTCGAAATACCCAAATCTTGTGCCTGTCGTCTCAAACTCTTTTAAGCCAAAGACGTGTTCTCTGAAACAGCCCTACTCTTTCCCGCCAACCCATAAGCTGTAGTCTTCTAAGTTTTCTTAACTAAAACTGGCCTAAATCCCTTATGCTGATTTATTTCTCGCTTCCACTACCCATTGTATTTTTACTTTTCCTCTTTTACCTTTGCTTGGTACACTCAGATAAAAACATTCTGACTCGAGTTGTTAATTGAAATTACTTTGTTAATCAGAAAGATTGAAAAATTCCTCATATAATATTTTATCAACTGTCATAGATAAGTGAAAAAGATTCATTGATTATGAGTTTTCCAGTTACCAGCGATTCTGTACCCCTTGATAGTGAGCAAAAAACTTTGTTTTTAGGAACTTGGTCTATGCACTGCTGTACGCGATATGGCTATGAAGATCAAACTAAGCGGTAATAAATCATCATATAATTATCACTCGCATGCATTTGTAGAATTTTTCTTGTCGTATCTGCATTAGCAGAAACATCATTAGGGGATGTAAGAGACTGCGAATGTTGGAACATGATCCTTCTTACTTCTCAAAAAATTTGTTTATGTTTTCTGTTGCTTTATTGCTTACTTGTTGGATATTAAAATGGGGAGAGTCAAAAATATCCCTAAGGGAGGGATCAGGAACCGTCAAAGTCCTTTGCTCAGGCAATTTTCAAACTCTACTTTTCCCTGCTTACAATCTCCGATGATTATCTGCTCTTAGATGTCAAGAAGTTGAAGGATGGTGCTGGATGTCAAATTTGCAAAGTTATTGTTGGTTATGTTGATACCGAATTAAAGAACAAAAAGACCCAGGTAAAATTCTATTATTATCAAGTATGCAGTGCTCTACCTTCGTTCTTCTTACATCGTATCTATTTGCTTTAATTATTGATTTATGTGTTTTTATTCCAAATAAATTTTAAAAACTTTTGTAAAATTGAAATGTTCTATTACAAACCATAAAGTAGTAAGGAGAGCACGGGGGTTCACCCAAATTTTTAAAGACAGGGGTTAACTCCTTTTTTAGCTTGAGGAGATGGCCCTTTTTAGCCTCCATGTACCCCCTCTTTTCAAATGCTTCCTACCTCTGTGTTACACACAAAACTAAAACGGCTGAAAATAAAAAAAAATTGGTTTGTGAATCATTAAATACAAAGTTTTTTACCCTATTTTAAGACTTGCTTTTCATCAGTCCCGTAGGAAGCATGTTTATTCTAAAACCGGATTTTAAATCCTTGCTTTTTAAAACTGAGTTAAAGTGAAACTACAGTCGGAATTAAAACTGAGGAAATTTCTCCCGCAACAAGAGATTGTATGCATTTGGAATATTATCAAACTTATTATCATTTGTAATTTCCTGGCAAATATCACTCCAACTGTCAAGTATTTATTATGCAGAACCTGGAAGAAATGGTTGGTTGTTGTAAGGAAGGTCAACCAAAACACAAACAAATAAAACTTCTCTTCTTGTCTTTTCTCAAAAATTTTCGCAGAGTTTAAGACCAATGTCCCAGAAGGAATGAATAAATCCTTGGATTCTGTATATAAGCTGTTTCGCTTACTTTCTTACTTTGAAATAAGAAACTCTCCAATCTTGTTAATAGCCTCTGTTCTCTCAATTGCATTTTAGCAAGAGATAACGGCCGAGCTGGAGCAACTTTGTGCATACCTTGGCACTTACAAAGCCGAAGTTAGTTGGTTTTATCATATTTCTCGTATTTACATCAATTTGCATTTATTGCGTCTGCCCTCAGCATTCAATACATATTGACCATGAAAAGTGAAAAATTATCATTTCAAAATGTTTTAACTGCTTTGTGATTAAAACTTAGGCAACCATTGTCAAACCATTAAATGCCTTGAGGCAACTCTCAGTTCTATGGCTTTTTAGTTTTTTTATTTCAATCGATTAATGCTGAAATTTTTATCGGGTTCATGACCTCTGGAGTATTTTAGGAATCCTTCTATACTTCGAGAATCAAATAAACAATATGGGAATTTAAGAAGTCAAACTAAATTAGAAAAACTGATTTCATTTCTTTTTTTAAAATCAATCAAAAGAGTGACTACAAATTTTTTTTTAGACATTTTAGCTGTAATTCAAAGATTTCAGCGTATTCTTAGTTAATCACATAATTGCTGTGAAAATCTAAAACAAGATTAGAGCTTGGTATTGTAAGCGATCCTCTGTATAACACTGACAGCTTTGATTAATATTTTATGCACCCGGGCAAATCCTATTTACTTTTATACGTCCAACTTTCCCTCAGCTTTTAATCTCCAACCTTTATTTACTTTTTCCAGTGTCAAAGTTTGATGACCGCCTATCTTCCAATGATTTTCCAATATTTGGAACAGGCACTCACTCCAGACGTCGTTTGCAAGGTACCTTATTTCAGCTAATGATTTTGTCTACTGGTTATGCAAGAAGTCATTCCATCGTTAGAAAAGCAGCTACTTCACTTATTTAGCGCATATTCAATAACTTTTTACCCCAATGCTGCTCATGACATAAAACACAGGGTTCAAGGCAATTAAAATCCACAAGACCTGCTAACAGAACTAATTTTGTTTCCATCCTAAGAGTTTTCAATGAATGAATTTTAAATACAGCTAAAAGTTGCTTTCCCTTGATATTTTAAGAGATAAAGAAACGAGAATAACTGTTTACCTGGCTGTCATAAAGTGGTCGATGCCTATAAGCAGAGGTGTACACGCTTTTGGTGTATAGAACAGGATGGTTCTATTATTCGTAAGACACAGAGTAGCAACTTAGAACCGTCTTTTTCTATATACCTATCACTTATAAGAGATAACTGCATTCATTTTTGCTTACCTAACACTTTTATGTTTATCTTATCAGGAACTTGGCCTTTGCACAGCAGCCAAGAAGTTGTTGGTTAAAGCTGCTTTTCAAAAAAAATCATCTAAAGGTAGTCTAGTCTATTTTCATATTCTTGATTGAATCGGCAAGTGACTATTTAACATTCCAGAAACGTGCCTTTTGCATGGCAATACATATAGATGGCTACAGGATTCTTGTTCTAGATGCTGTCAGTGCAAGAAGGGAACACTTTGTCTAAATTTTAATTTATTGTTAGAAAATGTTTTAAAAGACATGATCAAAAAAATAAAATTTAAAAGTTCGTGAAATACTTTCAGGAAAACTTTTCGTGGAAATGTCCTTAAAACCAGGTGACCTTATAACCAAATCTGATATCTTCTTGGCTGAACACTGATGTCAATATATGATGTCGTTGTTTTTTGCTAAGAATTGTTTAATCGTTGAATTTTTTAGTTATTGTATTCTTCTGGAGCTATTTTAAATTCGTTTATATATCCAAATATTTATTTAAATATATTAATGTTTTTTCAGTTAAAGGAGGATCCTACTGCCAGACATGTGAAATTGTTGTTTCCTATGTGGAAAGTTTAGTCAACTCCAAAACCGAAGTACGTATTGTATATCTATATTTTTTATTTATCATTTCCGATGCCTGTTATTATTCATACTTTTGTATCTTAAATATAATCAGAAGGGCCAAAAGTGTTCATCAGAGGAAAGGTCCTTTGAAGACACAGATGTTTGTCTAGGCTTTCTACTCGTAAGGTTTTAACAGAACAGCTTCTAAGATGATATCTTAACATACCCCTAGGTGGAGATAATGGAAAAATGTTGTTTATCGGTCTGTATGCTCGATGCTATATAGACAAAGCTGTACACGCTTTTTTATAGAACAGGACAGGTGCTACTCCGATTCTAAGTCAATTCTAAGTCAGTCCTACGGAGTAAATCCACTCTCAAACAACCTATAAAATGCACGTTTAAACAGCGTGTCTAAATTAACATCAATTGACTATGTATATGCCATATTTGGAAGCTTACACAGGCCGTTGATAACATCAAATCATAACAGCAAAACAAATAAAAATTTTTCTACAGCGCATTGGTTGACCAATAGTTTTTATTTTCTTTTGACCATGGATATTCCAATTTCTAGGCTGAAATTGTCGCCGAGGTTGACCAGCTCTGCAGTTTCCTAGGAACTTACAAAGACGAAGTAAGTTATCTTTCACAAATGTTATTTTTGATAAAGTAGCTAGTTCATGAAAGGTTTTTACAACATTTTTTAATTTGGACCATTTCATTTTGAATATATTTCACCGTCGAACGCCTCTGAATGTGCCAAATACGTGAAAAATGTCAAGTTGAGTTGGGTGAGATGTCATCAGTGGCTGATTTGAGTTTTGCTAACAGATAATTGTTGTTTTGAATTTGTTGATAAAGTTTAGGAAAGAATGACCTAGAAAAAATAAAAGTAATTTTAAATAGTTTGGTGACTGTATTTTTTCAAGGATCGATTAAACTTTTTTTCATATCTTAAGCCGCTCGTTCAGTCTATATTGTCCAGATGAATAATTTCTAAAAATAAAGTTGTTTCAGCTAGGCACCTTGTCATGTAAACTGTCTTCCATTTTCCTTGAAAGTCTGTAGCTATTTACAAAGCATTGCTTTTCAGCGTTACTGAAGGTTTCACTAGGAAAAAGGAGTATGATGTCTCGCAATAATCCTATAGATTCGATAAGTAAAGCCAGGCTTGATGTTCCTACCCCTTCAAAGAGCTTTCGATGACATTTCTTAAAGACCATAATTCTTTTCTTATTTGCAGTGCAAATCTTTGGCTGATACCTATCTGCCTCAGATTATCGAGCTGTTGAAGAAAGAACTCACTCCAGCCCTTGTTTGCAAGGTATGATGCTTCTAGTTTATCCCAATTTATCACATTTTATCCCAGTCTATCCCAGTTTGTCTTTTCCTGTGTAAAGCTTATATGCATTTGCCGTCAATCACCGCGATTGAAACATTATTTCAAAATTATGGTAATATCGAAAGCAGATCTATTTTTTCTGTCAGCATTCTTCAAAATGCCTCATTTTTGCGCAATGTAAATAGATCCATTGTTAAGATATATAATAACTTTTGAAGTACATATTGTCATGTTCTTAGGAAGAGGGTAGAAGAATATCGAAGTATAAAATACGTTTACAGCGGAGTTTGATCCTTAGCAACCTTACAATGCATATTTTTACGTAAAACGATGTTTATCATCATGAATTTCAATTTTCTCCTTTACAATTTCAGGAACTCGGATTATGCACATCTTTCAATAAATTTGCCAAAAAGATCAAAGTTGCAGGTATGGGGTTTGTATTCGTAACCTCGTAATCATCCTGAATCCTCGTTACCAGAACCTTGTAATCTTCCAATCATCATAATAGGAATCTTCAAATCGTCGCAATCGGAACTTTGTAATCTTCGATGATCCTTGTAACCTGAACTTATTAGTTCCCTCTAATCCTCGTAATCTCAATCTCGCAAATTTTTCTAGATTTATAAGTATTTGTAACATCATTTTCCATTTTCAGGCGTCAAGGAAGGCGCAACATGCACCCTTTGCAAAATCCTTGTAGGATACATTGATAAAGAACTCAAAGACTCAAAAACTGAGGTGGGTTTGTTTTCCGGTGATTGTTTTTCTTTGTGAAATTGCCACTTTCTCGGGTTTAGACACCCAATTGTCAATTTGCTGAAAAAGAACTAAGTATCGATCCCCTTCTTCTACGTCACGTGTATCCCATAATGCCGCGATTTTGCCGGATTTCGTGTTCCAATAACTTGTTGGATTTTTCTCACAAGAACAACACTGTTTCCAGTTTTCGAACTTGTTTGGTTAAAATTGCCACTCGGTGCTGTGAAGTGGGGAAATGTGAAGGTCGCACCACCCTTCATAACATAACTATGCCTAGCCCACCCATCCAAGCAAAAATAAACCCCACTCATTGAGCACTGGCTCGTTCTACTAATGATGAATCTTGAAGGCTGACAACTGCATTGCTATCTTGATAATCTTTTATGACAAATAGAGAAGAAGAGTTGTTATTCTAAAAGTCTATTCGTCTACTATTTATAAATTCTAGATTGTTTGTTGGCTGTCAAGCATTCTCTTGTGCAAAAACCATAAAATTTGTCAAATGTTAACACGCTTAACTAAGCAAATTACTATGGTCTTTGGACTTCTTTACTGTCACTTTTGTTCACAGCAGCTGCATTTGTCTCTTCAGCTAGAAAAGTTTCGGATCTGAAGGCTTAAAGTATCAGCCGTTGATTTTTCTATCCCTTTTAAAAGGCTATTTTTATTTACATTAGGCCGAAATCACCGCACTTGTTGAGCAACTTTGCAGTTATTTGGGATCTTACAAAGCAGAGGTTTGTCACGCTTTACAAAAATGCTTATTTTCTTTTTCCTCATTTCTGAATCTTTTTGAAAATATTCCGCAGCTGATAAAATATTTGCTAGTGATTAAATTCATATCAATATTCCTTGTGTTTATGAGTTTGGATCCTGATCAGTTCCATTGGCGATTGTTTCCTCTATAGGTCTCACAGCCTCCCAAAGATCGTTTTTTAAATATGTTTTCATTACTTCCTTTATTCGCCAATTTGTCCTTCTGTTGCCTTTTTTCTATAACTTCTCCTTTTGGAGTTCATGGTAACATGCTTTCTTTGATTTTCTTAAATAGTAAGCATTTTCCTACACAGTATTTGGTTGTGAATGGCAGGCTTCTTTCTCCGTGTTTCATTGCTGCAAAACCAAAGGATTTTATATCTAAAACAATAAAATATTTTTTTATAGTGCGACAGTTTAGTCTCATCGTATCTGCCACTGATCTTCCAATACCTCGCTCAGGCAATGAGTCCTGATCTTGTCTGCAAGGTACGTGTAACACATCGTCTCAATTTTGTTTTATGTTCATTTGTTTTGAAAAATATTTCAACTAAAAATGCAGTGCGGCTCTACTATTGCTATGATTGCCCAGGACTCTACACAATGATAAGCAGCTTTTCAGTGCAGTCTGTTGTACTTTGAGGTAGCTTCTACCAAAGGTAGTGACTGTGTCCTATCGTTGTATTTGTATAGCTGGAATTGATTTAATTCTTAGCCAAATTGATTATATTATTTGTCTAAACCAGTTCTTTCTTCATCTTTTTCTGGAAATTTTTCCTCTTTCTTTTCCAATAAACAAAATTGACCCGGTGTTTGCTGTGTGGAAATCGAACGGCGTCAAGACATGTGTTTATACTGAGAGATTTGCTGTCTGCAAGTATGGTTCGCAACACTGTACATATTAACAGTATGTTCCCCAAATGAGATTAGGCCTAGAAAAATTGTGATATTTAACATCCCTAGGATTTGCCTAACTATGATTTTTTTTGTCCCAGGAACTTTCATTGTGTACCTCAGCTGCACCAAATGCCAAAATGGTCCTTTTGAAGAAAGCAGCAATCATGGTGTGAAAGGGCCTGGATGATCACAAGGACATAATGCTTTAAAAAAAATGATCTTAATATTATTTAAAAGATTTTTCAGTGTAAAGTTTTTACCCCGAAAGTGGTAAATAATTGCATTCTGTATGGAAAAATTGAATTGGACAGAATAACACTAAGTTAATTTAAATATATTTCTGATTTTGAGAAGATCAAAATAAGAGAAATTTTCGTTGTTGAACATTAACATTTTCAGGAATTTTTGTACTCAAAGACACCCGTCCTTTGGTTCTGGGTCCTTGTTTAGGGTTTCGTGACAAGCAAAGACTGTCTGGAACTTTTCAAAGACCAATGTGAGACATCACCCTTCCTTTGTTAAACTAGAAGATATGTTATGGTAGACAACATTTTTCCGCTCTAACCATATGTAATTCATCTCTACTTGTACAACGGCTCATAAATGTCATGTTTTCTATAGATTTTTGCCCACCTTATCTCGACCCTTTATCAGACCATTGCAAAACCAAGACGAATTTTGATGTGTGTGCTATTTAAAGCTTCTATAGAATGTTGGTAACCATAAGAGATGTTTAATTAAAATGCACAAAATTGTGTTCAACTAGCAATTTTTGTCTTGATCCCTTGTCTAAGCTCTACCAAGACTCTGTCTGACAATATGAATCAGCAACGTACAGGAAAATACTAATGACATTTTTTCAACTACAGCAAAGCACAGGCAGTTTACAAATTTCCCCTAGTAACAACCGTTTGGGGTTTTTCTAATAGTAAGGGGAGGTCAGATTCATTGCCATCACAAAAGTCAGATCACTACAAGAAGACAGTGACCAAAATGTGTGAGGATCTTTCCACCTTGTATGCAGCTGGCGATCTGACGTTCAAAAGTATGAATTGACAATTTATATAAACCGGACATTTGTGAAATATTCATGAGGAAAGATTGTGTGACTTTAAAGACACTGAATTTGTTTTTTCTTTTGAAATGTATTACTTTACTAGAAGGGACTTTTTTCGTAAACTGAAGAATCACGGGATTGCCGCATGAATTTCAAACTCCCTTTAACGACGTGTGACAATTCCAAGGGCCCCTATCAGTTTTGAAACGATGCAAGAGGACTTTGACGATGATTTATCACGTTGTAACTTGACAATTACAAGCCATCTAAAGCAAGGGTAAAAAGAACCCCCTCTCCTTGTATCAATGGGCCTGATTTTATGAATTAGGTAAAAAATGCGAAACCTAATGGTGCACAGCTGTATTTTAAAGGTTAAAGTGCATAAGCTTGTTGAATTTTTATTTCAAACGTCGGTTAAGTGCTGTATCCATGGCCATGCAAAAAGGAATCGAGACGATTTGTCAGATGTTGATTGACTTCTTGAAGACAATAGTTTCCTACATGTATGGACGGTGTCAAACGAGGCAGGTACAAAATAGTTCATTTCTTTAATTCTCAATTAGATATCACCCAATTTCGTTGTTGATCAATTATATTTGTTTGAATTTCCTTGAAAGTACTAGCAAAAGTAACATTTCTTTATAGGCCGAGAAAGTAACAAGACAACAACTATGAGGTCAACGAGAGGCAGAGGTTCTGCAAGCTGCCAACAAAAAAGAGTTCAAAACCATCTGGGGTCCGACTGTTGCATTGGCCAGCATTTATGAAAGTGCAGTGATCCCCTTGATTCTCCAACTGATCTAATTGGCATTTTTACTCCGGTTGACAGCAACAAACCGAAGTGTAATCCAACTGTATTTTTTCATAAAAACTGATTATAAATAATTTGTCACTCACTTTTCTTCTATTTTCTGCTACCTCTCTCTTGCCCCGTTGAATGTGCACGGGCTATGGTCTTCTTGCTTTGTGTAAGGTAGACATGTGTAGAAAGTGCCTTTAGGAGAGAGGAGTAGGGACATTGTCTGGATTTGTTGATGGGATTATTAGATGACAGTGTCTTCTGACCAAAAGCTATCCCATAGGCTCAACAGACCCGTGGGTACTTGGAGCATGATCTGTGGCGGGGTATCAGCGGTGGGACTTGGAGCATGGCCAAAGTGGATCTTTGTGGATTTTGATGTAATTTTGTAATGACTCGATCACCAAACTTTCTTGTAAGAATTTCATTATTCTCTACGCCAATTCATACATGGCGCCTTTTATATCCGCCGGCCTAGTTTTGAACAATCCTCCGTCCCGGTTTGTGAAACCTTGCATCTATGCCCGTTTCAAGATGCACTAACGTCTGATAACCCTAGATATCATTGTTCATTGCAAGTTTCTTAAACAGCGCTTTCCGTTGCAAACGCCTGATAAAATGTATAATCATTCTCACAAGCAAAGAACTGCAGATGTTTTTGGTGTCAAATCTTGTAATTGCTTCAAAGAAATCCACCGAGGTCATGAAAATAGATTAGTGAGATGTCCATGCTAACGTAACGTGAAATTACAAATGAGATAGAAATAGGCCCTTGCTAGAGAGAAGTTTGCAGGTGTTGAGAATAAATGCGCCATAGCAGGAATTTGAGAAGGATGAGATAGCCTTCGTTTAATCGAAAGGCAAGTCACAATCAATACAAGTAAGTTTAGATTTTTTAACTTCGCGCCTTATCAGCTTTCTTTTGCTATGTACGATGTTTTCCAGCACATCTTTGCTACACAAGGAATATGTTTCACATGCTATCGCTAACTCACAAGCACTAAGGTACCTGCATTTGTTGTTCCTTGCTAATTTACTTGCTTATCATTTAAATGAAGCTAGGCAGATATTTTGCGTTTCCTTCAACAGCTATGCTACTCTTTGTTTGATAATACATTCAGGTTACCATTTAATTTCTTTTGTGAATACCAGCTGCAAGATAACTCTTTCAACAGGCTTCATCTATTTCTTTCTATTGAATTGATGTGTTCTATGTCGTTATATTCCAGTAACGCTAAATAGCTGGAAAAGGCCACTTTACATTTTAACAGATAATTCATCGGCTGTTAAAAATCGATATCAGGCCCATGCCAACTTGATATACTGAACAGAAATTGTTCGAAATGTGTGTGAAATTATAAAGATAACAGACAAGATATCTAATTGTGGAAGCTGACATACCAGCAGGATGAATTTGTGCTGAAATTCGAGAACGATAAATTGAAGAACGACTTCAGCAGATCAACTCCAAACACTGAAAAGTTGTTTATTGTAGGAGATGAGCTAGTTATTTTGTCATCGATATAGCAATTGACTCGACTGAAAGCTAACCTTATACAGAGAGCTCCAATGAAAAAACAACAAATTTAGATGCAACTATCATGTTTCCAGTAATAACTCAAAGAAAGGAGGAAACTTTCAAATGAATAAATTTAGTATGTATACAGTGCTTTTTCCAACTTGGACAGATTCTCCGTATGAAGAAATGGAATTATACGTCACAGCCATCCGACTGCATACTTTGTGCTTTATCAGTAGCTTACTTACTCAAAAGAAAACTTTTTAAGTTTAGCTATGAATTTTTGTAGTATTTTTCATAATAGTGCGAAGCTTACTTAATCACGTTGGCGTAAGATACGCATCGACTACCTTCTTGCAACTGATAAATTGAATACAAAATGCTAAATCTTAACTAGATTTCGTCATCTACCGTTTTTCACCTTTAAAACCTTTGAATAGAAATTGCATTCAGGGAAATATGCACATCAAATTTCTATTGAAAGAATTAAACAAAGAAAGGGACTATTTTGAGTATTGTTTCGACAATAAACTCCATGTATAAATGTTGCTTTCCTAATATCTCTTGCACTACGTAAGTATAAATATACCAATATATAGCAAGGACAGACAGAGCCATAAGACTGATATTTTGCAGTTCTGACGTCACAGCTTCTCATAGAAAATTGTTTGGTGCAAATGTTTCAGATGATCTTTGCGATGGTTTTGTAAGTTTTTCCCTTAATATCACATGTTCATCCACAAAAAGGATATAAATATTTAATTTAGTCACTCTTGTTTTTGCCGGATTCTAAGTCACAACAAACCAGCCAGATTAATCTTCTATCATCCTATGATTACGAAGGAGATAAAATTGCAAAGACAAGAATACAGCGCACAGTTAGGTTTTGAGGTTCGCTGCACACAGACGATTAGAGGTTGCAGGTGTCTGAAGATACAAGAAAAACAACAGAAAGCATCGAATATTCTCTCTTCCATTAACTTTGACTGTTTCTTAAATTCTATCATGCGATGAGAAACTTTCCGTGAGGTCACAAGGCCATTTTTTAAGATAGCTTCTTATCAAATCATGCCTTGCAATGGGCTTACCAAGACTATATTGCATCAGTACCCTGTGCACTTGCGATAGAGCTCTCTTCTCTAAAACATCAGTTGCGTCTTATTAAGTCTTGCCTTGTGAAGCACACATTTCCCCTTTGATATTGTGTTTCATCACATTTTATTCGGCATATGATTTGTAGCGAGATAAAGCCCTGGTCAAATGATCCAACATTTCACCCAACATTTCGCCCAATATCATGTAGGGAGAAATGTTGGATCGTTTGACCACCATGTTGTGTCATCATGTTGTGTCATCGTCATTATTGATGTTGGATGAAATTTGACTGAGGTCAAAATGTTGGCAGCTGACATCCAACAATTCTTTTTTTGAAGTGTTAGGTGAAATGTTGTATCGTTTGAACACCTCAGCCAACATTGTTGGCTCTGCGCAAGCGCAGTTGGTTAAAGAGCGCCAAAATTCAATCATCGCATCGTTGTTGTTTTCTCGGGCTGGCTTCGTTCGTTTCAACAATCGCCTTTGCTTACAATCACTTACGCTTTAATTATGGACAATATAACGAAATATAAATAATTCTGCGCAAAAGAAGGACGTCAAGGTAGCACAGAGGAGCTATAAAAAGCACAGAGGGACGAATTTAGGCCACGGCCTTGATAGGGGATGCGACGCTCGTCCTGAAAGACCGATGACAGTGAAAATATCTGAAGAGAAAATAAATAGAGAAGGCAGCGATTGCCTTCCGTTTTTTCGGATCGAAATGTCGCGAAACTGTGCAGTCTTCAGCGCGACCTTTTAGCCAGTCCTTTTTCGACCTGCGCGTGAAAATGTTGGGTGAAATGTTGGGTGAAGTGTTGGATCGTTTGACCAGTACTTAAGTTGTTAATCAAACCTCTTTTTATTACTAGCCTCTTATTCAACAGGGTTATGGAACCTCCATTTGACAATAACTACGACTACCTTTTTACCGTATGTGTTCTTGGAGATGAGTTGGTGGGCAAATCATCGTTGATTCGAAGATATGTCGAAGGAACATTTTCGAGCGCTCCAACGCACCCAACAGTGGGAATCGACTTCAAATTGAAGTATCTGAGATTGAATGATCAGAAAATCTTACTGCAGTTATGGGACAGTTCTGGAAAAATTAAATATCGTAATTTGATCCAGCATATCTTTGCAAAAGTTATGGGGATCATTCTGATGCTTGATGTTACCAACACGAAATCGTTAGCACAACTTGGAAGTTGGATTGATGCGATAAGAACTTTCGGATACCCACAAACACAGGTGAGAGCACTGTAGTAGTAAGGTTCTGTTGTGTATGGTATTTATAATAAATTATAATAAATTATCATAGATTTGTTTAATGATGGATATCACATGAAGATGCAAAAACTTGAAATAAAACAGGACCGAAAAATGAACAGCCCTAAGTCTTGAACATTCAATGGTATACATGATTTTAATGTCAGTTCATGGGTTTTAATTGCTGGTGAACCTATTAAAAAAGATTTTTTTCATGATATCAGAAAGATCCTAGCTAGACACTGAAAATGCCATCAAGCATCAGCATCCAGGGTTGTTGCGGATGAACCTCAAAAGGAACTTAAGAAAAAATTGAAATCATGAGCGTGGGAAGTTTTCTGTTTGTATGGCCTCATATTTCTAGCTGAAACCGAGATTTCCTTTTGTGCTACGACAGCAGTGGCTTCCAAAAAGATCTTTGTTCCATGAGATAACGACAACCCCATCGTGACAGCGCTAGATGTACCCTCAAACTGTATACAAATGCACCGTTACATGTTGGCCCAGAAAGACTTTTGCTCAAACTAATGGCTGATCTCTTTTTGTCCTTAGATCATCGTTCTCGGAAACAAATGCGATGTAAACTCTAGCAGGGCAATAACAAGAGAAGAAATGATACAGTATACGGAACAATTGAGCATTGTATACATGGAATGTAGCTGCAAGGAGAATTTACGAATTGATCAAGTATTTGAAGTTATGATTAATCTGATTATGAACAAAATGAAAGAAATTGTAAATTTCGAGAATCTGTAGATTTTGCATTATAATATGTTTATTCTGAGTTGTAGTTTAAAAAGATGTATATTAACAATGATAATTATATTATTTAAAAAGAGAGTCAATTTGCAGAGTTTGCCTAGCATTATCCCCCTGATTGCAGTACGTTTTTAGCTACATATATTCGCTGGAATATTTCAAACAGGATGGAGGGGGTTGTAAAAGACAAAGAGAAAACTGGCAAGATATGTTCGTGGCCTTTTTTCTACAGTTGTGAATTGAGAGTCAGTTTCTCGGTAAATCGGCAATCTGGCTTTAAAGCGGCAATCTGGTAGAGTTGCCTATAGAAGAAGCGATTTCTCTTGTTCCAAGAGGGATTTGAAATAAACATGCTTCTATCGTGACGTCCACCGATCTAAACCACATTAACTAAATTGGGGAAAAATAAGCATTCCAAACTAAGGAAGCCAACCTGAAAGTGGAAAAGAAGTTTAACTGAATATTGGGTGGGTTAAGGGCAGTCAACTCTTCCTACCCATCTTCGAGAGCAACAAGCAATTGAGAATGATAAGTGTAACGCGAAACACTGTATAAATTGTTAATCATAATATCATATAGTAATTTTGTTTGAAAATGAGTTTTGATAAAATCATATAGAGAAAGCTGCAGTATCAGTTCTAAAATTCCTATATCCTTATCAATTCACGGGTAAAAGAGGTTCATGTCATGATTGAATGCGAGGCTCATTTAAATCATCATGTCATACGGAATTCTCTAGTTTCCATAGTGTTCGACCTGATAGTCATAAATAGGCATGATTAATAGTCATAAATTAGTATGATTAATTATTTCAAGTAAAGGGTAAGGGTAAGGGTAAGGATAAGAGTTAGGGTTAGGGTTAGGGTTGGGTTAGGTTTAGGTTTAGGGTAAACTAATTACGTCATCCTGTCGAGCAGTATGGAAACTAGACAGCTTCATGTCATACACCAGTTTTCATTTTGGCAAACAGCTACATTTGTCTCCATTCCAGGGTTGTCTGCCTTTCTTAAATTTGGAAAGTCATTCAGCTTGGGCCGCACTGCTGGTTACAGTAACAAATATTTAGGCCCAAATATGCAAAAATGTTTAATCTATGAAGCTTGCTCTCACAGTTTTCTCTAAGAACATTGGATGTGACTATATCGAACTAAATTATCATTCATCAAGTAAAGTGTTGTGTTTTGACTTGATAACGGGCTACACTCGTAACATCGTTATTTTAAATTTGTTTATTTTCCTCGTACAATTTCAAATTATTTTAAAGATATATTGTCTTATCATGTTGCGACAGTGTACCATGGGATGAAAATTTGTTTAACAAGGAATGTGACTACACGCTTTGTCTACTTGAATTCCAAATGATCTACCATTAGAAAAATCTTCTACCTGTCATAACATGCAATTTTAAACTGAATCACAGGAGAAAAGATCTCATGATCAAAACTGAAATTAATATTCTGCAGAATTTTGATACGAAACTGCTAGCTGTTAATCTTCACAGTAACAGTACCCATCAGAAGGAGAGCCTCAGAGATTACCGTCAAGTGTCTTGAACTGCGAAAAGTCAAGATTTGGTCTATTTTGCAGCATTTGTGGTGTTTGATTGTAAATATCATGGCACCGCAAGCATTTAATCTCAGTTTCATGGCAGATTAAGTCCTAGAAGGATTGCAACAACGTCGACCCTGCATGGAAGGATTGACTGCTTTCATGAAACTTGAAACATCTGCAGTATATAGAAGCCATAATTTGTAAGCAACGGCGACCCTAACAAGGGGATGTAAAAGATTGAATTTTTTGGCTTATGGATAAAAATTTAAGTCAAGTTCTTGGCTGGTTGATACTTTTCTACCCGTCAATGAATTTATTAACCCCCACCCCCTTCCAGCAATTAGCATGCCACTAACCAGTTGTCGATCTCCAAACAATTCGGGGAATATTTATCCAGTCATATATTCCAGCCACAATCCTAGTCATACATACTGTGAAAGGCCAAAATATTCAACTTAAAAGTCGACAAACAGAAGACTTAACATCATCTTAATAGAATCGCTGGATTCTTCTCCGCTTCCCTTGTACAATGTTGGTTACTTCACTTCATCAAATGCATATATTCAACCAATCCAACGTCAGCCAGATTCCCACAGGTAATCATAAAATTCTGACGTTTAGCAACACTGTAAAGGAGAAGGAAAAAATTTGGCAAAGCTGTATCTTTAATTAAGGGCCATTATCGCCTTTCACAAACATTTTACCCAGGATCAAACTTACTCAACAACACTTTTCATGTATAAACAGAACTAAACAGAACTGGCATTTCACTAGATAAAATGTTAAGTGAAATGTTTAGCCATTCTGAACATGGTCGCCAGGGTTAAAGAGTGAAGAGCTTCAATGTTTTCTTGACGACCAAATCTCGCACCAAACATTGCTGATGATCGTCAGAAAGATTAATTGAAAACAAACGAATAACAATGACGCCACACCTAGACCACGCCCTCGTTTCTGTTGCATTTTTAAAGGCTTCAAAAATTGGCTGGTGGGTGGACTTTTTGTCTCTTTGATTCAATGGGCCCGTTCTTCAAACCACTGGCAGCAGTCGCCTCGATCTCTACAGTTAAAGAGCCTAGGTACGAGCTCTGACACTCGGGGGGAAAACCCATAATTCCGCAAATGTCTGAAAAAATTTGACTGATAACTCCGCAAACATGATGAAAACTATACCCATAATTCTAAAGAGCAAATAAAATTTCTAAAGCACATAAACAATCATCAACCAAATTTTGCATGTCCTGTGCCCCAAAATCTCAACATTACACATATTTCATACTTTTATTTCTAACTGGACCTAATTTTGTTAAGGCTAAATCTCCCTCCTAATAATTTTGTAATATTACCCCAAAATGATACCAATTATTCTGCGTGTTTCTTCAAATGGTACCCATAGTTTCGAACAAATTTCAAAAACTGATACTGATAATTCCGCACTTTTCAGAAAAAAGGTACCCCTAAATAATGGCACGTCCCCGACCTTGAAAGCATGTTAAGGTACCCCCCCCCCCCCGAGCTCTGACATCACTACTAAAGCTGAGTATTTGCATAAATGGTTTTTCATTTCACGTAGAAGCTCGTGGTTCTCACCTTCTTCCAAATTTTCCACTATACTAAGAACAGATAGCAAAAATACCATTGTAAAGTTGACAATAAATTTAGCGGATTTCGGGAAGCTTAAGCCCCCACAGGGCTCAGCTTCGCAGCTATGGCTGCATATAATATTAACTGGATGAAAGAGATGGCTACTATTTCGAATTAATATTTGATATGGCAAGGTGCAAAGAAAATTGGTGGCTTTTTGTTCAAGCAGGAACCGGAGCATCCGCTGGCTCGTATCAGTGGATTTCTTGAATATTATCAGTCGAAAATCCAGCCCGGGAGTATGATAGAAAGCAATCCATTATCAGCCAAACTCTTCTTATTGTGCTGTGAAATGAGATTACTGACGTAAGAATCCTTTATTATGGTCTCAGTTTCCCTGAAAATTCAATTCTGTGCAAGATGTTAAATCTGGCGTCTCTGCACGATCCCCTGAAGGCCTTGAGACTGCGTCCAACGCTGATATAGAACGAAGCAGCGTGCTTTTCCTTGACTTTGGAGTCGCACAAACAACTGCAGTACCGTAGGAAGGATAGAATCATTCTAGGGCTAGCATTGTTTTAAAACAAAAGGGATTGTTCACAGATAACAAAGGATTTCTTGTTATTTTACAGAAGGGCAGAAGCAAATAAGAATTTTTTCTGTGGCAAGAGATTCTTAAAAGAAGAAGCTGCGGTCCTTAGCGGCCTAAGCGAACTTGAACACTGAAGAAAAACGTGTAAAAAGTGTAGAAGCGGCGTTTGTTGGTATGGAAATTATAAAGTAACCTGACCGTAAGGCAAGAATTAAAAACGCGTGTTTGGCGAGTGTCTCTTTACTTGATATGGACAGCTGTAGGTGTTTTCAATTGGTTTTAGAATTTCGTGAGAACAGATGTAGCAACACGACGCCTGAAATAATTCTCGTCAAAACATCGAAAAAGAAGAAAATTCATTTCCATTACACAGTCGCTGGTGGCTTTTTAAGGTGGGTTTTATCTATGTTTCACTGTTTTTCCTCTCTCTCTTAACTGGTCACTGAAATTGCAACTTTATGAAGATGTTAGAGTAACGAGCAGGTCCTTGTACATCAAACACGGAGCGTCGACATCGTAGAGTCAATCAAGCTAACCGTAATACGACATAAGCAGAAATATTGGACGTATCAGCATGCAGAATTTTTTCAAATTGCAAAATATTCTGAGAAAAATTTTTAGAATTCTATTCAATAGAGAGAAAATATCAATTACAACGAATATTTGATGAACAGTTCTTTCATTCGCAGCTAAGCACAAACTTTTGACAACTGTAATTAAGTTCGCAAAATTTCATATCTTTTTTAATACTAAAGCATTTACACCAAGAAATCAAGCAAACAAGCAAAGAAAATACAAAACAAACAATCCTGGCTAAAATGAGATTAAGAAAACACAGTTCATAACACTTATAACTAGAAAATGCGGGGATCTTCTGAAGAGTCTTTCGTTGGAACCAAGATTAATTTATAGGTCAGGATAAAAGCATCAAAAGAGAGAAAAGTGGAAACATTGCATTCTTTGCTGGAAACTAAATTACTATTCATCAGTCTCAGGGACAAGTAACTTCGCCGTTTTGCGTTTGAACTTCTTATAGAAGCCACTTTTCACTAACGGACACCTTGTTCAGCGGACAGCAACTCTTGTTCTTCAGATGTCCGTTCAATGAAGCTAACTTTATTTTAAACTATTTCAGAGGCTTAAAGGCAGTTGAAGTCATGAACATCAATCGATAAATTTCGATTTGTTATTTACACACCTCCTAGGAATGGAGGGCTGCTATGGGGGCAATATAAAAAACAAATTTAATGCTGCAATTTGACAATTTTAATGCATGTTTCCCATATGGTATTTTAATATTGAAAATAAACCTCCGATCCATCACCGATTTGTCGCTAATGGGTTCCAGACGTCGGTTGAAAAAGACACCAATGACCGAGCAGATTAAAAGTACCGTTCTAACACCGAGTAAATTGTACTTGTTTTGAAATTAACGGTTTTATTCGAGATCTGGCATTAGTTTCTATCTATATCTCCAAGAAATGTGTTCAAGACTCGAGTTCAAGCTGGGAATTTTTAATCATATGCTGCTATGGAAAACATCTCAATTTTTGTCTTAAAGCTAAAAAGAGTTGGAGTAAGAAGAAATAACAGAAAGTTTTTTATTGATAAACATACTAGAAAATGAGCAAATTCATTTTCAAGACAACCAATTTAAAGAAATCAAACGAAATGTTCCCGCTATCACATTGACGGTGTTTCCAGCGAGAGGCTCTTTAGTCGTCTCGATATTAAATTGAACCATTCCCCCACTTTGAGTGCAATAGCGAGCGACCGCCCTCCGAAACTTAAAGTTTTGTAAAAGCTGTACAGACTACTTTCTATGGGTCCTGGACTTAAAATGAACTTAAAAATTTAAAACATGTTTGAAAAGTCCTCCCCTGGACTAGAAATTTTGAGAACCATCCGAATATTCTTCAAAAAGGTGAAAATAATCTTTTGGGCGTTGTCAGTGTCAGCTTTTGGGCGTTGTCAGCTAAATGGTCAAAAGAGCAAAGTTATTGAAATCATATGACACGTGGACCGAACTTCAAATGTGACGTCAAGCTTTTTATTACTCAGTTTTATAAAATTGGAAAATTGAAATAGAAAGAAATCATGGCAGGTGACGCATGACGTAGATATTGGAGCGAAAGGAAATTATTTCTGTTTTGAAATACGTTATCTGAAAAGTATGTATCAATTAATGTAATTGATTCACAAGTCAGACAAGATCGAGCATAAAGCCGTATTTTTCTTTGCTTTGTTGCCGCTTTTTGGTGAAGTTTAGATCATTATTACTGACTGGATAGAACTTCACATGTATTAGGCAAACAAAGCTATTTGAATGCGGCTTACTGGCAAAAGAATCATCAAGTTGTGAATTGAACCGAATCTACAGCATAGAATATCAACGTATTTAGACCGAGTCAACATAAGGTTTCGCTTCAACCTTTAATCATATTCAACACAAAGTACGAGAAAATTTCTTGTTAGTTAAAGGATATTCAATGAACACCAGACCAGCTCTAAAAGCTATTCGAATTCAGCCTCTCATTCGCAAAACTCAAAAGGAGACTCCCAACAATGGACCCTTCATACTTCATAAAGTCCCATAATTTCTGAAAAATTGGTCGGCACTTTGCGGTGATTTTCAGCTTGAAATTCATTATCAGGAATACAAATTAAGATTTTGCTAAAAAAATGAAACACAGCTTCGAACCAATTGCCATCTTATAAAAAAAATCTAAGAAATACATTGTAGGCTTGGAGTGGTCCTTCAAACTACTTGAGATAAAGAACTTGAGATAAGTATAAAAAAATTCACTGGGGGAGTGGGTGTCAATTCTCATTTTCTGACATTGACCGAACAAACTCTGAAATCTAAAAATGGACGAACCATTTGCTCGATAACGTTAGAACAGATCAAGGGCAACCTTTCAGTTTGTAAGTTGCTAGATAGATTGCTAAACATCTTTGCTCCTTGGAACCAGCGGTGGCGCTGAAAATTCTCTGACGGAGGGGCTTGACCTTCCGACAGGGGGGCTAGACATGGAATCCCAGTTGAAAAAGACGCACAAACATTGAGATTACGACAAGAAATGAATTCAACAAACAAGAAAGAGCAGATATTTAGAGCGGGAGTATTATTTTTTGTGGGGACTGGCTTTTTTAAAAAAATGTTCCTTAAGGAAAAAAGACATATTAAGAAAGTTCTCTGTAGATCTTTTCCCATGATCCTTTAATATTCTCAACGCTCTAAACATTTCTGGGTAAGAAAAAAGACGTCATTCAATCATTAAACAGAATATTGACCAATTTCACTTAGAAGATTAAGTCTCTTGCTAGCTTGCAGATGCTCCTGTCACAATAATCGAGTACACGAAAGTTACTACCTGATGCGGCACCATGGTTGCCGCAGAAGGGGAGGTAATTTTCGAAAATTGATGATTCCAGTTTGCTGGAAAATGTCTCATTGGAGCAATTTCTCTACCTGACAATACAACCTTATTCTTATAGTTAATATCCACAGGCGGAACGTTATTCTCGTCATTCGCGCACTCAGCCCTGAAACATTATAATGTGGAGTTTGGTTCTCACTGGCTTCGGTTTGCCATTCAAAAGTTAAAATAATAACGTGCCAGTGAGTGAAGAGAAATGAAAATAGAAATGAAAATAAAAACAATCAAATATACCATAGACTATCATTGATTCTTTAATTAATGCCGCCAGCAAGTTTGCCAAGTAAAGGCCAAAAATCCCGAATCTGCCGAGTTAAGAAAAGATTCAGAATTCCTTGGGGGGAGGGGGTACCCTAGGTAAGTAATTTTAACATGAAAAAAAGAAAACGTGTCTGTTATTGGATGAAATTCAAAACTGAATGTGAGCCTTTCTTTATCATTCTGCAACATTTTATTTTATTACATCAAGAAGTCGATGTAGCAACATTTAGATATCTTACATTTATACAAACAGGTGAAAACTGAATCAATGGAATTCTATCATATGTGCAACAACATACATCGATTCTAATGGACGTGTCGTATCAGTGTTCTTTCGCAAGATGGGTCAATTAGCCTAATTTTCTTATTAATTATGCAGTGAATATTCTAGTATCGGCACGAGTGTTTTGGATAAGATTGTGAGCAACTGCTCACAAAGGCGCACACAAAGGCGGCCACCGAATCATCTGCTGTTCCAGCAAACACGACCTCCGAAGGGCAACGAGTAACACGTTGTGGCCCACGAAGCTTTAGCAAGTATGTCGAGTGATTCCCTCTTTTTATAGCAGGGACCACAGAAGAGAGAGAGGGCAACGAAGGCTTTAGCCCCCTCTCCCAATAATTTCCAAAATGTACTTGAATTCATACCAAAAATCGCCCTGCTCTTGGTTTTTATGCCCCTCCAATACCCTTTAGCCCCCTCAATCTGTAACATGCTCCGCGATCCTTGCATTATGTCCGCCTATGATAAAGGGTAATGTATTGCAGAAAAATTCTGACAGTATCTATTTCCCATTCTTTGATCAAGAAACAATGTTTAATTGTTCTATACATAACAGAAGTAAAACATAACAGAAGTAAAAACCTTACAAAACTCTTTTGGGGAGAGGTTTTCACCGGCAAGCAAGGGAGGTTTGGTTGAAAAAAACAATATTTTATGTTAACGTTTTTACAATGGTTGCAAAAAGTCACTAAAGAACTATTAAAAATAATGTCAAATTCATAATAAAGGTGAGATTATACTTAGGCTCGAACGATTAGTATGATAAAAGAAAGATAATATACGAGAAAATATAGATGTGTGTTAGGTGAAAATTTTCTTGGAAAAATTTGTTATGGGCCCTAATGCTGCGCTAAATCAGGAAAATATCATAGATTATTCCTAATGTTTTTGTCTGGTACAGCCTCGTCTCTTTTCTTCTTTATACTGTGTTAAAACGAAGAAGGTTGTAGAAAGCGATAACTTTGTATAATTTTGTTTTCTGTCTAAGCACTGTCTAAGCACTGTCGAAAAAAACAAGATCACAGTGCTCTTATTCTGATAAAACGAGATGAAATTTCTAGGGTAAAATAACAGCAGATGATGACAAAAGAAACGAGATGAAACAAACGATAGAAGAGCCACAGAGCAGCCTACACATAACCCCACTGATTATTTTCACCTCCAAGCCCCTCTACGAAAACTCGAATTTCCACCTCTGTAGTCCTATGCGGTTAAAGCTTTCAAATTTTGCAAATTGGGATGCAAGCATAATAAAATTATATACCTTAGGTGAACACGTAAAAAGTTGCACCTTGTGACTGAAATCAAATATGATGCCATTAATAAAATACCTCGTTGCCATGGAATCTTGGTTCTGACTTTACCCACAAGATTCTTAATTCATAAAAACGAAAATTTTTGTTGTATTTTTACCAAGGACCAATGATACCAGCCATCATCAATATAGCTTTATTTTCTTAAAAAAAATCAGAAAATAGTTTCTATTAAATATCAGGTATTATTGGCATGTTACAGAAGTTTGAAAAAAACTATTAATTCTAAAAATAAATTTTGTGTATCATCTTAGTCTATCAATAGAACAAGATAAAGAATCAAATAAAAGGTAGCCATCAATCATTGAATGATGCAGTTGCCGTTAGAGATGCATAAAGGCCGATTTCCATTTGACGTTTTTTGTGCGCGCGGGCGTAGCGCTCAAATCTGAGCGTGCGTAGCTAAGTGCTGCTGTCAAGTGGCCGAGCGCACAAAAAAGTTGAGACCCTATCAACTTTCTGGGGCTCACAGCAGACGCAAAATCGAGACTACTTGATTTTAACTACGCATGCGGAGATTTGGGCGCTACGCCCGCGCGCACGAAAAATGTCAAATGGAAATCGTCCTTAAGTGACAAAGCGGCAAAGCGGCAAAGTATCTCAGTAATCCTGCCATCGAAGACCGTCATCATAGCAAAGCAAATCTCTTAAAAAGCAAGTATTCACTAAAGCTAGAAAAAGGTGTTTTTTAATGGAAATGAAACCTCTCCTTCTAATGGCACGTCATGAGTGATGTCGGTAATCACAACACACGAGCATTTTGATCAAGTTTATACTAGCATATGAAATGGCATACGTCATATTCTTCCTGTCGTGTACGTGTGGTGCAAAGCCATTTGAAAGTATATATTACAGGAAAGTCTTGCTGCTGTTCAGAGAAAAGCTGTTAATTTAAAGGAAAAGGACGAATAAATTTCCCAGTAATTTAGAAGATCAAACTGTAATTCTGTTTACCGTATCCGCTGTTTTGCGTGGGTTTATAATGTTGCATTATTAATTCAAATTCAACTTTAATGTTGTGCATAGTGCGAGTGGCCTCAATAATGACAAAATCAGCACAAATATTTATAAAATTCGCAGTTTGATGAATTTCAGGCTTTAATTTTACCGAACAATTTACCATAATGGATCAAAATAGCAATCTGGCAGTTCGCGGAATCATACCTTTTAATGGGAACGGGCAAAGTCAAAACCAATTAGACAAAAGACACTTTATTGACTAAAGTCCGTTTCTCAGGTCAGGCAGGGTCAGTGGTGGCACCAGGGGAGGGCTAGGGGGGCTACAGCTCCTCCGTCGGAAGCATCTAGCCCCCCCATCGGAGGAAATTTTAGGTTATTGTCGGAGCAAATTTGACAAAATAACGTACGAAAACTGCTTATTTTAGTCATTTTAGCCCCCCTGTCGGAAGCTCCAGCCCCTCTGTCGGAAGATTTCTGGCGCCACCTCTGGGCAGGGGTAGGTACTTTAAAAGATATTAAGTGCAGGACACTGCACCTCACAAAACAGGAAACCTTTTATAACTTTTTTGATGTAGTGCAGTGGCAAATGTCTGGGCTTTCAATCTCCCGAATGCCTTGGAGTCTTTTTTCTCGTGAAAACATCGTAGGTCTGATCCTCCCTCTTTTCAAGCGTAAACCTGAATGACTGTCACTGTTATGAGATGCAACTACTTGGAAATATGAAAGTATATAGGCACTCCTATGGGAAAGATTTTGGTGCTAGAGATAGGGGAATGGGACTGAACTTTTGCTAAAATTAATCATGGTTGTGATTTTGAACGAGGGCAGAAAATGCTTGTTGAGCTCGGTGTAAGTGGGAATTCTTCTAAAAAGTACAAAAATTGAATCAAAGCCACTTATAATTCAAAGCTAATATTTAGCTTGAAATCAAAGCTAAATAATTCTGAACCAATGTAGTTTAAGGAACCCAATTCTTGGTATTAAGGCAATAATGTACAAATGGGACTTTCATCTGGTGGCATAAAATAATGGAATGTACATCCGCATTGGCAGTATCATTGGGGAAGTACCTCAATGGCAGTACCTTACGAGCAAAGTTATATTATGTCTTTATGCCCCTCACCCCGTAAAGAACTTTGTTTAGATAGCCATGAATTTATATAACTTTCTTCGCAAGGAATCACCAAATCGAAACGCACTTGGCTTGCTTATGTAACGCTACGAAGTCCTGATGCTCCTCATTTCGATTAGGTACCAAAACGCTTACATTTTATTACTTAGAATCTCTAAAATGGTTCACCAGACAAGCTTAAAAAAATTGTGCCTAACATAAAGCTTTGAGGGAGGCACTGATAGAACTGAAAATTGTAAGCATTACACAAAGGAATCTAGTAGACAGGATTTAGCATTAATACGTTGTTGGATAATTATCTGTGTCGTTTCTCAGTCTCACTCTGATGATTGTGTGGCGAAATATGCTTTAAGCTACACCCTCGTTGTCGCCACTACTACCTGCTCTGCTAGAATTGTCGGGAAATCTAAAACATACATGAGGAAATAACAGCAGTTGGTTTAGGAGTAGGGGATAATCGTTTGAGGTAGTATTAAATTTATTCTGGCTAAGAGCATTATAAATTCAAGGTTTACTTTCAACAGTTTAGTCTCTCTCTTGTCATTACAAGAATCAGTCTCTTTGCTAACAGAATTCAAACATTGGCTGCAGCGGTTACTGACAGGGGTACAAGAGATGGCTTTCGATAATATGTCTATGATGGCTGTTATATTCAACGAAACAGAGTTTGTCTGGTGACAATTTTTTGTGAAAGCTGCTGGTTTCAAGGAAAAGGATTGGACGAGTCATTTTTCACAGAGGAAAGGTAATCATATGAATTGAAATCAGATAAAAAGTATGAATTATGAATTGAAAAAAACAGAAAACAAGAAGCCTTCTATTGTTGAAAAACACTCTATTTTCAAACCAAAAATTATATTGTTGAAGACTTTATCAGCAGTTTAGTTGCTAATTGTTTTCATTTCTGTCTTATAAAGTAATAGAGTTCTGTACAAAAGAAGTCTAGGATAAGAACGAGCTCGCTGTTGGCAACACAGTTTCATCGTTTAGTCTGAATAGATCTACCTGCACAATCAATTTTGTAAAGACATCCGTTTGTTGTAATAGATCTAATCGGCTTTGTATTCCGTGAAATTTTCCTGGCTTCTAGTGTCAGTTTTACTAAACAGATGTCTCAGTCATTGTATGAATGATGTCAGTAGAGAATTTCAGATCGTTTTTTTGTCAACGATAACGAACTCAGTACTATACAGGCAGAAAACGTCAATTCAAACTCGGCTGTAATCCAATATAATATTCCTATTGATAGTCTAAATTAAACTTTACCGATAAATTTTTGGTCACAGATCACTTTTGTCAGAAGTCCTTGGAACAGGTAAATGTTGCATTTCTGCCTAAAATATACCGTCATAAGAAGAGTTATAACAAACAACTTACTAGTTACGGTCAAAATATAGTCATAAGAGAGTGTAGTACCATCTGAGAAGCCAATATTAAAGCTCTAAAAATCATGTCAAACAACCTTTTCTTAAAGAGGAGACGGGAAACTGTTGACAAGGATTTTAGTGTAGTGTACTAAGCATTATACTTGCACTGGAAAATTGGTTGTAATGAGAACATGAATCGAATCTAGAACAGAAATACTTTATAAACCCAGCTTTCTTGTTGAAAATGCTGAAAGATCTGTGCATTGAGAATAAATGTTTTTATTAAGTTAGCAGTGCAGTATATCATGATCAGCCTAAAAGCAAGATGACCTCAAACTTTTATGAAAGATGTCGGAAAGTGCTATTTCATCATTCAATATTAATCCTAAACTTGATTATCACTTATGTCTCAAGATCCATGAAAAAAGATTCTTTCAATTTGTACATCCTCATTTAGACATTCTGTAGATAAATTATGCATCTAATTTTTCAATCAGTTGTTGAATCGACCAATACAAGTTAAAGGCTAAAAAGTTGGTCAAAAGCAAAAAGTGTGTAAAGGGTGAACGATGATCGTTGAATTTTCCTTTCAAACATCAAAGCATGAAAATTATCAATTTCTAATAATTTCATCTAATGTTAGGTAAAAATCTAGCTTAATCAAATAAAATCAGCTATTTACCACCAACTTGCTGAAGAAAATAATATACTAAACTAACTCGTAAACACAAATTGAGCATACAGTCAGAGTGGTGTTATGGAGGTATCTGAGGCCCTAAAGAAAAGGCTGAGACGGGGCCCTATTGACAGACTGCAGGAAAATCCCCTTTAAGAGGTAGAGCATGTCAAGCACAATAGCAAGATGTAAAAATTACAACTTTTCTTGTTAACTGAAGTGGAGCGGAATTATATGCTTAAGGTGAAGTTTTTTAAACTAATGTGATCTAGAGCCAAGTCTTAAGAACATGGATAAAAGGCAATTTGGAGGTCCTTTTTGGGTTGGGCGCCCTTAAAGTAATTTATCCTATATTTGAAAAATGCAAATTGCATAATTTGTAAAATCATAACTTGCATAATTAGAGATTGACAATTGTCTTATTTGCCTCTTAAAGATCTCTGCATTGTTTTCATTTCTTATTTTGACGGGAATCCCAATCTGATTGCATCTGTTAGCAACTGTTGTCGTTCCATGTTTAGCTGACGTAAGGTCAATCATGTTTGAACGAATTCATTTGCTGTCACAAATTTTAAAAATGCCAAGGCATCAGGTGTATAATGCCATGATTTTTCGCTATTCAACTTCAAATTAATTCAAGCAAGAATAAAAGTTTGATAAAAAGAAGAAGATGTCGAACCGAATGATAATATGCATGTATGAAGGCGAAAGCAGAAGGAAAAGATAGAAAATGGGACTTGTTATCTATAAGGTTTTTCTTAATCATCAAGAATAGTCTCACAGATCATAGAAAAAGCAAGGTTTTCAGTGATTGTGATAAGCTGGATCAGATATCAAAATTTTCAAAAGCATTTGAAAGCTATAGCTACGTCACAGTGCAGATAGTGTTGTGTGCCACCCGCAGGCGTCAGCTACGCCAAATCACCGATCTTGTGTGCATGTTATGCCTTGCGGTTACGTGGAAGGAATCACAAAACAGAGGTGGCAATTGCGCAATGGCATAGAAACACTATTACATATATCATCGATAAGGTCCAGTAGCCAATACCGTCTTGCTTTATGTTGTGCATGTCAAATTAGAAGGAGGCAAGGTTCACGTGAACCCAAAATCTATTATTGATAAACAAGATAAGCCGAGAGAAGATTTATGAAATGAGACCGAAGAGTGAGCTATTTGAGGCCTTTCAGGGCCTATGCATCTCTTTTGAGAGAGTATATTGTTAACAATATTGTGTGATAGAACTCAAGCAGTGATGTGAGCAGGTTCCACCATTCATATACAAACTGAAGTATCAATGACCTTCACTGTCTTGTAATCACTTACACAATTCATGTTTACATATAAAGTTAGCTGATCCTCTAGCTAAATCTAAAGAAAGATTTTTGGATAGTGGCTTATATCAGCAGCTATGTCTTTGATGTTAATACCTACATGAAATGAAGCCGAGTGGCTTGGAGATAAAATCAACTACAAGTATAACAGATTTGTGCTAAACGTCGGGAGAATATCTTGAAAGTTGTTGATCAAATGGGATCTGAATGAGACTTTTAGGACTGCAATTGGACACATCAGAAGGTAGAAAAACGTCAAAGAAGAATCTAAAATTGTCACCTTTATAATAAGGTATCAAATTTTGCTTCTAGTGATAATTCTAATCGCCCAAGTGACGGATTTTACCTCTCGCTGGCAAAACAGCTGTCGCAAGAAGAGAAATTTCATTGCACGAATTTGATTAAAGCGAATGAGATAAACATTTAACTGAATGTATGTGAGATTAAATTTCCATCCTGTGAAACCAGCTGATTTTGCGAGATATGTCGAAAAAGATGGTGTGAAGGAAGTTATCGATGATCAACATCCTTAGAGTTCTTACTCCTCTGCTTGATTCCCCGACCAGGTTACTGGAATAGTATAACGTGAATAATTTTAAAGAAGATATTTATCTAAGTAGAGTTGGAGAGGAATCTAAAACATCTTTGTTGCTAGAATTGACACTTGCAAGTAAGAAAGCTTAGATGTTATTAAAATCGAGCACTTTAAGTTATGTGAGAGTTTCTTAAAGTTTACTTTGACAGAAAATTGAAACAGCGCAGAAGGCTGGTTTTGCTGTTAAATTCCGAGTGACTGGCTGTTTTGCTAGATGAGCACCGTTTTCTCCTAAAAAGCATGCAATAATGTTAAAATTTTCTTAGCATTTACTGAACAGGTACTAAGACTTTTGAAGCAACTCGATAGCTCAATTATTTTGATTTTTAAATGATGTTTCTTGTAAAACGTTGCTAAATGAAGAGAATATAATAACACCTGCTTGACTTTTAAATGCAGTGTTAAATATTGCAGTACGGATACTGAATGTTTGAGAAACCTGATCAAAGATTCTTAGAAAAGTTGTTTTTAGAAGAAAACTTCATTCAAACTCATAATACAGTCGACAAAAATGTTCCTAGTCAGATTCATAGTACATAGAATGCGTCACCAAAACTCTAGCTTTCAGAATAAACAGCATGTTCCTTCCAACATGAGAAACCCAATTATCCCCCTGAAACAACAGCCTTCTCAGTTTTGCAGATCTAAAACAAGAGAACCAAAATGTGATTCTGGCGTTACTAGAAAATTCCAGTTGTGCCAAAAACTTTTATGTTGATGAATAATTGGCAAAATATATACATAGAATGTGTACAAATATGAAAAAATCCATTATTTTATAGACAGAGAGAGAGTTCATTTTCACCCTAAGACTCTATTGGTTATATTTTCTCTAGGAAAGCGGAATTGCTGGATCAGATCTTACCCTAAGTTAAATTTCTAGCTCCAACAACACAATATAATATATAATATATTATACTTCTTTAAAATATAATCATCATTATATTTTAAGCGTTATTAACCCTTCCAGGCTAGGCTTCTACAGTACTCTGCCGTACCCTAGATGAATGGCCTTTGTCCCACATTCGCAAACAGAAACTTCTATGTCCGACAATTCAAATCAATAGCAAAAACAACGGCTCAGGTAATACGTCTTGTCACATCCTCTAACAAAATGGTGCATCAGCCACTTTAGCTGACCGGTACAGTTTCAAGCACCAGTACAGTCGAATTGCTTCATTCCAGCTAAATGTGATGAGAAAAAACGACTAAAAAACTTTTTCTGTTGCCTTTTTTGAATTGTCCAGCTTCACTTAATTTCATATCCAGCACCACATTTCGAATCCACGCTCCATGAAAAAGGCCAAAATCCACCTTAGAATTCATTGAAAACGACATGCTTTTAAAAACAAATTTGCTTTTTTCAGAGTCGATTCTGCACAAGCGAATGTTCCCCGGTCGTAACACAAGTGCGAACAGCTGGCTCAATCAAAGAAGCGGTTTTTACATTACAAGAAGAATTGACGAAAATTCCTCTTTCGGTTGGATTTTACAGCCACATGCCTCCCAGACAATACACGGAGAGAAAGAGAGTTCAAATTGAAGGTGTTTCTGTGACATGTAAAACGCTGGAACCTGTCTGTGTAGTGGATTTTAGGTGTTCACTCTAGAAACGAAGCAGAAAGCTTGCAAAAGGAAAGCTATTAAAAGAATTTCAATACACAGGCCTCAGATCTTCAGGACTTTTAGAAAACCAATTAGAAAGCTTGTCATGTTTTGACTACAGTTAGTATCAGGTTGAGCAAGGTTTAGCGGAAATTGATAGTTCTGTGGAGATCTCAATCTTTACCGGCGTGTGTTAATTAAGTAGATTGCTGACTCGCTGGTGAAGATATAAATCGGCGGAATTCTGTTGAATCGTCATTTTACTGTTTTTGCTGCAATGTTATAGTCAACCAAGCTGCGTTTGTCTGGGAAGATATTTAAATCAGTCAAGAACCTAGTTGAAAGATGGTTGTTCACAGGGATTAAGCTGCGTATCTCACTGCACTAGCCAATGCCGCAGATAAATCTCGCTTGAGACTGCTGAAGGGAAAATTTGATCACTCAGTCCCAGAGAAATAAACCTGCTGACATTATATACTAAAAACAGAAGGTGCGTGTAAGAGCACGAGGAGACCTGTGTAAGCATCGAAACGATAAACAGAAGCGAAGCTGTAGATTTTTGGCAGAGCCATGAATAATTGCTCGTCACGTACTCTATTTTACCCACACCAGAGTTGGTTCCAGGCATTAATGGCGATCATTTTCATCCTGGAAGCCCTGTTAGGTTGCCTTGCCAACCTAGGTGTGATTGTCGTCTATTTCAAACGAGGCAAATGGAATGGTGTCACTGCAATGTTTATGGTCAACCTTGCGGTTACTGACGTTTCTATGTGCCTTTTAATGATACCATATTCTACTGTCCAGTTAGTAATGTTTCCCCACACTGGTGTCGCTTTTAATATTGTCCATAATGCACTGCTTTCTGGACTCCGATTTGCCTCCATTGCAACACTGGTTGCTATAAGTTATGAGCGGATGGAATCGGTTACGAGGCCGCTTCGTGTCCATGGTACTAGAGTCAAAATGACGATTTCTGTAATATGGCTGCTATCAATACCATGCTTTTTAGTACCCATATTTGCACTTAACTCGAAATCATTCCATGAAACTCGCATATGCAATGCAAAGCTTCAAATATTCCAGTTATGGGATCTAATTGTATTTGTGATACTGTGTATTATAATGCTGTGTAATTATCGCAGTGTTCAAAACGCTGCACGAAGTAGGACCTTTGCTCTTCCTATCATGATCATTAAAGGAACAGTTGCTGTACCGGGTGTAAGCAACTTATCATCGCAAATCAAAACACAGAAAGACAAAGTCGTCAACCTCAGCCGCTTAATCCTTTCCAGCGTTATGCTACTATGGTCGCCTTTTTTAGGCCTGTCGTTTGCGAAATTCTTCGTTGGGAATACTCAGGAACTAGAAATCGCATCCGTTGTTTTACTTGCGATCGGATATTCAAATCACGTGCTGCATCCTTTGTTATACGCGGTTCCCAGTTCACATTGGAGGAAGGCTGCCATGCAGACGTTTGGCTGCTTGTTCGACAGATCAAGACACGAAACAGCTAGCTCCACGCAGAAGAGACGGGTATGCCCAACTCCAGTTGAAAAATAATGGGGGTATTTGCGGATAAGAAGACGGAGAAAAGCTATTATTTTGCAAAACAAGCAATGATCGAAGAACGCAGGACAAGATGAAATTGGCGCGTCATTCGAACCATGGACTGACAAGAATAGGCCCTTCGTGCAAGCGTGCAAGCGAGAATTTTGAAATCACTTTGATGATTTCGAGGCTGATAAGCTGTCCAAAGCCCGCGAACATTGGAAGGTGCAACGCGAATTCTTCCATCATTCCGTGTCATCATATTCAAAGTACTTATTGCTAGGAATGCTACTGGAGGAAAAAATTTCTTTGGTGTCCATTTAGCGATGATTTTGTTCCAAAGAAGTCTTGTAGATACAAGTCAAGTTCAATCTGACAGACTACCTCGACTTATGTATATAATGTCCAAATCACAATGCAATATTCATTATCTACCTTTATTGTCAAAGATGCAGCCACTAAATTTGCAGTAAATGTGCCTCAAGATAAGCAAAGCTAGTCCAGTTTGGGCCCTTGAAATTTAATTTATATCATTTGTAAAAACATGCTAGCAAAAGCTACGTAAAACTTAAGCAGTGCAACAAACGAAATGATAAAGGATAAATTTAACTGCTCCAAAATTTCGATTGTAATTCTATTTGTACAGTGGTCTCAAAATTGAGCCGTCCTCTTGTAATGGATTAGCAAAATACAATAATGCCAAATAGAAACTGTAGAATATTGTAAAAAATACACGCTTTTGTCTAATTAGAAACTTTAAAAAGAAACTGAGCCCTAAGATGGCCAAAATATTAAGTGACTATAAAACTATTCACCTTAAACTTTAAGAAGCTGCGTGAGAATCCATCTTTTAAAGATGGGGTGAAAATGATCCTTCGCAACAATCAGGCGCCTATTTCCTGTTCAACTGACATAGAAAGAAGATTAATAGATTAATAGAAAGAAGCTAGGGCGCTTACCAGGGGCGGACTGGCACTTAACTTCTGGGGTGGCTTGGTGGCTCTAAAATGGCCTGTAGGGCGTGCCAAGGCCTTTAATAGGTGTGGTCACTTATAAAACCTAATTCGCGTACTCTAAAATTGATACTAATTTGCATAAGTTTAATCAGTTCCAGAGAGTTTAGGCAGGATAGTCATTGTTTCCAATCAGCAAAGCTCAAGTTTATCGTTATGAATTTACGTATCGATTCAAAAATTTCCTCATGAAGGGCCTGCTTTCTGAGGGGCCCGGGTGGCGATCGACACATAGCCAACCGGACCAGTCCACCCCTGCCACTTGCAAATGATAAGGTTCACCTCATCTTCCATACAACTAAAAGTAGCTCTTTAGCACTTCGCAACGAATACCTACAAAGTTACACAACGAATTACATGTTCAAACGTTTAGCTTCTAATGAAAAATGCGTGTACTGAGTAAAATTAATTGGATATAAATACAACTGAAAGAGTGGCGTGTTTTTCTTTTCATTATAATAGGGTTAATTTCGTTACCAGCAGGGAGGATGTGCAAAATCTGATGACTTCTTTCTGTCACCTGTTTTCTTTAAGTAAATGCTATTAATGTTAGCTAAGTGTCTTTTTGTCTAGAAGCTGCTTTTACAAGTCTTAGACAGAAGGCAAAGACCTGTTTGAATTTGGTTGGCCAGCGCAACTAAGTGGGTTGGTTGGCCTAAGTGGGCTGGATAGCCTAAGTTGGTTGGCTGGCTAAAGTGCATAAGCTTGACTTACTGTGTTGACTGGCCTAAGTGCGTTAGGTGACCCAAGTGGGCTGGCTGGCTGGCCTAAGTTTGTTATCTGATCTAAGTTAGTTGGCTGGCCTAAGTTGGTTTGCAGGCCTTACTGTGTTGGTTGGCCTTATTGGGTTGGCTTACCAAGATGATATCCATGCTTTGTATGAATAATTTCGTAATTCTGCATTTCGGTTTACATGGAGAGTGAGCAAGACACTCAGGTGTGAGATCCTCCAGAATGAGAAGTAGAATCAGCGTCAGATGAGATGAAAAATTATCTTTGTAAAAATTAGATTGGGTTGGCTGGCCTACTCAAGTGGGCTGGAATCAATACCTTTACTCATTTCCGAATCGATAACAGCTCGAATGGCTCACAAAAACAACGCTTTCCCCAATTTGATGTAGAACAATTTCAAGGCGACGAATCAAATGTTTAAAAGGAGCCATTCCTTTTCTTTAAGGTATCAAAAGTTTTTGACTATGAACTTCAGATAATTTCAATTTTCATGACCCAGCTCTGAATTGTAAATGTAAGCCGCCGGTCGAAAAAGGATTTTGAATTAAACATTAACAAAAAGAACATAATGTTATGAATTTGTTCCAGACTTCAAACATCCATCTTCTAACTGGATTTGGAACGCCACTTCACACTAGACCAAAAAGATTTGTCTCTTCTTTGTATTTGAGGGCTGATGCAGAATATCATTGTCCAAGAAATCTGTTGTTTGAGGTTCTATAAATAACGTTTTTCTATTGATTCCTAATGTTTCACAAAGAAAGTTATTTTTCTCAAGAAAGGCTTTAATCAAAATTCAGTGGCGTAGCTTGATCTTCCAGACCAGACGGATGGAGTGTCATGAGTAGTAAAATTTACTGACGAAGACATAGGTAAGGAGAAATTTAGGTGCTATTTCACCTACCGATAGACGATTTTATCAACAAACCAGAGAATCTTTCCACCAAATAAAAATTTACCAAATAAAAATTTACCGACAAATTCATGAAGAATTGGGGGATGTCACAACCCCCCTACATCCCCTCACCAGTTAGGCCCCGGAAAATTGTCTTGAAGAAATTTTTCTTTAAATATGTATTCCAACTAGACTTCATGTCGGTATGGAGTAGATAACCAGCTGTATGGCATTTAGTCTTTTGTTTTTTAACATCTCAAGTATTTTATGACCGAAGAGACTTTAGTAAAAAGGCTTCTTTCCCAATTAACAAATGAAGGTTAAGATAGAAACAACTGTCAAACACGTTAATACTGTGTGGTGAACGAGTATTCTCCGGGAAAAGCTGCTTTGCAATAGGCCACTGTCAAAGTCCTGCAAGGATCAACAGGTTTAGATAAGGAACCAGGGAGGAGGAGACACGTCACAAAGATACACGTTGTGTTTTGGCGAACCTGGTATTGTGCAGCAATGTGCTGTAAATGATAAATATTTGAAGTTGAAATCTGCTAGAAAAGATTTTCTAAGATTCCTAAAAAATAATTATTACGTTATTAATATATATTTATAATTTTGATACACTTTTGAGTCGATTTTACTTAGAATATTTCTAAATATCTCCATAACTTCTTCAAACTTAAAATCCTTTCAACTTTGGTTGAATTGAATGGGCTTTCAAACTTTTTTTTGCGTGTTTAAGTAGCTTTGAAAAAACTTTGTTTACAGAAGGGAAAAATAAGCTGTTGATAATATATATTTTCTGTTGTTTTTGTTTACTCTCGACACGTTGCGTTGTTCCTTCCCTCTTCCATTTCTGGGTTGCCTGGAAAAGCCATAGAAGGAACTATCTGTTTTCATACTCTCATTTGCATTTTGCATTTTATATTTTGCATTTTTTCGGGCTACTTTGATATGTTGGGTTTTAGTCCAATGTTTCTAAATATACAATATCTTTATACGAAACAAAGCACAGGAGTTGTACACAGTCTTTCTAATTTTTTGTTGATTTTAGTACTCATATTTTCTTAAAGGTTTCTTAAATACCAAATTACATATGCTAAAGACAAAAAAATGTGGCAGATGATAACATAAAGATTCTTCATTCTTTTATCTATGTCAGTTGAACAGAGAATAGGTACCTAGTCGTGGAAAGGGAAGTTTTCCATCACATCTTTAAAGGTAGGTACTCGGTATTTTCAGTATTACGGCTTCTTAGATTTTTGGAAATTTTGTGAACTCGGTTTCTTCTAGATAGTTTCTCATAGAAAAGTTTTTATTTAAAAATATTTAAGCAACTTTTATTTTCTTTCCTTCTAGTCTAAAAAATCTCAATGCTTTTGTTTGCAAGCTACCCAAATATAAAAAGTTTATGCTTTGCCAATGCATAAATGATTCTCGAGTCCGCATGCGCTGTAGAAATAACTGGTACAATGCATGTTCGCAGTCATCTTGTTCAATTTAGTACAAAAACGTCGCTTTCCTCCAAGAAAACATTATATAATTTGCTGCATTGGTTAGGTATTTAAGAGACAGAGCCTGCTAAGATCTTGAGAAGGCATCAACTGAGTTGCTAAAATACTGAATGATAGCTTCTTAATTTTTAATAATCAAGACCCAGGATTTCGATTTCATTAGCTAGCAATTAACACCGGCACACCAGCAGTTTGTAGTTGCATAAGACAACAAACTGTTTTGCGTACATTCAAACTGCTGAAGCAACGCGTTAATCAACCATTTTTGCACAAGGAGCGCTATCCCGTGAACACCGTGAATACAAGGAGGGAAAATCTATTTAATTGATAAACATTCACAATAAAGCCTAAATATCTTGTATGTTGACTTGAAGTTAATCGCAAAGTCCTGTTTAGTAAACTGAATAGCTAGGGCGTTGGATCAAGAAATGCCATGACCTCGAGCGACTTTTGAGTTCTTTATATGCAGTTTGGTCTAGCATGCGGGGTATCGCAAGGATCTTTAATTGGGGCCATTTTGTTTATCATTAAACGTATACTGTATGCTTGTGTTAATAACAATTGTAAAATACTTTGCTATTTACCATAGCTAAAATGACTCAAATAATGGGGGAAAAATTTTGTAAAAAGGGCGTTTCCCCGCATTTGCGAGTGTTTGAAGGGCGTGGCCCAAAAAATTCTGGGGCCTAAGCCCCAGACCCCCCCGCTACTACAGCCCTGGGTACGCCACTGTTTCTGTTTGTTTCTACCAAGCATCCGAAAGGTAGTTTTTAGAACACTGAGAAGCTATGCTTATCGAGCAGTGTCCTGGTCCTTCCTCTCGATGTGACCACACCTCGTGATCCTATGCCTGGAATTACAGAGAGCTGGCGACTCTCCCCACTCCGGGTGAAAGTTTGGTCATGCCAGGGACTTGAACCACGGACCCTTGGGTCTGTAGTCAGCGCCTCTAACAACTGAACCATCCTCGTAGGATCAAAATGACCTCGTGTGATTTCTATCTTGCAGAAATCTTTATATACAGTTTCGCAAGGGTCTTAATTTGGGCCTCTTTGCTTATAATTCAGTGTCGAATCAAAACTTTCCATGTTCTCGTGCAATCTCCCTCTTATAGAAACTTTGTATATACAGTTTGGAAATGCATATAGGGTATTGCAAGGATCTTCTTTTAGGCTTTTCTGTTTATCATTGAACCTTAGGTTTTCAATCTCCTGTGATGAGATAACCAGAGTGAACTCTCGCGCTGTCTAGGAAATTGTTTGACGTAATTTCCGAACAAAATGCTTTACATTCTTAAATGCTTTCCTTCTAATTTTTTGGGAATGGGCCAAATTTGACCCACCCTAAGATGTACCCCTCCCCCTCAAGATCAACCCTCCTTTACCTACCCTTGTCACACAGATACAGACCTACACAAATTTAATTTTATAAATCTGAACCATTTTTTGTTTATTTTTTTCGTTTCTAACAAACTTTCAAATGATCACTCCTCCGCAAATATTACTCCAGTTGTAGCGACACCATCAGAACCACAGTGTTCACTTCAATGGGCCTATTGACAGTTTAGTATCTGTCATTGTCCTCTATGGAAATTGAAACTGGTCGCATTATCGCGTTACATCTGTTTGATTTGAGGGCAGTTACTTTACTGTGTTGGTCTGTATACTGTCTTTGAAGTTTCAAACAGTTCCGGAGTTGAGTGGGGCTGCGGGAAAACCTTGCCTGGTCATCCGTTGTCGCAGGCCTAAGCTTGGAAAAGGGGCCTTAACCGTCCTTTATCCGGCGAAATCACGCTGCTAGCCAAAGTAAAACGACATTGATTAATTTATCAATCCATTTATTTTGAATTTGAGACTGAGAAATGGCGGAAGCAAGATTGGCTGTGGCTTTCCAATTTGCAGTCACAGATGAAGGGGTTGTCGTCAATGTTGATAAAGAAGTTGTAAAGTTGGTGGCAAGATCGGCCTACAAGTCAGTTAAAAGAAGATGCAAATACGCAAAAAACACAATTCTTAAAGGAGTCTACCCTGCATCGCCAGCGACATGGATGTTCGTTCTTGCTGCTGTTTTAGCGGCAAGACATCACCAACATGAAGTAACGATGGACATGCTTGATAGAATGGAACGTGGATTTCCCGGGTGAGTGGAGAAAAAGCTACCCATTATCCAAAGTTTTAAGTTGTCTTGTTTATTTATCTGATCCTGTATTCATTCGGCACCCCGCAATCCTATTTGGTGATGCAGTTGGACTTGGAATATTCCTTACGTGACTCTGTTGGAGTTTTTTCTTTCGTTACACGAGGAACGCCTCTGTCGACGCCCCTCTCGACCTTGATCCTTGTGCGGTGGCCATTGAATTTCATCTGCCGTTTGTTTATCATTGGGGAAAAAGCATTTCATTCGTATAATTTCAACATCCTTATCAAACATGCTTAGAAAAACAACAAAAGTAAATTCGGTACTACCACCAAATGTTTTTGCTTGAACCAAGAAGACAAATATGATATGTTTTCAATCATAATATCCATTTGCCCTTTGGACCCACGGTAAATTTTTCAGGAATGTTGTCTGGCTTTTTAACAATGGTTTCCAAAGTCACAAACAGTATAAACTGCCTAATCAGCGATATTTTTCAAACTGTGTAGCTAAAAGTTTATACTACAGCTAATGTACAGCCTGTGCCATCGATTCTAAAGTGGTGGGGCCAGCTATAGCAATATCATTTTTCCCCTACCCCACGTTGTGGCAAATGTTTTGCTGAGTCAGTTTTACTGTGGATTTTCGCATTTATATTTTGTATTTGTATTTGTTTCTACCTAGCATCCGAAGTTAGTCTTCAGGTCACTGAGATGCTTATGCTTATCAAGCAGTGTCCTAATCCTTTCTCTTGGTGTGACCAAACCTCGTGATTCCTACGTCTAGAATTACAAAGGGCTTAAAACTCTCCTCCTTCTGAGGGAAAGTTCGGTCATGCCAGGGACTTGAACCACTGTCAGGGACCTGAACCACAATTGAATGGGAACCCGTTCCCTGCGCATACCCAAACTTTGCAATCTGGTTTGGGATCTTGTTTGCTTTTCCTCATTGAAATTTGTTCCCACTATCACCATCAACTTTTGAATGTCAAAGTAAAGGGAGTGTGGGCTCTTAGTCTTTGAGGAAGGGCAACACAGTCCCATTTTGCTATTTTTCTTCCAAAATGTTAGAGTTCTATTTTAGGGGTACACTGATTTTAAAATGAATCATACTGTAATGAATCATACTGTAATGAATCATACTTGAAATGATTCTACAAAACCTGCAAGGCTTATCTTGCAAAAGTATGGTTTTCATGAAAAGTTCAATATCATAGCAACCTTTGAAGCACAACTCTTCATCAGATGAAAAGTAAATCTATTAGGACATAGAAAAGTCAGCAATGTATTTGATAATAGTTCATTCTTGAAAAAATTCACAATCATTGAAGCAGTTTGCATAAGTTTGAAATCCATTTCCAAATTAGAACCACTATAATCGGATTTTTATTGCAATTGAATCAATGCCGAGAATGGTTAAATCCAGTTTCCAGAGAGCCTTTTCTCGGTATGAAATGTTCTCAGAGACTAATATATATTGTTAGCAATGTTAAAAATTTATAGGAAGAATTAAATATTATGCTTAGTCCAAAATCATGAGAGGCCAAAATATGTGCAAATTAAGATTCTCTGAAAGATCTTGATAATGCATAAAACTGCTTCAAAGTTATTGCCTGAGAAGTTTCAGAATCAAGGCTGTTTACATCAAAGCCTGCTTTCTGTCTTTATGGCATCTAGCATCCAACAATAGGCTAGTTACAAAGAATCCATGTTTATTTTAGTGGTCATCGTTTGGACAAAAGCACTGTTATTGGCATTTGCATATTCACCATGGTGACAGCAATTTGGCTCTTCATGGGTTATTTCTTACAGTTTTCATTGAGAAAGTTACTGGCTTACAAAGGACTTTTGTATGAAAGCAGAGGGTATGTTTAGTCTATTAGATGTATTGAAATAGCTGTATTTACTTTTGTTAAGTTGAAAAGGTGAGAAGACAGTGTGTGCTGGCAGCTGACATATCAATTCAACTATGTGCAAATTTCTCAACCTCAGTTTTTTAAAGGCTTCTAATTAAGCTGTTTTGATCCTCTTTGTCTTTATTTTTGTCAAACTTATTTAAAGGTCTATATTAAGGTCTATTTATATAACTGTGGTCTTCAAGGGCTTTTATCTCCAATTTTAAAATTTCCCACTTTTCATTGAAGATTCTACATCAGAACCTTTGGAAAAGTGCAAACTTTTCTGAGACATTGAGTATCATTCTACTCATGTCCCTCCAATTTTGAAATGTTTGTCAGTATCTCTGTTTCAAAATGTATTCTATTAGTGAGTTTTTTTTATGCTACCACCCCATTTATACTTCATAGAGATGTGCCATATTATACCATTCTTCTCCCCTGCACTTTTTCATAACAATCACTGTGTTTTTAAAGTGTTGTCCTTTTGGTATGAATTTGACTGCTCTCCATGAAAGTTGAACTTCATTGTTTTAATATTTTGTCTTCAATGAGGCATCTTTATACTCAATTATTTTAATTTCAATTTCAGGCCATTTACTTTTAAAACAAAAATATGGGTGGTAAGATCTTTTTCTTTTAGGTCATAATTCTTTTTCTGTCTTTCAAGAGCAGCTATTCAGTTTTATGTGCCATAAAGTTTGACATATTACCAAGGCCGTCGAGAGGCAGGTTGGGCCCAGAGGTGATTCAAAAAACTTGACCCCCTGAAGAAAATTTCCCGTGGCCAAGCCCTTCAGTCTCCCAGAGAACAAGGGAAACACCCATTTTTGGTACCACTGTTGAAAAAGTTTTTGTAAGGATTTTTGCAAGAATATGTAAAAACATTTTACATGAATCAAGGACATGTGGACATTTCTCTCCGATAAACTTACAGGCATTGATTCCGTATAAGGGGCTGCATAGAAGCTTTTTTGCATTGTAAATAGATCTTGTTACTTTATTTCCAGCCCTAGCCCTATCCCTCCTAACCCCCCTCTCGACGCCCCTGCATATTACCATGTTTGGTAGACTCTTTGTTGATTTCATTTCTGAACTTGCATTTCATGTGATTTATTAGTAGCACTTTCGTTCTAAGTAACTTCATTGTCATAATGATTTTCGTTTTAGTACTTTGTCATTTATCATTCTTTACTCATACTTCTTTTATATTTCATATATGTCATCAAGTAAAGACCCTTCTCTTCAGTAAAAACAAAACATAGGCCTGAATATGATACTTTGAGGGGCCTTAATATGATGATACCTACAGAAAGAGTAGTTTAATGGCTGTCTGACAATTGTATTGATCATTAAACTTAAAGTTAGAACTTAGGAATGTCCTGTTTTATAAACCATAACATCTTTTAATTTTCAGATGTTTGTAAGATTGTTGTCAGGAAGGAATCCCTTATTATATAGTTACCAAAAATCAATGCCAGCATTGCCTGTTCCAGACTTGGAGAGAACTGTTGAAAGAGTGAGTCTTTATTATATAATTGAATTCAACTACTTTTCAGTTTAATAGAATTGTACTAATTGGTAAACTTACTATTTATAATGAAATTCTTGAGATGTGCACTTTTATAAAGAGAGTTGTTGTTAGTTGAAACTTCTGTAATATTTGTGAATTTTTGACAAAGCACTAATGCATTTTCTGTCATAGTAGGTACAAAGGTTTAAAATTTTGAGCTATGCCAATAAAAGTTGATAGGTGTCATTAAGATTAACAGACTCGACAGTTAGAGCACTTGGCTGTAGTGCAGAAGGTGACAATCCAGCAACAATCTGTATTTTAGATGTTAATCTTCTGTCCAATCAGCAGCAATTGGGTGCCCAGTGACTGCAATGTCTCAATGTGACATTACAAAATTATTATGTGAAAAGGGATCATAGCTTCAAAGCCCAATTTACATATATCAGGTCTTTGTTGTTTGCAACTAGTTTCTTATGTTTAGCTTGCTGCTTGATAGACAATTTCTCTCTCTAGTATTTAAGATCTGTAAAGCAACTGCTGAGCGAGGAAGAATACAAAAAGATGGAGGAGCTTGCCACAGAATTTAAGGTTGCTAATTAATTTGTTTCATTCTAGTTCTCAAAATAAGTATTCTATGTCAGTCATGAATTGAAAAACTTTTTAATTTTGAATGTAGGATTGTTTTTTTTCACTTTGTACAAATACGTAATCATATAAGGATATGTGCATTAATGTTTAATTCATGTTCTTATTTTTTGTCAAAATAATGTCATAGTTAATAATACTTTGCTCAGAATTTTTTAAACTTGGTTTTCTCTAAAAAGTCTCAATTTTATTTTTAGACTGGTATTGGGCTCAAGTTGCAGAGATATTTGATGTTAAAGTCTTATTTTTCTTCAAACTATGTATGTACATTTATACTTTTAATGTGTATATTTCTAACAGTTCTATTTGTCTATACACATCAGTTTAAGTATGAACTAACACATCCATATACACATGTCTATACACATCTGTATAAACTGGGTTATTGCAGGATGGGCAAACATGCCTTTTTTTCTAGGAAATTGTGGTAAAGTTTTCACAATTTTGGGAATTTATGGAATTCTGCATCATTCTGCTCCAAAAAACCATCTTGTAGTAAATTTATCTCAAATATCTTATTCCTGGTCTCAAACCTCAGTATAAAAAGACAAAACTGTATTTCTTTGCCTGTGACTGCTGTAAAGTGTTGCAAACAATTTCATTGTGAAGAAGCTTTAATATTTCAACCGCTGCAAACTGAAATCCTCATATATATTTGGCTTTAACTCTAAGCAGATATAGAGTACCGAAATGTGATGTCATCGAAAGTCTGTGTTTAGAATCTCTTTATTTTGACCACATAATCTGAAAGAACGGCATAAAAAACTTTTCAACATGCAAAATAAGTTAGATATATTCAAAATTGGGCGAGATATGGCCAATGAAAAACTTCAAGTTTGCTAACGGATTACTGTTATTCTGGTCTGGATCATAAATTATAAACCAAGGCGAAATTACTGAGGTTTGATGGGGGTAAGAGCCTGTGCTCATGTGGCGAATATCTCCTCCAATTCGTAACACATTCTCGTGATTTTGATAATGCCCTAGTTGCTTTTGGAGAGGTTTTGTTTACAGAGGACACACCCAACTTCCTTGCAATGTTATCAAAGTCATCATCATGCAGAAAGTTAACTTTAGCTTCGTGGCTTTCAATCCAGCCTTGTTTTGTCTTGTGTTTGTCTACAGACATCAACAAAACTTCGTACATATCTACATTTTCCTTGATATTATCAGTGTAACTGATTCAAGTCTCCTTCTGCTTTGATAATCGTAAAAAAGTTTTAGTAAACAATCTCCCTGTTCTTTATGTTGATTGTTCCTTTTAATGTATCATGTTAGATTAGAATTTTCAATCCTCTTTGCAGGTCAGTGACTGGTGGGAACGTTTTGTTTATCTCAGATCTCGCTCACAACTCATGATTAATAGTAACTATTATGGAGTGGTATGTTTCAGCTTATGGCTTGTTTTGTTGAATGGGATAACGTGTACCAACATTCCCTCAAGCATAGTAAATTGCCGTCAGAGTGAAATATGTTAAAGGGGGTTGGCGTATGTTGTGTATACTACGTGCCTTCTAGTACTCTCTCTCTCTGTCTGTTACAAAAGTATAATGATATAGTTTGGCAATTATTGGGGGCTGGGGGCAGCCCCCTGAAATTCCCCACTTCTTGCGGCCCTGTAATAATCCCAGCTCATTGCACTTTGGCAGATAAGTTTCCTTCCTTTAAATCAAATCCCTTCTTTTTAGGGTTACTTCCAATTTGTGGAGTATACCTGCCCTCCTTTTTGGTTTATTTATTTTTCAGTGTATAAAGTTCTTTAATTTAGCATTTTATATTCGTTTTAGGACACCCTCGACATGCCACCGACGACCATTCAAACAGCAAGGGCGGCTAACTACATTTATGCTTTGCTATCATTCAGAAAAATGATTGACAAGCAAAAATTGAAGCCGGTAATTTTAACCAATCAGCATTCAGTAAATAAGGGCCTTGCCTTATCCAACTTTTCATGCCCAAATTTTCGAACACGCAACAGCATTGACTGGGCGTAATTTGAAGAACTTTTTTGCCAACCTTTTTTATTTTTACTGTCATAAATCGCAGTCTCTCATGTTGTAATTCTATATTCCTATTAATAAAATTTTCCCTTTAGATAATGTTTTGTTTACTTCAATCATTGTATTGCAGTTGAAGCATATGGGTATTTATCCCCTGTGTTCCGCCCAGTATGAAAGAGTTTTCAATACAACTCGAATTCCTGGAAAAGAGGAAGGCAAGCTGACATTTTTCTCTGTTTCAAACATATTTGATTTCTATTGTTGAATCCTGCTACAAACCTGAATCGTAAACCGCATGACTCCGGACTGACTTTCATTTGCTATTTGATTTCTACGTTATTCAAATCAAATGTAGTAACCTGGACAAATTGGACATTCCCTACGTGAGACCAATTTTCATAACAAAGCTTAGTTTCTTTTAATTCATTTCGAAGCTTTTAATTTTTTGTTTGTTTGATTAGCGATGACAAATTATTTTTCTTCTACAGATGTGCTCCAGCATTTGCAAAGCTCAAATCACATAGTTGTTTATCATAGAGGCAAATATTACAAATTGACCTGTGTTTTCAGTGGGAAAGTTTTAAAGCCCGCCGATCTTGAACAGTAAGCACTTTATGTCTTTCTTTCCATCTACAATAATGTGAGCTGCAACTCTCTCGAGAACATTCCATATTATTGCATTGTAGGTTATTCTTTCTTTTTATATATTATTTTAAACTAATTTTTTCGAAAATGCTTTAATTTTTGTGAGTTTTCGATTTATTCGATTGTCTCGTTTGAAAATATTTTTCTATTCTTTGGCTATTTTCCGATTGTTTTTTAATGGCATGGAATATTTGTAGAATGTAACTTTGTTTCTTTAAGAATTTTTTCAACACTAATCGGAGGATGCATATGTGGTTGATATGCAGATATTTTAGGTGCTTCTTCTATGGCGCTAGAGACTCTTTCTTTCGCTTGTTAAAGAATTCGTATCCAGTTTTGAACTGCTTGTATTTCTTTAGCCAGCTGATCAAGATCGTCAACGACGATGAAACCAAACCATTCCCCGGTGAAGAGAAGCTCGCTGCTTTAACTGCTGACATGAGGTTTGTGCTTTTTTAATACCTTTATACCCGAGTTAAGGTTTGAGATAAAAACAGACGTCCATCTCTCAGTGCAGTTTATGACAAAAGGAGCTCTACCAATGAAAATTGTGACTAAGAACATCGCTTCAGTCGATTACCTTTTTTGTCAACATTACAATTTGGCAAAAAGGCGATCACCTTCTTTACTCTGGGATTTCCTTATGAAAAGGTCTGACTAAAATGGTCTCAGATATTGCGAATGATATTCCCAAATTGTATCATTGAAATTTTGTGATCATGAAATTTTGATCAAAGTAATGGTATGAAATATTTTCTATAACCACATAAAACTGTACTGTTGAAAGACGAGTCGTCCCGGCAACTATTTCTTTTCCTGCCCTGGTCGTATCACTCGCTCACATTTCTATTAAAGAATATTTTCCAAAATCGTTCCCTTCTATCTTTAACTTCGTATGCGTTACCTGTAGCTCACTGGTAACTTAAAATCATGATATTTTTTCCTCTCCCTGTTTCATTTATCTATTTTGGCCTATTGATCTTTCTTTATCTTCTTGAAAAGATGTGTGTCTATCTGCTTTGTACGAAAATGTCTTATTTTTGTTTTTTTTTACCTTTTTTAACAGACCTTTGCAGAAGTCCTCATTTGGCTTATTTCTACTTTTTAAATCACCTTTTTTTCGTTTCAGGCCTCATTGGGCAGAAGTGAGAAACAAATACTTCAGCACTGGTGATAATAAAGCATCTTTGGGAATGATTGAAAGGGTAAGGCGATTTCTTTATTTGAATTATCCTGTCTCGGCCGAAAACATTTAGGTAGCTGTCTCAGTGGACGCTCTTTTTGTAATCCTCTAACGCTAAAATTCCAGGATTTAACCTCAGCTCCGCATCCTACCGATTGCATGCTCCCTTCCATCAAGTTTCTTTTTGCGTGTACCAAGTCTTTTTTTACCCATCAGGCGGCGTTTGTTGTTGCACTGGATGACACAGATGGTGGAATCTTTGTCAAGGTGGGTCAAATAATTGCCATTTTCTAAATTATAAAGCATTTCTTTATTCACATTGGTTTTAACTTAGCAGTTATTATAACCTTTAAAGTAAGAGATAGTTAAGGAATGATTAAGCAAAGGTGACTGTTCTCAGAAGAATTTAGCTGCTAAAGTCAAAGGAGGATATAAATTGCATATCCAATTTGAAACGGAGTTTCAAGGATATTTGCACATCTGTCTCTGTATGATAAAATTTTAGTGTGTCAAATTCTATCTGGTATTCAAAAGACTTATTGTATTTAAAACTAATTAAGTTTCACATTTGTAGGACGACCCAGACCAAATGGATGAATTTGCAAGATCGAATTTGCACGGCAATGGATACAACAGATGGTTTGATAAATCATTCACGCTAATAGTCTGTAAAAATGGAAAAGTGAGTTTATTATTGGTCTTCCTTCTTCAAATGTCGCATGCAAGAAAACAATAAACATCTACATTATATTATATTATTATATTATATTATAGTAGACAATCATCTACGTTATATATGACATAACCAGGAAGACACGAATCCCGATTACTGACGATCCAGGATAGACTAAGCAATAATATTGATAACGTTTTGAGATAAACGCATCCCATCAATGGCTTTCCTTTTAAATGTTTGATTAGCAAGAAGAAAAAATTATCTCTTTTAGAAGGAAGAGGGGAGACAAGCTTAAAGGTAATGTGTCCAGCTAAAGCAAGCGACTCTGCGGGGGTTTTTAGAAACATGTGATTCTTCATGTCATCGCCCCAGTCATTACGGTTGTTTTGTTTATTTATCCTGCTGCGAGGTCAGTTTTTCATGTGAGCAGTTTTGCATCGCAAGAATACTAACCAATTGCAAACTGTTATTTTGATGGGTGGCTTGACAAGTTGGGTATACGCAGTCCTTTTATATGGACACATTACTTTTAAGCTTTCTAAAGGAGTTTGTCTCGACTGACTGAAATCCAACTGTTTTCCTAGTCGATTTAATAAAATTCTACCCTACTCATTTCTGTAATAATCCATCGATAGGAAAATAATTTTGGTATTTATTTATGGAGGTGATGATAATAGATTTTAATTGTATTTTAAGTCTGATTTGTGTCTGTTGTTTCTCGTCCCAAGACAGAATGAAAAGTTATCAATGTCATTACTGAATAGCATGCTACTTAAAGATAGCTCCTTCTAAAAGCTCCTTGGTAATTAGTATCATTTTCGCAGATATTTTATAGTCTTTTCTCTTTCGAATACAGGTTGGTTTCAATACTGAACATTCTTGGTAAGATTTTCAGTTCTATTCTTTTATGCGGACTATTCTTTTATGCTTAAGCTTACCAACTGTAAAGTAACTTCCCAAATTATATGACATTTTAGTGACTTCATCTGTTAAGTTAACGTGAATTTGGTTTTTTGACAAAATGGGACCAACTGTAAATATACTTTTTGCATTCTCTTCATGAAGAATCCCGTTTTTGTCACAAAACCTCGCCATTTCCCCCCTAGTCCCACTCTTTTATTGGGAGTTCTGTCTCTCAAACAAATGCATTTCCATGTGCCATCTTTTATCAAATTTCTAATGTTACCTATAAATAGAGAAGATATATCAATTGTAAGTAAATGAAACAATAAATAAATAGGTGAATAATTATATACTGTTGCTTGATGATTGCATTAAGCGTAAGGCTTGGAGCTGCAAAGTGTGTACTGCTCTGCCTATACTATGGCGTCGAGTAATATATGACAGACCAATGAGCTATATTTTTTTAAGTAAATAGATAGATACGAAATAGATGAATATATGAATTCATTTGTTTCTACAGGGCTGATGCACCTGTAATGGGGCAAGTGGCTGAATGGGTCATGGTTGAAGATGTTGAAAAATTAAAGTAAGTTATCAGAAATCAAACCAACTTTGATTATTGCCAAACCAGTATAATACAACTTCTTTGTTGATAGAATCAAAGCCAACATACTTGCAGATTGTATATTTAATGTATACAACTGCTTGTGTCATATTGTGTAAAATTATATATTGTTGTTTAGATACACAGAAGATGGACATTGTAAGGGCGAACCTGAATTCGCAAACTGGCCCTGGTTCATGAAACTTCGATGGGACATCAATGAAGACGTTAGTAACCTTTCCTATTTGTTCTAGGAAGCTCTTTTCTCGTGCCCAGGGCCCTTTCAGTCTCAGATTGACGGAGAGGCTAGTAAAGTCAGTTTGGATGATTAAAATTGAAAATAGAGCGCAATAAAGGCTTTTTAGCTGTCACCTTGACAATTCGCTGGTGCACCATAACCATAATCTCAGTGATCAAATTTTTCAGTGGTTTACTTTATACACCTTTGCGAAAAAACTTTTTTTTACTTTTAGTTTAAATAGTTAGTAGAATCTTATCTCTGCTTTTTGGTTTGGAAGGTTTTTTTTGGAAGGTTGTCAAGTCTGAGTTATAGGATTGGATCAAGCAAATGGCCCTAAAAACTATAAAGAAAAAGCCAAACTTTCTAGCTCGCTCAAAACACCTAGATTAACAATTTTCCTTATTAAGGTAGAAAATAGGTTAGAATCTTCAACTAGCTTAGAGATAAAAGTGAAAAATCGTAAGTCTTTATTGATGGGAAGAACGTTTGTATAACTTTGTCTTTAGCTTTGCCTCTAGCTGTGGTAAACCAAGATATGCCTCTAGCTTTGTTCATAAACAAATGTTTTGGTTTATTGTTTATCCTTAAATATAATCTTTATTACCTGTTGCTAATTACATTGCAGTGTCAAGCAATCATAGAAAAGTCAGCAGAGGACGCCAAGCTGTTGATTGATGACGTCGACCTACACCTGATGATCCATGATGAATATGGTTCGTTGCTACCTCGTTTCTATGATGCTGCCTCGTTTCATGTTTTGCCGTTGCATTGTAAATGTCTGTCTGTGTAGGAATTGAGAACATTTTCTCGGCTGCCTGTTTGCGTAGAAATTGTCGTCTAGTACGATAAAATTTCAGCATTATAAAACTGGTTTGGTGTCTCACAGGTTCAAAAGAGTGAGTGAGGGGTTTCAGATTTGATATGAAAGTGTATTTCATTGAATACAGTTTGGGGAATTAGCGATTTCTTCAGCTCAGTATTCTGAAAATTTATAAATTTATGTGTGTTTTCAGCTCTGTGGTTTCCTAATGTTCACAAAATTATGGACTATGTAGATAAATTTAAGTCCGTATTTTAATGAATTTCGGGTTCTCATTATGCTGTTTGAAGAGTATAAGCAAGCGTGCTTTTACGATCCTCTGACGACTAGCCACTTTTCATATCTAGAAGCATATTTCAAGCAAAGTGTGTACCCATATGGATGATCACGATGAAAGATCCTTCCAACAACATGACTTTTTTAATAGTGCATAATTGCATTCTTAATCATTAGAGCAGTCTTTCGTCATGGTTTGAGCTGCCTAATTTAGATAAACCCTGCTTTTCTAGGTTCGTTCAGAGTTACCCTAATTTTTTACCGCTTATTTAACGTTTGTAACCAAATTTTCTACAGTGTAGCTACTTCCACAGAATGAATTGAATTGATATAGCTTGAATTGAATTGAAAGAATAATCTTGACAGCGGCTCCTTACGACTGACTAGTTTTACACGCCCTTTTTTTCTAGGAAAACGCATCATGAAACAAATAAAAACCAGGTTGGTATTCAAGTGATTTTCATATTTGTCTCATAATCAAATAAAGTGTGTTTTTTTCGTTTTATTAGTTTCTTGTTAGGCCTATACTGTCCATGATCTACGCAATGCGCCTCCAACTATTCATTGTGACGTCATTTACAATGTATGACGAATTCGTGTCTTGCTATATTTACAATGTATGGCTAGATTCGTGTCTTGCTACATACCTCTGATCCGAACTCAATCACGAGACATACATGACGTCATTCAAACAACTATACTTACTATGCAGAAACCTAGCTTTTCATGATACTTTGTAACTGAAACCCGGTTTGATATTTTTGCTACACTACACGCAAATGGCAAAGAAGTCACAGAACAACAGCAAAGAAAGAACGTTCTCATAAAAGGTCGAACAAGCTCTACAAATGTAATACTTTTAAATTGCCTTAACAACGTTGCTGCAAATTAACTTTCTTTTCACCTTAGTCCCGATGCATTCATTCAAGTCGCTTTGCAAATGGCTTTCTTCAAGGTATAGTTTATGTTTTTGTGAGTTCGCAGTATTGAATGAAAAGTGAAGTTTGCTGGTTTATATATGAAGCATCCTTTCTTGTTTTCAGTAAAGTTTATTTGTTGGTTCGGGTTTCTTGATAGTTCTCCTGGTTCTCCTGCCTTTACATTGCTTTTACAGTGATTACACTTCCTCTTGATTGCCCTCTCCCATATTTATTCTACCTTTGCCGCCATATCGCCCATTTTCTTAACTTCTGACTGCTCTTTCTCTCTATACACCCTCCAAACCCTTTTCTATTCACTGCGCCCTCCCCATTTAATCTGAAACATTCCAAAGCAACACACACCAAGCTTGCTTTATCATATCTTATTTTCTTAGCTCCATGATGTTGCATTGAGGACGTGAAAAAGGTCTCAATTTCAGCAATTCCTAACGAGCAATAACATTTAGCTGATTGTATTTACCTTTTCTAGGATGCTGGCCATTGTTGTTTGACCTACGAAGCCGCCATGACCAGACTTTTCAGGTAACTTGTCTTGTCCATGCCATTTCTTTACATTGAAACTCCCCCGTCACACTAGTTCCCTTTGTACAGTCACAGACCTCGACTATAGTGGTCTCCATCATTGTATTTGCTCCTTGACTACCAGGACGGGGGAGTGGGGGTAATTCAGTCACTGGAATGTTCTCAACTCCTCCTCACAGGTGATAGCCTATATGCGACGAGATGAATTCAAATTTTCCCTAATGATACGGTGCAAGCTCTTTGCCAGGCCCCACAAAGAAGGATTTGCTTCTCAGTTGATGCAAATGATACCCAGATCTAAAGCAATTTAATTTACCCTCATCGACTCTCTTTGTAGCAGTTGGGTCGTATTATATTGTGAATAAGTTTATCATTTTAAGTAAACTAGATGTTATTTATCAGCTGCCAGCCATTTTCGGTAAGAGGGCTGTTCGCCACATTTGGTAGGGAAAGTGCCATTTGTTTAAAATTTGGCATTACATTGAAATGACTAATCCTTATATTTATGCCATCGCGAATTTTTCATTTACAGGAGAGCATGTATTGCCGAAGGAATATCTTAAACCCATTCACTTTTCACAATCGCATTTGGCGAGACTCTCATTTTCGGACATCTCTTTGAAACGCACACCTCCAAATAGCGGACAAAGTGACTTATAGTTACGCTGACTCCGACTTTACCGATTTCCGTCATAAAGAAGTCTAAACACAGTTTTAATAGAGCTTTCTTTTATACCTAACCCAATGAGGTGAATAGATAGATTTAACTTATCTTCTTTCTTTGCAGAGATGGACGGACGGAAACTGTCCGTTCATGCACAATGGATACTAAAAATTTTATCGTCGCAATGAACGACGCCAATATTTCGGTGTGTACTTATGTATTACGTATTCTTGATTTCGCCATCTCTGCCTGATTTTAGGCCGATTTGATTTATGATTTTAGGTCGATTTGATTTCCATTTCACCTTGTAACCGGCGTTCTACGCAAATAAAGGCATTATAAGCCTGGTCACTTATTTAGTTGTTTCTATCATTTCCTTCTCCACTTTCCCTTGAAGTTTCCAATTTATAATTGACAATGTCCTCTTTTTTTACAGCGTGAAGAGCGCATCCGACTTTTCCGAAAAGCAACCGACAATCACGTAAAATTATACCGACAGGCAATGACCGGCCAAGGTATCTTTGTAGCAAAACACTTTGATTTGATCATCATCTTATTATATCCTCTACTTAAAACAGTTTATCAATCCTATTACCACTGTTGTATAAAGGATTGAAAATAAATGCTGATATCTTTGCTGAAGCAGGAAGGACTGTAATTTTAAAGATTCCAGGGCCAAGACTCAAAATATTAAGGTATTTTGATTCTTTAATGAGTCATACCTCAATACATTGGTAATTTGGTCGTCAAAAGAATTCATGCATCCCGACTGTGGAAAGAGTTACATTTTTACCCTTCTGGTACTTCTGAAGTAAAAACCCCGGGGAAAAGTCGATATAATGATTTTATGCCCTACATCCCCTACCCTGTCTGCGTCTAAGGACTTTTTATATCCTATTCTTGTTCGTTTGTTTTTTAGGGATCGATCGCCATCTGTTTTGCTTATACGTCGTGTCAAAGTATCTAGAAGTCGAGGTGCCATTTTTGCAAAAGGTGTTTATCTCTATGTTTTTCATGATATGTGATGATATTTATACAGAGAATACTAGATTAACCCTTTTAAGAATTTGTTACAATTTTTGCGTGAATCATTTGTGTCTCTTTACCTAGTATAAATGTCAAGCGCATTAACTCTTTATTGCTTTAGCTCCTGGCCTTATGTTCTACGGTATCTAAGGTTTTTTTTAATCTTTAGGTCCTCAGTGAGCCATGGAGACTCTCTACAAGTCAGGTATGTCAAAGTATGATTTACTGACAAAAAATGCATTAGGGCTAGAGCCATTCCAAGTCGCAATTCGATTATCACACAGATTATTTAAGCCAGTGTCACTAAACGACTACAGTAAAAGAAACAAGATATGTTTGTTTCAAGGAAGGTTTTTGCTCATTTCGCCAATAGTGAACCAAGTAAACATTCATGTGATATATCGTATAAATTCAAATTTGTTTGCAGAAAGATTTTTTCAACATTTTCATCTTAACAAGTTATGGAAAAGAAGTATAGCCGTGACTTGACATTGGAGTAATGCATTTAAGTGTGACGTTTTTGAGAAAATGCTTCTAGGGGTAATTTTTTGATAGAGTATTTTCTGTGTCACAGACTCCCTGCGGACAAACAGGCCGGGTTGATTTCAACAAAAGGACGGATTTGCGGTTAGCAGGCGGTGGTTTTGGCCCGGTAAGTTTTTGGTCCGGGCTCTAGTATTAAAAAATTTATGAAAACAGAGCGCGTATCGTTATTGTCATAATGTTATTATAGCTATAAGAAGTTGGTGTTATTTCTATGAATCAATAAAAAGGGTTATTTTTTTACCGGTTTTGTACCGGTGTCGGTCTTTTCTATCGGAAACAGTACACTTACAGTACACAGAAAACCACACTAAGCAAAACGGCTTCAAGGAACTACAATGCCTGCCAAAAGTCTTGGAACACTGACATCAATTTCCAAGGTCAAAACCAATCATCCCCCTCTCCCCCACGGAACAATGTTGGTTTACTATCAAACGGACTAGGATTTTAGGAAGCACTTTCTTTTGCGCTTCTTTTATGATATTTCTCTAAATCATCAACATTGTTTGAGGGGGAAGGGGGCGGAAGTAGCAAATTTTTTTCATGAAAGGAATGAAAGATATCAAATGCAGCGTAAATTGGTGGGTGTTCCAAGTACTTTTGGCAGGCATTGTCTGAATTTCATTTTGAAGCTTATTAGATATTCCACCAAAACCAATATCCTCCTATAGGTTTTTGATGGTGCTGATTCCATTTCTGCCATTTTCAACATCGTACGTGTTACCGATAAGGAGATATGGGGGTATTGTCTTTTTTCGGGGGTGGGGGTAAGCTACCCCCATAAAACTAAATGCCATATTTCAATTAAGGTGAAAATTGCTAAAATCAAAATCGATTTCCAATAAATAGGATCAAGATTGTATTTTGAATCTTTTCAAAGGCTCGTAGCCAGATGGCTGTCTAAGAAATAATGGGATAGATGAAGGAGACAAATATGAGTGGCAGCTAGAAAATAATCTAAAAATGGAAAGGATGCAATTTTATAAAAGTGACATCGATTCCTCTGTTTCATGTTTCTAATTATAGATAAGGTCGTATTTGAGAATTATGTCGGGTAGTTGCTCTCCTTTTATCACGGATTTACAAGTTGTCATTCATATAGGCCCTTGTTGTGCAATTCAGTGCCCAAATGACAAATTTCAGAGTGTTTACCTAAATTGTAGAAAGGAACCCCGTGTTTCCCACATCAGAGTTCCCAACTGATTGATCTACTATTCCATGTCGGTTGATAAGGGAACTGAAATACAACTGACATCCACTCGCCTTCCTGCCCTCCTAAATGCTTGGCCCAGAAGCGCTACAAAGAAAGCCCTCTTCCCTACTGTTACTGCATTGCCAAAATGGCCTTTAAGTTAGACTCTACCTGCTAAATTTATCTTCATAAAGCGCAAGGCAGATTATTTCATCGTTAATTGATTGCTGTATTTGTTTGCGTGACATTTGCCACAACAAAATATCTTATTTCATCGAATGTAGCGCGCGTCGATGTGAAGGACAAGGCCCCGCAAGGCAACTCACACCCTCGGAAATGAACGCTTGTAGACCGTTGTGTAGACCGTGGCTGTTTCTTGGCAATTTTCTGACTTGTCAGGGGGAGGTTTGCCCCCAAATTCACCCAAAAGGTGTATAATAATACCCCTCAAAGATAAAATTAACCTTTGTATGAATTCCATGAAGAAAACGGCAAAATATGACGAAAATCCCACGGTCTACACTCAAAAGGAGAATAAGATCTAGAGTACTTCAAATTCAATTCTCAGAAAGTGTAGACCGTTGACACTTTCCTGAATTTCTTCAGTTTTACAACTTGTATCGATCTGAAAACCTACAATATTTTTTATACTAGCCATGCACACCTACTGACGAGGTTTCGTCTACTTTCTTTGAAAAATACGATTTTTATGAACATTTTAAATCTGTAGACCGTGGCTGTAGACCGTTGGTAACCATTGGCAATAGGCATTTTCATACTACATCACGTGCCCATTAGGAAAGGAGCGTTCTTTCAATTCCTAGCATACTTTAACAATGGAAAACGAACAATTATAATTGGCACAAACCATTTTCCAATTACTGGGACAAGGGAAGATAGAAAATAATAGGGAATGGGGTGTCTATGAGCGCTACCATGTTGCCACATGTGAATGCGAAGGAGCATAGCCTAAGCAAATTTATTAAATTCGTAGATGGTTTTGGGAGGGTTATGGTGGATAAAATTGAGCCATTTGAACAGTTTCTCACCAGCATGTTGTTCGCAATTATTTATATCATGCATAGTTTGTAGACATTCTCATGAATTTTTTTGTTTTTTCATCAACAATTAAACCATAAATAAGGGGACTTTTAAGCAAAAAACACTTTTTCAAAAGCACTAAACTATACTGTTTTTCCTTTGAAAATTGATAGTTTTCTTAAACCGATGATCGAATTCTGCACAAAATACTTGTATTCAATAATGATTTAAATGATATTGACGGAAAAAATCAGTAGAATGTTTTTTGTAACAAATAACAATACTCGGATATCTACTATATCAATCGTTCAGAGTCCAAACCCCCTCCCCCCCTTTTAACTGGGTAAAGAGTGAAAATTTCGAATTTTCATTAGTAGCATTGAGATCAGCACCATCGAAAACCCTAGGGTAGCACAATGTTTTGGTATCGCAGATTGCTGTTTTCGAGAAAATTTTCAGACAATGCCTGCCAAAAGTCTTGGAACACTGACATCAATTTCCAAGGTCAAAACCAATCATCCCCCTCTCCCCCACGGAACAATGTTGGTTTACTATCAAACGGACTAGGATTTTAGGAAGCACTTTCTTTTGCGCTTCTTTTATGATATTTCTCTAAATCATCAACATTGTTTGAGGGGGAAGGGGGCGGAAGTAGCAAATTTTTTTCATGAAAGGAATGAAAGATATCAAATGCAGCGTAAATTGGTGGGTGTTCCAAGTACTTTTGGCAGGCATTGTAGCTGCAGAGAATGAAGTAAATTTACTGAACTTGACTTTTCCTTTGCTTTGGTTGCTTTTTAAATCGACTTTATTTTTGTCAGGTTGATGACAAGGGATATGGTGTCTCGTATATCATCTGTGGTGATGATTTGTTGTCATTCCATGTCTCGTGCAAGAAATCATGCTCATCAACTGTAAGTTTGTAATTTCTTTTGGACCTCCACCAAGGATTACCTCTGGGCACTATCCTTTTTTGTAGCTGAGCAAAGCATATATAGTAACAGGATTTATCCAATATTTTGGCGGCGTATCCATTGAAACGAGCAAAATGCATCGAAATTTCATCCATCGTTTTAATAACGACATTGAAAATCGTATTTTTCGAAAACACATCTTTTCGTAAACGCTTGTTTTAAAGTGGCATAAAAACGATCAAAATGGATGTTTTAAATAATGCTGCCCTAGTAACAAGGATCAACGTGGCAGAATCAAAGAAATGGCAAACAGCGGGCTTTGTTGTTTAGGGCAGACCATCACTTTGTTGGGTATCGGTATTATATCATTGTTGTTAAAGCATGGAATAAGAAGGAAAGAAGTGAAAAACAATAGAAAAAAGCAAAGCACAAAAACTGTGTAGTAAAAACGTAGCGATTATCAAGACCCTGTTTTATTTACTGTTTGAATTTTGAAGGCCCATTCTTGTACAGCTCCTAACCATGTTTACCAATAATGCTTAGAATATATTATATCTAAATCTCTGATCGATTATTAACTATCACCTGCTCGATGAGTCTTTTCTTCACCTACGCGTTAGATTCATAACAACAAAATTAGCTATAATTGCCAGTATTGGTAAATACGTGAATTGCCTCACGTCGAATTAACCCCACCCTGACATAAACGTAGTTGAATGGACTGTCGGCTAATGGTGTAAGTAGGCTATAAAATTGGGCAACAATGCTGATGTTGAACAACAAACCTTTGATTCTAAACTTTACAAAAATCTGATACTGGTCGTCTTTATACGAATCACCTTTATATTTCCGTTAAGAAATTATGCCTTTCATTTGTTTGGATGTTAAAGATTAGAATAAACTCTTTATTTTCTTTAGTTTACTTTTACAGAGCGATTTGTAAAACAATTTCACACTCAATAGAAAGTTACCGTGTATAAGTGTTTAAACTGAAAGTGAATGGCTTATCCTGGTATCACTAAATACCAGGGATAGAGAATTTTAACCCCTTCTGCGGTTTAAAAAAAATAATATTAACTCGTAATTGTACAAACAATTTTGTTTTCAGGACGCGAAGAAATTCAGTGGATATATCAGAAAATCGATGCAGGAAATCAAAGAACTCATGCTCTGCGAGTGAAAATGGAATTTTTGTTGCCACCCACTACTGCTTATTATAATCAGGCAATTTTTGCCTTTTTTATCATTAATTTAGCTATTTAATTTACTTTACTTCTAGTTTGAATGGACCATAGAATAGTTTGCAGTCTGAGTGTTCCGGTTCAATTAATTGCGAGCAATTTTGTTGCATGGATCAGGTTGCAACTATCGGAAATGGCTGGAGAAACATTGACATCAGGTCTTGTCTGAATAACTTTTAGGTTTCAAACGTGATATTTTTAGGTCTTTAGAAAAATACTTCTCGGCATACAGAACTTTTTGCTCCGTTAATCAAAGCTATGTGGAATCAAGGCTTATTTTGAATAACAGTCATAAAAATTTTTATCTCGATGAATTTCCCAGACAGGAAGTTTTACAGTAGTGCCTCTGCGTTCTACTTCAGGTTAAATAGTGCTCTCGTACCCCCCGATACACATGGTAATAAAAAGAATTGGTGAAAAATTACTTACCAAAACTTTGTGGATATTTCTTAAAAAAATTGAATTCTGGATGCAAAATATTTTCGTTTCAGTAGTTAATCTCTAAATCCACAGAAAATTTTTTTTCGTCAAATAACTTCGTATAAACATCGAAAATTTGTTTTCCAATCTTTTCATCGGTTGATGAAAGTCTGGCTTTATTGCTTTTAATGTTTTAGTCTATCATTCTTTCCTTTTGTTCTTAATTGGCCTAGCGTTTCAATTAAAATTTGAGGTATATCTTTAAGTATGTAAACTATGTTCTTGTCTTTGTAAGGACAATTAACATAATGGAGTCATCATGGTTTGTTGTGTTGAAAAAATCTCACCACAGTCTGATTTATTTAAGTTTAGTTGTTTGAGAAATCTACTATTGCTTTTTGCTTTAATTGTGACTAAGATAGCCGGAATTCCATCGTTAAAGAAAAATTGAATTTTCATTAATTTAATCTTTGATAGTATGACAAGTTGCCGATAGTATGACAAGTTTTTGCATTTTGGCGTCACAAACCCTATTTTTAGTTTTCTGAATTTCGATACATAACCTGACAGAACAACATAAAATACCTCTAATTGTGCAAAAACAGATAGAACTGCCACATATTGACTGAGACATGACCATATTAGAAGATGGGTCTTTCCCAATCAAACTGGTAATCCATTAGCAAAACTGGGCTCGTTCACTGACCATATCTAAGAAAATATGTCACAAATCTGAATAATGTATATTTAGAGGTATTTTACCGTACGTATTCTGCTCATTTGGTTCAAATTCAAAATACTGAAACTGGATTTATGACGTCACCAATCTCCATTTTATGGCCTAAAAAGTATCATTCACGAAAGAAATGGTTGAGCATTTTATTAGAAATATAACAGAGCTGGTCTCTGTTTGAGAAGACTTAAATGCTGGAATCATCGTCAAATAGAGCTTTCATTCTACTGGTGGATTTTCCAAAAGAGCCTATGCCCTTTTGTGAATTTTTTTCTCATATTGACACATTTCCCAGCATTATCTTCCAAAAAAGATCGATGTAGAGTAAAGATTTCGATGGGTACCTAAGAACAATTGTAGTTGAAAACAAGGAGATAATGACACTGAAATATAACCAGATTTTCAAAAGATAGCCTGAACTCTGAAGACAGCGAGACTGCGGTTTAGGCAGATTAGCCGCCCTGTGCTATGTGTTTGATGTCAAGCATTAGTTACTTTCTAGTGGAATTTAGTATTTTGTAGAACCTCTATTATCTTATACCATGCTTATACCAATTATCATAGGTTTGCAACTTGTATTTTAGCAGCGTGTACTGTAGACCGATCCATACTTATATTTTGAATACATTATTATATTCTTTCTTTGAATTTATTCTTTAAAGTTTTCAAACTTCTTGGTTTTGCTGGAAAAGCAATGCTATTGGTGTCATGTCTTTTCGTTTACTTTTAATGAAAAAGCTGACTTTTGTTGATTCATAAAGTGTGGAACTTTTTATAAGAAAAATCAAATGAATAACGCATTATTAAATTAAAAAAACTTTATAAGGCAGCAGAAAGGACACCAAAACCTTTGGAGCAGTGGGGCGCGCGCACGCCCACTTTTTCCCAAAAAAATTAAGCCAAACTGGACTGCATTCAGCTGCAAACATCGGTCTGCAAAACTCTTGAGTGTCTCGTAAAGCTTATGGGTGCAAATGACATAGGAAAGGATCACAATGTTTGGGACTGTGATATTTTGACATGGTTGCGAGAGATAGCGATTTAATGGTCTGTAATCGAAGTTCTTTTCATAAAAAGCAAAGTGCATTTGCTATAAACAATAATTTTGTAGGTTTTCGGTAATTTATAACTTTATAGATGGACTCGAGTATTTTTCGGGTTAAAAACCCACATTTTGGGTCAGAACAATAAGTCGGAAGTATTGTGTTGTCCAATACGAGGCGTTTTTTTCATAGCGAGGGTAGGTTCCATTCCTCTGAAGAAGACGAACTGACGTGGCGGCCATGATGTGGTAAAGTTACTTTGGCCTTATCAAAGTGAACATTGTTATTGGTTTGCAAAGACAATATTTTGCGCCATGTTAACTAAGTTTGAGACCAAATCAGCTCGTGTGAAAGGTATGGAACATATTTCTGTTGCTTTTTGCTTAACCTTCGCCTTGATTTAGTAAAGATGGAAACACCGAAAAGAAATTTTGACTGCAATATTAGTACATTTTTTGGGTTGGATGCCAATTTAAGGAAGGCATACATTTGTTGTTTTTTGCTAAATTCATACAGATGGCTAAGTAAATTTGTATTGATTTTGGTTTTCTATATTGTATATCCATATATTTCGAAGAGTTAGGCCGTTCTTTTCTTAAAATAAAAAGAAACTCCACATTGCCCCCTTAGGTCAAATTCCAAAATTATCTGTAAACCAGCTATAGTAAATTCAGAGGTTCTTTGTGCTTTCATTAGTTAGAAGACTTTTCTATTTGCCAGTAAATTCTAGCTTGTTGATAAAAAAGTCAGTTTTTATAAATGTTATGGGCATTTACTAAATTTATCACCTCACCATTAGATTAAGGAAAGGTTTTAATTTATATAGTTATTTATTTTGCGTTTCCTTGTTTTTGAGTTTTTTTTTCATTGATAAATGTTCTATTTAAATACAGTTCAGTTGTTGATAGTGTGAAGAAATTTTAGAAGTTTTGGGGTTATACAATCAAAGATAGTCTTTTCTTATCATAGGGATAGCTTTTCATCCCAAAAGACCATGGGTTCTTGCTGCACTTCACAATGGTGTTATTCAACTTTGGGATTATCGCATGTGTACACTTTTGGAAAGATATGATGAACATGATGGTAAGTTCTTTCACTTTATTGGAATATTTTAGCAAAATCTTTTGGGTGCAAGAGATCATTTGAGCATAGCTTCAATTAATGCACAAAATAAGAAAGAAAGTTTTTTTGGAAATATAATGTTTTGTAAAGCTCAGACTGAAGAAACTTAGGGATTTATTATTAACATTGCTGAGTTGTCCAGGGGTGTTCTTGGAGGGGGGCAAGTTTCCCCTTAAAAATTATAATAATCCTTTTTTCCAAAGAACAATTCCAGTTGTTCCTATTGTTCTAAAAATGGTGCCACTCCAATAACTCTGTCCTTTCTACCCCACTGTTGTCCATCCAGCATTCAACATGTTGAATTTTTAGGTTCAATGAAACATTTTTTTTGTAAACATGCCTTATAACATAAATGTTTTTATTTTAATTTAAATTTTGAATAATAAACTAGCAAGTATCCTGATTTCCCAAACCTAATTCTGTTACTCTAGTTCCATATTGCTTCGTTTAATATTCTTATTTTATCTAATCTTATTTTCTTAGCTGTTGTTGTTATGTTACTATTAACATAATTTTTTTTCATTTATATTGCAAATTGTTGTTAAATTGTGTAAAGGGTACTTGGCTCGATAGCTCTTCTGAGTTTCTTCCAAGTGTCCTAAGCTTACCTAATTAATATTAAATTGTATTATCAGTAGATTGTAATTAAAAGTTTGAATTATCAATATGAAATGAAATGAAATGAAATGTGCTCTCATTGTATTTATAGGACCTGTCAGAGGCATTGACTTTCATGTTGCTCAACCACTCTTTGTTTCTGGTGGAGATGATTATAAAATTAAAATCTGGAACTACAAACAAAAGAAATGCATTTTTACCCTCTTGGGTCATTTAGACTACATCAGAAGTACATTTTTTCATCATGTAAGCATCTTTTTTTAAGTTTTTTGACCAGTTAATGACACAGCTCATTCTACTGTCTGGCAATAAGCCTTTTTTGAAATTATTGATGCCAAGACATGTTTTCTGTCAAGAGTATATCCAAGTTGCATCTTCTTTATTGCATAGGCTTGATGCTTTTTTACCTTCAGCAGAGGTGCTATGGGACCAGCTTCTAAAGGCTGGACAAATTTTTAAAATTGTCCATCAAAAGAGCATCAGATTAGGTCCAATTAACACTAAATGTTCCAATATTCATTTTTAGGATTGACATGCTCTCCCTGCCTCTAGCCAGTGCACCCAGGGCATTTGGTTTTTCAATGCACACAAATCAGAGCTAATAGGAGGAATGCAAATGTAGAATGGCTCACAGGCTATTTATAAGTAACCCTAAACAAATACCAAAGCCCCCAAGGTGGATACTTTAATTAATAATTGGTTTGGCTTATCTTGAATCCCTCTAAAGTAAATGTGATATTTGTTTTTATCTAAAGTTAGATTTTTAGGTTAAAATCTGAAGAGAAAGAAATTACTTCAGGGTTAGAATTATTTGGTGCAATTTTTAAGTAACTTCTTGGTGTTTTTGCAGGAATATCCATGGATTCTAAGTTCTTCAGATGACCAAACTATTCGAATTTGGAACTGGCAATCTAGGACTTGCATTTGGTATGTAGAATGATGTCTAATGAAGTTGTTGCTTTCAGAAGTTGACTGCTTGTTCAAAATGTGCAAACCTTGTCGGTCAACAGCAGCTCTGTTGGTTGTTGCTGTTGCTTGGAATGTTTGCAAGATTAACCCCAATCATTACTCACCTGGAGAGCAGAACTTTGTTGCTCTTTGGGCCTTTCAGATTGAAACAATGTTTATCTCGCAATAAAAGTCTTCTTGAGTTTGACTTGCCTTGTCTTGCTCTTCTTTCTCTCCTTTCTCTTCTTCTTCTACTTGGCCTCCTATCTCTTCTTCTTTTTTCCTTCCTTTAGTTCCTCTTCTAGTCCTTCTTCCTTGTCTTTTACCTTGTTTTCTTCCCTTCTTTGCTTTTTTCTCTTCTCCTCTCTCCCCTTCCTTTTTCTCCTTCCTTTCTCTTTCCCCATTTTTCCAGGATTCTTATGTTAAATATGTATATAAGTTGTGATTGTTAGCATGAGTTGCTAATTATTTGATATGTTTCAAATCAACAGTGTATTGACTGGACATAACCACTATGTGATGTGTGCACAATTTCATCCTACAGAAGATTTAATTGTTTCAGCCTCACTTGATCAAACTGTGAGAATATGGGACATGTCAGGTAAGTTTCAATATCTTAAATAATTGACCAATGGGATTCTGCTATATATATATATATATATATTTTTGTATTGATTGAGAATCATTTCTAATTATGACAAATTATTTCTGTGATGACTGTATTTAACAATATGCTTACCTGTATCCAGAAAAATTTGTTTCAGGGACTGAACCTTTGAAAAGTAAATTGATCTTTGAAATGTAAAGGCATAGTTACAGTATAGACTAAGATGCAAAACCTTAGTGTGATTGCACATATTTCAATTCTCAAGGGCTTAGAAAGAAAACAGTGGCTCCTGGTGGATCTGCACAAGAAGACAGCCACAAAGCACCAGGTCAAATGGACCTATTTGGACAATCAGATGCTGTTGTGAAACATGTTCTTGAGGTGACATATTGTTAATGTCTTTTTCAGTGTACTCATGATTAATGCACACAGAGTCATAACCCTGCAAATTGTCAGAAATTATGTTCCAGTTGCCTTTTGACTGTGATTAACAGACCCAGTGTGACTATCATTTTTAATCTGTGTCTGATTTGTTTGGATCTTGAGATATTGGCCTAATGATTTTGTGACTTACTTTTTTGAAGAGATAGCTTCATTTTATTCAGTTTACTAGGTTTTGGGATTGTTGAATTGAGATTATCAAAGCCATAATAAAGCATCAGACACTTTATTCAGTTTTTTTTGCTATTATTTCTCCTTTTTTAGTGTTTTTTAAAGGAGTGTCACTGGTTTCTAATGTGTTTATAGAAATATGCTTTTCAATGTAATTTTGCTCTTTCTCTTTACAGGGTCATGACAGGGGTGTCAACTGGGTGGCATTCCATCCAACGATGCCTTTAATTGTATCAGCTGCTGATGACAGACAAGTCAAATTATGGAGAATGAATGGTATATATGGTTTGAAATAAAATGCTCTACTTATTATAAGTTAGATTAACATCCGATGTGCACAGGATTGGTCCCATATAGATTTCTACCCAAACTTTAGGGATTGACCTTTGATTTACCCAAACATGAAGGATCCCATTTGAGCTTGCTTTTTGAAGTGGCCTCATTAGGTTCTCATCCCAAATAGTCTATAGAATACAGCTGGAATCATGTCCAAATGATGCATTTCTTTGAGGTGTTTATATTATTTAATGTAAAAAGCATTTCACGTTTTTTATTTTAACAAGCCAGTTATCGGTTTCAACATCCAATCATCCTTTGGTTATATCAAACCCTCATAATGCTTATTGTGCTGAATTGTGCTGGTGTTTCTGAAACCACTTTGCTCTCTGCGGAGACATATAGGTCTCTACTGTAGAGTCAGCCAGATTAGGTTTTCATTTTTTATTGGCTACCCTCCCATTTTTTTTGGAGTCAAAGGGGTGGTCCATGTTGCTGCTTTAAATTTGGGGCTTACTCTGCAAACAGCTTCAAGGAGTCAAGGGGAAGTAGGAATTTAGTGCTATAAAAAGAAAATGGAGTCTTTTACGAAAATTGTGTCATTGCTATAAGAGGACTCAGCTTTCAGGCTAAAGAAGACAAACTGCCTGAAAGTTAGATTGCTCCTAAGACATCTTCTCTCCCTCATACCCCATACAACGTAAGCCCTATTTAATTGTATGAAACTAAATTGAAAATCGCTCTTTGCCATTCCATGTTATGTTAAATCTTGTGTATTTCTATTTGTATTTTAGAGGCAAAAGCTTGGGAAGTTGATACCTGTAGAGGTCACTACAACAATGTTTCGTGTGTTTTGTTTCACCCAAGACAAGAACTCATATTAAGTAAGCTGAATTCTTTGTAATTTTTGCTTTTTGGAAGGGATAGAGAACATGAAAAATTGGTTGATGAAGGAAGGGGGAGGGCTAAATGGAGAGGGGGAAGTACATGAGAAAATTGAGGGATGACGGAAAGTAGGGGTTTACTGGATGTGATTAGGATAATGTTTTCTGTTTCATATGTTTCTGTCATTTGAATTACTCCCAGTACATTTTTGTGCATTCTTTGTCAATTTCTTTTACTTCAAAAGCACTGCAAACACTGTCGGTCAACATGAGCTCATATGGTTGTTTCTGTTGCTTGGAGTGTTTGCAAGATTAACCTCAGTCGTTACTCACCTAGGGAGCAAACCTTTGTTGCTCTCTAGGCCTTTCTGATTGAGATATAATTTTATGGAGTAGGAGGTTGGCCGGTACCATATTCCAAAGGACGCTAATTCTGATTCAAGGGGATCTGTAACAGAGCCCAGAAAATATAGGGATTTTAGTAAAAGAAATGTGAAAACAAAAGTAAAGATTATAGGAACGGAAGTAATTTGAATTGATAGAGGAAAATAAGAAGGGTTACATGAAAGGGTTAGAGAGAGAAAAAAAGGAGAGAGAGGAGTAAAAACGGCGAGGAGTAGATAGGACAGTGAAAGGATGTTAGATATTTGGGAGCTAGTGGAAAGAATCAGATAAATGTATTTGAAAGAGAAAAAAGAGCAGAAATTGGGATGAATGTTGTTGTTGTTCAATTTGATTACTATTGGCTCCCTCTTATTTCTACTACTCGATTCGGCGATGATAGAATGTATCTTTAATGTATTAAAACTGCTATATTTTTCAATTATTTGATATATCTTCTTACCAGGTAATTCTGAAGATAAAAGCATTAGAGTCTGGGATATGTCAAAAAGGTAAGATCAAACAGTTTTTCCCACCAGTGTTGGTTTTATAATCTCAGCAAAACAGGCTTCAGTGTTGTAACCTCGTCATGTTTGAATGTTTAAAGACTTCTTTGTGTTTATGTGCTCTAAGGTGGGAGAGGAAAACCTAAACTTTTTGTAAACGTACAGAAGGCTCTTTTTATCGTTTTCAAATGAAACACTTGATGATGACCACAATTTTAAAGATGTAGACCACATTGATCTTAAAAGAGAGAATTGTCTAAATTGGCTATCCAAATGTTTCTATGATGTTTTGCTATTTTTCTTTATAAACCTATTTGTACAATCAGCGCTATTAACTCTTAGAACTGGTGTCCAGACATTCCGACGAGAAAATGACCGTTTCTGGGTCATGGCAGCACACCCTACCTTGAACCTGTTTGCAGCAGGCCATGACAGTGGGATGATCGTGTACAAATTAGAGAGGGAACGCCCCGCCTATGCGGTGCATGCAAACACCCTTTATTATGTCAAGGTGAGATGTGTTTTACTCCCCACACCGTTAAACTTGCTGTAATAAGAAGTGATGTATTTTAATAGCATCTTACTACTTATTATAGCATTAATGCAACTTCCCTAGAGGAGACAACTTTTCAGTGTCACGATCCTCATTATTGTTCTAAGTGATGACGTCACAAAGCTCTGTTTCTAGAATTATGAATTTGGATTATATAATCTTCAAAAGCATCATAAAATATCTCTACCTTTGTGAAATTTGTTACGAATTTGCTGAAATCTATCCACAAGTGCACAGTACCTTAAAAATATGTGGCTGTAATGAAAAAAGGTTTTTCCTTTAACATTTCTTAAGATTATCCAGCCATCAGAGTATGTGAAGCCATTCTGTTTAGAAAACTGCAAACACTGTCGGTCAACATGAGCTCAGTTGGTTGTTTCTGTTGCTTGGAATGTTTGCAACATTAACCTCAGTCGTTACTCACCTAGGGAGCAGAGCTTTGTTGCTCTCTGGGCCTTTCTGGCTGAGATATCATTTTATGGAGTAGAGGGTTTGTCAATCCATCCTTGTTTGAGATCACAAACAGCGCAGTTGTGAAATGAAGAACTGCAGACCTTAGTTCCTTGTTGGCGATTTTTGGTTATATATAACTCTATCGTTGTATGTATTTAAAAAATGCGAGGACCTGTTTGTGTCTGGATAGATTTCCTCCCGTGAATAAGTGTGGCAAATTTATGACGTCATAAAAATCTATTTTAGAGTTTTTCTATTTTTCCATATGAGCAGAAGAACCTGGGCTCATTTTATTAGCCATATCACAAGAAATCTTAAAGAACTGATTTTTCACGCTTTTAGGTATTATTCTGTGTTTTTCGACAAATATGTTTGGAATAAAAATAAAAAAGAGAAAATGTATTTTAGTGACGTCATCACTTAGCCACTGTATACATTCAAAAGTATCTGATAGCATGCTAAAGGAGATTTTTGCTTTATAATTAATTTGAAAACTTTACTCAGGAAAGGAAAGGGTGGTTTCTCGTGGGTCTTGTCATGCTTTCTCTGTTTTTGTAGGAAGTAATTGTGTAAAAGGTTCTTATTCATCAAGGATTTGTTTTATTTTGCAGGAACGCTATCTTAGAATGTATGAATTCGGTACGTCAAAAGATGTACCCATAATGCAATTCAGACGAAGTACTTCAAGACCATTACCAGTCTCCTTGTCGTTCAACCCGGCGGAGAAATGCATCTTGCTCACTTACAATGTACGTACCATGACAAAAACGTGTTACAACCAAAGCTCTGTAGAATGCTAACTTATCCCAACAATTACCACAATTGTAACCCCAATTCTATCTCAAACCCCAGTCTATCTCAAACCCATATTCCAACCTCAACTCCAACCTTATCTCAAACTTAAATCTATTCCTTTCTTTGGTCGTTTTAAGTGTTGTCTGCGTAAGAGGTTTATTGTAGGTTTTGTACCTTGTGATAATTGGTGAATTGGACAAGATGTCAAATCTCTGAATTTCTTATACATGTTACCCTGTCTCTGTCTATTTATCAGAGAATCAGAGAATCTTAGAACTTTTCATTCTCTAGGGAACAAATTCGTCAGGGACAGATTCGGCTGTTTACGAGCTCCACTCTCTCCCTAAAGACGCTAACACCAATGATCCTGAAGGTAACATATCTAATTACTTCTTTAGTACCCAATGATTCTTTTTTAAAAACTAGTTCTTTACTAAGCGATTCTCCTTTACTAAGCGAACCTCCTATACTAATCGAACCTCCTATACTAATCGAACCTCCTTTACTAAGCATAATCCTTTATAAAGCGAATCTCTTCTAGTAGGTAACTGCTTGCTCGTTAAGTAAACTATTCCTCTACCCAGCGATTCACTTTTCATATAATGGTTTTCATATTAGACGGATTTTTCGAAAAAAAAAGGTTTTTGAGTTTAATTTTTCAGTATAGACAGCCACAACAAACGTTTATAGATTTTCTGTTATCAAAACATTAGATTTTCACTTTATTTGTATATTGTGTTTGTCTTATCTAAGTACCTGATATTTTCTTAAGTTTCGGAGGGACGACGCGCTGCAGGAATTAACACTGTTTGGGTTGCTCGAAACAGATTTGCTGTATTGGATAAGCAGCAGAATGTAAGTTTAATCTTATCTTATAATGTTGATGGATATCAGCATATGGTTCTGCTTTTGTCATCCTTTGTTAAAAGTGGTTTATGTCTAGGGTTAGGGTTATGATCCTATTTTACATTCAAAGTTATAGAAAATAGTAACTCCCAAGAAGTATGTTTAAAACCCCTCTGCGTGGCGAACCAGGTCGGACAATACAACGTGTAAAGGGTGTTGTGTTTGCTGAAAGCGGTTTGCTATATGGAGTTTGAATCATTACTCACCTGGTGAGCATCGTCATTATTGTTGACTGGGCCTTTCTGATTCAGACACTCCCTAGTATACAACCCATTTGTATAAAGAGTCACTTGAACTATTTTATATGGACATGTGACAAATACAAGTGTCTAGGAGCGAATCTGATTGGTTCGAATAAAACAATTTTGTAAGTGCTGAGTTAATAGTGAAAGTAATCGTTTATGACTGTTTTATTCAAAGGTTGTCATCAAAAATCTAAAGAATGAAATCACAAAGAAAGTGCAGACTCCTCCATGTGAAATGATTTTCTACGCTGGAACTGGATGTCTTCTTTTGAAAGATCCTGAGCAAGTTACACTTTTTGACGTGCAGCAGAAGAGGTAATCAGTTAAGGGGTTCTGCTTTTAATTCTGAAACATTCTGCTATGTCAAACATCGATCGCTTGTAGTAAAAAGCAGCGACGTTTTTTCAAAATGTGTTTGAACTTGAAGTAAATTATGATCCCTAAAGTGCTCACAAACCAAATGCACTTTGTTGGGTTGCAGCACATGGATTTCAGACTTAGGTCTGCACCCGGAAATTTTAAACCCATTGAACAATTCATTCAATCCTTTTTATTTATTTAAAACCATTCAGCTACAAAGCCATATAATAAGCTAGCAAGTAAAACCATTTAATCTAATTTTCAATCGTTTATAATAAAAAATAAGAATTTACTCAAAGCTGTTTGCTGACCTTCCAGGGGGTGTAAATTCAAAGGTTTTCTATAGTAGATAGTACAAAGGTTGAAAGATCCTTGATCTTCATAGAGATACCATTCCAAACTTTAAGAGTTGCATAGGATAACTTAATTTGTTATTTTTACAGGAACTTAGCCTCAGTAAAGATCAGCAAAGTTCGATCTGTTGTCTGGTCTTCAGACATGACTTATGTTGCTCTTTTTTCCAAGCACGGTATGTGTTGACGATTTTCTGCTATCTTCTTTTTAAGTCAGTCTTTTGGCAAATTCTTGCAAAAGCATTTGGAAAGAACTCTTTAAAAGGCTAACCTCAGAAAAGGCTAAAACCTGTGAGGTGTTCAAGGGGACCACTATTTAGGGAGGGTAGCAGTGGCGGCTTGTGGCGGTACTGGTGGTACCAGTCTAGTACCATTTTATTTTGAAAGCTTGAATTTTTTACATGACTTTGTTTTGTTAATTTACAAAAATGCAAACATACTGAATTAATTGTGAAAACAATAGAAAGAGCGGCAGAGTTCAACACAGCCGATATCTGACCGTCTACCCTCCCTCACTTATCTCGTTGAATGACCTGTCTCTGCGCTGTGTTGAATGTAGGCTACGGTACTAGACCTCATTCATCCAGTACTGCGGAAGACTGTCCCATTGTATTTGTCGACACATCATGACGTAAAACTGTTTGTCTTTCGGTAATCCAACAATGGAAAATTCGTTCGCAGTACTAGATTCCTCTTTCTAGTAGTATTGGGTGGCCGCCAAAATATGTCATTCCGTTCAAGATTATGAAAGCAACCCCGCAGTCTTTTCAGCAGTTTTAAATGACGTCAAACAAACTGAGAGGTATTCAAAGGCATCTGGTCTATTTTCTATTTCTGGGTATGACAGTGGGGTTATCCCAGTGACTAATTTAACAGCCCGTACAATAATGCCTTATTTGGTTACTATGATGCAATTCTCTTCTCTATCCAAAATGACGTAGGTTGGATGAATTTTGTATATATAGTTTATTGGCCTTTTCATTCATAATGCAAATTTTCTCGTAACCAAAGCAGTCAAGTTGTATTGATCTTGATGAAAATGACTCAAATCGCAGGGATTGACTACCTTTTCGGAGTTTCGCGTATTTTTGCGCTCTCTTCTGCCCAGGGCCGATTAACTCACGAGCAACGTCTTGGTTTGAAAAAAGATGGGAGACCTTGTCCCAAAATTGAAATTAAAAACCGTGACAGTGAGACCGTTTACAATAATTTTTTATGGATGTGTGGCGATGCAGAAAAGAACACTTATTTTTGCTGGCCTTGTTTGGTCATGGGTGATCTGTCCAAGGTATGGGTACATTTCATTTATTTTCTAAATGCTTTTTATAATAGAGGAAAATGAAGCAATTTACAACTGTCTACTTTCCAGGATACATTCTTAGTGTAAATGGAGTCATCAAGGTTGTTCTATATGATACTATATTGTTTGATAATAGATGATAAAAGCGTCTAGAAACCCGCATCACTAGATTCTCCTTTCTAGTACTTCCGTGAAGAGAGCGGCCACCCACTGGTTGGGCTCGGTGCCGCAAGAGATTAACTTCCCATATTATCAACGTGCCTCTCCTTTATGGCCTTTGACAGCAACCGACAAAACACTGCATTTTCAAACAAGTGCTGCCTGCCCTAAGCGTAATCATAAACTTTTCATAAACAAAAAGTTGGTATGATACTACAGTTTAAACTCTCATAGCTCTCATTGGGGGCAAACGTTTTTTCAGTGACTGGAGGCTCGATAATCAATTGATTGAAACAAAAAATCTACAAACTATCAAACTGAGCTATCAATCAGGGTCTTGTTTTCGGCTGAAAATTCCGGACAATTTAATAAAGTTTATTACAGAATTTTCATTGACCTACGATCCCTTTTTTTCTAGATGAAAGCAACATCTTTTGCACGAAAAAGTGGTTTTCAGTCTTCTGGAGACAACCTTTGGAATCTTTCGAAGCGCCATGAGAAAACTAAAATGCACATCATCAACCACACTGCCTACCAACTTTTAGGAAATGTTGACGTTTCTTGTGCATTGGATGAAGCAAGACGTAGACAGGTACAGCAACACAACAAAAATGCGTCAAGATATTCAAGAATACTAAAATACCACATTTCTTTAGCTGTGTTTCTCTCAGCACAAGGCCTTGCATTTCGAGCGCATGACGAATCAAAGTTATCATCCAATAGAGGAAACTTCATCGAGCTGCTTGACCTCATCGCTAATTATTGCAGTGATTTGCAAGATTTTCTTAACGAAGAAAAGATCACGTATACGTCACACGAGCCACAGAATGATTTGATAGAGTGCGTGTTCCAAGAGGTAAAAGAGGAAATTCAGCGGAGAATCGACAATTCCCAATTTTTGGCTGTCATGATGGATGAAACCAGCGATGTTAGCAGGGTGGAGCAGTCAGCTGTTTCAGTACGCCTAATCAACGAAGGAGAGGTAGAGGAACACCTTTTGGGAATAATTGAATGTTCCAAAGATACAACTGCAAATACATTGTCATCGATTCTTCTCAAGAAATTGGAAGAATATAAGATCACGCCACAAAACGGAGGGAAAAAGCTCATCGGGCAGTCCTATGACGGTGCCGCTACGATGTCAGGTGAATTAAATGGTGTCCAAAAGCAGGTTCAAGATAGATTTCCTGCTGCATATTACAACCACTGTGTTGCTCACAGGATATCACTTTGTGCCTCACAATCAGCAAAAAAAATTCCAAAAGTTGCCAAATTTTTTGACACTGTTGATAAACTTATACGTTTTTTTAGAAACAGCCCAAAGCGAACGTCTCAACTTGGCCATAGTCTACCGAAACCTGGTGATACACGTTGGTTATCGCGTGATGCAGCAATTGGGGTCATTGATTCATTGTATGAAACAATCGGAGCAGTGCTGTATGAAATGGCCAATGATAAAGATGACAAAACGGAGACACAAGTCACTGCTCGAGGGCTCTGTTTGCAAATTCAGCACATCGAATTCGTATTTCTTTTGAAAATATACCGAAAGATTTTTGCCCACTGTGCCCCAATAATAACAGTCATGCAAAATCCGACCCTTGACGCAGTGCAATTGTCATCAATGCTGGAAGACTTTCAGAGATTTTTGCTGAATTTGGATTGCAACCATATTTGGGAGGATGCAATGCTTCTGGATCCTGAGATGCCTGCAGTTCGCCAACGAAATGGATGGAGAGGAGTCGAGGAAGCAGTAGATTCAACAGGTAGTTGGAAGAGAAATTTACTGGCAATTTCCTCAGAAATTGCACAAAAGTTTTTGGAACAATTGCTTTGGCGATTTGAAAATCTCACAAGATTCAAATGGATGGAATTAATCCACCCTTCAAAATTTGACGAGAGGAAAAAGATGCCACCAGCTAAGCAAAAAGAACTTATATGTAAAGTCAAAGAACTTTATCCATTCGCAGTACCTGATGCTTTAGCGCTTGAACATAACCTAAGTGTGCTTTACGATAACAACGAAATAAAAATTCTGCTAGATAACATTGTAAGAGAACGAGATGAGCTGGCAGCTAAGAAAAGAGAGAGACGGCGTAAAACGAAGCAAGCAAATGAGGAGCCGAACGAAAACAAAGAGACTGACAGAAGCACAGTAGAAGTTGAGGATTCATTTGAAAGGGAAACAGGAGGAGGAGTCGAAGAGGAAAATATAAAGAAGGGAAAGCCAAATGTTCAAGACTTGCTAAAAGTGATTAAAACAGCTGGTCTTGAAGAAGCATTACCTCAGGCTTTGATTTTGCTGGAGCTGGCTGCCGCAACACCACTTACCAGTGTTCACTGCGAAAGAGTGTTCAGCAGAATGAAGAAAGTTGTGTCACCGAGCAGATCAACGATGTTACAAGCAAGAAAAGAGATGCTAATCTTCCTCCAAGTGGAACATGCCATTGTTCGATCACTTTCAGAGCAACCAACTTTTAAGGATAATGTTGTAAATAGGTTTAAGTCTTTTAATCAGCGTCGTTTAGAAAGATTTTCAAATAAATGAGTTTTTAGTTTAACGTGGCATCATTTGCAAAAAAACTTTTCCATTATGTTTAAAAAAAGAGTGCTTGCAGTTTCCTCATGCTCTATGTGTCTTGACCACAGATTTCTACACACAAAAATTTATTGGGAAATACATTAGTCTTTTAGATACGAATTAGGACCATATTCGTTTCAAAGCAAAAAGCTTTCCAAGGAGCTACATCCCCCCCCTCCCCCACCATAACACCGGCTGGTCTGTTTTAAAAAAATTTTCATATAGCTAACAATACTTTTACCAGTACCATCTGATTTTGCGTGCCAGCCGCCACTGGAGGGTAGTATTCTTTGGAGAGGAGGATGCTTTTGGTAGTAGAGGTTTATTTTAAGTGAGTATGATGTTTTTGAAGGAGGTATACTTTTGAAAGTTAAAGGGGCTTTTGATGAAAAAAAATTTCAAGTGAATACAAAGAACTGAAAGTTCGCATTGGGAAAGCACTGCAATAAATACATTCTATTTGCATGATTTACTGGTGTTACTAATTTCACTGATATTTAAGCGAGAATGAGTTTTGTACACAGTAGCTAGCTAGTATTTCATTTTACCAACCGTCGACTCATTGTATTTAGCCGTTGGTTTTTTTGCTGACTCCGTTATTGTTTTTGCAGTTCTTGCCATCTGCAACAGAAAGCTGGAGAGCCTCTGCACCATTCACGAAAGCGTTCGTATAAAAAGCGGTGCCTGGGACGATTGTGGTGTTTTTGTATACACAACAAGCAATCATATAAAATACAGCCTTACAAATGGGTAAGACATTTACTCTCTGAACGATAGATAGAGTTTCTGAGTTCATCTTATTTTTTTCCGATTCAAACGATTGAAATTCAGATTAAGAAAATGGAAAAGACTTTTTCAGGGATAGTTTTTCTTTTGCATTTCATGATCTTCTGATAGCAGGAAAATCCAGTTATTTCGGGTTACAATCTTAGCACCACTCTGGCCATTTACGATTTAATTGTTGGTGGTGAAAGCTATAATGTCTGCAGTTTAGAAATAAATGCTTTAATCGAACTTAAATCTGTGTTGAACATAGACCTCTAAATAAGGTTTGATTTGATAAGAGTTGTCATGCCAAGTTTCATAGGGCTTTGTTCAAGAAATTTTGTACAAAAAAATAGTCTGGTCTCTGAACTTGTAGACAAGACGGTTTTAAGTTCCGAATTTAAAAATCCAAACGCGAACATCTTTCACCGTCAAAACCTTATCTTGCATTTTGTTTTCTAGTGACAACGGAATTATAAGAACTCTGGATCTCCCAATCTACATAACAAGAGTCAAGGTAAGGTTTATTGATGCTTTGTGACTTGTGTATGATGATATTCCCAGTGCATTTAAAGGGCTGATCTGTGTGTTCCCTTGTTATTTTGTTTAATGTATGAATGCTAAAGCTCAGTGCTGTATTCATCTTTAAAGAAAGCACTAATACCCTCATTGGCCGCGTATTTCTGTCATCTAAATTACTCCCACCATCTTTTTAGCATTTTTTATCATTTTCCCCTTTGCATCAGAAATATTGCAAACCTTTTCGGTCAACAGCAGCTCTGTTGGTTGTTGTTGTTGCTTTTTGTGTTTGCAAGATAAACTCAGTCGTTACTCACCTACGGAGCAAACCTTCGTTGTTCTCTGGGCCTTTCTGGCTGAGATACCATTTTGTAGTTTAAAGGGTGGGTCTGTGGGGGAGTGATGTGTAGAGTTAAGGACCCGTGAGTACAAATAGAAGGATCTGGCCGGGATGATCGCATCCCAACATCCTTTGTCAGTTGCCAAAATTCGTAATTCCTTATCAGGGCAATTTTAGGCCAATTTTGTTTGCCTTAGGAAAAATGTCTGAACATTTTGCAGCAACATTCACTTTCTATATAGGAAAACACAGCAACATTTTGGTGAAGTCAGTAACCTTTCGGTTCGGTTGTACTAGCTTAAAGCCTGGGTCCTAATACGACGTCACATATCCATCTCGTATTAACCGGGTTTCTGGTTTTCTAGGGAAGCAGTGTTTATTGTTTGGACCGAGAATGCAAGACTAGAGTGATGAATATTGATCCAACTGAATTCAAGTTTAAACTAGCCTTGGTCAACCACAGATATGACGAGGTATATTTTATTCCAGTAGTTTTTGTATGTTAAAATTTTTGTTCAAAAGCTAGATTTGCCAATGTTGTTTGATTTTTTTCTCAAACTTTATTTTTGCTTGCTGAGCATCTTCTAACTTAATCATTTCTATATTATTCTTCGTTTCTTTATAATTCTTCTGCAATTTTCAGATTGCAATTATATCGCGATTGCAAATATCACATCCTTGGAAAATTAACTGTGTTTTTCGAACCTTTCTATTTTAGTAGTACTTTGTTCGCAATTCATAAGTACCATTCTTTTTCTTACTTTTTCTGGCTTTTTCTTTCTTCAGGTTTTGCATATGGTTCGAAACGCTAAACTTGTTGGTCAATCCATTATCTCCTATCTGCAGAAAAAAGGATACCCAGAGGTGCGTGTTTTAATCATAAGATAATCCCATTACGCCCTTTTAAATCTTTTTCCCTTTTATTGAAAAAGTATCTCAAATTACAATATCTTATACACAATTGTAGGTGGCACTTCATTTTGTAAAAGACGATAGAACAAGATTTGGTTTGGCATTGGAGTGTGGAAATCTAGAGGTAAATTTTAGTGTGCTGATTTTGAGACTGCTTATTGTCTGTATCATACTGTATCATAATTGCTCTCTATTAAAAGGCCGGATAATATTTCTGACAAGCAGAGTCTTGTGTGAAGAGACTGATTTGATTGAAGTGTACTATAGCTGTGGCTCTCCCGTGACATTCTTTTTAACATATATCCGTAATTTGCCCGGCTAGTAGACGTTTCTTTACGCAACGCTCGAAACGGAGTTAATGGACCCCTGCCTAAGTCAGATTCATGGTTAACCCGATTGAAGTATTAAATTGTCTGTGTACGGTATAGCTCTGTTTGTCCTGTGTTCAAGCTTTGCCTTAATTTAACAAGGCTTAAATGAATCTGATTGTACTCTAACTCGTATTCAGTTGTTAGTCCCTTGCCCTTGAGAATGACAGGAAAATCATCTGCCTTATCTCAGGTTGCAGTCGAAGCTGCCAAGACTTTAGATGACAAAGGATGCTGGGAGAAACTCAGTGACATGGCATTGCAACATGGAAACCACCAGGTAACTAACCACGTCATTACGACTGATGAAACTTAGCAAGTCATTTTGGTCAGGATTCCTTCCTGAAGATGCTCAAATTACCTACTTTTCTCAAATTCCAACAACCATTCCGAATTACTCCTTGAGAGCTCGTTCATAATTTCTCCAATAAAGGCGTTTTCCACTGTCTTTTGAAAGAAATGCCATATAGCTAGGTTATTTGGAAGACAGAAAGAAAGAAAGAAAGAAAGAAAGAAAGAAAGAAAGAAAGAAAGAAAGAAAGAAAGAAAGAAAGAAAGAAAGAAAGAAAGAAAGAAAGAAAGAAAGAAAGAAAGAAAGAAAGAAAGAAAGAAAGAAAGAAAGAAAGAAAGAAAGAAAGAAAGAAAGAAAGAAATATATATCCTATATATATCCCCGTCAGTAGTAATATATCCTATTTTTCAAATTTCGTTTCCGGGCATGTCATTTTTCTTTCAAATGTGTGATCACCTCCAAACACCCATGCTCTTCTGAACCATTCTAAAAAAACCATACATTACGTCACACCTGTAGAATGCTGTTCCCTAAGCCTCATTTCTTGGTACTCCCCTTAGCTCTAGTTAGTTCATGCATAACTCGTATATTGACACCTTCTTTAGTTAAAATGCTTAGGTGATATACCCAATACAGCTTCAAATCTCGTCTCCCTTCACGACTCTCAACAGTATCCACTTTTTAACTGATTTCTTTTTCACAGGTTGTTGAAATGTGCTACCAGAGAACAAAGAACTTTGATAGGCTATCCTTTCTGTATCTTATCACCGGCAACAATGAAAAGTTGAGGAAAATGCTGAAAATTTGTAAGTCATGAAATCATCATGAAGTTGGTATATTTGAAATAGTAGAGAAAATTTTTAAAATACTGTGTGATTATTTTGCAAAAGGTTATGTTTAAATTGAACGTGCCATAATAGAATTGAACGTGCCATAATAGAATTGAACGTGCCATATTAAATGTGCCATATTAAACGTGCCATATTATAAATTGAACTTGCCATATTATAAAGTTGTACAAACTGAAGAAAATTAATACAATTTGAATCAAAGGTCTTTTCATTGTTAGTTATTCAAAATTCAACAAAATAAATAAACTTCATTGCTCTCTTGATGTTAGCTGAAATTCGAAAAGATGTGAGCGGGCATTTGCACAATGCTTTGTACATCGGAGATGTGGAAGAGCGAATAAAGGTTTTAAAGCAAGTTGGACAAGGTAAATTGAGAAAATAAAGTTATAGTCTTTTTCCTTATCTTCTTTTTTCTTGTTTTTCTTCTTCTTTTTCTTTGTCTACTTTTTTCTAGTTGTTGGCTCGAGGCCTTTTTATGAACTGTACGGGTCGGCTATCCAAATCTTCTTTTGCCAATGTTTCCTCTTCTGTGCAGAGAAAGCTGGCAGATTTACCACTTTAGATACCTTTCAATGTTATCTTGCCATTTTGTTCTCACCATTTCCCATCCATTTTTCATTCAAAAACTCTCTTTGTAGTTTTCTGGGCTGGATTGTCAAGTAAATTTTCGTCATCTTGAAAGGTGCTTTCAATGAAAATCTAGATAGTGAATAAGCATGTAAATAAAGAACATTTTTATCCTAGATCGTCTGTGCCGTCTTTACCTTTGACTGCGCTTCTACGTTACTTCCTCATTCATAGCATATTTTGATTTCTTCCAAAGGTTCTTTGGCCTACCTCACAGCTGCCAACCACGGACTTGCTGATGAGTGCGCTGAAATAATGTCAACATTCAATCTAGATCCAGAGAAGGTGAGTGCTCTGTCATTTTTAATGCTCGTCTTGTTCAATTACTTCCAGTCAATTACTTGGTTCACAGTGTTGTTATATAAATATAAATATGTGATAAGTTTAAGTGTCATTTCACTACAAAAGCGGTATTTAATGGGCTATTTAATGGGTTGTAAAGAGTTTCATTGGTAAGGGGTTCGAGTCGGGATTGGAAGAATGATCGGTGGGGGATTGAAGAGGAGACTGATTGAGCAACTCCAAGGGAGATTAATAGGGTTATGTGACATCGTCAGCCATGACGTAATTTCGGTTATTTTTTAAAGATTTTCCAGGAAGTTTAAACAATCTCTAGATAAACTAGATTCAGCTAAAGTTGTCAAAGAGTTTGAAAAAGCTCTTTGGAAGTATTTCATATTTTGTTCAATGTTTTATGGGTAAATGTTTCACATAACATACTTGTTGAAAGGTTCTGAAGTTTCATTGAGTCAAATAATTTATAGAAAATGCCATTGAGATTATAAAGGCATTTTGTTAATGATATAGCGACGATTTATTGCATATATTTGAAAGGTAATGAGTTTATATGAAACAAGTAATAAACTTTTAGCTTTAAATCAAAGTTCAAGTTAATATTATTTACAAGTTTATATCAATATTCCTCTGAACGGGTGGTTAATTTTCCCCTTGCTCAGGAATCCATCTTTTTTCAGTAATATCCCCGCATCCTGATGTTAAGCTTTTTCAATTGTAGCTTCCACCTGTAAATCCAAATGCAAAGTTGATGCGACCCCCCGTCCCTATCATGCAAAACGAAGGGAACTGGCCTCTTCTTGCCGTTAGCAAAACACTCTTTGAAACAAAAGGCGGACTGAAAGGTAAGCGCGAGTTTGATTGATTGTTGCGTAACAGGGGGAGAGCTGTTTGCTATTTTTCAAGTTTATGTTGAACTAAATCTAGAATGATTGTAGCTTTGTAGCGTGAAGGTTGCTTCTTTCCATATCCTTAAGGTAGAGAGGTTTGGGGTTTTGAGACGAGTTTCCACATGACTGCAGAAAATAGGAAACAGTACTATTACATACTGAAAGCAATTTTTTGTTCGATTAGAGATTAACAAATAAAACAGATCTAAAGAAGTGTCGATTCCGCTTTTTTGTGATGTCTATGGCAAAATTATCTGGATATCGAAGTAGGAAGTCTCGTTAGGCCAAATCAAGGTTTTGTGAAAGCATCAGAATTAAGATCGTTTGCGGCAAAATGGATTCTATAATTTTTAGGAACAGATGCAAGATACATTTTGCAATTAATCTATCGTGGCGTAGATCTCAGAATGTTCATCCACAGTTGAAAGTTTTATCTGCATCCCTTTGCTAAAGAACATGAGATCTTTTGTATTTTAATTTCGTCTTTTGTTTTGCTCACCTTTAGATTCTGCGACTGCTGGTCTGGATGCTGGAGATATCGGCGAAGCTGGTGGAGAAGGCTGGGGTGATTCAGACCTCATTATCGATGAAGGTTTGTTCATCTCAAATCAGTTTAAAAACTCACATTTATTCTAAGTCATCGTAGAATCAATAAAGTTTCAAGATAGCGTTGCCATGTTGTCAAGGCCTCTGACGAGCAAAAGCAGGGACGACCATACTCTTCCACCAAGCTAAGAAATTCCTTAATGTTGCACAAAAGCTGAGCGAGTTGTATTCAGACAGAACTTGAATGTTCATCTTCTTTGCATCTCCAGGTGAGACATACTGTACCAAAAAAATCGACACTATGCAGTTGTTTCAGACCTGTTTAGGGGATTTGAAGAGGAAATAGAGGGATAGGGCAGGGGTTGGTCGCTATTTGACCTTTAATTTAGTTTCAAATAGGCTTTTCTTTGTAGAAGGCTGAATGCACTATGTAACAGTTTTGGAGCAAAAGCTTTAGAGCAAATTTTATGCCATACTGCTTAATGGAGAACAATTGCTATGTTTTCCCTACTTGTTTCATGTTTTGAAACATTTTTCGCAGTTTGTGTTTACCCCTAAATGATAATTCATGCGAATTCTTTTATAATTTCAAAACCCCTTCTGGAAAGGCCTTTGGCTGTTGTTTTATTCCATCCTGCTGTTTGAGAAATCGTCACAAAATTTTCTTTGCAACGGTTCCAAGAAAGTTTCTAAGGAAAATCTTGATAAGCATTAAGATGGTATTTAAAGATGGAAATAAAACAGAAATATTAACTGAATTTGTAGAGGGTGGATTTGGAGAAGACGCGGAGGAGAAGCTTGCTTTGGACGAAGAAGGTGGTGGCTGGGATGTCGGGGATGACGATCTTGAACTGCCTCCTGATATGGTAAGAAATTATAAACTAAATTCAGGTTGCAACGGGTTTTGAAAGTCTGCAATATTTGGAAGCTTTTAATTAATAATTCGAAAGGACTGGAAGATTAATTTATGTTCGATAAACTGACGAAACAAGTTAAACTAAGACGAACTAAAACGACCTAAGAGACAAGTTAAATTCGCAAATAAAAAGCGATGCATGATTCTGCCTAAATTATTTCTTTTTTATAGGAGCTAAGATTTTCGTTTAGGAATGTTTAACTTTGGAATAGACTAGCTTCCAAAGCTGAGCTGGCAACCTCTCTGTTTTGATACTTAGTTGACTCTGAAAACATTCCCCGTCTGTTGCAAAGAAGCCTTTTTTTGCGAAAGTAGAAATATTTTTGCGAGTAGGCCCTTTGCCAGATTCTCTGAATCTTGTGGTGTGTACAATTGAAATGGATGCAATCCAATTCAAAGCAATAAGAAATAACTTTATGAATATATATACAAAGATACCTTTTTGTGGACACTGTAAGCATGGACAACCCTGTCTTTACGAGATCAAGTGCCCTGCAACTAACCAGTTTACAATAATCAGTAGCGGACGCCTGGGGGGGGGGGCGAGGGGGCGGTCGCCCCCAATACTTTAGAGGACGATGGTCTTTTGTTCTAAAACAATGGGAAATGGGATGTCATCTTGCCCCCCCCCCCAATATTTGACCAAGTGTCTGCCCCTGACAATAATCTTCATTAGATGAAATTAGCGATAATTTTTTCCTGAAATTCAGAGCTTCCTTGAGATAGCTATGACCGGATCTTTGTTTCTGTATCTGTTTCTTCTAATTCATGACTACTTGTTAGCTTTCTGTGTTTCTTTCTCTCAGGATGTCGGTCTACCGAGTGCTGATGGAGAGGGTTATTATGTGCCGCCTACCAAAGGACTCAGTCAGTCTCAGGTCTGGGTGACTAATTCACACTTGCCTGGTGATCATGTTAGCGCAGGCTCCTTTGACAGTGCAGCTAGGGTAAGTATTTTCAAGCGCAGGGAGCGTTTTAAGTTTGCTAGTGGAAAAATGCCTCCTGTACTGCAGGATTGCTTTTATTTGCTGTACACTTCTTGCAAATCAGTCTCAATCTAATAATGTCTTGACATTTCGCATCTTGGAGAAGGATGAGATTTAATTAGTTTGATATTCAGACATTACCAGAGTTTTGGAAATTTCTCGGAAAAATTTCGTTTTTGGGATGATTATAAAGAGAGCACTGGTGATGTGTGATGTGTGATGTGTGAATGTGTGAGCTTGCTCAAAAAATTTGCATTGTAAGATCACTTCTGGAGGGTACCAAACTGTACAATTAATGTATTGTTGATTCGCATTATTTGTGCACGCCTATTTGTAGTTGTGTGTTAAACAAGTATTGCAACTAATTCTTTTTGCAGCTCCTAAACGGCCAGCTAGGCGTTGTCAACTTTGCGCCTTACAAGCAGCTATTCACGTCAACATACGCACGCTCAAGAACTTCGATTCCCGGATTGCCTTCGACACCAGACCTCTTTGGATATCCACATCGTAACTGGAAGGAGGCTGGTGCCAAGAGTGGCCTCCCCTCAGTCAGCTTGAAACTCAACGACCTCGTTCAGAGACTGCAGGTAAAAGTTTTGGAATTCGGACATAAAAATAGGAATGCAAAAGTAACAAATGCAATTCACGTTATTTTCTGCCGCAAATGTCGCAGAATTTGATCATTATGCCTCTGTTCATGTAATTGTATTGACCCTTTATCCAGATCCTCTTACGGATTGTATATAACGACGAGAAGAATATCTTTAAAAATAAAGTTTTGTTTTGCTATAAATAATTCTTTTTGAGCAAACTCGATAAAAAGATTCCACTTGTGCCTCTCGCCCAGAAATTTTGAACTTTTGTCTAAGCAGAAGAAGTTTTTTAAATTATAATGCTAAATCTCATCCTCCAGAATTATGCAAACTAACATCCTCTAAGGCCAACAGTTATACAGACGTGTTCTTAGGTAATGCTGTTTTCCCCTTAGTCTGCCTACCAATCGACAACTATGGGTAAATTTCAAGATGCGATCGAAAAGCTCCACGGAGTACTTCTCAGTATCACGTTGTTGGCAGTTGATACAAAACAGGAAATCTCAGAGGTTTGTACTGTGTTATGTTTCACTCTTTGTAGCCCCGCCAAAGCTGTCTTCCTTGGCATAGTATCTTTTTGTAAAAAAATTAAACTATGGACTTTCACAAGCCACGCTGTTTGCGACTATCTTTGCAAATTTTGAATTGACGCGGAAAGTGCCTAGTTATTAATTCCCCTGAAATTTTCATTCTTAAATGCGAAAAGCATTTGCTTTACATTTGAAATATAAACTTGCACCACAGTATCCCCCGTTTTTCCCATCAGTTAACTTAAAACTTGACGATGCAATGATGAAAACATTTTATTCTTAAAAAAGATTGTAATGTTTTTGGAATACCTCGGTTTGTGAGTGAGTCATCTCTTGTATATTCAGGCACAAGAGCTCCTTGGCATTTGCCGAGAATACATTGTCGGTCTCCAAATGGAACTTATTCGCAAAGATCTTCCAAAGGTATGTCCATAGATCATTAGTTATTGCCCACGTTCTTATAGATATTGTCCGTTCCTTTTTCTACATAGTTCTGTCGTGCGCGATTCTCGATTTTGCATTATATGAAGAAGTCACCTAATGATCTTTTCCAATTCTTTAGACCAATGCGGCACAGATGAAACGTGTTTGTGAGGTATGTTAATTTTTAGCCACATATATAGACATGCTCAAGGATCTATTAAGGAAGTCATTGCAACGGTTAAGGAGAAGATGTATTTCGTGATACAAGAAAAATCTTTATGAAAATTTCAAAATATCTAAGGTACAAGCTTGCAGGGGAAATTGCCATTTATTGAGTAAGACGAAAAAGAGGATTCCCCTTTTCTCATGGCTTATTTCTGAAAAGAAAAGTGACCATTTACTATTCTAGGTAAAAGTTGACAAAGTATGACACCATTTATATTATGGCAGAAGAAATTAACACCTAAACTGTTAGCTTAATCTATATGTTTTACTGCATCTCTGGAATTCCATATTTTCTTTCTTCTTGCAGCTTGCGGCCTATTTCACACACTGCAATCTACAGCCAATTCATCTCATTCTCACACTCAGGACAGCTTTGAACCTTTCATTCAAGGTCAGTTGTTATTAATCGTATGATTCATTCTTACAATTACAGAGAGGAAACCAATGTGAGAAAAATATGTATAGCATCATATAGAAATTGTATATGAATATTTTGATTTAAAACATCCATTTGTAATAATTTTATATACTGTATCGAAAGCTAAATTCTCTTTCTTCAATCAATCTAATTCTAAATCTTTGTTGCTTTAGATGAAGAACTTCAAGACAGCTGCGTCCTTTGCTCGCCGTCTTTTAGAACTCGGACCGAAACCAGATGTCGCTCAGCAGGTAAACAGCCATTCAGTCAGATCTTTTCCAAAACTCACAACCCCCTACTGAATTTCACACAAGTATAGCTCACTGCCCGCTGGCTACAGTTCCAAGGGTCTTTGGTTTCAGTCTCTGACATGACCAAACTTTCTCTCAGAGTGAGGAGAGTCGCCAGTTCTCTGTAATTCCAGGCATAGGAATCACTAGGTGCCGTCACGTGGAGAGAAAGCACCAAGGCACTGATCGATAAGCAAATCTTCTCAGTGTACTTAAGCTACCTTAGGAAGCTAGATATTAAACAGTTTAATAAATTTCACACGATCTTCCTTGATCACAGCACCGGCTGCAAAAGGGCACTTGTAGTTTTGGAATTTCCCAACAAAATTTTCACCACTACTTTTCTTGAATAACTTTTAGTTTGCTCTTTTCATACTCCTATCGAGATCTCTGCTATCTGTTATTGTTCTTTACTAGCAATAGTCTTTCTTACACCTTTCGAAAAAGACCTTCAAAGTTACTGAAATGACATTTGAATTGATGAAATACTCTTCTACTTGTGAGAGTTTGTAGAGATTATCAATTTCAGCTACATTGGACCATGTTTATAATTTTTCATTAATGCTAGAATGTGATAATATTCAATTTTCTTCACAAAGTAAGTCCTTTCAATATATCTCAAAACTATGATTCATATTTGTAGACACGAAAAATTCTCCAAGCATGTGACAAGAACCCAGTCGACGCCGTCCAGTTTGATTATGATGAGCTAAATCCATTTTCCGTTTGCAGTATTTCTTACACTCCAGTTTACAGGTACTATAACATTCTATTCATTTTTCTGTTTCGTTTTTTTGTTTTCTTTGGAAGAATCTTTTTGAAACCCTGAAAATCAAGATCTGACATGTATCAATCAAATTCTGGCAGATGTCAATCAAACTGTGACTGATTTTAAAAACAATTCTTAGATAATTGTCAATCATGGTGTCATATAGTGCCTCTTTTGCATAGCCCCTCTGATATAGAAAAATGATATGATAAGATTCTTTAAGAAAATGTACAACTCAACTAAACAACCAGGAATATTGATTACCTATGACTTAATTATTCCCAACTGTTACAAGAATATTCCTTTCGTATTTCCAACTGTTATGAAAACTTTTCCAAATTATACTTCTTGTACCTGTCCACACAGTGGCAAGAGCCTTAAACAATAAAATTCATTTCTTTTTCAATGTATAAATTGAGGTTTGCATTTCTAGGATTTTTTTACTGTTTTGCAGGGGTAAGCCACAAGAGAAATGTCCTTTATGCCAAGCTGTTTATCAGACAGAACACAAAGGCAAAGTTTGCACAGTTTGCAAGGTATGTATGTCTGTGTTTATTTACCCTTGAGTTAGTATGGTATATCTGTGTGTACTTCCATTCACTGTTTATTGTTTTTAGCCAATGGTTGCTAGAAAGATTGATTGTAACATGGAAGATCGTGGCTTTAGTTTATGCACGATCTATGATTTTGATGCTAGAGTCTTGTCTAGGAAAAGCACTCTACCTCATTCTGTTGTTGGCCTAAGAAAAGTCTCCTCTGTGAATTTCACATAATCAGAACTATACATAGCCACGCGAAAATGCATGCACACAAACTCATTGCATTTTTATATTATTATCGAAGTCTTGATAGCTTTGTATATTAACTTGTTCTTGTTATTCAACCTTAGGTTGCTGAAATTGGAAGACCGGGACAAGGCTTGAAAATAAGTGTTTCACAATTCAGATAATGTGACAATTGTTTTGAGACATTATTCAGTAACTGGCTTAGAGGGTTTCCAGGAAAAGTGAGTTGCTGCCAGAGAGAACGATAGATACTGTCATCTGATAATTTGTTTTCGAAATCTTATAGAATTATAATTAGATATTGCTAATAATGAAAATATGGACCACTTTTTCTTGTTGTATCGAACTGATTAAATCATTATTTACATGTTTGCAAGCTAGTCAAATTTGGATCTTTCGGTTGATATTATGACATATGTGATATTTCCAACCTTCAGTCTTCAGACTTCATTATCGATAACGTCGTTAATAGAGATCTGGACATATTTAACATAGAAAAAAATTACACTGCTATCGTCAAATATAAAAACGCTCCCCTTGGTAAGATGTGGCTTGCTAGTGGCCTTTAAACATGAACTGTGCTTTGTCAACTTTAAAAAACTCGTTGATTACCATTTCCCTTTCTTTGCATTTATAGCTGTATGAAGACCCGGGACCTAAACCTCCACGTTTTATTATATCAGTTTCGAAATAGTTCTTTTACGGCATGCTAAATATGTATAATTCTGAAGAGTTAATGAGAAACTTTAGATAGTAGCTGGGTATTCTTTGAGCTATTCTCTTATAAATCTCGAAAGATTTTATTATCTTAGTTCTTGGCCCCTTTTCTTTGGAACAAAGTGACTGCCTCCAGCTAAAACAATGTACAAAAAAGGTACATGCAAAGCTATCCTCCCTACAATCTGATTTTGTTTTGCATAAAAGTATCGATTGTAAACCAATTACAGCCTCCTGTCTTTCATGAAATGACATGTATCCTGTTCTTTCATCAAATTCAACTTGTTGGTCTTCGGTTTTACAACTCTGCTTTTTCCTTCACGCGTCTGTTGCCATTCTCTGATCGAGCGAAATGGTTTCATATCCATGTACGTATTGTAATCGAACATTTGCGCTCAAGGAGCCATTCTTTCTGTGTTCTTCTCTTGAGGGGGTGGGGGTCGAAATTCCAGAGGGCTCCTTCGGAAAAAAAAGCTCAGGAGTCCTGATATGTGGTGCACCTGCAAACGAACAACTGAGTGTTTTGATCGAGGGGTGTCTTGATCACTTCCTAATGACTTGTAATTTTAGCACACTACCCTCATCCGTGCCTTTTTAGCCATTTGTGCTGTATGAAGTGAAAATGACCGAGGCTTCTGGCTAAAAGACAGTCGATGATATTTTAATGTGAGGTGAGACATTCCTATGAGGAGGTTATGACATCCTGCATATTCTCAGCACCAGACCTTTCCGATATTGCGCGTCCTACGTGGGAAAGAAAATGGCTGCCATCAGACAAGTACCTCTAGTTTGTGGAGGGCACGAAAGACCCGTCGTAGACCTAAAGTTTTCTGGTATTACTGAAACGGGCTCATATATGCTAAGTGCATCCAAAGGTATTTTACGTTTTATGTTCTTCCTTCGTAATCTCCACGAAATTTACGATTTAATCTGGCGCAGTAGGCCCAATATTTTTTACATTCATTCAGTTTGAAGCTCAGAATCAGTTGTCCTGTGTTAGTATCGAATGCAAAAATAAAATATAAAATTTCAGGCATTATATCAACAACAAAAATGTGCCTAAGTACGATGAATTAAGATGAATGTAAAATAAATTAAGATGAATTAGTTTGTAAGTGTAGGCCTATTAATTAGGCTAATTAGGCTAGTGTAGGCTTAATTTTTTGTCAGAAATTTTATTAGCTATTTTTTAAACAATTAAGCTAAACTGTTTCTTTTCTTTCATATTCTTGATTATACTATTATCTTCTGGTGTATAAGTTTGTTCTTTAACCATAGAGAATGCCATATTTTGTATTATTTTATATCACTAGGTCATTCCATATGTAAATTCAACAGATTTGAGTTAAGATTAACATCAGAATAGTTGCCAAGAATTTCATAAAACTGCATCTAAATCTGCTTAAGCATCAATTTTTCAAATTTAGGTATATTTTATGTAAAATCGTTTTGAGTTTTTTAAAGAAGCCAACAAAGTATGTTTTTCCTGCTTTCCTGTTTTGCTTGCATTATTACTCTAAAAGTTAGCAAACAAACCCTTTTATACTTACAAAAAACAAAGATGACTCAAATTTTGAAAAAAAAGATATTTTTCAGTTTCTGCAACATGAGATACTACCTCTATGTAGCTAAAAAATCAAATGGAACAATCCTGATCTTAATCAATTTTGACAGGCCTAATTTTTACAGACCTTTGAAATCTTACAAATTTTGCATGTGTCCCAGGCAATTGAAAAGCCAAAAACTATATAATGTGTAAGTACACAATAAAGAAGCAATATAATTAATTACGGTAGAAGGATTAATCTAAGGCATCTGGAAATTTAAACTTGACAGATTTTAATTATGCATTGAGGTACAACATGGTGAAATATGGTGGCTGAGAATTAGCCAGAAACAAATTTGCTGGCAGATAGCTATAGGAATAGAAACTTAGAAGAATTTCATACTAATCACCCAAGTTTAATTCATAAGGTTACAAGAGGATTTGAAACCAATTAGCCTATAATAAACAGGCCAGTCTAGCACCAAATATAGAAATCTGCAACAAGTATGTTTGCAATGATATTTCCAGAGTTCTGTTACTATTAAAGTTAATTTCTTATTGGAGTTATGTTTATATCTATGATGGCCTGTAACTATGATGGCCTGTATTTGTTGGTGGTGGATCCCCTCTATGTAGGAGATGCTAGCATATGAGCTGTAGCATGTGCCAACAAATGAGTTTTTTGTACTAGTGTTTTGCTGCTTACTTTTAGATCTAATTGTTCTGTGAAAACATAAATAAGTCAAACTCGACATAAAAACAGTAAGAAAAGTTTTAAAACCTAAAGCAAAAGTATTTGATAAAAGCTAGATTTTAAGGGAAAGATAAAAAATAAAAAACATGTAAAATAGGCACCAATTGTGGAAATTGAGCTTTTTGGGTGGTAAAGTCTTTTATTTGTTTTTGCAAACAATTTTTTGGTGGCACAAAATTTAGAAAATGGCTTTGAAAATGAAAAAGTTTTGAAACATGCTTAGCTTTTTTCTTACGTTCTTCAAGATGGCAAGCCAATGCTAAGAAAAGGAGAGACCGGAGACTGGATAGGTACATTCGAGGGACACAAAGGTGCAGTTTGGGGTGCTACAATCAATAAAGATGCCACCTTAGCTGCTACTGGGGCTGCTGATTTTTCAGCGTGAGTTGCTCATTTACTTTTAGCATATCTATGAAATAGTAAGAAGCATTTTGTAAGATTCTCTGAATCCCTTAGATTCTTCCCCTAAGACTATCACAAAATGGGGGTACTGATGCAAATTTCCTTGTTCCTCTAATGCTTTCTTATTTCTGTTTAGGAAATTATGGAATGCAATAAATGGGACCGAGTTGACAACATATGCACACAAACACATTGTAAAAGCAGTGGATTTTTCCCAGGTAAGGATGTCTAACCAAAGGGAAAAGACACTTCTTATCCCACCAGTTGACTGTTCACTTTGACAATAAGGTCTGTATTTTAAAAACAACAACCTCTTGTAAAATGCAGCCAATAGGAGTTTAGGTGGCCATCGGGACATCATGATTCCAAGCTGATACCAATACTCAACTGTTTCTGCTTTTCATGTGTAATAGCAGTGGGCTGGCACTATTTTTATAAATCCATAAAAAAGGTTCATTAAGAATGGTTTGAAAAATAATTTTGTCTGTAGTTGCTAAAACAAAACAGAATCAAGTTTAGCAACTTAAAAAAACTGCTTTGACATGCTTCAAGAAAAAAAACAATGTTCTTTTACATTGAACTGTTCTTATTCCTTACTCTGTAAAAGCTCATCATAAAAAGAATTTGGCTATTATTAAGTAAGATAGGTGATGAGATTGTCCAAAAAATGGAATATAAACCAACCCTGTAGTTTGACACTGGAAATAATGAGAGTAAAAAGATTTACTTTCTTTGCAACTTAACAGTTTTCAGGCTTTATTTATAATTTGTCACTTTGTTCTCTTCCAGGATAGCCAAAAGCTGTTAACTGCTTGTAATGACAAAAAGCTTAGAGTATTTTCGATAGAAAAAACAGATTCAGGTAATCTTATGATGATTTGTTTTTTAACCTGAAAACTTTGAGCATTTCCTTTTAACATCAACTAGCAGAGTCCAAAAATGTTTTCAAACATCCTATCGACCATACTTAAGGCTCTGAAACCTTCTAAGAAAAGCAAGGATAAAAGGATAACGAGGATCCATTTTTAGCGTAGAATGTAAATTCCTATGTTCTGTGGTTTAAGGAAGACATGTTTACGATTGGTGCCAGTTTCTTGATGGCAAGAAGAAGCAGATTAATAACGTGTTTTACTAGGTTCTTTTTCTGACACTTTTTGTTTGGTATTTAATTATCAGATCATGGCTTAAAGAATAAACAGAATATATGTAGATGAAATCAAAAGTTACCAGTAAGAATGAATAATATTTTTGATTGCTTCCTTTTTTTGACTAGGCCTAATTAGCAACCGTTGATCCCTCCCAACGTTGTGAAGAGAAAGACGAACTCTTTGTAGATTCACAAATCAGGATTTTTATATTAATGTAGAAAGATCGCAAATCGCCTACATTGAAATATGACTGCGCTTGCCAGTTATTAAAAAAATGTTCATCGTTGAATCTTTAATTGCCCCCCCCCCTCACCCCGCATTCAGTAGCAAATTTTGACTTATGGCAAAATCACAATTCTTGGAAATCATGACTTTTGTAGAGATAACATTGCGCGGCATCTTGAAATTTTGAATTAAAGCTTTTTAACATTTTCTTTACCGAGGAGAATACGAAGGAAAAACAAATGAAAGTTTTAGTAAAAAATATATCTTTTTTTAGACCCGCTTATTATGGATGGATTAACCGGAAATTCAAAGCGCTGTCTGTGGTTTAAAAACGATACTGTCTTCAATGGAGGTGAAGATAAAATTATAAGGTGATTGTACTAGTATATAATAAGTAGATGAAAAAATAATAAAGATTACGTTGACACTGTCATGTTTAATGTATACTTAAGAAAGTTTATGAATATGATATGGTGTAGAAGAGATTACTGGCGATAGTCTTATTTCACAGCTTCAATTGTGTAAAACCAAGCTAAAGTTCTTTGTAAGCAAAATAGAAACCTTGAAAGATTTTTTATAATGTTGTTGTGTGATGTTCAATGATGTGATGTGATGTGATGTGATGTGATGTGATGTGATGTGATGTGATGTGATGTGATGTGATGTGATGTGATGTGATGTGCTGTTACCACAGAAGTATTTTGATATTTTCACAGTATAAGAGTCCTTCCTCCGTCAAGGTTGAATCCCCCGAGATTGAATCAAAGTGGTTAATGTTTGAAATGGCTCGAATAATAAACTTTTGAACTTTTAACATAAATGTACCATGCTAGACCAAGTCACTTTTGTCACTCTTTCGTTTTCACATTTCAGTCAATGGGATGTGCGATCAGGGAGTATGGTACAACAGATACAGGTAGACTCAAAAGTGACAAATATGGAACTTTCTCAAGACATACTGATTGTCACATATGGAAAAACGACAGCTTTTTATGATCCTGAAAGGTAATCTGTTTTTAAGGGACCTTCCCGCTTTACGTCGCGTACCCTTGAGCGTGCAATACATTGCAGAAGTTGTCTAGCAACAAAGCATTTATATTTTCTATGATGACCAATTGCACTTTAATACTTTAATCTTGCATAATTTTTAAGAAGCTGCCGAAACAATCATAAATAATCATAAATTAATAGCTCAGTCAAACAGATGCTCATGAGATTGAATAAAGAAGGTCAACATGAGTGACGTAATACCTAAATAAGAAGACCGTACCCAAGACTTCTATGTGGTTCAAGGAGACTTCTTTTTCGTTATCTTCTCAAAAACGATTTTTATTGAAAGCCCGCCAATCCCAGTTTAATTTTTTTCTGTATATATAATTGACGCAATTGAATGTATTCGTTTGTTATTAAGAGTCCTGCCTTCTTTTTTTTGCAATAAATCCGACGATTTTATCTCCTTGTCCTTGTACCGATAGTTACTTAGTTAGTGTCTTTGCAGGTATAATTTTTGTATTGTTTTATGAACCGTTATTATTTATCCTCAACCAATACCCTGACATGCTTTTTAGGCCAAAGTCGATTGGGGGCTGCCCTTCGCCTACATAGCACTTACTTATATCGAGGGGACAGCCATTGCGTGTGCCACGGCTGGTCAACCCTAATCCCTCCGTTACTGATGATGTTAGGGGGCATTTCGCTGTCACCAAATTAAAACAAGCATTTGTGGCAAATTCAAGATTTTAGAAAATCTGCAATATTTTTAATCAATAGTAGGTTAATGTCCCTTTCCCTTCGGATTTGGTAAATCTGTAGCCACATTTGGCAGTTACTGGGCCAGATTGTGATGCTTATGTCATGCATTTGTTGCTAGACTCTCTTCATCGTCACAAGGAGACTGACTGATCTAAATCCCCGTACTAGTTAATACAATTTGTTTTGACTTTTTCCCATATTACTTTATTTGCCTAGATAAGATTTCATTTGTCTTGCTTCAATTTGATTTCATTCTCAAACTCTGTCAACAGCAACCGTTTAACTTTTCTGTAGCATTCGGTTCTTTTGTTATTTTAAAGTCACTACTGGATGCATTGCCGTATATAGAGTTGTTATTTAAGGTTTTTGCCAGAACTTCTTTTTCTTTAATTACAGCTTGGAGCTTATCAAACAGCATGAACAAAACTCTTTGGTATATGCTGCTTCGATGCACCAGACTAAGAAGTTCTACGTCACTGGTGGGGAAGATTTTTGCCTTCACAAAATCGACTATGAAACTGGAAATGCTCTAGGTATGTTTTTGCAAGTCAAACTTACAGATTTTCTCCTTTTTGCTTACAGTTAAGTCTTTTAATCTTAGCCTGAAATTGCTTTTTGAAGTAAATTGAATTTGGCTCTCATTTATGAGGAAAGGTGACTGCATTAACAGTCCGAGACTCGCAAGCTATTTTGCCACACGCACTCTTAGTAGCAGGCGTTGCGCATGCTCGTGACCAGCGCTAGGGAACGCAGAGCATATTTAGGATTTGTGAGAGGGAGGGCCTAAAATATTTTTGGTCAAATTCTAAGGTCTGATCTAAAATATGAACCAGTATTTGATCTCAGAACATCCCAGGTCTAAAGTTGCGTCGTAAACACACGTGATATCGGGACACCTAACATTGTGTTTTGCGATGCTGGCGATGTTTGATCAAGGGCAGACATTTTGCCCGCCTTTTCATTGTATTCCTGTGTTAAGCGAACATACCAGTATGATAGGGGCTGATAAAACATCTTCGTTTTCGACCTTTTTTCTGTGATTTCTCAATCCTTAAACTAAGACCCTTTTCAGCTTTTAAGCGGATGAAAAGCCCCGATTAGATGTTTTGGGATCTCAAACAGTTTTGTTTAAATGCTATGTTCAGATTTTATGGGTTGCTGAAAGATTATTTTTTGGCTTGCTTCAATAACCATTCGAAGGCGACGTTCTTCGTTCGTAGAGGAGCAAGTAAAATAAAGTTGTTGGAGAATGGAACTGAAATTCTGTATTCCACTAGAGGTGTTCCGTTCTCGCGCTGGCGATCACCAAATAATATTGGCCATTCTTTGCACAGTGTTATTAGGGAGCCTCGTGCACGAACAAAATGGCTCAGGTGCAAGCCTTTAAACTTTGCTCCCAAACTGCTTGTTAAATTTGCCTGAAGAATAACCACTCTTTTTTAATCTAGAATCATTCAAAGGACATTTTGGCCCAGTACACTGTGTTGAGTTTTCACCAGACGGGGAGCTGTATGCATCAGGTTCTGAGGACGGCACGCTGCGTTTATGGCAGACAGTCATTGGTAAAACATACGGACTTTGGCGATCGTATGAAGATGACGAAAAACCAAGCGTAGTCAACGGTGTTGAGGCAGTGTCGGAAGAATCTTAAACCATAATCTCCCTTAGTAAGAATTTCCTTTACTGGTTGCCGCTCTAAATGCTTGGGGCCTTAAACAAATCTTTTTTGTCTTCAAAACATGTCCTAATATCTACAAAATCTCTTAACGCGCCTTATAATACCCTACCTTAGTTCTCCTCTACTTGTAATACCCTAACTTAGTTCTCTTGTTACCTTAGTTCTCTAGGCAAGTTACCATAATTTTGCCTTGTCTGTATTTACCATTTCAATGTGATAAGTACAGTTGTGTCTAAGTTTACCCCGAATCGATCTCCTCCATCGTTACAAGAAAGGCTCATATTCTGTCCATATTATCCGTTATCAATATTCCGTACATATTCTCCATAATTTCTTAGTTCCCCTGGATGTCCTGACTCTCGCTCGTAAAAGGGGACTGGAGGGTTATTAGTTTTCGAAGTCGGTAAACTGGACAATTTTAGTTTGTTTTTAAAAGTTTTTGTCCGGAATGCAAAACTCCTGGCGCTAGTTAGGCAAGAGTTTTCACAGTAACTTTTTTGTTTACCTTACAGTACACGACTAAAACTCTCAAAGGATACTTGTAACATAAACAATATCTATTACATTTCGCAATACTGTCTGTTTGATAGATACCCGTATAAAATAATCTTGTAAATGGGTCTACAAGAGACACGATAATTGTTGGAATATGTCTTTTTAATTGTCATTTAATTAGAGAGATAAATATCTACGTTGGGTAATTTTATGGGAACTTGAAGTTTTTTTCTTGTTCTTTTGATAAGCATAAACTCACAATTAAATAGAATTCGAGGTACCTTGCTTGGTGGCTTTCTTCATTTCATTTTTCAGTACATTTATTGAGGGTACCCCCTTCGATAGAGAGGACTACTATATATAGTGGGCTGAGAATACGTAGAACAACAGTTTACGTGAAAATAACGTTGAACAAGTTGATCGAAAGCTAAGAATATCTTTGTAATATTAAATAAAAAGTAAAAAAAGTGACTAAAGCCAAGCTCACTTTTATTTTTCAGAACTATATTAAGTAAGAAAGAATCCGGTGCCAAAACTTTCAGTAGATTAATTTTCGGTGGGAAAAAATTTGGTCATATTTTTGAAGTTTCGGTTTAAATTTCAGTGAGAACTTGAAAAATTTCGGTGGCAAAACAATTTCGGCAATTTCTGTAAGTTATTTTTATCTTCAACATAAAATTATCAGGAACGCAATCATAAAAAATACAAAAATCGAATATTTTGATATCAACCCAATAAATGAAACTGAAGAGTAAGCAAGAATGTCATAAACTCATATTTAGATGAGGTTTTTTATTTGATTTTTTAACCCATAGAGGAAATTAATTCGAAGCGTTTACAGTCTGCAGTATTTTCGATCGCCAATCGGAATGATTGGATTAGAAATTCTGATCGATTGTGAGTTTGAGGCATCCTAAAATTGAGGCATCATAATTGAAACCACTTAAACGTTATATTGAGGGAAATTATGAAGAGCCTTCAGAAGCTATTTTTGTTATGTTGAAAGTCCATGGGTGTTAAACGAGATTTTTCTAGCGTTTGAAACTTTTGATAGGAAAAAGTTTGGGTTTATAGTAGATAAGCCATAGTTGCTGTTGGTGACAAATCTGCCAGCGCTGTTTGGTAGTTTAAGTAAAGTTTGCAATGTTGTTTTGCCGTAGGATCCTCATTATATTTTAAATGTATTTGACATAAGTACAGCGAATCAAGTAATAACTTAGGCCAAATTTGATAGAGGTCGCGTGCATTAAAGGAATTGAAAACTGCTCATTTGAAACTGTATACAGGAAAACCCGGACAATTGCCAAATATACTGAGTGAGAAAATGGTTGCTTGATTGAACTGAAGACTCTCGATAAACGATATTTATGATTTGGAAACGATCGATCGATTCGTAGCTTTTGGTGAAGGCGAAGCAATAACTTTGTCCGCCATCTTGAATCACTGTGCGCTGCTCTGGGATTTCGCCGCTTTGTAGCCTGTGTTCCAGACCCCCCTAACTTGAAAGTTCTACTTTCAAGTTAGGGGTCTGGAGCACAGGCTACCGCTTTGCAGAAGGGCGCAAACTGTTAACATGATTTTCTGTTTGTTTGGTCAACCATTGGTTATTGAGTGGCTGTTAGAAATATACTTCTCTCATCTAAGTACAGCATTAGAACAGAAGTGAACAAAAATGTCATGAGCATTTGAAAACAACATAAATTTTGACAAGCCTTACTGCTTCCAGTTGCAAAAACGCTCCCCAACAAGTTACTGTTGGAACTTAAAAAGTCGATTACACGCTTTTGTATTAGAACATTTGGCTCCAGTTTCAGCGTGGCGCTTCTTATTTTTCGCATAATTTCAGCAAGGCGTGTTTTTTGTTTTGTTTCTGATTTTGTAATGGAATTTCATGTGCAGGGTAGTGTCCGGACATAACCTGTGCTTGATTAAGTAATTAGTGCTATTTTGCTTGTCGCTTTCCGTTTTTTCTGTTGCTATTCTTTTTTTCAATTTTTTCTTGTATTTTATTTCTTGAGTTTTGTTGAATTTCAGCCTGCATTGTTTCTTATTTTGTTCTTGTTTTTTGCAAATCTTAGCCTGATGTTTCTTATAAGGGTTGTTCCCTATAAAAATCGTGAATCTTTCTGTAATAGTCCCTATCAATACCCTTTTCTTAGGATGAAAATTGAAAATAGGACCTCAAATGTAGAAATCCATGACATCATAATAAAAAGAATTCTTTAGAAACAATGAGTTCAATTCCACTAACACACGACCACCCCCCCTCCCCCCTAAAGAACAACCAACGTTGTTAGAGCTAGGGAATGATTGAGTTATCGGGGGCTCAAAAGTATTGGGTATATCCCATAGGAATGTCGTCGTTTTGCAAAAGAGGTTGAACTGTAAAATATCATAACTAGTTTAAGAAGTAAACAGTTTTAAGCACAACGTGAAAATGTATTATCATTGTCTTGCCTTGATATATTTCCTGATTTTGTTTTTGATCTGGAATTGAACAAATATAAAACTTTTGTTCTAATTCACGCATGATTTATATAAAATATTTCCGCACACGTTCCAAAGTATAACACAAATTTGAGCAGCAGTCACAGAAATTTAGCCTCTGTTTCTCAAAGAACGTGATGTCGCGTTTTTCAATTCTTTGATCTTGGCTGTTGTTTTGATCATGATCTGAACAATCCCTCTTATTTCGTGAGGGGAAGTAGACGAAAAACTACAGTAGCATAATGAAATGTTTGTTCCTGAGCACATACCGCAACTAATTTCGATACCATTGTCTGGAATGATAACTGGCGAAATACTTCCTAGATAAACTCATCCACTTTGCTCTTATTGCGAAGATTGATACAATACAAAATCGTAAAGTATGTTTTCAGATTAAAGGCTCTATCATGTGCTTCTGGAATGACTTTGAGCATATTGGAGCTGGAGGCTGAATGTTACTTCAATCCAGGAGATGATTGAAAAATAAAAACAAAACGAAACAAGTTCAAAGCAAGTCCAGGTGATTTTTTATGATACTGTTATGTAATAAAATGGCTTATTATTTGTGAAATGGTATTTCTGCCGACGTTAAGTGAGTTCTCAGCTTCGAAATTACAGTCAAACGAAAACTAATAGAGAAACCGAGGGAAAAACTCGCCTTTGAACACAACATAGGGTTGCTTTAGCTTACTTGGGATTTATCTATTTGTAGTGCCAATCTTCAAAATGGCAGGCCTAAAACGGAAACATAACGCAATTTATGCTTCCAAACATCTAAAAACTTCAAATCCCTGTTGATAGCCGTACAAAGCAGTTTGTACCGGAAATCTTTTATAGACTTCCGTAACCTTTTACATTGGTATTTATGAATCTTTTCTATGTATCTCTCCATAACAACCCCTTAATAAACATCTAGTCAATAAATTGTAACCTTGTTGCTGAATTACATGAGTTGGGAATTGTGCAATTCAACCGTCTACCGTTTTTGCCACTAGTATTTTTCAGCGCCAGCCCTGCTCCTTTCTTATGCTAATATCGAATAGTCGTTTGCTAGCTGGCTTCCTATCAAAACAAGTCAACTTGATAAGCAAGGGGAGGCAGGGATCATCGTTTCCCCAATTTTTCTGTAGGCTGTGCTTTTAGTGGTTGATAAAGGAACTCTTGTATTCTAGCCCCTTTATATTGAAGCCAAAGATGCAGTTATTAGAAGTATATGCAGGTCCATATCAACATAAGCTGACTTTAGCGCAACCTGCAATAACAAATATCGCATGTATGTATGTATATATGTATATAGTTCTTGCAAGTTATTTTCGAAACAAATAAATTTTAGATAACTCAGCTATGCTTTTTTTAATAAGAACAATTTTATAAGAAAACGAGCGACAAATTAAGAGCAAGCTGAAATTGAGGAACTGTAAAATATAATTTTGAACAAAAGGAAGAAAAATTCATGAACTCCAGTGATCTACATCAAACCAGGCTACTTGCCGGTAAATTAAGTACGGTGCACTCCCTTTGTTTTGCACAACTCCCCTTGAGCACGATTTGCCCACCCCAAGCTTTCGAAACATTGAAAATGACGTCACAAAAAGATCTGTAGAATCTTTTTGTGGTAGGTCAACACGAGACTGTGTTCACGTGATCACATGTGATGTTCAGTTCATTGAGTTATTACGCAACGCAATCTCCGGACGTTGGTGTCAAAAGGTTTTATCGCCAAATATTTCGCAAATGCTTCAAAGAGCAGGCGACAAAATTACATAAAATTCACAATGGAATCAAGGTAAAACTTGTTGGAAACAGTGTCGAATTGCAAAATGTGGTATATTGTCTTTTGAAGCGCGACTTGGCCTAGGCCTGATGTCAACAAGCTGGGTATCCTAACAAATCGCTTATGAATTATTTATTTGACGTTTGTTATTAGAAATAATAGACTCACTGAATGATAGCATTTACTGTCGACGTGGTCGGTAATTTTTGGTAGACGTCTTCCGTAATTTTCCAGAATTGTATGTGTTGGGCAAAAAATGTATTTTCCAACAGGATTGTCCTCGACCCTCAAACCTCAAACAGGAAGAATTGAACCTTATATCAATTTAGATGAATGATAGACAAAAAATATTTTAATGTCAGAAAAATATAGTCTTAATTGGATAAGCTTAGAGTATAAGTTATATCAGAGAAAGACATCATTTTTGCGTGAAATGCAACCAGCCTGATCTTAAAAGACAGAAATTTACTCCCTGTTTAAATTTGGTGTCAATCCGGTACTTGCATCTGTGTCTTTTCAGTTAGATAAAGCATCATAGATGCAGTACATTCCTCAGTTTAAGAAGCCTGTTTTTGAAACTCAGTGCTTGTTGAAATGCATTCTGCCCCTTTAACCAGGGTGCATTCCATGTAAACCTCACTCCAAAGGTAGGCCAGAAAAAGTCTTGGTAAATGCCAAGGTTCATATGCAATCATAACATTGTCCAACCTCCCTGCATAATTCACAGGCCATATATCAATACAATTGGGATGATGCAGAAGCACACAAAAACAATCATAGAAGAGACTTAGTGCTCCACCAGTACAACATTTCACATAAATTTCTGTGTAGGCCACACAGCAACAGATGCTAGTCTCGCCAACACCATTCAAAGAGGAAAACTCCACCCCATAGATCTTCGAGATTGGCTATGTGGTCTGGCCTTTCAACAGCAAATAAGATAGATAAGTGTATAATGACAGTTTAAGTAGCACAGAAAAAGATTATCAGATTCAGAAATGAGATTTGAATCTCAGTTTATTAGCCCTTGAACCTAGAAGAGTTACAGAATTATATTCAGAAATGCTTATCACATCATTTCCTATTTGTACCTTATTCTGTTTCAATTGTAGCTTTGTTGCAAAGCTTCTCAATGGTGCAATAGCTGGATCTGTTGGTACAGCATGTATCTTTCCACTCGATCTTGCAAAGACCAGGTTACAGGACCAGAGGACAGTGGCCAAGGCTGGCTCTCAGCAAGTTAAGAAATTGTACAAAAATGTGTAAGCATGCTAGACTTAGTTGAAAATAATTTTTTATGTTTTTTAATACAGTTCTATTTGCTGGGAATAGGGTTCCAAGCATCCCCTTTTAGCCAAAATTGGTTAATGGTATGAAATGGTAGTAAAATAACCTCCAATAGCATCTTTGTCAAGCCCTGGTATCCAGGCTGTTTGGAACCTTCTGGACTTCCATTTTAGTTTTTATCTACAACCCCTACAGAAGACATTGGAGTGTTCAGTTGCTTCATTGTTGTTTAGTGAAATTAACTGTTTCCAGAGAAAACATCAATTCCGTACCCTCCTCCCCAAAAACAATTTTGGTTGTAGAGTTAAATATCAAAAACTGTCTAAATATCCATTGGATGACACTGAACCTCTTAACTTGACATAAAACAACATTGTTAGGGATATGAAGTATAGAATATTGAATCAAAGACTTTTGCTGTGCATTGTTGCTATGTTTCTGTATTTAAGGTTTATTTTGAAGTGAATGATATTGTTAAAATTATAGTTTTTGATATGGTTTGAAAAGACATCAGTTAAGAGACTTTCATTGGTTATCCTTTTATTAGATAATTGATTACAATCCTGGACTTTCTGCTCTTCACCAGCAAGTACAATGTTTGTAAGGATATGCCAGTAATTGCAAGTAGGCATTGTGGGATAACTTTCAATGTTTTGCTTTTCTGAGATGCTGTTTATAGGTTGATTTAGGACTGTATCAAAAAAGTTAGAACATCCTATTCATTAGCCAAACAAGTGAGATTTTGTTGCTTACCAATTGACCTCTCCCAAAAAGAAGTTCTAGTCATCTACTGAAAAAGTTTGGTTTTATCTTCCAGTTTGGTTTTTTCTCTAAAAATGTTTGGTTTTATCTCCCTTAGTCTGTAATTTGCATTGTGATCTCTTATCTTACAACTGATAGAAAAACTGTGTTATGTCCATTTCTTTTGAGACATATTCAATTTGCAAACACATTTTTACAGCTTTCATTGCATCTATGTTGTTGCAAGGACAGAAGGAATCAGAGGACTTTATAAAGGTGTTTTCACTGCTTTCAGTTTTAATTTGGAGCTTTAATTTTAATGGATTTTTGCTTTGAAAGATTGTGATTCTTCTTTTCAAGCCCTATTTTTCAAAGCTTATGATACCCTTTAAGATCTCTCACTCTCTAAAATTACAAGACTTGTATAACCTATTTGTAAATTAACTCCAAGTACATTATGAAAAAGCTGAAGTTAGACCATATTGCAATGATACCATGACCTCCCCTTTAATCCATTACTCAATGGACCTTTATTCCATTTGCGGAATTCTTTCGCCCCCTTTTTATTGTAGCTCAATTTTAGCAGCCGCACCCTTGGAGAGTAACAAAGTGATGCATGTCTATCCACACCTATGTTTTTGTCCTGATGCCTTGGAACGAGGAACCCTGGGGGATCTGTCCATCCACTTATTTACAACAACAATTGGTCTGCCCCCTTTTTGGTGATTTGTGTCTTTTCTATCTGTAGGTGGCATTTTTACATGAAATACACTCAAAAACAAATGATTACTCTTTTTCACTTTGTCCCCTAATTTTTAACACACCCAAACACCCCTGTTTGTACCCCTGGGCAACAGAGTAAAATCGATTTAGAACAACGTACGAAAAGGCACCAGATCCTCAGATCAATTTGACTGCGATTTAAATGAAAATCAAGCACTCTGTGTAAAGTCCTGCTTGTATTTCCTCTTGTGAGTCCTGCTTTTATCCCCTTTCTTATTAGATTCCATGTCATTAATTCGGGTTTCAAAACCAATTACCGTTGCAAGGATAATTACATTAATTTCTGACTTCAAAGTAGCTAAATAAGTACGAATGTTACGCGGTTATGGTAAACGATTTTTTCTTTGTCGGCGAAACGGGAAAAACCAGTCGTCGTCCCGTTTAGCCTGGTCAGGCATGTTTTTTACCTGCCCACCAATGACTGGGTTTTGGCCCGCAGCTTTCTAACTGAAGTGTTGGTTTCATTTTCGAACGGTCCTTTTTCAAGCAGTAAAATAGAAATTCCGCTTTTCAAACTTTACCTTTTGAATCTGAACCAAAATAATCATTCCGTATTACATAGAATTACAGACAGTTTGATGGATGTTTTAGTCAACTTACGGAAATCACTGAAGGCTTTGTTTAATTTTTCTTATGTTCTACTTATTTTCTCCACAATAGTTTCGACCTGAAACGAATTCTTTGAGACGTTTATTGAGACGTATAACTTTACCCAACAGCTTCATAGAGCCGTTATTTCGTTACATTTGTGACTTTCTTTGTTATCTTCATAAATGACTCTCTCAAAAACCCTGACTCGTCGAATATCTGAGCCCCTGCATTGAAAATTGCTTGTTTGTTTATTTTAGGTCTTGGTGTAAATATCTTACTAGTAAATCCAGAAAAAGCCATCAAGCTTGCAGTTAATGATCAAACGAGAGTATTTTTTGGAGGAAGAACGTATGTATTTTGGTGTGCTTTGCTAGCATCGCTGTGTTTATTTCAATGTTTATGTCGATATACATCATGTAATATGACCCTAACCACATATTAACTTCTAACTCTTGTTAATATGCAAGTATTACTTTCCGTTTTATGCTATTATCTATTCCAATCCGCTTAACAACATCACCGTAATCCATTACATCACAGAATCTTACTTTGCTTTTCAATCGCTAGGATTTACATCATCACGTTGTCAAAGGAGCTAGGCCCCAGACCTCTGTAATTCAAGGACCCGAACCACGGGGTCAGAATCTTCTAGGGGCTTTTACTTGCGATTGGGTGTTTAGATTACAGAGATAAAGTTATTTCCTGACCTTTAGCATCTACATGATGCAAAATACGCAATAAGGGAATTCACGTCCATTTTAATGGCTGCCATTAACCAATATAAAACTGACAATAGAACAATTTTTTTACGAGATATGTTCATGGGAAAATCACAAAAGGAATAAGCCGGCTATTTGCTTCATATATCATTTTTTATACCTGGGGATAATATATATTGAATTTCGAGTAATGAAGCTCACGAAAGAAATGTTTAAAATGCTCTTGGGTCTGTGGATTGTATTTATCGCCAAAATTATTGATACTGTGCAGGGTAGCTTTGTGTGCTGTACCTGATGTACCTAAATTTTTATTGAAGGAGTTTCTTGCCTTTGCAATATGAGATGTTGGCTGGTGCTTTAGCTGGATTTTGTCAGGTGAGTTTTGTTAAGTCGTTGCTTCTGAATTTCAAAGCTCAAGCCTCCTAATGATAATGAAACCGTGCACTATTTTGAATTGAAGTTTGAGGGGGCTCATTTGTTATTCTCAGGAGCATGAATGTAAGAATTTCATGGCGAGTATTTCAGAGGTGAATGTTTCGTTGACATTTGGAAAGATAAAAACATCAATGTTAGTGACTTGGAAAGTTTCATTTCAATTCATTCATGGTTCGAGCTTAATTACAATATACAAATTTATCAAATTAATCATATAATGACAAAGCTTGGGAGCCTTGGAAAGAACTCCAAAAGGCTATCAAGCCAAATCTCCCTTTCTCAACCAGTCGTCAGCTGTTCAATCATGCGAATTGAATTCCAATCATCGCGAAAGAGCTTCTTTTGTTACATAAAACATCAAATTAATTTAGCAATGTTACTTTTTCGGTTCCAGTCATAGAGAAAAAGACTGAAGGTCATCAAATTAACACATTGAATGGCACTTATCATATAACTCATAATCAATTTTCATTTACCGTATTCATTGAACAAAATTATACAATTGAGCTTCAAAAACAATTTTCCATACCGGGCTGTTTTTATTCTAGTTGAACATTTGGGAAGGGCGAAAATAGTAGAAGCAAAAGTGAGAAAAGGGAAGGAATAGTTGAAAATGGGAAGAAAATGAAAAAGCTGTGATAGTGGATCATGAAACTCGTAGCCCTAAAAAGGCTCATACTTCCTCTTGCCAAAGCAATGAAAACCTTCCTCAAAAATATACAATCAAAAGAAAGTGCAGTCTGTTTTGTAGTTTTCATGATTACTGGCCACGTAACCGCTATTTTTGCTTGAATATGAAGTAGGAAAAATTACAGAAGTTTTCCATTAATTGACGACAAGTCAAACCGGAGTTATGGGAAGGAATTTAGAGCTGTTTTTATTGTTTAAGCAGCCTACTGCTATCTTATCCTAACAATAATTATTTATTTATTTATTTGCTTTGCATTTCAGTAAAATAAGCTGACCTTTCAACATATTTGATACCTTTTATTTAGTTTATTTCGATAATGTTTTAATCAGCTTTCTTTCATCTTCAGGTTTCTGTAACAACGCCAATGGAATTCTTAAAAATTCAAATGCAAGTCTCTGGAAGGAGTAAGTTTAAAATGCTTTAATATTCTTCTCAATTCAGTTTTTCAAAGTTTATAAAAACATGTTGAAGTGATTCTAAGCTTTAGTCGCTTTGAGAGATGTGAATCATGGTCAATGTGCGTATAGACGATGTGTTTTATAAGAAAGTTTTTCTACAACTGGTATGAATAGCAATTGGAATACCAGTGCACCCCCTATTCTATCCCTTTCCCTTGTTACCTGTTTGGTGTAACAATGGAAAATGATTTTCAATTGTCCTTCAGTGGTGGAAGATTTCAAATCATTGATGCTTTCTTGCCGTTTCCCAACTTAGGCGTTCCACTTTTTAAGGTTAACACCTTAATTACTTTGTAGCCTTAAGTACAGCCTCCTACTTTCAAGTGACAGTGTAATCAATTAGATTTCTTTAATGATTATTCTGTATAACGATGGCTTAATTCTTCTGCAACAGACAAATCAGTTTTAGCGGCAGATGGATCTGCTGTCTCCACGAGCGCCACCCAAGTAGCTGCTAATCTTATCAAACAGAATGGTATCGGTGCAGTTTATCGAGGCTTAGGTGCAACCTTTGCCAGGTATTATTTCCGTGATGATAATTATATTAATGGAAACTGTTGGTTAAGTTAATTGATGTGGTCTCCAATATTAGTATAATTTTCGATTTACTTAAATTTCTTGTTTTTAAATTTTCATTTTTTAATTCCTTGAGCAGGGTTGCCCTTCAGCATAAGTTAGTTTAAAGTAGCCCCCAGATAAAAATCATTGATTGAAAAAGCAAATGAGAAAGGCCACCGTCTCTAAAAACTGTTTTTAAAACCAAGTCTCCTCCACATATTTGATATTATTATAGGATGGGTCCTATAACACCATGAACATCTCTGCGAAGGATAACAATGGGACAGATATCCTACAGGCTTCTTTCCTGGCACCTTTTCTTAGAAGTTGATTCAAATCAAAGCAGCTAAACTACCATAGCATGTAGCTAAAATAGCGGTTGGTGCATTCAATTTTGAATTTGTCTTTGCCGAACTGATACCAAATCAAACATTTGGAAATACAAACATCGCCTCTCAAGCCTTTGGCAGAAATCGAGCTTTTTCGAGTGGTGGGGCAAACACAGGGCAAGCACAATTCTTTTATACTTTCAAATTTTGAGATATATTTTCCACGTCGTATCGAATTGCCCCCTCCCCCTAGCACCCGATAATTTTCGCTACTGTCTTCAATTTCGATTTTTTCCAATCTTATTTCAATGTTTTTCCGCCAGTAGTCTTTCAGGTAGCCTGGTGCAACAACCTCTATATCTTACTGCATTCTCTTCTAGGGACGTACCATTCTCTTGCATTTACTTTCCACTATTTGCCTACATAAATATTAAGGTTTGTATTCAAATTTTTATTAAGCGCATTTCGGTAACTTTGAACAGTTCCAATCGTATCATGTGTTATTTAATTCGTCGGCATCGACGGATTTGTCTTTCAAGCTCATGTATCGATGTTTCGATCTCGCCCTCGAATCTTTGTATGATAGGACGACATCTTTGTATGTCGGTTTACTTTGTAGAAATATTTCTCACAGTGGGTTTGACTCCTTACAAAATGGGCTTTCGTATAACCGGAGTTCTGACCCACCTATAGTAACCCCCCTGTCTAAAGTGGTGACCCAAAATGGAGTATCACGTGCAGGTTGACTGGCATCTTGGTTAAATAAGGTTTATAACTGAAATGATGTTGGAATTGCTTATCTTTTGCTTTCCAACAAGTCTGTATACCATGTACCAGTAAGCCAGGATTTATCATTGTTTTGGTGAACTCGGGTAATATCTGTTATGCAAATGCAATTGTGGGGATACAGATAGACAAAGTGACTTACAAACTAATACAATGCGAGTTCAACTCCCTTTTTTGATTCTTTTTTCCGTTTGTAGAAACATTCACCCTACCCCTAACCCACATCGTAGTGTCAATATTTAACCGTGCTCTCACTCCTGTCGCCATTCAGGCTCATGTGCTGTAACTTAGGTTGCAAAGGTATCTGTTTATTTTAATTTAGGGTTACGGAGCAGATGGATCAAGACCACACCCTCTTCATTCTCTCTTTGCTGGTTTATTTTCTGGAATGACTGCATCTCTTGCGGTGAATCCCTTAGACGTCATCAAAACACGTCTCCAAGTATTAAAGCGCGTTGAAGGCGAACCAACCTACAATGGTATCATCGACTGTGCCGTGAAGGTTTTCAAGCAAGAAGGAATTACTGCGTTTTACAAAGGAGCAATACCAAGAATAATCGTCATTGCACCTCTTTTTGGCATAGCACAAATGGTATATTTCTTTGGAGTTGCAGAAACACTCATTGGGTACACGCAACCAAAGAAGATTGCCGGCAGAGATTTCAAGTGATTGTCCCTGAGGGTATGTTCGACTCACAGTTTGGATTAATGACTAGGTTAGAATTCAGTTAGTGCCCTTGCTTGTTTATAGATGGTGGCGTCGAATTAGAATGTTTCTTCTTATTTCCTAGCCTTTGCTTGGTGTCTGATGTGGTTTATTTTTTTATATAATGCTCTCAGGCCAAGTTTTCAAGTATCATATTACTCATCGAAGTTTAAATTAGAGGATTGGGAAGTCATTAACAGACATTTTAATTCGAGCTCACTGATATGCTCATCTATAGAAAAATTAACCTCTGTTTTGAGCAATTATATGTTGCTATTTAATGGATATAGTTATATCATATACCTTTCACACCGTAACTTGAACGATAGTTAAGAAACTATTTCCTATGACACTTCCTTGAGGGTTTTGTAAATTTTAAAAAGTTGTTTTCATATAATTCCTCTCCTTTTGATGCTTGTAATCAAAACAAAAAGGTCCTCCAAACTGCTTCATGTTTGCTTAAATCAAAAAGCAGTAGAACGAATGTCCATTATGATCGCCTCAAAAGAAGAAGGTATTTTGAATTCAAGTGTAATCATAATTGAAAATTTGCCAATATGTTACGATGAAATGCATTCAATCATCGAGGCAGCCAATGCGACTTTTCCCTGTTTGTTCCCAAAGTTTGACAAGAATTCATCATTCTTCAAACCCAAAGGCAAAACTTTCAAACCTTGGTATAGGAACAGTAAAAAACTCTCTTCTTTTTCTTCTTCCTCGTCTTCTTCTTCTTCATCTTCTTCTTCTTCATCTTCTTCTTCTTCCTCTTCTTCTCCTTTGCAGGGTTGAAGGATATGGTAGCTCTCCATTTTTTTGCCTTTGGCTGTTGTTACTGCCTTGCTGTATTTCATGCCAGTCCAAGCCATTATGTTCTGCTCACATCATTCTCGGTCTTCCCCTTTTCTTTTTCCTTTTATTCTCATTTCCATTTTCTCTTTCCTGTAGTCTTTGGTTGATTTTTAAAATATTTTTGATTCCAATGACTTTCCTTAGAAAACAGTGAAAAATTTAGGCTTAGTATTAGTTTTTTAACTTAAATATATGTTTTCTGAAGTACATTCTTCACTGTTTCCAGTTCTGCAACGCCACTCTTTCGGACTCTGTTTATTTGTTTATTTTATTAGCACATCAAAGATTTAATAGGTTACCGTTAAATTTGTGTCCCTTTCTGTTTCTCCTTTTTGCATTAAGTTTTATTAACTTTATCAATTAACATGAGCCTATATTTTATCCAGGTAGATTTTGTTTAGAATTTAGGTAGTTGTTGTGTTTTTATGTATTTAGGTGTTATGTATTAAATTCAGATGACTTTATATATTTTGATGCTCCCAGCTTATTTAGGTAATGCTTTCGTTGTAATGCCAACCCCCCTTTTCGCTATCAAAAGTTTTTAAATACGTAAAGGCCATGTCTGAATGTTAAGAAATGCATATGGCAAAGTTTTTTATGCTCATGGCCGAAATGAAATAAGCACCATAGATATAAGATACGATTTCAGGTACGTTTAACTTCATAGATTTGTGCATCTGCATTATGGATGAAGCTCAATTTCTATTCAAGGTTGCCCAAATTAAATTGTGAAGACAAAATTTGTAGGGTTTGCGTAAGTGGGATTTTTAAATGCACCAGCAATACACTGTAGCTTGTTCACATTTTTGAACAACCACTGGCTAAAAAATTGTAGTTTGGAAGCTTTGATAGTCCCAAGAAAAAATTTTTTAAAAGATGTAAGATAAATGACAATACCCTTTCTTATTTCGCGTTTTTCAGAATCCTTTCCCCCTTTCCTATGAAATGATTTGAGTGTGATTCAGAAATGTATTATTCGGTGCATAGAAATTTAAAGTATTTATTCGTCTGCAGCAGTTTTGTCGTATATAAAAGTCAAAGAGAAACTCGTTACATCAGCCTATTCGTTTTGATTTAATTAATATTTCCCATCTTTCGACCTTTTTTAGGCATATATAACTAATAATTCAGTATGCTTTTAAAGAAGAGATTCTGAGCTTTACACAAATTTTAGTTTTACCCATCCCCTTCTACCTTTCCCAAACCTTCTACCACTCCACCCTACCATAAACTGGTCCTTTTATAGTCAAGAAAACTAAATTGCCTTTTATCGAAGGGGTGACCAACAACGAAATCATAGTGAGGTTCAGAATCTAAAAAATTCCAAAATTTGATTGATATTAATGCACAAAGAATTATGTTTATGAAATGATGTCTTGTGGAATTGAATAGTATTGTGATAAAAACAAAAATGTAATGTCTCATTTTTCTTCTATTTCTCTATCATTTATGTGAAGTTCAATTTGAATGTTTGTATGTTCAAAGTATCTTAGTAAATTACGCTAAGAATGATCCTAGTTTTATTATCCTATGGCGCCTGCAATCAAGGTGAAAGGATGTGGGGCGGCGTTTGGGGTTGGGGGCGAAGCGCAAGAAGATAGAGCAAAACAGTAGATGAAAGCTGCTAAAATTCGTGAGAGCAGGGAGTGGTCGTGCGAGCGTCTTCGATGCCATTTATTTTTTATTTTTTGACTAGCTTTGAAACGTGTGCCCAATAATTAGGCAGACATCAGAGCTTTTTGTGCCTTCAAGAATTTGTCCCGTTTGTCTGTCATTTTGTTTTTATTAATACTAAATTCTGTTATTGAAAGCAGTCAATCAACCAAATATATCAGGTTTCATACAGCTATGCAGGGCAAACGAATCATCTGAGTCCCATCTAAAAATTATCCAACTTTATACTTTTGTTGAACCACTTATGTATATCGATTCCTAGCTGTTATTTACCAGGTCATTTTGAAAGGGCGAAATATGACAGCTTCTGCACAGGAGCTTGGCGTTCCGGAAGGCTGGTCCGAGAAATATGCTTGTTCGCTTAGTATTTTGGTTTAGAGAGAAACGGCGTCAGTTACGGAGAGTTTAAATTGTTGTTGAACGAATGTAACAGTAAAGGAATAGTTTGAATAATAGCACTTTATCTAAAACATAGATTACGCATAGGAAATGTTGGTCTGGCTTTCTGGTACATACATGGCCTAGCCATGTTCCTGCTGAAAGATATCTTAGCAATGTAACGTTGGCAACAGCAAGAATTAGGCCCAGTTTGAAGCATAAAAATGTCCTTTCCACTTGATCTAACGATAACTGGAAAGCCAACCCCAAGGACAAATGAAAGGCCTGGAAGCGGAAGAAAGCCTCAGAGGCCATTGAGTGCTAACAGAGCCAGAAGCACAAAGTCAAACATTTTTGGAGACTACGAAGATGACAGGAAAGTAGAGAAAACTGAAAGAAGGCCTACTGCAAGGGTTAAATCAGCACCATCCCACAAAACAAAAGATGTCAAGTCACCATATGACTCCCTAAAAGGGGTAAGATTTGTTTGTTTCGAACATAATTATTTAAAATTGCAATGTTTTTAAAATTGCTTAAAATGTTTTTTAACCCGTAAATTATAATGCAGATGATAATGCTCGAATATTTTCTTTGGTTGACAAGCACTTTAAAAAACCTCACCCTTTATATGCTGCCTGTTAAAGAAGAAAGTTTATTTAGTTGTAAATAAAGATGGCTGGATGCGCAGCAGTCTTTGAAAACTCATGCAGTTTCGCCATCTTAAACTTGGTGTCCTTTTCTTACTTTGTCTGGATCTAACACTTGTGATATTTCATGTAGCATCATTCCTCACAGATCTATGCCTGTATGTCTGCAGATCCTATTATAACTAGCTTCTAACTGTCCTTCTTTCTTTCCTTAAGCTTGTAAATCTTGGCACCTGTTTTTGCTTCCCAGAATAACCTGAAGAGGCAATTTTTCTCTGCATACAGTACAATTTATAAGACAACCATTTCAAAGAACTTTCCTTTCACGGTTGTTGGTATTTTCTTGTCACACAAGATTCAAGACATCTTTTTTTCAGCATTTAACACTGATTGAACCTTCTGATCGACTGCTATATCTATTGTCTCATAAATTTGAAGAATTTTGTTACTTCTTGCAGGGGCTACCTTTGCACAACTACACCAATGTATCTCTTATGATTCTTTTATTCCTCTTCTCCCCAGAGCTTCTGTTCTGATTTTTCTTCCAGTGCTTTATTTGCTTGAAGACATATAACTAGTTGTCAAAATTCGTATATGTAATTAAAGTACTTTTTAACTTCCTAAGTTAGAATATCTGCAATCATTATTAAACGTAATGGTCTTAGAGCTGACTTTTGGTGAAACCATGGTTTCTATGTATTTTGGTTAAAAACACTAAATGCCTGCACAGTTGCCTTTTTTAGCATGTACCAAACGTTTTTACAACGAGGACAAACTGAATATTAAAAAGCTCAATATGTCTCATATTCACAAGCATTTAGCAAAATGCCTTCTATTTTGATAAGATCTCTCGGTTTTTGTAAAATCATAGTATTTGTATGAACCAAGATAACTGACCGTTTGTTTAAAATCATTTATTTAACTACACCTTTGATGATGAAAGTTTCATATACTTGCAGGCATCTGTTATCTCTAAATCAGAGCTTGAGGCAGTCAAGTCAATCACAAGCACTGAAGACAGTGAGGTATAAATTTTTCCTAGCCTTGTCTTAAATTCTGAATCAATTGGTTTGATGCTTACCTACCCAATATTTACCTTAGCAAATTTGGCTAGAAACCTAGCACTCATCAAAGCATGCTTACAAAATTCAACCTGCACCCTTGGAAAATGATCTCAGATTTCCGTCCTATAATCATGATGATGGGAGGACTACCACAGACAAAAACTTATGTTTCAGAACAGGTCAATTATATTTCTTGTAAGTGGCTGTTCATAGGAAGTGAAACTTCCTAACAAAGACAGATGAAGGCATTAGTTTGCTGATCAACCAACAATGATATTGATTAGATGGTAAAAATTATAGCAACATTGGAGTAAAGTAGGATACAACACCTCTGAACTCTTTCCAGATTTGTTCCTGGCACTTTATTTTTGAAAATTGGTACAAACCAATACCAATTGGTTTCATGTCAAGGAAGACTCTTTCTAAGGAAGGTTTGAATTTGTCACTGTCTAGCCAGCCAAGCATTCACTCGGATTTGTAAGAATCTGGAGCCTTACATGAAGTAGTTTGCTTTCTGCCATTATCATTTCTCTAGCTGTGTCATTTGAAGAACTATAAACTCACTTTAACCCCCCACCCTATTAAGCCACCCTTTCCTAGAAGTATATTGAAATAGATCCTTTCTCCTTATAGAGCTTCCCTATATCTCATATGAAAATCTTCCTAATTAAAATTTCAAATCTTCCTTTCTAATACAGCCCTTGTTTAGAATCATGTGGCTTAAACCCCTTAGGGTTTATTATGGATCCTATGGTATCTCTTTATGTAATATTCCTTTTTTAGGACAAAAGAGCTCAGATAAGGCACCCTGCACCTGAAGGGTATGAAATGGTTTTTTAATAAGTTCTTTACTATACCTGTATGTAATTAAATTTTCTTGTCTCTATAGAAAGTAGAAGCACCTTTGTTGTAGCTGTTGCTCACCGATCAAGCTTTTCTCTCTAAACTTTTTTGGCACTTCATGCACCCCATGTACCTTCTTGGTTGCTTTGATGTAGTTAACCTGATTTTCTTGGTTACTGTATGCATATTATTGTATTTATGTTTTGTTTCATTATTTCAAAGATTCTTTATCAAATTCTTCAAATTTTAAACAATTCTTCTAGTGTTCCAAAGCTTCAACTTGGAAATCTTATTGATAAGGATAACAGGGTAAGATGTTATTCTGGCTTTTTTGCAATTTGTTTTTCTTCATGTAATTATGTACTTGATCAGCCTTTAAGCTTTTTTATTGTTAAAAAGTTGGTTCACATTGAGGTGTTTTTAAAGAGTTTTTAAACTCTTGTTTTTAAACAGATGTGATGAAATATATCATCTAAACGATTTGAGACTACAAATCTTGCCATACCATGATGTACAGTTTGAAGTACAGTTTGATTTACAAATCATTATCATCAATCCATTATTATTACAAATTATCCTGCAACTTTTGAAATTTTCTTACTGCTTCAATTCTAATATTTCACCAGCTTCAAAAGCCTGTTGATGACTACAAACCTTCAATTGCAACACCAAATTCAGCCTCCAGTGTTGAGTAAGTGATCTTCATGCTCTCGAAAAAGTTATTCTTTTTTACTCTTTTGTATGTATGATACATTAGAATTGGTTAGTCTGCAAAATTGAATAACATAGAATGCAAGGAACATTTTTCAAGACATTAAACGTTTAGAAAACATTAATATGATTCAGTGTCATGTGCAGTTTCCCTCTCTTTTTGTATGTTTCTTATAACAACTACCATTTTGACAGCTGCTAAGACTTGCATTAAATTTGTAGTTTAGATTAAATTGCACACATGTATAGGAAGGGTGCTGCAAAGTGCCAAATACTGTATAGAAAGAGCTGTAAATACATTGATATATAAGCAGGGTAATTCTAAGTGGTTTATTTGTATTTGATACTCAGTGTCTGGTTATCGACCTGAAACCCAGATTAGCTTCATCCTGATTTCTTATCTTGCAAAGCTATAAGTTTCCAATTGTTTACATTTATCTAAGGATTCGTTACTTTTGTAGTTGGGGAACTCCACTCAACAGCCGAAGACCCCCATCTGGAAAGAAACCAAAGGGTGGTGGTTGGCAGGTCAGAATTGCAAACTTTAGTATCTAGCGTGCAATCCTTGATAGTTTCTGAAATATCGAATTTTTTATACGGGCTAGAGTTTCTTTTTAACTCTCTGGTAAAAGTCGTGCTTGAAGAAGTAATCACGCATCAAGAACACCTAATTGTCAAAACATGATTGTAGACAATTGATAAAAAATTTGATGATGGCTAAATCCTTGAAAAACAAAATCTATATGCAGAAGGAGGTTATCAAAGGCCTATCAATTTTATCCATGACGTAGTGGCAAAATTCTGCATGAAAATGAAGCCTTGTAGACAGTATGCAGGAGCAATTCAATTTAGTGGTTGCGATGCGAGGAGATGTGGCTTTGCTAAAATGTACTTTTTGAAGGGATTAATTTTTAACCTCAGTGTTCAGTGGTTCCTCAGAATAGCTATGTTGTAAAAACAGAGTTGTTATACGAGAGATTATCGAGTACATAGGTCTCTCCAAAGTTTTTTCTTCTTATGGGACGATTGTGAAATCCGAATCATTGCTGTAAACACATTGGTTTCTACATGATTTCGTCCGTTAAAAAGGATCAAATTTTTAACAATCATACGCATTTGGTAGCTGACCAAATCTCTTGCCCAATTAACTTTGCTTAGAAAGGTACACCTACAGTACAGACTATTTTATGTATCTCGATTCCAAGCCATCTTTGTCCTCCAGTGATTTCTGTGTGTGTGCCTTTCTTTTCAGGTTAATCAATCAAGACCCGTAAAGCCCATCTCTACTCCAAAACCAAAGAAGCACGATGATGTTCCAAGCTTAGACTTGCAACTTTCTAAGAGCAATGAGGGGTTAAAAGAGCTAACAAAGGTAACGGTTCTACTCGAAGATTGTATATATGTTTTTATATTTGCGTAGCTTGGTAACTGTTAAACAACGTATTCAGAAAGTCACTCTAATCATTGTTGTACTCGGTCGTTATTTTATTTGTTACTGCTACCGAAGATAGGTTTTAGGACACCGGGAAGTTTAACCTTTGAAAAAGGGGCAACCTTTTTTGATATTGCTGATACTTTCACTGCTACATAATGGAAGTAAAGGTTGAATCTCGTTATGTCGCACCTTCAAGGGGGTAAGGGAATGGTCCGACTTAGCGAATATCCGACTTATCTGGGGTACTACTTTGAACTTGAAAAATGTAGGAATATCCAATGGGAATCGAAAAACAACCCGACTTTGTGAAAGCCCTTGTGATCCGGGGTGCGATTTTTTGACTTGTGTAATGCAGTAATACCAAATGGGAATTAAAAATCAGTGTGACTCAGTTAGAGTCTGAGTTATTCGGGTACGACTTAACGAGTTTCAACTGTATTCACATCGCATTTTATTATGAAACACAAAATGGAAATCAACTGTAGTCGATTACTATAGACCATTAGATCTAACAGTAGTTTCTGTGGAAAGCCAATGTATTCCCTTTATCGCCGTTTTCGTTAGTGTTTTTTCATTCTCGGGTCAATCATCGTTTCGTTTCTTCACTGAAAAGGTAGCAAGAATGGTGCACGAAGATTTGAAGATCGAGTATATGGGTGCCCCAAAGAAAGTTCAAGCAGCTCATGACGTAAGCACTATTTTTTGCGATCCTCAAAATAGATAAAAAACATTTCTTGATTATAGCGTTCTTATTTTTCGACTTGCTTAACCGACAGTAACCGACAGTAACCGGCAGTAAGATGTTTCTGTTTGCTTCCGGTTAGAATCTGTAATCTGATTTGTGTTTCTCTTCAATCGTGGGTGTCTTGCAATGCAGCAAATATTATGAGGCATACATCGCATCATTTGTTGCTTCGTTTTTTTAATAGGTTGTGCTGTCGCGGCTGATATTACACCTTATAATGTTTTACATCCTAGGAAGAAAAAGTGCTGGACAACCAGTTTGGAAACTCGTATGTACAAATTATGTCTGCCCTATAGTTTCATAAATGCCGTGAGTTCTTTATTTAGCCTCTCTCTCCTGATAGCTTTTTTGAATCACGATGAATCACAGAGGACCTTTCTCCACGTTTAAATGTCCAGCGAAGAGTTCTAAAGTGAGTCTAGTTGTTGTGGTAATTTGAAAGTTGCCATAAAAGTAGCTCGTTTTCAAACCATTTTTCAAGTTCACTTTGAGAAATGTTGACTATAAAGTCATTGTGAAAATGTTTCTTAGTTTTAGTTTTTTTATTCTCCGTTGGTTTTGGGATTCATTACCGATAAAAATTGTGTAGAATAGGCATTTTTGGTGTAAACTTATTAGCAATCTTCGTTTGCAGCGAGGGCTAATTTGGCAGGGACGTTTTTGAAGGAGAAATTTCAAAAAAAAATTCTTTTTTCGGTAAAAAGCTGGAGGTATTTTTTGAGGGGATGGAAGTACTCCCTGTAAAAGTCCTTCATGAAAATTTTAGAAGCTAAAAGCCCTTGACGATGTAAATTCGAGTTAACAAACAAAATTATCTTATTATAATAAATAGAGCAATTTTTGTAAACCAAACCTATTACCATTTATAGCATTATAATAATCATCACTTTAACTCGGCATGCTCTGTAATTATCAACGTAAAACCCGTATGTATTGTATCATATTATATTAACAAATTAAACACAAAGCACCTATAGGATAGTGCCCTCTTCAAAGGTCAAAAAACTTCAGAGATTGTCATAATGCATTTTTGCGTGAATAGGTAGTCGCTTGGAAGCAAGAACTATAGCTTCTAGCTTTTATCAGTCTGAAATCTGTTTATTGATCAGTGTTATTTTAACGTCTTTTTTAGAGAGCTAGAAGATGATGAGAGGCAACCTGAGAATGACACCAAGAATGCTGCCATTGATTTAGTAAGTCCTTTCAGTTACATGTTTTTATTAAAGCAACATCGTATTGCTGTTTTTCTAATTATATTGCCATTTTTCTACGTATTATCATAAGACGATTAAAATAGCTGTGACTTGTACCACATAGGCTATTTTTTGCATGAATATTTTTTGTCATTGGTGTATATTTTTAGCCAAAAATCTAAGTTCTTCAGAGATGGCTCAAGAGGAGAGGCTCGCCTGGGATCATTTCTAGAAAAGAACTCTTGATTTTAAAAATGTGTACCTCGTTATTAGTATCAGTTCAAAATTGGAAACTACTTCATTTATTGAAATGAAAATACGACCTAGAACGCTGTTGAAATAACAGATAAAGTTACATGACTTCTTTCCCAGCCTTGATTATTTTTCCACTAGAGTTATATATAAGAGTAAGCAAAAACTCTGTGTAGCAAATGCTAACTGAATTTCCTATCCCGCTGACGTGTGTTGTCCAGAAAAACCTATATTCATGGAGAAAACGACTCTGAGAAAATCTGAATTTCTTTTTTACTTCCACCCCCTCAATAATTTTTCACAATTTTAATCCAACAGTGTTTTATAAAACGTATAATAAATAAAGTTGTTTTTTTAATGTCATATTATTGGTTTTTTGTTCTAGTCTAAATTCATGACTCCTAGTTGCAAAGCTCCACAACCTTTAAAAACTAACAGGTCTGACACGACACATTATGTTTTCGATTGACATTCCCTTCGCCACAAGTGCTTAATGATGGTTGAAAATTTGACATTTGTAAATTTTTTTTGTAGAACAAGCTTGGAGAAAGCAGAAAGAAACATTTTGTCGAAGAAACTTTGCTCGTTGACCAACTTACAAGGTAAGCAGAGCTCTACGTGCATTTTGGCTCGCATTTTGGAGCTTTGGCTCGCCAGTATGGGGTAGAATTGATTGATATGTTTATTGAGTACGGTTCATATTTCAGCATTTGTGTTTTTATTGCGTTTCTTTTACTCAGACATGATACCAAAAATTAGAAAAAGGGGTGCTTTTTCCTCTATTAGTTTATCTATTGAGGGAGGCTCTCCTTAAGAAATTCCCCTTTACTTTATACAAATTTCTATCAATTTTCTGTATTTATTTATTTATTTATTTATTTATTTATTTATTTATTTATTTATTTATTTTTTTTATTTATTTATTTATTTATTTATTTATTAATAGCAATTTTCTGTTTCTCATCTTTTGCAATCTTGTTATAAAATCTTTGTTAATTGTTGCATATTAAATGACTTTTGTATCACATGTAGTGGAATTTTGGAATTAAATTAAATGATAAAATAAGTGAAAAACTATTTGGGCAGTGTATTTATTATTTAAGCTTTGTTTTCCGAAAGAGTACAGAGAAAAAACGCGAAAAAGCTAGAGAATGTAAGGCTTTCTGTGCTGTCAGAATAAAAGGAAATAATTTGTTGTCAGTCATCACGAAAGGCGATAGAAAAAGAGTGCATTGGCGGGGAATCGAACCCCGGTCTCCCGCGTGGCAGGCGAGAATTCTACCACTGAACCACCAATGCGCTGATGTCTATCTGGACAATTTCGAAGACCTATATTTGATTTCGTAGACTTCACTGATGTGCAATATTATAAATATCCTGAGGATATACTGAATTAAAGATTAAAGAAAATATACTAAATTCTTCTACATTTTTGTTCTTTATATCACAATTTAGATATAAAATCTGCTCATGAGGGTTTTATTAATCACGTAAACATTATAGGAAACGAAACATGCCAGCACAATTCAAGTCCATTCCTCAAACCTTGAAAGTGCTGAAAGCCTGATAGTCGCACTTGTCTTGTAAAAAGCTCAGAAAGATAGATAAAATGTCAAATTTTCGATGAATTGAGAGTATAACTACTATTCTTATTTGATTTTTTAATTTCACCGATTTGTGAACCTCGATATATAATAGAATTTTTCGTATGAAAAAGTCTGCAATGATTCAGAACAGAACACATTTCACAAGAAATAGAAATTTACGCGAATTTAATACATCACAAATTTGAAATAGGTACAGAAACGGAAAGAGAACTAGATGATAGTAATGGCCCAATGGAAAATTCATCTCATCAGTAGGAGCTTCATCGGAGGATCTCAGGAACAGAATATTGGATTGATAAGGGCACACCGTAATCATTCGATCAAGCTCTCACAAATACCCCCCTTATTATTTTTAAGAATATACATAAAACAATGCAAAAATACAGAGATACAAAAATAATCTTCGTGTTGTACTTTTGCCTGTTTGACCCCTTCCGGCCTTCCCTCAAAGTTTTTCCCTCAAAAAATTTGCTCCACATCTGTTCCCCAGTCTTCGAATTTTGAATAATTCCCTAAAAGATTTGTAGTTTAAATAAGCTCACTTCCATTACACTGGCTGCCATCTTGATAAAAATTCAAGTAAGATCATCTAAGGAGCCATTTTAATAAAGTTTTGTTTGCTGCTGAATAGGGGGTTGCTCTCGCCCAGATTTATTTGTACGAGTATATTTAATTTGTACATTTTGCGTATTTTGTCTCAGATCAGCAATATCAGCAAAGCCATTTACTCCAAACACACCAGATCCATTGGATTCGAGGCAGAAACGACACAGAGATCTCTTCTCTTCAAGGTAAATTAAATATGCTACTGATTTCATTTTTCTATTTTTTTGTGCTGTGTCCCCCAATTGGCTTCTCGCTAAATTTATTGCCGAATTGATATTGTTTGATCAAATGGTTAATTTGTAGAAGCTAGATAATAAACTAGGATGTTGATGTAAAAATAGTCCAGTCCAGTCCAGTCCAGTCCAGTCCAGTCCAGTCCAGTCCAGTCCAGTCCAGTCCAGTCCAGTCCAGTCCAGTCCAGTCCAGTCCAGTCCAGTCCAGTCCAGTCCAGTCCAGTCCGGTCCAGTCCAGTCCAGTCCAGTCCAGTCCAGTCCAGTCCAGTCCAGTCCAGTCCAGTCCTGCCCAGTCCAGTTCAGTTCAGTTCTGCCCAGTCCAGTCCAGTCCAGTTCTGCCCAGTCCAGTCCAGTTCAAACCAGTCCAGTCGTGCATCGTGCAATCATTCCATTGAGTAATCATGATCTTGAATTACTCATACCACTGGTCAAATCTTCACGAGTCCATTGTTTTTACAGGTTTTGGAGGACGCTGCTCTATAAGTCGCATGCTCCACTTTCAGACATGTAAAACAAAATGCATAAAAATCTGTTAAGCTAGCGTAAGTTTTGGAAAAAGACAGTTTTAAATCAAATTAGAGTCAAGTTTCTCAAAGTCTTTGTCTTTCGGTATCTCAATTTGGATTTTTCTATTCTAGCTCTCCAATCACTGGACCAAGCTCAGACAGTTCTCTATTGAAAAGGTTACGATTCGGAGCAAGAATTTTGACCAGGTAATTCGAGCAGTATTTTTTCATTCTTAAATTAAAAAATTCACTTATCTGACTGAACCTTTGTATTAAAGGGTAAGGCCTGTAGTCTTCAGAAACCCAGACGCTAGGACAGCATCCTGTTGGTCCTCCAGCTTTGTATAATTGAGTTTGTTTTGTTTTAACCAATCATAGCTCCTGATGCTTATTATAAGATACTGATTGGTTAGAAGATAACCAATCAAATCCTGTTCCTGGTACACTTGATTACGAGTAGTGTATCCTTGAGACAAATAACTTTTTTCAAAGCTTAATTTACCTTTGAATCTTAACAGCTATCATCTAAGAGCTGCATTTTTCTTTTGATCTTCAAAGAAATGGCCACGATGCTCACCGAGAGATCAATGGATTCTTTTTCCCTAACGACGGAACAATTACAATGTACGAATTCAGACAATTTGGCACAAGGTTGGTACATTTTTCTACACAGGAATTTCATTCAACAACTTCTCAATAATTGGATCATTTTCGAGTCAGCCTCTTGCCTCTTTTTTCCAAAGATTTTGTCGTATAAATTTTTGTCGTAGAACCATATTTAAATATCATTTGTGCTAAGAACATTTATAGCATCCTCACAGTACTCGCCACCTTTAGTACTCGCCACCTCATTGTTTTCTCAGTCCTTGCTCTAGCAAACCAACCCATTAATTTGATGCATTAAATTTAAAATTATTATCATCAACGTGTATTGAAATCCGGTTGCAAAGAATGCTCTGAACTACCCGAATAAGATAATTGATATTCGCTTGCTATTTTGTATGAAATTGTCAATTCTTCAGCCAAATAGTTGTCTTTGACTAAGTCCTTCGAGAATTGCCAATGTCCACTGCAGGTTGGCATTGTGCCTTTTGTGATGTATTTTTTATAATTTTTGACAACGAAGTCTGTTTGTGTCATTTCATTTTATTCAAGCAATTCAATTGTTACATTGATTGTCTAAATACTTTTTATAAGATATATTGAGTTGCTTGGGGTACTTGAGAATCATTCAAATGAACTTTCGAGTCATTTACCCCTTGCTTTCCCTATATAGGTAAGTCTGTTAGGAATTTTATGATGAAGTTTAATGTTCGTTTGATTCTGTTTAAGGTCAAATGCCCTGCCTTTCATTCAGCGTGGATCTTACAATCACATCAAAGGACCGAGAAAAGGGAGACAGTTTACATTGCTTGATATTCAGCCAGTAAGAATTTTTTTTTTTCATCTTTGGCTTTTGCCACTGGAAGATGTTTCAGGTTATTATTCTACAGAAAGAAACAGTTTTGTCTTCTAGACAGTACTCCGTGAATAAGTAAATTGTCCCTTCCTAGCACAAGTGGTCGGTTGGTGTCCCAAACTTTACCTTTCAGAATCTTTGAGAACACGTAAGAGCCACGAGTTTGGCTCTATCCCACTTTCGTATTTGTCTACGATTTTGACAATGTTTTCCACCGAAAATTTGCCCAATATTTGAAAATGTTTGAAATGTTTTTGGTCGCTTATTTTTAAGTGGAATTTGGAGGCCCTTGTCATCATTTCCTTGAATTGCTGTTCTAACTTATGAATGTTTTCCCACCTTTGGGATTTAATTTAATTTGGTATAAGTTCTTTATTTTTGGCAGCAAATCAGTGGCTGTTTTTCAAGGGATATGGCAAAACCTATGTACAATAAGTATTGTAAAAAAGGAATAATATGTTAAATTATAATAAATGAAATTCTTGTAAATAGCTTTGAAAAAAGCAAACATTTAGTAAACTAAAGCTTTTCGTCTGACACTCTTTAGAGTTTAAAACGTCAGAACATAGATCGAAAACTCTACGCTAAGAAATATATATACCCAGTTGTGGATCGAAATAGGCCAATCAGAAACACGAGCACATGACTGTAAAGGTTGACCAATCAGTGCCGCTTGCCTATTAGAACGTTACCAATGGAGTCCTAAGGTGAAAACGAACTCCTTTTGTCTACACAGTAGCGGTTTTTTCGTGCTTATGTAGATAGACGTCGTAACACAGATAGACAGATAGACACTTATGTAGATAGACGTCGATTTTTCGTGCTTATGGTGACGTCGAAACACAGGATAAAACGGCCAAGCTAGAGCGGAAACTTCAAAAACGCCTTTTGGAGCTGGTTAACTCAAAAGTGTTGACCAACGAAGTTTATGATAGGATAAGACCCACCGGTTCACAACGTCCACAAATGTATGGCCTCCCTAAAATACACAAGCCGAATGTCCCACTTAGACCCATTTTGTCTATGATTGGTTCAGCACAACACGAACTGGCTAAGTGGCTTTCTGAAGTTTTGGACCCTGTTCTTCAAAAATATTCAAAACATTGTATCAAGGACTCTTTTACGTTCGCTGAGTTCATGCAAAACTTGAACATCGAAAACGAAACATCTTTCATGTGTTCTTTTGACATTAGCAGTCTTTTCATTAATGTCCCTTTGAATGAGACCATCAAAATATGTGCCGACGCTTTGTACCGGAGCGAGCTTAATAGCCCACCATTCCCAGAGGAAGTATTCATTGAACTGATGGAAACTGCAACACGTTCAGTTGAATTCAGCTTTAACAATGAAATGTACCAACAAAAGGATGGTGTCGCTATGGGTAGCCCTCTGGGACCTGCATTGGCCAATATCTTTGTTGGCTTTCATGAAGAGCGTTTGTTTGACTGCGACCAAAAGCCAGGTGTCTATTTTCGGTATGTGGATGACACATATACTATTTTCAAAACAGAGGCTGAGTGTGATATTTTCCTAAAACGCCTTAATGGTCTTCACACAGCCCTAAATTTTACATTTGAAAAGGAAGAAAATAACTCCTTGCCATTTCTTGATGTTTTGGTTGAAAGATCTGACACTGGATTTCTCACCAGTGTATACCGTAAACCCACATTTTCGGGGTTATACACTCGATGGAGTTCGTTTTGCCCAAAACAAAGAAAAATCAGCCTCATCAAAACGCTCACACATAGGGCACTGATGATTTGTTCCAAGTCTAAACTCGACTCGGAACTTGAAAAACTAACTAAGATTTTTCTGGAGAACGGCTATCCAGAACATGTTATTTCAGTTAACATTAAGGAGAAGATAGGAAATTTCTCGGCTGACGTAAAATTTGGTCCTCAAAAGTGCCCGGTCTATCTAAAACTACCCTGGATCGGTAACAGCTCCCTACGTTTTGAAAGCCAAATAAAACAGGCCATAACAAATTGTTTCTTCGCGGTTAACCCACGTGTTGTTTACAGTACAAAAAAGGCCCTTCCGTCCATTCAAAAGGACTGCGTTCTTGCCACAAAAAAAAGTTCTGTTGTGTATGAATTCACGTGCCAGTGTGATTCTGGCTACGTAGGACGCACCACCCAAAGATTGGAGGATAGGATAAAACAACACGTTCCATCTAATATTAGAAACAAAACACATCCCCAAAGAGAACAGCCACCTCGGTCTTGCGGTTTTAGAATCTATCTACATAAGCACGAAAAAACCGCTACTGTGTAGACAAAAGGAGTTCGTTTTCACCTTAGGACTCCATTGGTAACGTTCTAATAGGCAAGCGGCACTGATTGGTCAACCTTTACAGTCATGTGCTCGTGTTTCTGATTGGCCTATTTCGATCCACAACTGGGTATATATATTTCTTAGCGTAGAGTTTTCGATCTATGTTCTGACGTTTTAAACTCTGAAGAGTGTCAGACGAAAAGCTTTAGTTTACTAAATGTTTGCTTTTTTCAAAGCTATTTACAAGTTTTGTATCACCAAAAAATTGTTTGCATAAATGAAATTCTGTTTATCTTTTGAAAGTGTTCCCTGAATAAGCTACCGCGATTCCTATCTAAAATCATATAAAATTTTTTGTTTTGGAGCTGATAATAATTTCCTGATGCTACCTGTATTTTCAGGGCCGTGATCTACAGTTTCGTACAGAAAATCAAGCGTCGCTTCCGGATTCTTTGAAAGGAAAGCCGATTATTGCATTTAGAATTACCGAAGTGGACGGTACCGCCAAAGAAAAGCTATTGTGAGTTTCATTTGTAATTCTTCTCTTTTATGCAAACGATAGATGATTACTGGTAGAGGCAGTGATTGAAAAAATACCTGTTAATTGCCAAAACCAGGTATGAAAACACTCTTGGGTACAAACGGTTTTCTTTTGAAAAACAGACATAGCATCTTCTCTCTCCTAGAAATTGTTTGGGGAAGAATCTGCTACTAAAAGACATTTTTGACCAACATATAAGCAAAGGAAATCATATGAAGATATTTTTATCATAATGGAAAAGGGATGTCATATGTTAAGGTTAATCTAGTTTTTCGTTCTAAGAATTTTTGGCTGTGCTTTCAGATGGGACATCTTTGATATTCGTTTAACCGTGACATTTGCTAAGTTGAACAAATTTTTTTATTTTCCCTGGAGGTCTTTTTTCACGCGAGTATACTGTAGTTATCATTTGCTTCATTATAGATATAACATTTGGGATTTTATTTTTACAATATAAGTTGGTTTACAAAATTGCAGGTTTGATGGTTGCAGAACGCCAAAGGAGCGTTCTGAGCGTGAATCTTGGATTGACAGCTACGAGTCTGCGGAGGAGAAACAGCGAAAGGAGATCTTGATAGCACTTAGAGGTAAGTAGTGTATTGTTGTATCATGTTCACTAGAGCCAAAAGAATATTGTTGTGCGCGCGGTGACCAGCCGTGGGGAGCCCAGTGAGAACAAAGGAAACTTAAGGACCTCATCCAATCCCTGCCTTGTCTTCACTGTTTATCTGAGAAGAGGTGTCACATGTTTTCTGGATTTTGCCTGGAGAAGAGATGGACACTGTTCTGGGCCCTTTGCGTCTTGTCCCATTCCAGCTTCGATCAATATCCGTGCATTGTTCTTTAGACAGGACATATAGCTTGACAATCTGACATTCAAGCTAATGTTTACTTTCTCAACGGATTCTGGTAGTAGGGAGTTCAGGCTTTCATAATCTGCCAGGTGACTTTTTGGAAAATGCCTGGATGTCACGTGACTGATGACGTCATTTAACGGTAAAAAATGAGACAAAATCATCGTTAGCTCCTCACTGAAGGGTTATTTTTCAACGCAACTTACATATTTTGACTCGTCTCATTGCAAGCTATCAAATGATATATATATTTAAGCAAGATTTGCCGACATAAGTATTTTCATTATGACGTCATAACAAATTTTGCGTGACGTCATCAAATATTTTATTGTCATAAAATGATACGTTAGCGTAATTTTTTTTATATATGAAGCTGGCTGTCAGTAAAAGCTTTTCTTCCATATGTTTTTCAATTAAAATATTAGTATTTAGTTCATTTAAATTGAATTTGTGCCCACCGCAATAGCCAAAGTTCGAAGCAGGTAGTAGTCACTATCTGACGAGTGAGTCACTTCTTACTCCGAAGTCGCAAAGTCTTGCTCCCACTCTGAACCGGACAATGATTACTCTGCATCCGCATTTGAATGTTACACTAAATCGGAAGAATGTCTTGGCAATATAGGCTATCCAAGATGTCCTACCGATGTGCTGAAGGTGCATGACTTTTTTCAAAAAGGCTATCTTCTGCTGCGAAATAAGGCCATCTCATAAATAAAATACTCCATCTAGCATTTTTCTGATGGTGGATTTATATATGGATTTGGCTCCTTGCACATGAAATTAAGAAGAACAGCTTTATCTCCTTGTCACAGTTGCTTTTCTCTGCATCTGCATTTGACTGTTGCTAAGTCGGAAAATATCTTCGCACTATTATAGGCTGTCCAAGATGTCTTCGCACTATAGGTCTTTAGCGCTGGGTATGAAAGTGTATGATTTTCTTCATGGGTAAATTCATCTCCTGCGTCACCTTCATATTCTTGTGATGTAAAGGAAGCTCTCGGAGATGAGGAAGGTGCTTTCCTGTGAACCATTTAGACTTTAAACGGTCGAGTATGTCGTCCAAATTTCAACATCAGACTTTTGGGACATGTCTTGTAGTAGTTGCACCTAAACAGTGTAGCCAAAATAACCTTGTTAAGTTGATACAATTTAATTATTTTCTGATTGAGTGATTATGGATCTGCTGGAACTGCTGCAGATGATTTTTTTCAGATTTGATAAATATCTTTGTCCCTAAATAGCTTTTATATGTTGTTCCACTATATTCTGCTGTTTCGCGAATGTCTTTGCTTTTGCGATAACTCCTTTGGAGAGACTTTTAATGATGACTTGTTTCTGGTTCCTCGTTAGCTTTTTTCACAGTAACCTTATCAATGTTGTGCTTATATATATGCAATTGTCTCAGCCCACAATTCCATTAATCTGTGATAAAATACAGCAAATTTTGGAACCAAAAGTTTCAGCGATGCCTCAAATCTTGACGATTTGTTTGTTATTTATGCACATAAACCACTAATTTGTGGGTTTGCACTTTTATGTTGCATGAACAAGCAGCACACATAAATCAGTTTCTTTTGCAACAGCAACTACTTTTGCATCTTTCGAGTTACCATGCAAAATATTCTGGTTTTTGTTGTTACATCTTGAAAGGACTTCTACTTGCTTTTTGAAGTCTCCGATGCTTCTCCTCCTTAAGCTACGATAAATTGAATTGTCAGGGTCCTGTGACCCTCAGCGCTTCGAAAGAATTCGGGAGCAAGTTTCATAAGATTCTCTTTTTTCATCAATGTAAAAATACTCTTCTTACTTTGGAGTATCTTTTGCTCTCCACTTTTTATATGCACTTGCCTTGATGACTCTCTTTTGCCGTTTGCTTGCTCGTGTGCGGTTTCTAAATATTTAGCGTTGACTTTGTTTCCACTTCCATTGCTTTAGCCTCATAAGGAGGATTAGCACATCCATGGATGTTCTTGAACCAAACACTGAATGTTTCCTTGGGTTTGATGCTACGAACTCAGGCCGTCTCATCAAATCTCCATCTGGCGTTTTCTGGTGGCGTTTTTACAAAACGTTCTCACAGACTGATGACACTAGCGCTAACATGGAAGAAATATCTCGAAGAAATGAGCTATTTTGCTCGAATTGTAGGTTGTTGCTGGCAACGAAAGTATAGTCAGAAACGTAAGCTGCATTCTGGGGCACAAAGATCCAGGAAAACAGCAAAAGCAGTCTCAATAATGAACGAAGGTCACCAAGCTTTCGTGATTGGCAAGGCTGCCTCTATCGAAAAGGCATTTTCATATCCCATCAAAACCATAACTCTAGTCTTGCAACTCTTGAAGGTGTACTGTGACAAGGAGATAAAGCTGTTCTTCTTAATTTCATGTGCAAGGAGCCAAATCCATATATAAATCCACCATCAGAAAAATGCTAGATGGAGTATTTTATTTATGAGATGGCCTTATTTCGCAGCAGAAGATAGCCTTTTTGAAAAAAGTCATGCACCTTCAGCACATCGGTAGGACATCTTGGATAGGCTATATTGCCAAGACATTCTTCCGATTTAGTGTAACATTCAAATGCGGATGCAGAGTAATCATTGTCCGGTTCAAAGTGGGAGCAAGACTTTGCAACTTCGGAGGAAGAAGTGACTCACTCGTCAGATAGTAACGACTTCTTTATTTAAACTTTGGCTATTGCGGTTGGCACAAATTCAATTTAAATGAACTGAATACTAATTATTTGACTGAAAAACTAAGGAAGAAAAGCTTTTGCTGACAGCCAGCGTCATATTAAAACAAAATTATGCTAACGTATCATTTTATGACAATCAAAAAATTTGATGACGTCATGCAAAATTTGACGTTATGACGTCATAATGAAAATACTTATGTCGGCAAATCTTGCTTAAATAAATATCATTTGAAAGCTTGCAATGAGATGAGTCAATGCATGTAAGTTGCGTTAAAAAATAACCCTTCAGTGAGGAGCTAACGATGACTTTGTCTGACTTTTTGCCGTTAAATTACGTCATCAGTCACGTGACATCCAGGCATTTTCAAAAAAGTCACCTTGCAGATAATGAAAGCCTGAACTCCCTACTACCAGAATCCGTTGAGAAAGTAAACATTAGCTTGAATGTCAGATTGTCAGGCTATATGTCCTGTCTACTTGTACTAATCAGTTTCTGCTAAACCATCTTTTAATAACATATTTTCCCGGTTGCCTAGAATTTGCCGTATTTACATTAACTTCCATTGAATCTCATGATTATTCAAGGGTCAGATTCAAAAGCTGTTGACGGAAACCACTGTCGACGCTATTGGCAAATTCTTCTCAAAATCATATTAAAGATCCTATCTTTTTTTGGAATTTTTCGTGTTATCTGTCCTATTGTTTTTGTATTGCGTATTGCAACTGATGAACTCTCCAAAGTATGTACCCAAACCAAATATGCCTACGTGATAATTAGAAGCTGCATTTTTTCAAAAGGTTAAGGTCCTATGATTGATAAACCGATGGAACCAAAATTACCTCTTTGGAGTTTGTGTGTCATACCGTTTAAGATATAACCAGAATGGTCTCTTTGCATAACCGGTAGAACATGAACCATCTGATGTGGATTTCGTTGATTATATCGCCAGTATTACGATTTATAATCGCCTAATGTCATATTGGTAATTATTTAAAGGTAATGCGAATGTCTCAGAATCCCCTTATTAGTTAAGGAATTAAGTGGTAGATTTTCAGAACTCTTGGTCGACAGTTACCATCAGCTTGGCATATTTTCAATTGAGAGCCTTCTCTAAATGCCCAAAATTGCAATTTTATTTGCTGTTCAACAATGAAAACTGTAAAATCAAATCAACCGTCGTCAGTAACTAGTCAATTAAAAAAATTTCAAGAACATATCAGGTATTGGGTATGGAAATTATTGTTTGATATGTTCGTCATTAAGTACTCGATAGTATAGGCAGCGCTGTACACGCTTTTGATTAACAGAGCAGTGCGGTTGTAATTTGCGGTTCCCAGTTTCACGCTTATATGATGATCTGGAAAATATCTTTGTTCGTTTTTCAAGGGTCGATTCAAAAGAAACTGAAAAAGCGCGCAGTAAAAACCGTTGTGAATCTTGGAAAGCACTTCAGAAAAATGAACAAATCTGGTGACGGTGCTCTTGACAAAGATGTGCTTATAGCAGCTTTGCATGAGTTTAGAATTGAAGTTCCTGAGGAGGTGTGCCTTGTTTATACATTCTTGTTCAAATAATGAGCTTAATTCAATAATAACATAGAATATAACAATAATTGACATCATTTGCTGCATAAAAATGTTCTTATCGGGCCTGTTTTAACACTGTTTAAGCAACCTTCATTTATTCATACCTGTTATCTCGCTTTCATAGTCAGTTTGATCTCTTCTGACGTTTCAAATCATTAATAATAACATAAAACTTAAGATGGTTCACATGGCTCGATAACTCTGAGTACTTCTATATGTTCAAAAGCTTTCTAGTTTATTCAGTTCATTATTGATCATGCATCGTGTACTTTACAGCTTCAGTATCAATAGATAATAAATTGTTATTTCTTCCTGCTTTTCAAAAAGGTATGTTTTTCATCCGACTCGAAATTTTCTCAAACATTTTATGTCGAATTAATTTTGGGAATTTTTCTTTACCTGCAGTGTCTTGATATTATCTGGCAAACAGTGGACACAAATGAGCATGGAAAAGTTGATTATGATGAATTTGTGAGAAAATTTCTGGGAGATATGAACGAGTATCGGAAAATGCTTGTTAGGAAGGTGAGATGATTTGCTTAAGTTTTCGTGATTTCGCTATCAGCATAGTTCGATAGTGTGTCGGAATGTTGATCATAAGGTAAAGAATATTAGGAATTTTTTGAAATGTTAAGTGAAAATGCTTTGTTTAATATTTTCTTCTTTAGAAACCTTTATTGTAGCATTTTGTTTTTGGAAATAGGGCATTGGTGATCCAACCACCCTTGTTAGCATAATCCCGTTATTAACCCATTAGACATTTTTGTTCCTTTATCTACAGGCATTTGCTCGACTAGATACATCTAAAAATGGCTGGACAGCAAAAGATAATCTAAAGAAATTTTTCAATGGAAGAAAACACCCCAGAGTCGTGTCAGGTGAGCCAGAGGCTCCTTAAAAGCCATGATGTATGTTTAACTGGCATTCATAATAGCTAGACTGTGAAGACATCAGCCAAAAAATTTATGATGAACTCGGATGGGAATCGCTAAACCACCGACGATGGAGTAGACGCCTTGTTTCTTTCTTTAAAATTATCAATAACTTGACACCAGACTTCACTGATAATTTGATACAAATTGATAAATTTTCACGGTTTTTTCATTTCCTGTTATATGCATCAATACTTATGTCGATGCACCGATCTTTTATCTGGTCTTTTTCTCATAATTTGCAAGACCAAGTTAACGAAAGGACTTTCTCCTTAACCACTGATATTGATTTTATTCAAGCTATGCTGTTTTATGTTTTTGACGTATATTTGTTCCTGCGTTACTTTTATATCGATTTGTTCTGTAGTTACATTCTCCTCCATACTTCAGAAGATGGCCTAATTTCACGACGTTTGTTTTCGCAGGGGAGTTATCTGAGCAAATAGTAATAAATGAATTTTTTTCGAATTTCGAAGAAACAGAAAAAAAAGGAGAGGTATCCTATTCGGTAAGTTTAATTCCTACTAATTCGTATCTTTACAGACGTTTGATTATTGTATGAGATTCATCAGTTTAAAATCAGTTTGAGAGGTTTTACTTGCCTTTCTCATCAGGCTTTTAACAAATCTTGATAGCATAAGGATGTGTGTTTCTGGATGTATGGTGTATGTATACGGATGTGAGTCTAATGTAAGTTGTCAGGATGTGCGACAATCAGGGCTTCAGCGATATAGGGATTTCTAGCCTGCGAACAAACTCTACTTTCCGTTGCGAAAGAGAGCCAGGGTTCTCCTAAGCAACGGAAAGTGAAGTCTGCACGCAGGCTGAGGGATTTTTTAGCTTTTTTAAAGTTTCGTTATGAAACTATATTAGTTATTGATTCCCTGGCTCAGTCATACCCTTTTCCTGCATTACCGGGTGCAGCTACCCCCCCTCCCCCATGAACTTTAACGATAAATTTAATTCGCCTTGTAGTTGCCTTATTTGCTTTTTGCCATAAAATTTCCCATAAAATTATTTTGATGTATCTCAACATAGACTATTTTTAGGCATTCAGTCCCTTCTAAGAGAGAGCTAGCGTACTTCTTTCCTCAAAAGTCTTAAGGGTACCCTAATATTTATCTTGACAATTCAATATGTAATTTTTATTATGTTGGTAAACAAATTTAAACTGTGCTGGATGTATTAAAAAAATTTTAAAGTTTTACAAATGTTTTTAAAGAGTTTCATACTAAACTCATTCATAAGCTAATACCTTCACTGTTGTCTGATATACTTTTAATTTAGATCTTTTATTGTTGTTTGTACGAAGTCAAAATAATAAATATCTTAGTAAAGAAGTCTAAGCAGCTTTTTGCTCGCACCATTACCCAAGATATTCTACCATAGAATTCTAAACGTGGAATGTACTTGTCTCTGAAAGTAACAACATGTTTATATCTATATTTAACGAGATAAAGAGCGCGATTCAGAAGTAAAAAATGTTTATCCAGTCAAGAAGGAACTAAATTCTAATGGTTTGTCTTAAATGTGAATGCTCGGTCTCTTTGTTTCTAAGGTGTAGTCTACGAAGACCCAGTAAAATTTGTAAGTTACTTACAGTGGTTAAAAGCAATTAATTCAGCCGGCGGAATTACTTGTAGTCCAAAAGGTATGAGGGGATCTACCAAGTCTGTTAAAGCCTAGAGTTGAAGCAGACCTGTAGACGTTAAGAGTCATATCTGAAAGGTTCACAAAGCTTTATTTTCCCCATTATTACCAAATGATTTCATTTCAGGAATTCGAGGATTATTATGAAGGACTAAGCATACAAGTTGACACCGACGAAGAATTTACCGCCATAATGCGAAGCAGTTGGGGGGTATGACATTAAATGATTGACCTTATTAAAAGATAAGTATGGAGATTACGTCATTCGTCCCAGACCTTCATATATAATAAATCAGTTTAGATATTCGTTATCAACTTCAGAACCTGTGCTTAAGAGCTTCAAATCTATGATCGTTGATTGTCTTGTAGCGTCTTCAGTCATCAGAGCCTTATCTCATCAGAGTCGTCAGAGACGACAGTTGTCGTACTGTAGAAATTTGCAAAACAGTCTTATGTGACGTGATATAAGTATCACTTTAGTATTGCAATCATTTTCCCATCAAAACTTAGGAGACATGCTTCTTTGATAACCTCATCTTAGTTTCGGTAGAACGAAATTCGGTCACTTCAGTTGCGTGCCATTGGGTATTCTCTTAAGGTAGAACAGAGGTATAACACATCTATAATTTTGCTCCTGCCTCAGCTTATCCTTTTGCCATGCTATCTTCGCAAATGTGTAGACACCAAAGCTAAGGAAGTTTCTTGATGAATTATATACTATTGCAATTTAATTTTTAATTAGAAATTCCTCATTGGTATTATTTCAATTGATATTCTCCTGCAAATCTTCGTTTACTGCATTTTCCCCGCCATTTTGTTCAAGGAAAGAACGTTTTGCTAGCAATTGTTTTCATCCCCTTCTGAGCTGAGAAACTTTTCAAACATTTTGATTAAAAGCACGTTGGCCTTCCTGGCTTTTTTCCTTATTCTGATTCATATGCTGCAGTGATTGAACCCCCTTCTTGGACCACACCTTTCTTGAACCACGCCTTTCTTGAACCATACCTTTCTCGTACCAAAAAATTTGGGCTTAGCCTTCTTGAAATTTTGGGATTCAAATTTGTTGTTAAGAATCGTATATATTCTGTTTGCTGGCACTTTTACCAGGGTTGGCGCTAGATGGCTTTAGCCTTCCCTCAGAAGTTAAAAAAACAGACTCAGGGACATTTTATAAGCCCCTTCCATGGCCTCGTATGAGACAGATACTTAAATCAGTCAGCCCCTCTTTCAGATCAGTCAGCCCCTTTTTCAAATCTCAGTCAGCCCCCTAGTCAAAAATTTCCTAAGCTATTCGTACTTCTTAAATTATTCGATTAAATATTTGTTCCTATCATAGCGCACTGTAGTTGTCTGTCATCGATTTTATTACCCAACACTTCAAATCACCCATTATCAATGGATTGTTACGGTATTCTCGCAAAGATTCGCGTATGTTTCTGAACGTTTCAGTTTCTGACTTAGAAATGCACTATTGGGATGGCGATAAAGAGAGACATGTGTATATCATTTCCTTTTAACATAATTGGTGAAGTATTATCGGGGATAAATGTCGAATACATTACGGTGTTAATTAATGGTAGACAAGGCCAAGTTGAATTAAGCTCGTGTGTTGACTCTAATGCCCCTATCATTATTGGACTAATTTGAGACCTTATTAAACTTCACAAAATATCTCGAGATTGCTAGAAACCAGGGCTGGAAATTTTGTCAGGGGCCGATATTGGAGCCCTTCACGGTGTTCTTCGTGATATTTTTGGGTTCTAGTGCCTTTCAGTTGCTCACAGCTGTTCTTCCATTTCATCTTTTTACATTTCCATGTTCTCGTTGCATTAAACTTAACTTTTTCTCTCCACCGAGCCATTCAGATGGTTCTCATCGGGATTTTTCCTTAATTCAGTACTGTTATCTCGAACAATATCCGCAATTTGATGAAATCTCTTTCCTGCCCGTAAGCGGCGATCATTTCATGTTGAATGTATTCTGCCAGTTTCCATCAGTATTTTCATTATTCATGAGCTGAAGTTCCTCGATTTAATTTTATTTAATGAAAGGATTTGATTGCAGTTTTCTTTATCCACCAAATACTTGAAAAAGGACAGCTGTTTGCATATTGTACTTGGTTTCCCAAGTATAGCTTTTTCAGGGGCCGCGTTCAAGCCAAATTAAATCTCTAAGTTCTGAATCCAATGCCTAAATATGGTAGGGTGTTTTCCCCTTTTCATCTGCCTTGCAAGATTTTTTGCAGGGTGATTAGAGAAGTGATAAAGAATGTTTTGTGAAACGCGATATTGCAAAAAAATGGCAAAAAATTTCTCTTAATTCTGACCCCTTTCTGGCCCTCTTTATCTATGTAATACTTAAAAGGGGTATTTAATACCCCTGGTTAGCAAGAAAATTGGGGGCCATGGCCCTCCAGCCCCCTGTGGCGTGGGCCCTGATATATGCTTTTATAGACATAAAACAATAGCAATGGTTTCAAAGGAGGGCTTCTCTCCCACTTAAACGTGGCATGTCTACATGAAAGTTTATAGGGATTAGCCCATAGCTACTTCTTAGATTGACTTTTTCATTTGCCATCATTAGAAGCTGATAGCCCAATCATTCATGTAAATGGACTTATTTAAATCAATGTATATACATCTGTTTGAGATGTTTGAATGAAAAACGACAAATAATCATGAAAGTGATTTTAATACAATGTTCTAATTTACATCTGATAGTTTCAAACTTTCGTCTCTAAAGAATTTTTAATCGGATGAGATGTGAAAAGTTTTATACAACATACAATTGACAGTACAAGAAATACAACCAATATAATTCTTGAAAGACATTGCAACATTACTAGTGTAAAAATTGCTTACAAATCTATGCTTTGATATTGTTTGGGAGTTTTCCTTTTGATAGGGAAGATATCAAACATTAAGTGGGTAGGCAAATGGTTTACAAGTCAAAATTTGAAGGAAATAGCAAGTAGCTTCTTACATGAAGCATTCCATTCTTTCCTACACAAAGAACAAATTTGCAAGAGGGCCTACTCACATTTCCAAGTAGAAAATTGAATTGGTAAAAATTCTTACTCCAGGTTTCAAGAAAAGATTCCTGAATGGATTTGGTTTTTACATTAATCTCACGAGCCTATTACAGGTGAATGGATATTGATTGATAAAGTTTTGTGCACTGATATTATATAATCCTATAAAGATTTCACTCAAAATTATATCTCATGATTTCTTTTTGCACACCTACATACAGAGTAATCCTCTAACTTAAATTGATTCATAATATAATTTCTCTATAAACGATTCTACATAAAGAGCAAAGGAACAAAAAAGAAAGATTATCTACAAATGTTTGACCCAGGATCTCTAAGCTGCTTTGTTTTAAAGTAATTAAAAAGACTTAAAAACACAGAGCTTCAAGTCAAAAAATTGTTGTTGGATTCTCATGGAAACTTATAAATCATACTCCCATGTTTTTGAAAACATAAATGGCATATCTGTCAAATTTTATGTAAAATCAAAACATTTTCAAACATGCAAACAACAATTTTCTATACAGGTTTAATAAAAATATGGGAAATTTTGTTTTACAGATTCTGGTTATAGATTTTGAAGCAGGGTTTTTTTGTATGGAGATTGAGTTCACAAATGCTATTTAGATGTCAATATTGCTATCGCATAATATAATAAATCAGTCTAAAGCTCTTTTGATCAACCAAAATTAACTCATTTAATTCCATTGAGCTACGATTTGTGAATAATCTACAAATGATAGCAATATAAAACAGATTTGTCTATGCAAAAATAAATTAATGAATAATAGCGACTCATGCTAAAAGTCCAATCAGCAAAATTCTGTATAATTCTACCATTTGGAAATTAAAAAATTAATTCATAACGGTTCAATTAAAGACTAAAACTATATTGTCATAGATAATGGTATGCAACAGCCTTTGGCAAAATTTCAAATTGATTTTAGATTATTTTCATCAACAAAGGGGATTGTGCTGGTCTATACTACAGAAAGAATTTGGGTCTTGAGAGTATTTGGTCTTAAAGATGGATAAAATTTACTCATGCACAAATGCTATCTTGTGTCTGAGCCCTTGACATAGGCTGCATCTTGCTAACCATTCCATTTATTGTTCATTAACCTTCAAGAATGATAAAATATTATGATAAATAACTCAACAATCAAGCAGTCCACAAAGCTAAATTCAACTGCAATATTGTCTTTTTTCAACAAGAGTTTACCATAGCTACTGTATACCCATGTCATTCAATGCAAGTTCCTAATAAATATTAAACTACTGGAAACTATATCTTACTATCTATGTACCATTGACATAATAATCTATAGGAACTTTCCATTTCATTGGTTTTTCAAAATCTAAGTTAGATTTAATAGGGCACTTACTTTCATCATTTGGGTTTCAGAAGGAAACTTTAACTTAAATGTAATATAGCACTGATAAAGATGCAGACAGTGATTAAAAGGCGAAAAGTTTATGGTATTTTTTTCTGCACAATGAAAAATATGAAAAAATCATATCCTTCAGTGATTGCAAGTCTGATGCAGACTGAGAATCATAGACAAGTCTGCAGAGTAAGGCAAATGAAGGCACAAGGTCAGTCTAATGCTACAATCTGATATCTGAAATTGCACCATGTGGAAAACTTATGCTTGCATGCCACATTTTTGATAGAAGGATGTTTCAATTGGGAAAATGAGCCTGAGGTGACTAAGCAGATGTCAAGGGCTTCTATACTCTGCAGACTGGACCATTGAGTGTCATATGGCTTTATATATATGACATGAAACATAACAAATACTGCCAAATTTCTTAGGCATAAACATAGCAGAAGCAGTCTGGGTGATTTTGACTGATTGACACAAGCTTATTGTCTAGATGTCCAAAGACAGACCTTTAACAAAGACCGCCTGGAAGTAACCACAATCTTCTTTTGTTTTCTGAGTTCAATCTTGAAAGGAATTTTAACAATGTGTTTATCCTGTTACAAAATGCGTTTTCCATTATAAGACTTTAACAGACATCTTCCACTGCAGCCAACCATATTTATAATATACAATTTACAGTGAAAGAATGTGGAATCTGGTAGACTCTGGTAGTCCTTAAAAAAGACTTCTGACGATTCAGTTAATAGACAGTTTAAATCATCCTAGTATTAACACCATCTACCAGGTTTTCTCCTGTGACACTCAAATTATCATCGGTACTTTCCGACCTACGAAATCTCTTTCTGATAACTTTGAATATGCCGTCTGGAAGGCGCGAATACCATGCTCCACAACTTAGAGACCAAGTATGTCGCATCCGATCTTTAAACTGTAATTCGTTTGATCTGCCGCAATGCTCTATAACGAGCCTTGGTATCTCCCCATTTTGTCGCTTTTCAAAGTAAAACCGTACGCAAGAACCTGTGAGTTTGGAACCTTGCATTGAGTACTCAGCACCATAAACATCGGTAACGTGTTGGGCCTCCCAATACTTAATGCATTTCCATCGACTGATTTCCAAGTTTTCTGGAGACATGTTTATGTCTGGAGCACTCTCTTCGATCCATGAATTTATTTTTGCAACACCCTCTTCTCTGTCTGCCAAACTAGGATCAATTTCTAATATGGACCCGATAACAGTATCCAGATCTGGCTCGATGTCTTCGATATCTTTCGTGTTTGCGTGGTAGCGTGCATATGATGCCTCCCGCTCGAAACAAAGACAATTTCCCATTTGTCAATAGTATATATAATTCGCTAATAACTAAATTTGTAGACCATCACTTAAAACCTACTACTTTTCTTTGACAAACTTACGATTTCTAGACACCATTTCAAGCAACAAAACACCGTTACTACGCCATGTTTTCGTCCATACAATTTACACTTGAATACGCGTTTTGGGGTCTGGATCGAGAATGATCTTTCAACATCTTGTTTTGCATGTTATTAACGCCCCCCTTCTGCGGGGGATAAGACAGACATCAATATTTCATAGCTCGTGCTTTTTGGATTCATAAATGTGCAGATTTCAAAACATAAGTAGCATTCGGTTTTATAACACCTAATGCTGAAAAAAGTTTTAAGTTGAACTATTGGGAGTTTAGTGCAGAAGTTTACCCTTAAAAACAGATCACATCACATATGCTTTTACCTTTTGATAGCTGCTTCCGAAAAGGCACGTTCCCATAATTATGAGACTTATGAAATCATTGATTTATTGTATCAAATTATGGTTCAATGCATCATAGCCTGTTTGAAGGAAAATAGTTGCAGTGGCAAGCCTTTGTTTATATAAATGGGAGGACAATAACCTAATGTTTAAAACAATGGAAAATCAACTGGGGCTGGAGGGGCAATAGCCCCCCTCCTAGTTAGTATGTTGAAAGGGGCCCTGCAATATATGCAATAAAACACACATAATAAAATATTCCAAAAACATATTAAGGGTCTCTGACTGCAATATCTCAAAATATTTTAAAACCTATTATCTCCAGACAACAAATTTCAAATCTGATGAAACATGGGCTTTAAAGTACCAGAGTTGTTGCTCTTGATTTCAAAACATTGAGTGCCTTCTATTCAATTATAAGAGTTCGCAAGCAGTTAGTTATATATACTTTATTTATATAGTTATAAAGTTAGGCAAATGTTTGCAAAATGCTGATTTAGGCATTTAGTGCGTTTGATGCTTTTTGTTTTCCTCAATTTTGTTGTTGCAATCTTGAATGGATGTAAGTTGAAGCATTTGGTTCAAATCTTCAAAAGGCAAAAAGCCAAATGAGAGGAAAAACACAAACTTTGTTGATATTTATTTACTTGAAATCATCATGCTATAAAAATCTACAAAATACCCTGTTTAGATTACTTTTTTAAATGACATTAGCTGGCTTCCTTCAAATATACAGAGGGCAAAGTTATCTTTTGTTAAACAATTATCTAATATTAAGAAATCGACATATTTACCATGAATTTAGCAGGCATTACAGCCTGCACAAAATGGGTTGAATGACTTTTGGTATAGAAATCCTTATTAAATATTGAATGGCAATGGGAATATTGGGAAGATATTATAATAGACAACTTTTCACCTTAACATGAGAGGGTGCCAAGGTTGCTAACATAACTTGGGCATCATTTTGCTGGATGAAAGGGTCAAAATTTTTCACTTTTTGGAGACATTGTTAATAAATTGATGCAATAGAAATTTTATAAAAGAATCACTTGAATCGTTAACACTATTATCAGAATGTTCAAAGCAGAATGATAACCATTCCACTGTTATGTACTTGTCAGTTTGATATCTAGGTGATCATTAGAACTGAAAAGGTTCTCTGCAGAACAGTTAAAAACTAATTATTTTATTAAATATACACTATTTCAGCTGTTCTATTATGGCCCTTTTTGACTTATAAACTAAGCTATCTGTCACTAGTTTTAGGTTTTCTGCAATATCTTCAATCATTAATTTCTTTAATCTTTCATATTCCTCAGTAGTTATAGAGTTTTTCTCCTTCAGTTCAAAAAGGTTGCCAAGCTGACTGATACGCAAAGCGTTTCTTGAAAATGACATATTTTCTGCATTTTCTCTACTTGATTCAAGTTTTGCTTCAATGTTTTTCACTGCCTTTGCTAATGTAGCAATTTCATGTTCAGTGTGCTCATCAAAGTCACAGTCGTGTAAGTGGCTCTGTGGTTGAAAGTGTTCCTTGACTGTCTCTCCAGAGCTCTAAAAGATTGACAATAACACCAATGATAAACAATTACATTTACTTTTTACCCACAATGCAATGGTCAAGATACATTTTTAGCAGTTCATATTCTGATCTTTTGAGCTTATTTCCAGAATTAGTTCAGATAAGTTAATTTTTGTTTTCAAATCCATATCATATAACAAATAACTAAACTATAAGAATATCTGAATCAACATGAACTTGATGCTGCAAAACAGAAAATTGATAGTGATATATGAATAGAAATACAGGAACAAAATTATTAACAGGATAAGGTGTTACAGTAATTAGTTTTTAAAAGGAGAAGCTCTCTTAGTAGGTAAACTAACTGGGAAGAGAGCTGTGTTCCTATTCTGAGACAATACTAATTGGCAAGTTACCTAAAGTGCATATAATTTAGAAGCAAGAAGAAGTTAGAAGAAGTTAGAAGTTAGAAGAAGTTAGAAGTAAGTTACCTAAAGTGATATAATTTCAGAAAGTCAGAAACTGCAGCAATCTTGATTTATTCAAGCTAAACTTTAACATACCTCCATTTCCCAGTTAGAGTTGATTTTTACTAAGAACTTATGTGAGCACCTACAGAGTTCAAGGTGCTCAGTTTCTGAAGCAACTGATTTTTGTTCCCTACAATGCATGGTACAGGCAAAGAAGAAGTAAGCTTTGCTGGGGTACAAATTTAATTGTGGAAATTTTCTGAATATCAATGAAGATAGTCAATTGATATACTTTGTAGCCAATAAAAAGTGATTTGATATACACTATAATTGCCTACACATTAAAACCCTTAAAAGAAATTGAGCCTTCTTGCTAATCCAGAATTGTAATTGATTTTTACAGCTCTTGATGTGAGAACCCTCCCCTTGGTCTTTTGATAGCACTTCATGCATGTAACATACATAAACATACAAAAAAGGTAAATCAAATAATATAAATAACTATTAAAATGGTTATACTCACTGTAAAAGCACTATAGAGTGTGATGATGAAAAGTAGAGTTATAGAGATGTAAGTGAAAACAGCAGCAATGAAACTCCTTGGATGCATCATGTACCAGACATAAATCTCATTAAGGCCCATTGAGAAGACACCACCAAGGATAAGCACAGTGGAACATATCACCAATGCAAACTTTAAAACATAGGCAACTGCTCTCCAGAGCTGCGACATCTTTCACCTTTACACTATGAAGGTTAAAATTATCCTGTATCATTGATCACACTTGATAAGATCATCGTAAGTTGCCTGCAATAAATGACAGTAGGAATTATACTAAAGACAGACTTCGGGCCTAGCCTGCTCAATAAATCATCAAGTTTTTGCTTACCCTGAAGGCACTTAGAAAGATACTAAATTTAAAGTTACTTACTTTTTCCATTCACACTGTACCCTCAGGGTCGGGGGCCCGGATCTACAAAACCAATGGACCTACAGGCCCAGGCCCAAGAGTGTTTTATATAGAAAATATTCCTTTTACGTGAAGTATTCTCATTTAGGCCATTATATGCTACTTACTTGCGGTCCCTTTAGTCAAACAATGTAGTCTGTTTTAGTCGCCATATCAACATGTCCCCTTTTGTCAAGAGCTCAAACCTGGTAAGGTTCGCGGTTGTTTGTGTTGGTTGAAGCTCAATGATTGAGGTGAATTGCTAGTTAGAGAATTCGGATGGAGGCTTAGTCGAAAAGGATGGGGGTAATCGACTTGGAGCATGCCTAGGGTTACCGAGGGGGAGCACAAAAAATTGTTTCCAAGTTTCAATACAAATATGGGCTTTTAGGAGACAAAATTTACATTTTAGTGTGGGGGCTTGCCAGAAGGTGGGGGTGTTATAGATAATTTTAGCTCCCAGGGTTGGGGCTTTTCTTGAGCTTTTTCGAAGAGGGCTTATACGAAGGGGCAAAAAAATGTTTGTCCAACTATTAAGATTAATAGTCGCTTAAATGATATCATTCAGGTATCAATTTTTGCTGACTTGATGTGGCTTATCTATATTAACGTTGAACCCAAAATTGCTATCTTGATAGATTCCTTTCAATGAGCTGCTTTAACCGGGGTGAGAGCAATTGCCCTACATTGTTTGAAATGATAAATAATTTTGTTTACTGCGCCATCCCTCAAGCTTCAAGTTCGTGGCGTAACCCTGTCTTCAACTGTATCCTAATCTGGAAGATAGAAAATTATATGGAGATACAATAATACTGTAATTAAACTAGACCAAACACCTTAGGTTGAATTTTCATCGTTGTCATCTTTCAGAAAGCTATCTAGAACCTGTGAAGTCCTTCATAAAATCATAAAGTATTTTCTCACAGATACCTTAAAGTGCATTGCATACTATGCGTATTTCTGTTTTGAGCCAAGTTGATAACGCATACAAAGAACCAATGCTGCAAAAATCAGGATCGTTTCTAATCAGATATTCTGTTCCATTTCCCTGCCTTTATTTAAGGATTTACATTCGCTCAGATTATCAGACACTTTTAAACTCAACTCTTAACCTTTGTCTATGAATCAACGCAACTCCTAACACCACCCTGTTTCCACGGCTATTTCTCTTTTAGTTCAGCAATGCATAACTATATGAACACATAAATCCTACCGTGGTGATCTTGATTTAATTGGCAAAAATACACTTCAATACAATTTGGGCTCAATCTATAGGGAATCCATCGTCTACATTTTCATTTAGGAACAATTTGATAAAGCACCTTGACGCCATAATGTAAAACGTTCGCATTTTTTTATTCAGATATAATACCCAAAATTAGAAAAAGGGAGTGCTTTCCCCTCGATCATTTTATCTACTGAGAGAGCCACTCTTTAGGAGATTCTCTTCTATACAATTTTCTATCAAATTTCTGTAATTATTTAAAGTAATTTTCTGTTGTTCATCTTTTTTATCTTGTTATATAATCTTCATTAATCTTTCCATGTTAAATGATTTTTTTGTATGTAGAGGAATTTCAGATTAAAAAGCAAAAATAGTAGTGGAGTTCTCTTGGCCCACCATTATCAAATACATTCTATATGCATTTTGTTACATTCCGCAATTAAGTTTGCATCTTCAAATTTACTCTCAATTACACTCTTCAGTTTGGAACCTAATTTCAACTTTAATTTTCATTTCAAAATCTGTTTTTAATCCTAATTTTCAAATATGATTGATAAAAGTTACATCTGTTTCAAAATAAAAAACAAAATCAAAAGTATATTGTAAAATGCAAATAAAATGCAAAAAATGTTTGATAACGCTGAGCCACCTTAGATGGCCCACCCCATAGATCTCTACGGAAAAAATACTACTAACTTGTCTCGTTTTCGCTGATTGGATCTGTCTTCAAAACGAGGGATAAACTGGAACTGGCGGGAAGTTCAGTAACAGAAGATCGCAAGAAGCTCTTTAATGCTTTGTTGTTAGAAAACGCTTGAATCTGAAATCAGTTCGTATCGCAAGATTATGAATTGCATTACAAGACATTTATTTTTGGCATGTTTCTTGGGAAATGTTTTTTAGATAAATCAAGGAGCAGAACGTTTCTGACTTGCAGAATCAACAAGACCGACGCCCGAAGGGCCTAAACTTAGGTATGGTGCGTGAGAACAATATGGCTGAAATGATAATGATGTCTTGATCACGATATTGCTCAACAGATAATATGGATTTAGCGCAGTGTATTATTTGCCGAGATGTTCTCAAAATTGAAAATATCGTTGCTGGATCATGTATCCTTTCTATTGTTCGCATGCCTATTCTCGCATGGTGGTGTCTGGGTTTTGATTTGTTTAATGCTTAATGACAATTTCCCAAAAGAACCAAACCCGGTGCTAACTAGATTCAAACTAATTTTCTTATTTCCCAGGCTGAAAAGTGGAACACTTTTTGGCAAGATCTCCAGTAGACCAAGCAGCAAATGTGCTACACAGCTTGTAAAAGTATATTTTAAGCAGAATGATCTTCAAGTCAATTATAAATTTCTCAATTCACCAAAAAACACTAAACAAAGCAAGGTAGTAATTACAGCTCTCATCCAAATTTTCAGATGTAACTTGCCCAAAATATAGCATGTGCTTTTAAAAGCACAAAAACAATCTAGGTGATGTTGCCAAATTTCTGTGATTTTTATGAACTCAGATGTGCTCTTTGCAGACTTTCCTGTCTAGAATATTACTGTCTAGGAGGTTATCTGGGCCATAGGAAGTGGAAATATGTCATAGTTTTCTGTGTTTATTATGATACTTTGTCAATTTTGAAGTTTATGAGCAAGTTTAAATCTTTGTATTCTATAGTTGTATTTATATATTGGCCACAAGTAGAGGTGAAACAGGTGATTCTTACGTAAAATGTCTCAATAACAACAGCAAGTATAGAAATTGGTAACCATTTGACATCAAATTTATGACAGTTTCATATTTTATTTATATGATAACTACACATTGTTCAACATTGTTTTACAGTTTGTTCATATACAATTGATATGTTTACAAAGCTACAAAACAGGACAAAAATCCATACAGATATAAACTTTAGCTTCTTATTTTTTCTTGCAAACACACTATGAAACAAGTTCAAGCATCAACAAAGTTACCAATCAATGTTTTAAAAATGTTTTGAATAACTTAATTAGTCATTTTTCTTAACCAATGTACCTCAGGTGGCCATACATTCCATCTATTATGGTGAGTATTTTCATTTGATATCTATTCTAATCTTAATTAATGTCCCAATGATTTTGCTGGCCATCTAGATTCCCATTGGTTAGGCTATTCAATAGACCTGTTGTTGCAAAGCAAAGTTGCCAATCTGCAATGCCTTCTTATAGAGTAGAGGAAAAATTATGCAAAAGGGTAGGACTGGCATGGCACATGTCTGTGATATCCTCAAACAGTGCTTCAATTGTATAGACTTGAAAACATTGCAAACCAGAAAGCCCTAAGGCAGTAATTTCTTTGTTTTTGTTGCATTGTGCAGTAGACAATGGATGCTGTCTTTTTGGCACTATACAATAGGCTACAGATTTATAGTATTTTTTACAGATGTATTGTATTGGTATTATACAAAATCCTAGCATTACCCTATTTGATCTATTTGAAACCCTAGGCGTTGATTAAATTTTTTGAGTTTTTAAGGTGGACATTAATTAGGAACCTTCCGGCATTATAAAGGAAGAGGGCGTTAAGTAGATCAAGTACAGTATTTCTTTAAGCATAACCTATTCTTGATGGTTTAAAACATTTATATATTTTAGTTAATAAGTAAGCGATTTTCTAGATTTCATACATTTTTGTAAATTTATCAAAATTTTTTGTATACATTTTGCTAATGAATGTATAGACACCACTCCCTGAATAGGTATCAGACTTGATTGCAATTTAAAGTAATCAATTTTAATGCAGCATCACCCAGTGGCAGAGAAATGTCAACAATTGTCCACAGTGTAGAACAAGCTTTGTAGGAAGACCCCCTATCAAACTCTTCTTTGACAGACCTGATGAAGAAGATAAGGAAGAATATTCTAATGATCCTGTATTTATGAAGGTATGAAGTGGCAAATTTCAGTATACATTGTTAAGCTTTATGATAACAGCAAAATATCAAGATAAGCTGTTTTTTGCAAGATTTCATTGTAAGTTTGAAATGCATTTTGAATATTCAAAATGTTTAGATACAGTTAACTTTGTTGTTTCAAAATTTTTAAAAACACTGGTAATACATCTACCTTCTTTGAATTTCAATCAGATTGTGACTTTCCAAATTGACTTATTTTCAGAGTGTTTAAAGAACTAATGTCATAATTATGATGGAAAAATGGTGTTTTGTAAAATGCGAAATTCTTATAATTTTTCAAATTTCATGTTCTTAATTTGTAACAAAAAATTTTGTAGCAGAAATTATTCCTTTAATTATTATTTTCTTCTTCATATTCAATCTCGCTAATTGGAAACATGTTTTTTCAGTCCAAAATCAAGGATCTTAGCTCACAACTAGAAGAAAAAGGTATTTTTAAAAAACAAACTGATAATATAACACTTTCCATCTGTGGTTTATGTTATTTTATATGTATTGTTAAGCTATAACTGTAATTGACTTAAGTGAATACACTAATGCAAATTTAATGTTATAAAAATAATCACAGTTTACCTTCCCATTTAAGCATTCAGTGTAGGGACAGCAGATGATGTAGATATACTTAGTTTTTGGTAAAATGTCTTCAAATAGCCAAAAAGCAAAACTACTTCAATGGTTTGTTGAAAGGCAGATACAAATAGTTTAATTTGAATTTAAATGATAATTAGAAATGTGTGATTATTTTGTTTTAGATACAAAAATTAAAGAGGAGCAGGGCAAGGTGAAAGCCTCAAAGAAAGAACTGAAAGGAGTAAAATCAGAGCTGAATGCAGTTCGAGATGCACTTGACAAGTCAGATTCAATAAATAATGTTCTTAAGGTAATAGAGAGTTTTTACTTATTTTTGTTAACATTTTAAAAGAAATCTGGTTGATATGTACATACACTGAGATTTTCAGAAGTTTTGCAATGTCAAAATACTTCACTCTCTTGTATGAGCTTGCCTTTGGAGAATTTTGGATATTATTGTTGGATATATTAGCCATGTTGGATATTGGCTGTGACTGACCAATCCTCTGTTCAACCTTTGCAGTTTTTTACTTGATTAGGTACTAGTTTTTTTTAAATTGTCCAGCTCTTGAGAGCCTACATTTCTCCTAACATATCTTCTTGCGTAAAAATGCAAGCTTTAGTTTGTCAAAAAACCCATTCCCATTCATTGTTTAAGAGAGAATTATTTTCAGTGTCCTTGGAAAATGACCTAATGTTATCCTGCTTTTTACACAACATATTATTTATCAATAAAGCAAGACATAGTGGAATAAAGGTATTGCATTTTCGAATAAGTTTTATTTCGAATTTTAAATTTCGTCACATGCGAGGATTGATGAAAACTTTGAACGCGAGTGGCTTGTTTTGACAAATAGCGGTAAATTTTTGGTATTTTAATATATTGCAGAAACAGTTGCAGTTTCTAGACAAACATAAGGAAGAAGCTCAACGGGCAAGAGAAACTGCAAGTGTGTTGCAGAGGAATCTTGATAACCTTCAAAAGTATGTTTTCAGAGTATTTATTAACTTGCATTGATTATCAAAAGGTTCTTGGAGACATTTAAGCAGCCAGTACACATAATGCTCGAATGGCCTATTTTTTGTTTACTGTTCCCCGATCAGTTTCTTTCGACACTTGCATGACTATGTAGATTGAGTGCAGACGAAAATGCATATGAAGCAGGTGATAGAACAGAAATTTGCACGCGACTTACAATCTTTTCTGACGTCACGAGAAGTTTTCGAAGAATTAAAAACAAGCCTTTAAAGTGATTGGCTAATAAAGGTTGCGATGCCAACCGTAATGTTTCGAAGAAAAAAACCCATAGTACATCAAGGCCATCCCAGTAGGATGCGCACTCTGGAGTACTAAGTTATATCAATTTGCGAATATCTGTTCCCCAAAACGGTCTCTGGAATCTCCCCTCACTAACACGGTACCTCGAGTTCCTTTCAAATCAACTTTCAAGTATCTCTCCCGTCTCAATTATATTTCTATATAGGTGTTATAGTCTCAATTATATTTCTATACAGTTTTTTAATGAAACATCTTGCAATATCAGTTTCGCAAGGAACCTAGAATTAATGATAGTGGGCAGCATTGTTTGATAACAATAGGAACAAAAAGGGATTGTTTATTTGAGCCAAAGGATTTCATGAATGGAGTGAATCTTTTGCTCTGGACCGTTGACACTCAAATATTTCTCCAGCTCCTCCCTTGTCTGTTATCCCTTCAAAGAAAGATAACACTACCTTCAACTTTTCTTTTGACAGTGTCGAAGAGCTTATAAAAGGAGAAAAGAAAGACGTCGATACGCTGTTAAGAAAATTTCAACACACACCAGATGCATTGGAACAAGTAGTCACTTCATTGGTTATTATGAAAAAGTAAGTGTTTGTATTAGGCAATAAATAAGTTGCGTTTATTTATTTTTAGTTATGTAATGTAAAGTAACGCCATATGTCTACAGAGACCTGGCATTGCTTGCCAAAATTATTTAGAACAACCAGTAATTCGCATTTTTTTGCCGAATGCTACTTCTGCCACCCCCCTTATCTCCCCCCTCCCAGAACAATGTTGATAGTCCAGACAAATATATTACAAGTCTACAGAATAAACGTACGCCGTAATTTCCATCCTTTTGTTATAAAGCCAACATTGTTGCAAGGGGAAGGGGGTGGCTGAATTTGCCTTTGAAAACTCACATGTTTCAAGATTTTTGGCATGGACTTTGGTAGAATGTCGCCACATTGCTAGGGGTGGCACGGAAGGTTGGGCCAAACCCCCCTTTCCATTTTTCGCTATCTACCCGAGGCCTATGCCTGACCCATCGAATGCTTATTGGAACAGCAAGAAAGAGAGTTTTTCCTTATTTCTAAGCTAACCAACATAGCACTATTTTTGACTAAACATTGAGGTCTTTGCTTTTCCAGAGAATTTGGAAAATTAAGGGAATCAAAGGACAAAATGAGTGATGAAAGGAAATCTTTCCGGAAAGAAATGGACGAATTGCGAAGAAAGGTTTGTCGTTTGCATGAGGCCTTGTTTGCTACTGCTATCGTGATGGCTATGAATAAAGAGGCTAATAGATAATGACGTAATATCTGTTTTTAGCATTTTCCTATATTGACTACGTATCCAGATAGAATACCATGAAATTCCTTTTAAGGCAATCAGTTAATCGTTGGTTGTCGTCAATCGTTACCATGACATCCCATTTATTTTATTTTCTACACCTTATCGGGATTTAAAGAGTGAATGATTTTTTCCATGCAGATGCAGGCATCTTTAAATGACAATATGGCCCTGAAGGAGCGTTTGAAACTCGCTGAATGTGATATGGAGCATTTTGAAAGAGAAAAACAGGTACATTTACGTATTTTTTGGTTACACCTTTGCTGTATTTTGCTAACCTGGAGGTGCATTGATATTAAATCTACAAATGCTTAAAATTATACTTTGGAGCACATGAGTTGGAAAGTTTAACTTGCTGTAAATGATACTGTAATTTTCAAATTCCAAAGCTTCTCTACAACCGTACTCTATAATCGCCGCCTCGTATCGATGATAAAGGTTACTGTTTACAAGTCTGTCATCAGAGCTGTATACTCTGGTGTTTCGAACAGGAAATTCATTGTAACTCAAAGTTTAACGCTTTATGTATTCGATAATAACACTGAAGATTTCATTATTTTCTTCTGCAGCGATTGTTGAAGAAAATCTCTCATCTAGAACAAGCTTTTGCCTCGCCCAGCCCTAGAGCAAGTGCAATCAAAAGACTACTGAAAGAGAGGTTAGTTTTACCCTTGTCAGCTTTTTCAGGTTTTCAGTCTCTGGCAAAAGTAGCTGGATCCCGCAGTAAAAGGCGGCTGGCGTTTTCAGATTTCACACAGTTCACGTTTCTTTAATCTACATCAGTAAGAAGTGAGAATAGTGGTTTTAAAAATCTGTTCAATAGCCAAACGCTACTCTACCGACTTCATACAATACTTATGCTTAAAACATTTAGCAGGGTGCAATCGCAGAAGGCGCTCCAATCAAAGATGTTTGTCCAATCAAACATCTGGGTACAAAGAGCTACAATTTCTGCTAGCACCCTGGCTTGTTCATTGTAAGAACGAGCCCTAAATGTACTTTTATGATGGCAATTTTGTCACGATGATTTTATCAGTGAAGGACCAAAACATTGGTGACATTTTGTGACATAGAGCAAAAGTTATATGCTCGTATTATTTTTCTATACCGGTACATGAAAAAGTTAAGCTAACAAATCATTTTTTGTTTGCATTGCAGTCCTGCCCCACAGTCCGCCAAAAAGATGTGCCCTTCGTTCGCTGATGCCACTGAAAATTACGTCGATGCAGATGAAAACGAAGACGATGCACATTACGATGCTGATTCAAATGATTGTCTCAGTGATTCTTTCAACGAGCTAGCAAATGAGTAAGCCATAAGGACTATTCTTTTTAGCTTTTATATTATGCCTTTGAAATAAACTCGAATTCCCATTAAGCAAAGGAAGCTGCATCGTAGTTGTGAAATCTTAGGAACTCTAGCAGCAAGAGTCGTATGACCCGAGACATGATGCTCTAGGGAGCTGTCTATGACGTCACCAATTTCTAAAATTGATTCCGATTTGTACTTTTACTTTAACTGTTCTGAGTAGATGCCGGATCTTAGAACCGGGCTGTTCTTTTCAGCAAAAGCGTAATACTTCACTTATCTGCATGTGGCCTTCTAAAAGTTATTTTGAAGGATTTACTGTTTCTTATATATTTGTTTATCCTGTTTCTGTTATTTCTTTTAGAATTGGTTTGAAGATTGTGAACACAACGACGATTTCAATCCAAAACAAAAAACAACCATTCGGAAAGACGAACATGAACCTGAAAGTGCCAAGAACAAGACCAGCGTCAACTTCATCATCTTCAAGCTCAACTTCTGTAATTCAAAAGGGGTTTAATGGTCTTGGCGGTCAGGGTCGGTTCATAAAAAAACGGATTTCAAACAAAGTCAAAATACCGAAAACAAAAGTAAACAACTTTTTTATACCGAAGGCAAATCCAAAATTGCCAGATTTCGAACTCAGCCCGGAATGACTGTTTTGAGGTACGCCCGGAATGATTGTTTTGAGGTACGCCCGGAATGATTGTTTTGAGGTACACCCGGAATGATTGTTTGGAGGTACACCCGGAATGACTGTTTTGAGGTACGCCCGGAATGATTGTTTTGAGGTACGCCCGGAATGATTGTTTTGAGGTACGCTCGGAATAATTGTTTTGAGGTACGCCCGGAATGATTGTTATGAGGTACCTTTCTGCTGGGTTCAAACAGTAACGAGCTGAAGATTCCTCAGTACTGGTCTCTCAATACTGGTAGAAAGTTGTAGATCCAGCTTCGAATTCGTTCAAATTATTGCAGAAACTACGGATAGCGCTCAAATTCTTGCAGAAACTCAGGGAATTCGAAAAAACTTGTACAAAGGCTGATAAAGTTGCATTGGCAAAATTCAAGTGATTGAATTACGTCTGAATGTTAGCATTTTTTTATAAAAATTTGTAGTATTCTAGAATGAAATAGTTGTAAAAATATATGTTCTTTCTCTAGATATCGTAGTTAGTCAAATAATTCAGCGGATTAGCTAAATCCACATCTCATAAATAGTAGTTTTGATTTTGAATACCTTGGTAAACTAAGTATTCCAACGTGAGTTAGACCATCCATTAGCTAGTGTTGCTAGCTCTTTAGGAGTGTATCATCGTTTGATATACAGCCTTATCAAACCTGGTTTATCAAACTCCAATGAAGCAGGGGCGGATCCAGTGGGGTGCGAAGGGGGCCCGAGCACCCCTCAGATTTGAGAAAAAACTTTTTGGGGATTAAAGCTTATTCTACCGCAATTTTGTTTATTATTATTTAAACCATTTAAATAATACCGGGAAGTATGCACATCTCCTGAAATTGTTATTTCCGCTTCAATGCCCCGTCTCACAACTGTTCAACATTGTTATTTCAGTCCATGCATTGAAGTGTTATGAAACTCCCCCTGGTTGTCCTGTATAGCATTCTACAGACTCGGAAAGCATTGTCTCCTCTTATATCCAGCCACTTAAGGAACCCGTGGCCTGTAAATTATACGATTTTCTGCACCCGTGGAAGTGAATCTAGCCAATCACGGTGCCAGGTCGAGGGGTTCTAAACTTTGGCGCGAGAACCCATGGATTTCAAAAATCCAAAACATCAAAGAATACCGACAAACCAGGGGGAGTTTCTTCGCTTCAATCTACAGTCAAATCTATAAGTGGTTTTATGACCAGGGGGAGTTGAGCTTGAACAGGAGGAGTTGAGGTTGACCAGGGGGAGTTGAATTATGATACAGCACGCGACGAATGCTTAGGCGCAAATTTGCAATATGTTTTCGTGGACCTTTTGACGATCTTTACCTGATGCTCGATGCAGGCACGTAAATAATAGGGGGGCGTGGGGGGCGTAACGCCCCCCCAAAGTTTGGAAAATCCAGTTACAGTTGGAAAACGTAACGGTTGACTTGGAATTTTTTTCTTAAGACCAAACTTGTGAATTTTATATTTTAAGAAGTTTTTTTATTTTAATTTATAAAAATTCTAAACATTAAAATTCACAGGCTGAAGCTGATCCATCCAATCGTTTTCTATTGTGAATCCCGTCTCCACTGGGTCCAAATTGCACACTTGCCCCGTTTTCTTTTTCTTTCTTTCTGACGGGAGTTGAATCAAATTACGAACAGGCAAGGTGAACTTACGGATAAGAAACTTGAAACTTACAGTTTGGAATAATAATACCCGCATTGATCAGAAAGTATTAGAGTGGGAATTTTTTTAGAAACTACGAGTAGTTAATTCAATAAAAGATTAAGAATCTTTCAGTACTAAAAATTCTCAACGCTTCTTATAAAAAACGAGTTTATGCTAAACTCCCCCTGCTATTTGTTAATGTCCTTGAGTCCTTATCATAAATTCCTATGACAAAACTGCTGTGGAGCAAGAACACATTGCAAAAACTGCAGTAGAAGTATTTGATCAAAGAAGAGTATTTCATCTTTCGAATCAGGCATATGCACAAGTTTGTTCTCAAATCATCATTTCAATTGTAAAGAATGAAAAGGCATTTGGCTCTCTGAAAAGTTTAAAGGTAGTTTTCTTCGATCAAGAACGAAAATAAAAGGCCCAAATTCTTGGTGCTTCTATATCGTGAAAAAATGTATTTTAGATAAAATTGATCAATTGATCTGAAAGAATACTACTAATCATTAAGTATATCTAATACTGGTTTTGCTTAAATGTTGCTTTACTTCTTACAGTATGTTTAATGTTTGTTTCATGTTAATCAAAATTTAGAGATTTAGGCTTTTATGCTTTAGGCTAATTATTGAGTAAAGATTTGGTAATTATAAAGAAAATAGAACTATGGTGTTCTGGCTATTTACAAATATCAATTTGGTAGGTACAACAGTTCTACTGGTCGAATGAAAAATGTATCACTTGAAGTTGGAATTTTCATACTTCCACGCCCCCCCAAAATTAGCAACTTGTTTTCGTCCCTGGCTCGATGCTGTAACGGCAGAACTTGTAAACGCTGTGGTTTATATAACAGAACGGTTTCAAGTTTCAACTCCGTGTTTCACGTCTTATTCATAGACCATGAGGTATGATTTATATTCAGAGGATAAAGCTTGCCCGAGCCCTTGTTATTCTTTTTTTAATCATTCAAGAACTACATAAAAAACATCTCAAAAACTTGCCCTTACTATTATTGACCAAAAGGGGTTTTCTTTTTTATACCTACTTATATTCCTGCGAATACTTTTTTCTCTAAGAATTTCAAATACATAAAAATACTCAAAACGCCAGGCCCATAGCGAAACGTTCAGGGCCTTCTTTGTTTGGTTTGGCGTCATATGTCGATGCATGCTGTGTTTGAATCCCTGTGTTCAACTTTTGCACTGCACTTCAAGGGCACCAGCCACGTTATTTTTTTGGTCAAGCTGATCAAGTTCTAATAAATGGCTGCAAAGAGTCAAAAATTAAATTTTGCTTTGAAAATTTGTGGGCTCGGGCCTTTTGCCACTGCGGGCCATCATATCATATTTGACTACAGTTTCTATACTTTTGTACCCTAAGTGAATATAAGAGGGGCGAGCTGCAAATTGCGTTCAATTGGCATAAAAGCTGAAACCAAAAATTACTATATAAATCAAGGCATCCAGGCTTTTTAGTTTATGGAAGACTTACATTTCATTATGGCTTATTAGCAGGGGTACGGAGTTTGTGCATAGCAACACCCTGGGTTACCAAGCCTTACGTTTTAGAACCCCTCAGAATAAATTTGCCTAGGAATCCGCCCCACTGATGAATAGTCTACCTATTAATTTACAGTAATTTGTAACATAGAGTGTTCTTTATCTGCTGTTGTTTTGTTAGTAAAAATCATCAAATTTTTTACTCGCTGCTCCATAAACTACGATGCCTGTAAACATTGTGTTAACAAGAATGGTTTTGTTCAAGTTTGATTGTCATTTAACACTTTCAACACAAACGTTTTACAGATTTTCTCTAGTTGTTTCTACAGGTGCAAATAACTTACTTTTTGCGCAACGCCCCGCCCGCCCCCTCCCCTTTGAAAGGGCTATTTATTCCGGAAGCTTGGAGAATCAAACAGGTCACTGTACTCGAATAAGCTAAAATATTTGCTCAATTTTCTCATTCGTATTATTTGTAATATGAATGGATTTTACTATTACCGATTCTGTCATAAAATATCGCTATTCTGTCAGACGAATCTTTTAGTAATACAGAACAGGACGATTCTAAGTTGCTTCTCCGATTTCACCCTTAATGTGATCATCATTTGATTTTTTTTTATATCCTGGCATTTGCTCCGGCAATGCTGCTCTCGAGACTTTGCTTACGTTACTTGGGTTGCCAAAGTGTGATTCACTTGCCTTCAAGTAAGACGTTAAAAGCGGTTTATTTCCTTTTAAGGTCGATAATTCTGTTTTCTTTTTCGATTCAAATGCTTGCAGTTTTGAATCTGAAAACCTTCACTAGAAAAAGTTGACGTCCATTATCTTGATTGTGTCTGAAATACGTTTTATCCGCCATCTTCGCCGTTTTCAGTGCGACTGTCGGCTATTATAAGAAACCTGTTTTTCCAAGCATCATTTATATTTTCAGCCATTATTTCCAAGGCGCAACATTGCGCAGCGATCAGGGACCGCGGGATCGGGGGGCTCAGGGGGCTTTAGCCCCCAATTTATTTTCCGAATGTACTTCAAACATACAAACAATCACCTGGCTCTTTTTACAATCTGTGTTACCCCCAGCCGCTTGTCGAAACGTATATTGCCGCTAATAGAGTTGATGGAACTCACGCTGGCTTGGTCTCCGTCTTGGGAGAGTATTGGCTGCCTGGGTTGGTGGCGGCATGTACTCTTAGAGACGCGAGGATAAGACATGAGGTTAGTTAGGGATTGTCACGAGATAGGGAGCACGCGCTGCGTCAGGTTGGGTAAGTATGGAGCTGCAATAAACATCTGTTCATGAAGATCCACTGTCGTATAATATCAACGAATTTTTAGGATAAACGTTGACTCTGCCTGTAAGTGTTTTGTTGTTTTTCTTAAAGAGTCGCAGATTCACTTATGATGACTATAATTTGTTGTTTCACCATCATTGACCTTAGACCTTAGTTTGGAAGACTGGGACCTAGAAAGTGATAATTTTCAGCAGTTTGTTTTTAAAACATAGAAAACATGGAAAACACATAAAGCTTCGAAGTCTTTTGTAATCATATATCTGTAACTGTTCAAGGTTTGTTTTAGGGGCACTGTTATTTGTCTTTACACTCCAACCATCTATTTTGCTCCACAGCTGCTTTTTATACACTTTACTAAAACAGTTCAGTTCAGTTCATTTCACTTTTAGAAATCCATACATACAAATCTTTTAAAATACAGCAACATGTTACAAAAGATGAAATAAACTACATACAATGAGAGAAATAAAGAACAAGAAAAAAATTTAGATGATTTTACAAAAATGAAGGAGATTGCATGCTTGAATTTCTTAAAGGAGGATACATTTAGATACTTAAGCCCAATTATTTAGATACTTAAGCCCAATTTTAAGTTAGCCAACTGGACAGAATCAAAACAATTAAATACTCATCATTGTCAGTGCTTTTAACCTTATTAATGCATGTACAGAAGTTTGTCCCATAGTGAAAAGTTTACCATTGTACCTTGAAGACAGTGGCGTAGCGTCCGGGTATTCAAGGTATTCAGTGAATACCCTGAGATTTCTCAGAAAAAATATTAATACGACGTATAATTGTAATAAGTAAAAAATGTTTTGGGGCTATTGATTCTGGTTGAATTCGTTACCTTCAATATTCTACATTTTGTACAAGTACAAAATATCACGAAATTCATGGCAACAATAACGCTGCGAAGCATAGAGAAGCTGGGGGATCTTTGAAGCTAATTTTGAAGATTGAGCTACTTCATGTTGTATGGAGATCGGTCATGAATACGCAGTGAATACCCTAGACGGTACTTTAACCAATCAAAATGCTCCTTTCCATGAATAATATTTGCCGTTAATCAGCTAAAACAATGGTTCTGTACGCCGAGAAATATGCAGCGTACAGCCTAAAAGTTGGTTCAAAATAGTCTCGTTATGAGATCGATATAAACAGTTAATGGACGTCGGAGCGGTTGGAGTGATGGAGCTGCATCGAAAAGAGTAAACATGACTTAATTAAAAAAACTATTGCAATGTCTGTATTACTGTTTCATAATCATTCTCTCATTTTACCCCTAATCTTAATCTACCAACAGCAAAGTGGAAAGGGAAGGTAGGCTGCTACATAATACTACACTGATTCAGATCTGTTCCCTCTTGAAATGCCAATTTGTTATTGCTTGCCAATCAGGGATGTTTCTGTTTGTATTATGTGATAGAATTAAAGTAAATGCAGATAGGCCTGGATAATATCCTTATAGTTGCCTGGTGTATTCAGTTATATTGTTGGCCTATTTTGTTTGCATTATTCGAGCGCATTTATTTGCATTATTGTGCAGTCTCGTCTCATTACCTTCGATTCTTTCAAATATTAACTTGTAATGAAAATATTACGATTAGACCATGAAGAAAAAGTCTATACTGCATAGCACAAAATCATTTATAACTCATGTAATGCCCTATGAGAATAATTTTGAAACTTTTGAAAGCCCTTTTGTATTAAGGTATCAAGAGTAGGTGTTTACAGTTACTTCCTCTTTACATCAGTGCAAATGTTAGACGATTTAACAACAACTATTGGGACATATTTCGACCAGTAAAATTTTACTGGCTTTCAATGATATGTTTTGATTTGAATTACTTTTGATGAAATGGTTAATAGTAATATGATGCAATGAATGAGTTCGAAGAGTATATTTGAAGGGTCCTTTAGCAAAGTATTGTTTTTATCATAGCAATGCCCTGACAGTGCAGTACTTGCCAACCAAACCAAAAAGAAAATTAGATAAAATGTCAATAGCTAGTCCTTTTAATCTTCCTATTATCCCCCTATTTTCATCAAGCCGCATCGAGCCACACCCTGCCCCACCCTTTTGATTAATAGAGAATACCCAGTTGAAAAAGTCACGCTACGCCACTGCTTGAAGATCACACCTGGCTTTTGAACTGCTGGCACCAAAACAATACTTGTATCACCTCTGTACATATGCAATGTAGGAATGGGCTTATAAATGTCAATAAAATGTCTATTATTTCAAGACATTTACCAAAAAAACAACAAATGTTTGATGTTGTTTATATCTGTGTTCAATATTTTGTTTCTGTAATATAATTTTGTTTCTTTGCAATGCACAAAACCCCATTTAGATCTTGTAAATTCATAGTTTGTGTGTTAAACCAAATCACCAATGGCTTTGAAAAAACCAAACATTTTACTAATCACACAGTCTTAAAGCCATTATATATATACATTTATCAACTGAGAATATCTATTGTCAGAATATGTACACAGTGTAAGTCTTCCACTTTAAGCAAAGAAAGCCTTTCTTTCTCAAAACCTTTGAACAGGTTTATTTTTAATATCAAAATTACATCCAATATTGGCATGTTGTAATTCTAATTGCAAGTACTAGCTAATTTGAATGGAATAGAAAGAGGTGACCTTCTTTATTGTAACTAAAATTATCTTTATTTATTTCGGTTACATGTAATTCGTTGACCTAAAACAAGTCCATTATGGTCTAAATCTATAATGACAATCTTGAACTTTCTTTTTCTACAACTTTAATGGCAGTAAGGAACTCCTGACAGCAATAACAGTTGGCAGCAAATAGACATAAAGCTGTAGACATGGCCAGCCCTTCTCCAGCAAAAAAGGCAAAGAAGAGCCAAGATAACAACAAGTATATACCTTGGTTGTTGGCTGCAATTGCTAAAGTTAAGGGTCAGAAACAAAGACCAAATGAATCAAGGATATGTCATGTTATGACTGTTGCATATGGAGTTGCTGAGGATGAGGCCTTAGCACAGCTTGGATTAGCAGTGAAATCAGGTGCTATTCTGAGACTTGAGTCCAAGGGGAAGTCATCATATAAGGATCCTGCCGTGCATGCTGGTGTCAAAGGTATGTTGTAACATGTTTGCATTTTTCCAAGCCATTTAGATATCTTCATGTTTATTGGAGCATACACTTACTTTCATCTCTGATGGGCGTACTAACAATTATTTTTAAAGTGTTGTCCCAGTGAAAGCTCTGTTGGGGCACAAAAAAGTTATGTACCTATGACTTTGTCTCCCTAGCTGTACCAGTAAATGTCCATGATATGCGGAAATTTATTGAAGATGCGTTAACTAAAGATGGAAAAGAGGATGGGTATACACTTGAAGAGATAGAGAGAAATATACGCTGTGATCATCAAGAAGATTTTGACCCCAAAACAGATTTATCTGTGCAGTTGAAACTGGCTCTTAAGAGGGGAACATTAAAAGGCAGATATATTAAACAAGGAAGATTTTACAGAATGTCACCAAAGACAACAAAATCTCCAAAGGTATACTGCAGATGACTTATTTTCTTTCCCCCTAATTGTTTGATATTTTTATGCATATATTGATTATGTGCATGTCCTGTTTATTTATAATGTGTATGTCATTTATTATATTGCTAATGGTGCTGTTTATCGACTTTCTTTCAATGATTTCTTTCTGACAGGTTGAATTATTGACTATCAGCAATAGAAATTGAAATGTCTTTAGATGTTGAAAAGTTTTAAATTTATTGAGCTTAGTGTTAATTTTTCAAGATTGTGAAAAGAAAGAGGAAAATTGTAGACCAAGGCAAAGATGGAAATGATGCTGATAATGCTGATAACGAAGATGAGACAGAGAGCAGTGGAGGAAAAGATTCACAAACTGAAGACAGTAACGGAGATAATGCTGAAAAGAAGACAAAAAGAAAAGTCAATGATAAGAAAATGAAATCAGAAAAGGTTGAAGGAAAAAGAGGAGTGAAGAGACCGAAAAAAGGTTAGTTTGAATAAATGCTCTGAAATAACTTTTCTGTAAACTATTTTACGTATCATTTATTATTTTGCTAATGGTGCTGTTTAACTACTTTCTTTCAATGATTTCTTACTGAGAGGTTGAATGACTGAATATATGATATTGGAAAGGCCCTTGAACTTTAGAGACTGTATATTGAGTGTTTATTCATGCTATGTTCAATATATTTTTATGTGAATAACTTTATCTATATTCACAATATTATTGTTATTTTCAATATCAATCTTGATTCCCTGTGTTGTTATTTTTATTTCCATTATTTTGTCTGTTTTGTATTATGTTGTTTCATTTTAAAAAATAGGTGCTGATTCTCAAGAAGAAGAGAATAAAGATGAAAGCAAAGGAAAGAAGCTAAGACGAGGTAAAAAGAAGGACGGAGAGAAAAAGTCGCTAACATTATCTGATTTTTGTGGGTTTTGCAAAGGAACAAGGGAAAGAAACCGTTACGATGATGAGGAGGATTTGCTCACATGTTCAGAATGCGGAAATAGCGGTATGGAATTAATTGTTCAAGTGATTGTAATGGCTTGGGTTGGCAGTGTTTCCTTTTCGATATCACACACAGTTAAAGAAACAAGACGTTTTTTGTACCAATAACCTGTTGTACAGATTATGGATGAATGGTCCTGAAGTGATCAAATTGTAGATAACAGTAGAACTCCACGCCTTTTTATGTATAATAGGGTGCTTCTAAGCTGCAGCTCAGTGTTTCACGCTTAATGCAATTATCAAGTAACTGTAAAACTCCACCATGGCAAATGTTTTTTATCAAATGGAACAAAAAACTATGGCTGTAATTTAAGATCCCATTAAGCGTGAAACTCCGAAAGCAACTTAGAACTGTCTTATTCTATACACCAAATAGCATATTTCGCCTATATCTTTAGCTACAGCCAGGAATTCGTTGATTGAACAAGTCTTTTTACTATCAGTTCTGACTTTGTACTATGCTTTTCAAACAAACCATTGTCCCCAATGATACCTTGTGTCTCTCAGCTGTCCTTCTTGGTCAATCATTTGAAAATTACCTGTTCTGTAGTTTATATAAAATTTTCTTTCCTTCTGCAGGACACCCAAGCTGCTTACAATATTCAAAAGAGCTGACACAAAGAGTCTCTAAGGAGCCGTGGCAATGTATAGAGTGCAAGATTTGCACAAACTGTCAGGAACAAGGAGACGCAGTGAGTGGGTCGTTTCTTAATGATTCCTAAGAGTAGATTCGGTCCTTGTTGTAACTTTGTGATAAAACCTCTTCTTTAGCCCCTATAAATACCTGCCATACATCATTTTTCATTACTAAGCTATAGATTTTAAGTAGAAGATCAATGCATTAAGTGCGTGGAAATATGTTTTATTTTTCTCATCTTTTGAAATGGTTTAAATAAACATTTATACGTTATTTTTTTAGCTCGAAGGTTTGATAATTGTTATGTGTATAGTAATCCCTTCTATGGTTTAAGTGCTCACAATTGTTCAAGGTCACTGTATTTCTGATCAAGTTATGTGCCAGTACATACGTCTTTCCATTGTCAGTAAACTGTAATTTCACTTTTGATTGATCATGGCATAAATTTCCGATCACCTTTTGCCTATTTCCGAGTTTTACATTTAATAGATTGTATATACTTTAATTGTTGACGTCGCCCTTTAGAAATTTTTGACTTGCACCAATTAGTGAAATCGCCTTATGAAATACTTAGGGGTCTTAATTTTTATCAGGCGAATTTGCTTTTCTGCGATGCATGTGACAAAGGATTCCACATGGACTGCCTGGAGCCGCCTCTTGATGATATGCCTACAGGTATGACAACCTCCGGTTCATTTTCTGGATTTGGTTAAGATTTCAAGGTTAACTAAAGATGCTGACTTGTTGATTGGGGGGGGGGGGGAGTGAAGCATTCGTATAGATGAACCAGATCACGATGAAATTAAATGGGCGTATACTATATCATTGTTAAAATTACCTCTAGATCTGTAAAAGATTGGTAGCCGAGAGCCTAATTAAAGAAAAGTATGCCAGTTTGATTAAGCATTTCAGAGGCAAACTTACTGTTTTAATCGAGATGGAGCGGTAAAAAATATTTGAACGTAGTCTTAGTTCTGTGGCTTTATTGCTTTGTCTAAACACTCATAACGAGGCGGTGCCGATTTGCCTAGGTGCACACACACGGTTTTTTCAGAGGCACTCTCTGTTTGTCTTTATAGAAAGCCAATTTGAGTTCTAAAGACTTTAGAGAAACTTGCGTTTGCATTGTAGGTAGCTGGGTGTGCCTGGAGTGTGACAACGAGCGAGATGGAAAAAGACGACGCACGAACACGATATTATGCACGCCACCACGAAAGAAAATACGACATACGCCACCGGAGAATGACGACGAAGGATTGGATAAAGAAAATAATAGGTAAAATTGTTCTTTTTTTAAATGAATTAAAAATTCTTTAGATTTTTCTCAAATGGTTAAATCTTTTAACCTTTAACTTTAAAATAATTTTTTCCCAGCATAAAGTCAGATTTAACCAAATCAGCTCGCCATTTTATGATTCATGCCCAAAATTGTTTTTTAACAGTTCCATTGACTGTTTTAATTTTGGAATTAACCCAAACCCAAACATGACTTTGGCTTTGCATTTGTTGTCGAATCTCTGATATTATTATTAATTTCAACTAAATTATTCATACCTTGCATAGGATATGCTATTTTTATTTTCATTGATCTAATTCATTCTTATTTAGTTTGTGTCCTACACCTGGCTGTGACGGGACGGGACATTTGAGAGGGAAATATGCAACACACAGAAGGTATATTTTGGTCGATTTGTTATGTTTATTGTGCTCTCTTAGTTTTTATTTTTTTGTGGTACAGATTTTAAAAAAAACGTCTGACGCTCTTTATTCTGAAGTATCAGACAAAAATGCATGTTTAAAAATTATATTCGCTGTTTTCAAAGCCACCTTTCTTTGATTAGAGTGGGTATACACTAAATCGTAATTAAGGGTGTTTCAAGTCCAAGGTTACAAATGTAAACCCCCAAATGCTCTTTCCATTAGCTCAACTGATGTAAATGATGATGATGATTCAAGAGAAATATTTAATCACCTTTTAAGCGATGACATTCAAGCGATGATATTAAATATTTAAGCGATTATATTACTCGTAAAAATGAATTACTGTTTGCTGACAGAAAGAACCAAATTTTCTGAAATCCTTTTTCTGATCACCATTGATATTTTTTTATCAAAACAGTAAGTCGATTAAAGTAAAATGTAAAGGATTTGCATCAAGTTTTTTCTCAATAGCTCTTAACGGCTGATATGCATTCAAGTATCAATTTTAACAATTATTTTGTCGCAGCGTGCTCGCCTGTCCTTCAGCAAATACGGACACACCCAGGCGACGCCCCCCAAAGTCAAGAACCCCCCAATCTGCAAATGAAACAGACACCTCAAGAACACCAAGGCTGCCTCCAGGTATGGAATTGTTTTTAGTGCTAGAATGCTTATGTTAACGAATAAAAAGTAAAGAGTTCCATTGTTGGTATGACCTACAATCATTACCAAAAGTACTTGGAACACCAAGCAATTTGCGTTGTGTGTTTGTATTTTTCAATCCTATTCCCGGAGACTCCTATTTCCGCACCCCTTCCCTCCCCTAAACAATGTTGATAATTTAGAAAAATATCATAGAAGTCGCAGAAAAAGCGTACTTCTTAATCCCCTACGTCGTTTTGTAGTAAAATAACATTGTTCACAGGGGGGAAGGGGAATGGCTGAATTTGCCTTTAAAAACTGACGTTAGTGTACCAAGACTTTTGGCAAGCATTCTAGCCTTGTATTTATATCTAATGACCTGGAGATGTTGAACTGGAAACACAACCTTCGTGATTGTAGCGTTGTTGGTTTTATTCATGTTCTATCGAATAAGTTCAACTCCAATCAATTTATTATCAATAAAGCATCTCCCCTTGATTTCTGACTTTAAGAGCATCTTGGCAACAACTTTTCGCGATTTCAGATCCGTTCTCAACATGGCATTAACTTTGAATTTCCAAATGTTTCTCTTTTTTACGACTTGTTGAGACCCTCCTTCGGCAATTTAAGAAGATCTGAGAAGAATCCTTCACAGCTTTTTGCTCACAAATTTTGGACTTTCAGTATCATGCCGGAAATGGAGAATCCCTTCGACAGCTTTTCCAAGTTAGAATTTTCCTTCCCGGCTTTTCCTATATCTAGAGTTATTTACTTTGAAGTAAGAGAAAACGAAACGCATTCTTGGTCCTAGGTCCTCACCTTTTTTTCTACTTCGAAGGTGTCACTGAAAAGGACGTCGATTTGTTCAAAAAAGTTCAGGAACAAGTCAGTTCAGGGGTGCTAAGCAACAACACTGCGAAGACAGCTGTACAGAACCCAAATGGACGCTACCCCCCGTGCATCGAATTTGGCAAATGGGAAATCGATACTTGGTATTCATCACCGTACCCCCAGGAATACGCCAGGTATCGTGTTAATAGAACTTCCTGTACACATTTACCTCATTATCGACTGGTTAAAACCGAGCATCACCATCGGTGAAATTGAAACTGTTATTTTGATTGGTTAACTAGTATATTTGGACCAATCAGAAGAGCGTTCCGACGTCCATTTTCAACTCTCACAATAAATGTGTTACGGCCCAGTTATTCTTAGTTGAAGTCAGTCTTGGTGGCCTTCCATTACGATGATCAAATCGATAATGTTCATCATTTTGTCATTCCACTACATATATACTTTCCTTGCCACCATTTTATTGTTAAAACAGGCGATTCATTTGTAGTTAGATTGATAGGGAAGCGCCAAAACGCGTTAAAAATCGCCATATTCTATCATGGTTTACATAGGTTGTTACTTGATTTGGTCTCTTACTTCAAATAATATGGATTTATGTTATTCGAAGTTTTTGCAGGGGCGGACACTTGATCAAATGTTTGGGGGGAAAGCCTATTGTTTTAATAAGATGACGTCACATTTCCCATTGTTCTAGAACAAAAGACCATTGTCCTCTAAAGTATTGGGGGGGCAGTCGCCCCCCCTCGCCCCCCCAAGTGTCCGCCACTGAGTTTTTGTAACAATTATGTTTTCAGATGTATATACTGAAATTTTCTCTTTTTAGTGCACCTAAACTTTACCTTTGCGAGTTCTGCTTGAAGTACATGAAAACTCGGACGATTCTAAAAAGACATTTGGTAAGTTTGAATTTCAGACAGTTTAGGCCATCGTGCAGTATTGATGATAAAATTTCAACGATCAACTGGAACTGTGCTGAACTGGAAAGGAAAAAGTCAATCAGACAGAACACGAATATTTCCCAACAACCTGACTTGAGACAAATGTCCTTAAGTGAATGTTTCACTACTTTTAATAGTTTTGTAATGTTCTTGTTTTTGCAGATGAAATGCCAATGGTCACATCCGCCTGCGAATGAAATCTACAGAAAAGATGACTTGTCCGTGTTTGAAGTCGATGGGGCCATTTCAAAGGTGAGCCAGTTTGGTGCCCCAAAGGAGCTACCATGATACTATTTGCTATCGCATCTTTTTATTGAGAATATAAATATTTCAGGGTTTTTGCTGTTTTTCATTTCGATCAATCTTGTAATACCACCGTGGAAAATAGCGTGGCTGGCTGCCCACCATTCAACCAATCTAGGAAACTCTTTACCACTGTCCTTTTATTTCTTTTATTTCACTGTCCTTTTATTTCTTTTTTTCGGGGAAACCCTGCCGTATCTTTAAGTAAGATATTAGTAGGCAAGTTTTTTCTTCTCTTTTTCTTTATACAGTCAATGAATAGAACTATACTGTCGCGCGCTCTGTAAAATATTTCTAAAGCTCTTTTCTTCAGAATAGGTTTCCTGGTCCAGCTTGTCTGCCTCGAAATATTTTATAATGCTGTATTGATGAACTGAATAGAAACTCCATCACCGTGCTAGGCAACATCGGCTTTTGGCATTAAAACTTGAAATTTCTCGATTAGCTTTTATGGCAAAAGGTTAAATTGTTAATTTTCACTCTTCAATTTTGTTCAATTTTCAATTTTTAGTTTTTACCATCGGAAATTCTGCTTACCAATACCAAGGCTGTTTAGCTCTATGATAATTCATCGTTTAAATTCCATTTATTATAGATCTACTGTCAGAACTTGTGTCTTCTTGCCAAGTTGTTTCTTGACCACAAAACACTGTATTACGACGTAGAACCATTCCTGTTTTACGTGCTGACCAAAAATGATCGAACGGGATCTCATTTGATTGGCTACTTTTCAAAAGTAAGTTAGAATTGATTTATTATAAAACCATATTTTAGCAATTCGTGCCTTATTAAAGCATTGTAGTTGGCATTGTAGGGTAATTTATAAAAGGGTCTTTTCTACTCTCAGATCCCTAGCAACCGTATACCAGACCCTTTCTCCCCCCCCCCCAACTCTTATGTGTTCATCAAAACAATTTTTTACGCAATATCAGTTGAGGGACAAAATCTTATATTTACATAAACCCTGAAGTGTTTCTCCTTGTACTGGAAATGCTTCTTTCCTCAATTACTTATTCAAGTTCCTTGATTGAATTCAGTGTTTTGATTCTTCATTTATCTGAGGTTTGAGACATTCTGGAATTGTGCGTTGAGATACATTTTTGCTTCGTAGGAAAAAGCTTGCCAGCAAAAATACAATGTGTCCTGCATTATGACAATGCCACAGTATCAGCGACAGGGCTTTGGCCGTTTTCTTATCGACTTCAGTGAGTCTAGATTGAATGATATTCCTTTTGCTTGTGTCTGACCCCGTCCACGTTTAAATTTTTGCACATTTTGTCATTGAGCTTGTGCCCCTGATGTAGCACATTAGCTTGGAAAATCTGCTCGATTATTTTTTGGTATTGTTTTATTGGGATGCCTATCGTGTAAATATATACATGGCCAGAAAGAGTAAATCTTTTCAGGGACGGCTAATTTCAAACCATGATCAGTCAATCGTTGTTGTTTGTTTCCATTATCTGGTTTACCTTTAACTCCATCCACTCAACCTCAGGCCATCGTATAGTTTCGATAACCATCAGCCTCTAACCCACCGAAAATCGTTGATATATGAATGCTCTTTTCTTTGCAGTTTTATCTCTAGTTGCCTCTCATTTAATGCTAAATGAACGTTTTAATACTAGAAGCCAAAGTTACATTATCAAACCTCAATTCTATCCGAACGAATAATTGACATGTAACTGTGTTAAGGATCAAGAATTAATCTGCAGTTACCGTCGGTTGCCGAAAGCTTCAAAATCTTCCACGACTGTCTCAACCATTAACAACTTTTAACAACCATTCACCAACGTTGAAAACTGGTAACCACCCTGCTAATCACCGTTTACAACTGTTTACCACCGTTCACCACTCTTATTAACTGTTCATGTTCCTCTATTGTAGGTTATTTACTGTCAAGAATCGAGAAACAACCAGGCTCGCCAGAGAAACCTCTGAGTGACCTCGGCTTGATCACGTACCAGAACTATTGGAAAAGCATTATTGTAGAATACCTTTACAAATGCATGGATACGAGGACGGTTTCAATTAAAGGTAACTTTGCTAAGGTCCGGATATTTCTCTGCATGTTGCGATTCAGCCCCCCCCCCCAGACAGCCTTTGGGTTACCAAAATGGAGTCTTTGAGAACGACTTCAATATCTAAAGATGTTTGATACAGTTTAACATAGGTTTTTTGTGTGGACGAAGAAAATGCTTGTAAAACCACATATGTTACATAGTAGTACACATACATTGAGTACGCGGATTTGTTATATTGATTGTTTATGGAAAGGTTTGGTAAGAATGGCTCCTTTGAAAATAATCCGCATTTTCAAGGACATTCAGGCGTATAGTAGAAAAGGGCATATGATTATTTTCTTAAACTACGCCATCAGATTCAGGTGGCTGTGAATTTAACGCAACTTATCTGAACTGGGGGGTCAATAGTTTCAGTCGTTGACTGCTTTTTCTGTTAATAACAGATCCAGTTGAAGTGTTATGTTATTGTTTGACAATATTGATTATGTTTGATACACCCCCCCCCCCTGCCCATTCTCGATTTTGGTCCTAAAGAGGCCTATTTCATTGTCACAGGAATCAGTGAGGCCACTGGTATGGATCCTCATGACATTGCAGCAGCACTCCAGCAGCTAAATTTCATTCATGTTCGGGATGGGAAGTAAGTTAATCATAGTTTTCAAAATGAATGCAAGCTTCAATTTTTGTATACATGTTGTCTGCCTTTTTATATCCACCCTGAAACGTGTAACCAAGTTAAGTTGCTATACAAAAATGTTCCACAAACGAAAGCGCGCGGAATTAGTGTGAACAAATCAAATAGATCTTTGAAGTAGATGCGTTTCAAAACCATAAGGTTCAGTGGTCCAGAGCTTTGCTAAAGAAGAAAAGGGTTTTGTTTTTGCGTTTGCCTGTTTGCGAAATATCTGCAACTATCCTGAGATAAAGTTTTATGGGGTTACGATTTTAACATGTTTTCACGGAGGTACCGTCAGTCCAAGATGCGCAATATAAGTGATATATGAAATGGCGCTTGCTTCACGTGTTTTTTTTGAAGCCATCCTTGCCTCGCTGGTCGTTTCTAGCACGTGCCTCTTTCTCAGAGACTGTTGCTTCGAATGGGCGAAATTCCCAAGTTAAAGAGCCTCGATCTGATACGTGTAAATATCGTTTTCTGGATTTTTCTGCCTGACTATCGATCGAAAGGAACAAATCGTGTGGCTTTTTGCAACTTTTTAAAAACTGAATGGTTGAAAAACTTGAAACGCTGGAGTAACCATCGAATTACAGGATGGAAGGTAAGCCGTTAATAGGTTAATTTTAGGCCTAACATCAAATTTTATAGATCTACCAATGATGTTAATAGAGAACTGCTAATGTTCTTGTAAAAACAATACAGGCAAGTTTTTCACAGGAATCTGGTGCAATAAAGAATATTTTTCTAGGCTATCAACAAAATAGCTTTAGAATAAACTGTTGTACATGTAATTAAAAAGCCTTTTTTCTGAAAAGTCAGTTAAAACTGTTTCACGTAAATTTTTATATTAAAGAATTTTTCTTTCATGAAATTTATGAATAGATGCACTAAATGTTATCTCAAGATTGATGAAAAATTTGTACGCATTCTCTCAATGAAATCCTTTGCTTTCTAGACTGATAATTGTTATAAACGAAAAAGTTATGAACGAACATATGGAGAAAATACGACTTCAAAAGAGAGTTGCAATCGACGAGGACAATTTAAGATGGACTCCTTTGGTTCAAGTTGGTAATCCTGGCAACATCATGAAGGATCACGAATCAAGTCATAGTGAAGAAGATGGACCAGAAGGGGACACTAAGGAGGCACAGACTGAGCCGCAGCAATCAGACGATGAAGACACTTCTATAAAGGGAAGAACAAGTAAAAAGAAGTCAAAGAAAACCACGTTGAAATTTGATTCAGAGGAATCTTGTGACGAGAAGGAGCCTAATGACACGGTAATGATATATAATTATATTTTTCACTGGGAAAGTAATTTTTATGTCTTTGCCAGAAAAAGTGGCGCTTAAAAGTAGGTTTTCTGCTAAGGTGGGTAGTAATGTTTAACTTTGAAAATCGTAGCTAAATTACATATTGCGAATTGGAAATATTAAGTTACTGTCTAATGTCTTAAGCTTACGTCTCTTAATGAACCTAACGAAACTAGGAAACATTTTACTGAAAACTTTACAATAACTAACGACCAAACTAAGACAAAAAACTAAGACAATTCGAGATTTTCCCAACCCTTTCTTGCTTCGCAAAATACTAGCATGTTCGGTAATAAAGTCAAATGAGATGTTAGATTTGGCGCATTAATTTAATTTCAAACACGATAAAGTTGCAAATAATACTCATGATTAGTCAGAAACTGTTTCTCTATTTTGTCTTTCTTATACTTGATAATTTTCTTTAGAATACATTAGTAAACGGTCACGTAAAAAATTCAGATGAAGCAGCTAATTCTTCTAAGACTGGCGAGGAACTGCAAGGCGAGGCAGCAAAAATTGAGAAAGATTTGTATAAAGTTGGAGACAAAGATGAGCAAAGCGAACGTTCTGGCAGGAATCTCAGAGAAAATTCGGCTCAAGAAAATCAATCTGACCTTTGCAAAGAAGACGAAGAACTACAAAAAATTGTAGCTAGTAGACCATCTAATGTTGAAAATATAGAAAAGGTTGTTCACATGAACCTGGAAAGAATAAGTCGAACTCTAGCTGGCGACTTTTGTACGACACCAACACGGTCTATAGATACTCCTACTCGAGCAATTGAAGGACTCAACAAAGCCGTACGAGACTCGCCAGGCTTGTGGAAGTCTACGATAGATCCTGTCGATTTCCCAGAATTAGAATCTTCGGCTTCAAATTTTTTTGAAATGACTCAGTTATCAGAGCAAATAGCCGCCACAGCCGACTCGATGACGTCAGAGGGTGATATAGCAGAGCTTCTTGGTGTCGCATCAGAGGCTGAGGAGAAAATGAAGAATGAAAGGGAGGCTGAACTCAATAACCATCTTGATTAAACCCAAACTTCGTCGCATTTCAAAGCCATTTTCGTTCTGTTGTTCCCGCAGCAAGTTAAGGCCTGGTACCTTAGCAGATGTAATAGCATATTTCTTCTGGTGTACATTGTGGGGAATCTTTGTAGATAAACATCGTATGTAAATGTATTCACCAGGTGTTAAAGGCATTGAGTTCCTGTTGAAAGATTTTTCCTACTTATTCAGTAAGGAAATTTTAGTCAACAAACTGAAAGGGAAAATTTGGAAGGCAATGATTTTAAAAGATCTAAACCCTGAATAACTTTTGAATGTTCATTGTTTGAGAGTCCCTGTCTTGTTTAAAATAAGGAAATGTTTGCCCGGCGTCCTTGCACGGGGGTTCCCATCCACTGTTATACAGCTGCAAGAAAATCATTAAGAACGACTCAGTGTATTTGTGTATACCCTCGCCTTTCATCAAGACTCAGTGTCTGTAACATTCATAGCCATTTTAAGTGGATGACACCATACTTAAAATAGTTACTTGTACATGAAATAGCATAGAAATTGACGGTTGTCACAAAAAGTCATATTTCACAGTCTGGGAGGTAGATGTACATACAGATTTACCGGAATCTAGTTGCTTGGCAACCAGAATGTAATTAGCCCTAGCAATGTACATAGACCTAGGACGAATTTTAAAAGTATGGGGAGGGGCACTTGTAGTCACAATAGGGGCACCTCTGTACGCTGCAAGTTGGTATTTAACCACTTTTTCTGAAATTCGGGGGGAAACGTGCCCCTGGTTCCTACGTCTGTGGCAATGTGAACTTTTGCGTATTGGAAAAACGTAAAAGGACTAGAAAGTTGAATTTTAATCATCATCATATCGTTTTTAAACTCTTCATATATTTATGTTTTATTTAAAGAGGAGCAGAGTATCCTGCTTGTTATTGTAGATTTATCTACCAAACTCTCCAGTTCCATTTAATCTCGTATTTGTCTTAAATAGTGCTCTGTTTCTAATGCCAATTGGCTTTTCATATGCCTAAAATGCAATTTCAAGCAGCCAAGGGCGTATATTTAGGAATATTAACGATACAGCATATCAAAAAAAACAGATCCATTCAAAAGTTTAATTCGAAAAATGGTTTCCTACATTGTTCGCGGACCCTCAACCCACAAAGAAATGTGAACACTGTTATTCAATCAAAAGCTCCTGGATAGTTCGAAAATTTATCTACTTATCCTCTATTTGAGAAAGCCTCTATTTCGGACGTTCCCTCAAGCTATGATGGAAATAGGTCACTTACCTAAGAGGGATTTAGTCGCCAAAGAACTTACTTCACATAAAGAGACAGCCCCCCTCTTTAAGTGAATCCCCCCCCCCAAACAAGTATCTTTTAACTGAAAGCATTTGCTTTACGAGCCAGAAGGCGTCCTGCTTTGATCCATGATTTAAATCACAAAGAAACATTTAGTTCACAATTCTTTGTAATATGCTTTTAAGTTGCATTTTTCGACTCTTGAGCTTCCTATGGTTTTTCCTAGCAAATTTTGTTCTTTTATGTTACCTTTGTAGAGCAGTTGTTTCTTAAAGATATGCTGCCCACTTCGACATTTCCAACAAACGATGTATATATTAATCAACAGCGCTACTTGTCTTTGTGTTCTCTACCTTTTCAAGCCTAAAGATCTTCATACTATGATCAGAATGAACAAGAATTGAATTTGGTTCTGGAATCAATGTAGTTTTTTGGAAAAATGACCACTTTATAGAACGGCCGTTTTTCGATAAAAGTTAAAGCTATAGGCTTAGGAAAGTCGCCGATTTTTTTTCGAAAATTTTTTCTTCCAAAAACCTCTTTATTCAATTAAAAAAGATCTGAGTCAATAAGAAAATAGTTTAGTTTTCAAGTTAAAGTCGTTTTTTTGAAAAAATAAGCACTTTTTAGAACCGTCGTTTTTCGAAAAAAAGTAAGGCTATAGGCTTAGGAAAATCGCCAATTTTTTTCCAAAATTTTTTCTTCCAAAAACCTCTTTATTCAATTAAAAAAGATCCGAGTCAATAGAAAATAGTTAGTTTTGAAATTAAAGTGGTTTTTTGAAAAAAAAGCACTTTTTAGAACCGTCGTTTTTCGAAAAAAAGTAAGAGGCTTAGGAAAATCGCCAATTTTTTTCGAAAATTTTTGTTGTAAAAACCTCTTAATTCAATCAGAAAAGATCCGAGTCAATAAGAAATAGTTTAGTTTTGAAATTAAAGTCGTTTTTTTGAAAAAATAAGCACTTTTTAGAACCGTCGTTTTTCGAAAAAAAGTAAGGCTATAGGCTTAGGAAAATCGCCAATTTTTTTCGAAAATTTTTTCTTCCAAAAACCTCTTTATTCAATTAGAAAAGATCCGAGTCAATAAGAAAATAGTTTAGTTTTGAAATTAAAGTCGTTTTTTTAAAAAAATAAGCACTTTTTAGAACCGTCGTTTTTCGAAAAAAAGTAAGGCTATAGGCTTAGGAAAATCGCCAATTTTTTTCGAAAATTTTTTCTTCCAAAAACCTCTTTATTCAATTAAAAAAGATCCGAGTCAATAAGAAAATAGTTTAGTTTTGAAATTAAAGTCGTTTTTTTGAAAAAATAAGCACTTTTTAGAACCGTCGTTTTTCGAAAAAAAGTAAGGCTATAGGCTTAGGAAAATCGCCAATTTTTTTCGAAAATTTTTTCTTGCAAAAACCTCTTTATTCAATTAGAAAAGATCCGAATCAATAAGAAAATAGTTTAGTTTTGAAATTAAAGTCGTTTTTTTGAAAAAATAAGCACTTTTTAGAACCGTCGTTTTTCGAAAAAAAGTAAGGCTATAGGCTTAGGAAAATCGCCAATTTTTTTCGAAAATTTTTTTTCCAAAAACCTCTTAATTCAATCAGAAAAGATCCGAGTCAATAAGAAAATAGTTTAGTTTTCAAATTAAAGTCGTTTTTTTAAAAAAATAAGCACTTTTTAGAACCGTCGTTTTTCGAAAAAAAGTAAGGCTATAAACTTAGGAAAATCGCCAATTTTTTTCGAAAATTTTTTCTTCCAAAAACCTCTTTATTCAATTAAAAAAGATCCGAGTCAATAAGAAAATAGTTTAGTTTTGAAATTAAAGTCGTTTTTTTGAAAAAATAAGCACTTTTTAGAACCGTCGTTTTTCGAAAAAAAGTAAGGCTATAGGCTTAGGAAAATCGCCAATTTTTTTCCAAAATTTTATCTTCCAAAAACCTCTTTATTCAATTAGAAAAGATCCGAGTCAATAAGAAAATAGTTTAGTTTTGAAATTAAAGTGGTTTTTTTGAAAAAATAAGCACTTTTTAGAACCGTCGTTTTTCGAAAAAAAGTAAGGCTATAGGCTTAGGAAAATCGGCAATTTTTTTCGAAAATTCTTTCTTGCAAAAACCTCTTTATTCAATTAGAAAAGATCCGAATCAATAAGAAAATAGTTTAGTTTTGAAATTAAAGTCGTTTTTTTGAAAAAATAAGCACTTTTTAGAACTATCGTTTTTCGAAAAAAAGTAAGGCTATAGGCTTAGGAAAATCGCCAATTTTTTTCGAAAATTCTTTCTTGCAAAAACCTCTTTATTCAATTAGAAAAGATCCGAATCAATAAGAAAATAGTTTAGTTTTGAAATTAAAGTCGTTTTTTTTGAAAAAATAAGCACTTTTTAGAACCGTCGTTTTTCGAAAAAAAGTAAGGCTATAGGCTTAGGAAAATCGGCAATTTTTTTCGAAAATTTTTTCTTCCAAAAACCTCTTTATTCAATTAGAAAAGATCCGAATCAATAAGAAAATAGTTTAGTTTTCAAATTAAAGTCGTTTTTTTGAAAAAATAAGCACTTTTCAGAACCGTCGTTTTTCGAAAAAAAGTAAGGCTATAGGCTTAGGAAAATCGCCAATTTTTTTCCAAAATTTTTTCTTGCAAAAACCTCTTTATTCAATTAGAAAAGATCCGAGTCAATAAGAAAATAGTTTAGTTTTGAAATTAAAGTCGTTTTTTTGAAAAAATAAGCACTTTTTAGAACCGTCGTTTTTCGAAAAAAAGTAAGGCTATAGGCTTAGGAAAATCGCCAATTTTTTTCGAAAATTTTTTCTTCCAAAAACCTCTTTATTCAATTAGAAAAGATCCGAATCAATAAGAAAATAGTTTAGTTTTCAAATTAAAGTCGTTTTTTTGAAAAAATAAGCACTTTTTAGAACCGTCGTTTTTCGAAAAAAAGTAAGGCTATAGGCTTAGGAAAATCGGCAATTTTTTTCGAAAATTCTTTCTTGCAAAAACCTCTTTATTCAATTAGAAAAGATACGAATCAATAAGAAAATAGTTTAGTTTTGAAATTAAAGTCGTTTTTTTGAAAAAATAAGCACTTTTTAGAACTATCGTTTTTCGAAAAAAAGTAAGGCTATAGGCTTAGGAAAATCGCCAATTTTTTTCGAAAATTTTTTCTTCCAAAAACCTCTTTATTCAATTAGAAAAGATCCGAGTCAATAAGAAAATAGTTTAGTTTTCAAATTAAAGTCGTTTTTTTGAAAAAATAAGCACTTTTTAGAACCGTCGTTTTTCGAAAAAAAGTAAGGCTATAGGCTTAGGAAAATCGCCAATTTTTTTCGAAAATTTTTCTTCCAAAAACCTCTTTATTCAATTAGAAAACATCCGAATCAATAAGAAAATAGTTTAGTTTTCAAATTAAAGTCGTTTTTTTGAAAAAATAAGCACTTTTCAGAACCGTCGTTTTTCGAAAAAAAGTAAGGCTATAGGCTTAGGAAAATCGCCAATTTTTTTCCAAAATTTTTTCTTCCAAAAACCTCTTTATTCAATCAGAAAAGATCCGAATCAATAAGAAAATAGTTTAGTTTTGAAATTAAAGTCGTTTTTTTGAAAAAATAAGCACTTTTTAGAACCGTCGTTTTTCGAAAAAAAGTAAGGCTATAGGCTTAGGAAAATCGCCAATTTTTTTCGAAAATTTTTTCTTCCAAAAACCTCTTTATTCAATTAGAAAAGATCCGAATCAATAAGAAAATAGTTTAGTTTTGAAATTAAAGTCGTTTTTTTGAAAAAATAAGCACTTTTTAGAACTATCGTTTTTCGAAAAAAAGTAAGGCTATAGGCTTAGGAAAATCGCCAATTTTTTTCCAAAATTTTTTCTTGCAAAAACCTCTTAATTCAATCAGAAAAGATCAGAATCAATAGAAACTATTTTAGTTTGAAATTAAGTCGTTTTTTAAAAAAATAAGCACTTTTTAGAAATTTTTCGAAAAAAAGTAAGGCTAAAGGCTTAGGAAAATCGCCAATTTTTTTCGAAAATTTTTTCTTCCAAAAACCTCTTTATTCATTAGAAAAGATCCGAATCAATAAGAAAATAGTTTAGTTTTCAAATTAAAGTCGTTTTTTTGAAAAAATAAGCACTTTTTAGAATCGTCGTTTTTCGAAAAAAGGTAAGGCTATAGGCTTAGGAAAATCGCCAATTTTTTTCCAAAATTTTTTCTTGCAAAAACCTCTTAATTCAATCAGAAAAGATCAGAATCAATAAGAAACTATTTTAGTATTGAAATTGAAGTCGTTTTTTAAAAAAATAAGCACTTTTTAGAACCGTCATTTTTCGAAAAAAAGTAAGGCTATAAGCTTAGGAAAATCGCCAATTTTTTTCAAAAATTTTTTCTTGCAAAAACCTCTTTATTCAATTAGAAAAGATCCGAATCAATAAGAAAATAGTTTAGTTTTGAAATTAAAGTCGTTTTTTTTGAAAAAATAAGCACTTTTTAGAACTATCGTTTTTCGAAAAAAAGTAAGGCTATAGGCTTAGGAAAATCAGCAATTTTTTTCGAAAAATTTTTCTTCAAAAAACCTCTTAATTCAATCAGAAAAGATCCGAATAAATAAGAAAATAGTTTAGTTTTCAAATTAAAGTCGTTTTTTTGAAAAAAAAAGCACTTTTCAGAACCGTCGTTTTTCGAAAAAAAGTAAGGCTATAGGCTTAGAAAAATCACCAATTTTTTTCAAAAATTTTTTCTTGCAAAAACCTCTTTATTCAATTAGAAAAGATCCGAATCAATAAGAAAATAGTTAAGTTTTGGAAATTAAAGTCGTTTTTTTTAAAAAATAAGCACTTTTTACAACCGTCGTTTTTCGAAAAAAAGTAAGGCTATAGGCTTAGAAAAATCACCAATTTTTTTCAAAAATTTTTTCTTGCAAAAACCTCTTTATTCAATTAGAAAAGATCCGAATCAATAAGAAAATAGTTTAGTTTTGAAATTAAAGTCGTTCTTTTTGAAAAAATAGGCACTTTTTAGAACTATCGTTTTTCGAAAAAAAGTAAGGCTATAGGCTTAAGAAAATCGCCAATTTTTTTCGAAAATTCTTTCTTGCAAAAACCTCTTTATTCAATTAGAAAAGATCCGAATCAATAAGAAAATAGTTTAGTTTTGAAATTAAAGTCGTTTTTTTGAAAAAATAAGCACTTTTCAGAACCGTCGTTTTTCGAAAAAAAGTAAGGCTATAGGCTTAGGAAAATCGCCAATTTTTTTCCAAGATTTTTTATTCCAAAAACCTCTCAATTCAATCAGAAAAGATCAGAATCAATTAGAAAATAGTTAAGTTTTGAAATTAAAGTCGTTTTTTTGAAAAAATAAGCACTTTTTAGAACCGTCGTTTTTCGAAAAAAAGTAAGGCTATAGGCTTAGGAAAATCGCCAATTTTTTTCGAAAATTTTTTCTTCCAAAAACCTCTTTATTCCATTAGAAAAGATCCGAATCAATAAGAAAATAGTTTAGTTTTGAAATTAAAGTCGTTTTTTCTGAAAAAA